GGCGCTAACTGATTTGGCTGGCACTAACCTAGCGAATTCACACTTGTGATCAACCGGGCCATTGACTGATCCTCTAATGCCTTTGCAAGATGAATTCGCTTTTGATATTACAGATAGTTGAACATCACCACTGCACGGCTGCACAAATAACTGTAACCTCGACTTTCCATGTCTACCATTCATGTCTCTTTTGACGCATATAGCATGGGAAGCGATTTGACAACGCTGATAACCAGGTTAATGTAAGTTACAACATTGCGTTAAAATGAAACATAATTTTGAATGTGCCAAGTATCATCACGTAAAAAGTATGAAACATCAACCCATCAATGCTAGGTTCAAATAATATACGTTTCAAAACGTGCAAGTGGTCACCTTTATGTACTTTATGGTGGACAGAATTTCAGCGAGTGAAGACAATCAACCAACTCTTGTTATGGTTTAACAAGTAAGATGGCAGGCCCAAGTTGGCAGCAGATAAACAGACACAGTTACAAAGTACGTTGGTTAATGGATACACAGCGATAAACACTTAAGGTAATATTTAATACGCGCGTTACGTCCGAAATCTAGTCCATAAAAAACGAAATTTAAAGCAGTCATAGAAATACAAACAAGACGAATCGCTGCCGAGTCTCTTACAGCGAACGTAAATAAGGTGATATAAAGAAGTTGACTGAAAAGCACATGCGACCGTTCAAGTTACCACAATTGTGGAAGCACTGACTCTAAGTAAAGCTTCATCAAATCCGCAGTTTGATCACAGAAGTGTTGACATCTGAGAAACTAAATCATTATGAAATTTAAACACTGTCAGATGTGCCGGGAGAATTCAACAAAATGGATGTACATGTATCCCTCAGATGGCACGCGTTCGTACACTGCGAACAGTGATATGTGTTAAGGCGCGACTACTCCTAAAAACCCACTGAATACTTTGTTTTCAGCATAAAAGGAAGCGGGTCATCTCAGCCTCTGCTTGGCTTTCTATTCTCTATGAAGGCTGATCCTGTTCACCACTGCAATAGGCATCCTCAAATAACAATATTCTTATACTTTCGCAGATCAGATCACCTCTCGAACGTGAGCGGCCGCCGTATTTACGCGATTCATTACCTTTGTTAAGTTCCCACTTCACTCGTTAAGCCAGATTCGATATGGCAGGAAAATTTGTTATTTAAGTTATAGACTGCCCACCATTACCACACTCTTGAACCACGCCAGCATAGCAGGGTCAAATACAGTCTGTAACTGTAGTACTCCGATAAAATCTTTCAACAAATTGTTGCAGCTGGCACACGCTTTCTGAGAATTGATCAGTCCTAAAATATCTTACTAAACCACTTCTGTAGTGGTCAACTTCATAACTAGTCACGGCCGGTAATAAGATGATGCAGTACTTACCGCCATATGCAACACGAAACAAACGTGCATCGTAAAAGCATTGATCAGAGTTTGGCAATGTGTCAAATGAACGTATACTTTGAATAGGCCAGTGCAGTCCTCAACAGACCCTTCCACTTTGTCCCTCGATTCTTTAGTCCTTACGTAGCAGATAAGCAGCCCCACAGCGTCTGCTTGTTGTTGTCATCTGGTTCACGCAAGCATCATAGGTCAAGCATGACATATGGGTTTGGCTACAACAAATTGGGGAAGTCAACAAGTTTCTTTACTGCTGACATAAATATTAAATGCGCACTTTCTTTTGAGGGTTATACACTGGATGAAATCCAGCTACCCCCGAAAAGTGTCAGGACACAATGTTTCAGGCTTTTAAGCCCCTGGAAGGACCTGTGTAGTGGGACCGAAGCGTCCAAATGAATACGCCCCCTCATCTTCAAGAGTATTCGATGGTTCAAACAACAGCCGAATAATTCCCATTTTCGAACTGAGCTTGCTTCAGTATGATGAACAACTATGCTGGTGTTTATCTGTTTCCTTCTTTGCTGTCTGCGAAGCATTTACGTTCTTCCTCTAGAGGCATCTTTTGTGTGCCGGGAAAAACGGTGTCTATTGTATTGCTTTACATTGTACATAACAGTCAGTTCACACTGCCAAAAATGGCCAAACCTGTAAAGTGGTTCATTTTCATGTAACCTGTATTACATGAAATATATTATTATCATTATCTCCGTGATCTGATAATCTCAAATAAGATCCTAACTCTATTGAGCACTTTTATTTGTGAATCAGCCTTGCCATTTTAAACCGTTAAATCTGCAAGACTAAGCAGTCAGTTGAAAGTTGCTTGAGTCTGTTCGTCTCTTCAGGAATCGTCCTGGTGCGAACATGACGAACACAGAGACCAATCGCTAATCATCCGTACTCGTTATATGCTCACGGATACGAGACGAAGAAAGAACACAATAGGGTAGTCGAATGGGGTAGTATGTCTGCGAGGTCGTACCAAAATACCGATGCGTCCCAACTAACTGGTTAGAGGGTCGATTACGAGCAGTGCGACGCGGCATGACAGCGTGCCGAATGGCGAGGATGCTTGACCGGGTGCCTTCAGCGTGGTGAGTCCAGGTAAACTGGGAGTGTTAGCATCGATGTTGAATTCCATCGAATCCTGGGTTAATGATTCTAGGGGATCACGTGACGCTACACCGCAATGCACTTCAATCAACCTTAAAATGATTGTATTACCCTGGGTTCGGGGAGCAATGTGCTTATCTTATATCGCTGGAAAGTTAGATACGGTAGTACACAAACTAAGTGCTGTCCAACTAAGCTGATTGACGATCTTGACGCAGTGGTTGGGCTCGGAATGAAGATTATTAAGAAACTTGCAGGACAAACAACCCAAAGCAAAGCCACCGAATTTGCGCACACATAGAATTAGTGTAAATTTTAAAGTGAGGAAGTAGCTTTCAGGTAAAAACAAATAATCACGCAATCTTATCCCACTGGCAGGTTGAACGCACAATCTTGTGTTCCCTAAGGTTTCTAGTGAAACGGCGGCCACCACAGTGATGATGGGCTGGTCACACAGAGATTCAAAGCAGTTTCATTCCCCCTAATACTGAGACTGGTAAATCACAACTATGCCTGCGGTGGATATGAAAACCGTGACGTCAATTTCGCGGCCGCAAAAAGTTGGAAAACACTTACTGTTGTGAAACAAAAGAGAAAACACTCTGTGAAAGCATACATTGACGGATTCGGTTCAGTCCGTCTTTCTGGGATGGAACGATAATTAGTTAAAGAAGTTCACGTTTGTCAAAGACGAACAATTAGCAGCACCAAAATACGGTATATTATTCCGCCAACTTGGGCCGTTTTGCCCTAAATTCACTGCAAGAGGCACTCAAGTACAGTTCCAATATGTAGTTTCAGGAATGCGTGACTGCTGGGAAATCTGAAGTTCCGGGAATGTATGGAGAACAAAACCAAAGAGGTAAGAGCTGAAATTACAATATCAGTGGAATGTCGACTTACTAGCTGCGCAATTCCGTTTTCTCGCGGACAGTTTTGGGAAAGCAAGGCTGGCACAGAAATTTAGCCTACGGAGTTTATTTGATTGATGAGCCTACTGATTGCTCTAAGTAGATTTACTTATTTTCAAAGAGTTTTCAGTAGGTTGTTCCCTATCATCTTTAACCCGATATAAAACTAATTTGTAAGTGCAAGATTACTTCTTCCACCAAAGTGCTCAAAGTATCACCAATTTTTCACTAACTCTTTGGTAGGCTCTCGTCCTCTAATTTTTCCTTTTAAGAACTTTCCTAATTTCTTCATTCTCTTCGTTTCTATGCTTATCTGTTTCAGTCGCACACTGAATCACTCTTTTATCATCACATAAGATTTTTGCATGGACAGGCTGGTTTCCACGACGAATTTCTGACATACTGCACCTAACTTATTTCAAATAATAACAAAAGAACACAAGCGTGTTGTATTCTGTAGAAATACTGTCGACCATTCAGTTCCTTACAGCAACGCATGGGGTTCTTTAGTGCCAAAGCACTCAAAAAAAATCAAGAGAGACTCCAGTCTCCTCTCGAAAATACAAGGATCTGAAACAAAATCAGTCTCGGGACTAGGGTAGAAGTCATACTGAGAAAGAATGAGGCAATTAAACGTATCCAATCTGGGCTGTCGCGGAAAGGGGTGATGATCCTATTGTGGCCTGCAAGATCATCCATCAGGTAAATTACACATACAAACCCTGCTTGCAAAATGGTGGTCATCGTCGGGAAACCACACCGGGATAGCATGTCAGAAGGCTGACACAAGGCTCGGTTCTAACGTTTTCTTTTTGTGAGTATTTGCTTCATGGAATGCCTTACCACGAGATGCAGTCCCGGCCCCTCGAGAAAACTTGTTCAAAAGGCGGTCAAACAGTCACGTCATTTCACATGGTTTACCACAGATGCACTCAAGAAGCTACTTGCCCCACCAGCCCACCACCAACTCCTTCCTACTCACCACTCATCACCTCTCGTATTGACATACCTACATCATCTACCGGCCCTTATCTAGAAACTAAACCGGTACTATCTATTTCTACCTTTCTGGCAATTCCTAATATTTTATCATTCCTCTCCAAGTATTTACACAACCGAGAATCACGAAAGGCCCCGAACCTTCCTAACAACTTATGGCTTTCTAACCAAATAAACCCAAAGACTGCAATTACCAACCCACAAGTTATTCACCTCACCAGAGCCAAAAGCAAGAGATCAGAGAAGACTTCTTTGTTGGCTATATGAGAAAACCAAACAAACGAAAAAGGTCTCAAGACCTAAGCACAAAAGATAAAAAAGTATCAATTTTTCACACTCTTCACTTTCAATATTGTCAATTTTTTCTCCAAGTACTTTTGTTTTAACTGTCTATATCTTGACTCATTCAGAAATAGCATTCGAAGTGCGTATTTGGTATTCGTGGTCTCCACGCAAAACGCTGTGTTTACCTTATCTCAACTTGAAAATGAAATATCTGGTCATTTAAAGCATCAGCAAAATTATCAATAGGATTCGGATCGATTTCCAGCAATGTCTTCTCTACCAGTTGAGGAAGAGACCTCATTCCTAAGAACTGTATTTCTCCTTAGCTTTTTACTTAACCCTTTCATGTTTAGGAAGACTTTATATGTCTCAGCTGCTTTTCACATGGAAGTTCCGAAAGGCTATGCTTGGCTGCTGAGGGTTTCGGTAATCGCATGTGTTCTTTGGAAATTATTTCAAGAGAAGTATGTTTCTAAAACTAATTGTGCATAATAGAAATATGTTTATCCTGCATTTCCATGCACCAGTTTTATATTTTTTGGAAACTCGATGCAAAATACTGACACATACAACTTCGTACACATTCTTACTCATTGTCCCAGTTATAAGGATTGTAGACCGGTTGGTCTGTTTTATTCCTTCCAAAGATATTTCTGTGGAAATTTCATTGAACGTGTTGACAGAAGCTGCTGATGCTTCTTGCCGAGATAAGGGGTTTCGGTCGCTCTCCACTTGTTGGGAGAAACGCAGATTTACGCTAAGTCGATTCGACAGCGGTTTTTGGATTTTCTTGTGACGCCGTCGGAGAAAATTCTTACAGAGGAGAAAAGATACCACATATCAGTACCAAAGTCATGATTAAGGATACAAAGTGACAGGATGAGATCATCTCCCTTCCTACGGCAATACAGTGGGAAGAAGTTTAGCCAGTCTAGTCGTTCCTATGAAATCCACATGATTTGGTATGAAACGATCTTGCAACCTTAAGCAGTTATTCAGTGTAGGTAAAAGTTTATGGGTGTTTATGGTTATCTTCAATACATTGTCTGAGTTCAAATAAATCAACTTATGGACAGCTGGACATGAGAGGCTAGTAAACCGAGATATACAACTAGCCTGTAAATTTTCCGACCTTACTTTCAAGTCTAGTGAATTGTGCAGTAGATTCTACGCCATACTTCTGTGTTACTTTTTATTATTTACGTCTCTTCTATTTTTTAAAATATCATGTCAAATGTTACTTATTTGCACTGAACGTAGAGAAGTTGGCAATTAGATACTATCGGATCTCTTAACTTTAACAGATGTTTAGTCTCATGTAATGTTTTATTTTATGCTACAAAGCTCAACAAAATCTTATTTCAGCGTCAAGAAATTACCTAAAACGAAGGTTCTTATAGTTTCAGCTAAATGTATTATTTCTTTAGTTCATATTTTCTCCATCTCAAATTATCTGTGTAGATTTCATCCCACATTTTAAGTACTTTGGCATCACTTGTAACACCAGAGTGTGGAGGTAAATCAATTATGGTCAAGTTGCCCCTTACAGTTATTTAGAACCAAGACGAATCCTCAAACGTACTATCTACATTTTTTTACCTGTTACAGTCACCTCCACCAAATATGCCTCCTTGCGTTTTTGTGCTGGATCAGGCCCTTTCCGTTCGAGCACTTCAAGAAATGCTTTCGATTCAACATCAAAACTCAGATGTAAGTCATATGTTTGACGTGTTATTTTGCAATGGTTCAGCTGGCACTGACTATTTGTATATTTTGACTCAAAATGGTGACATGTATTAGAAGTTCCAATGAGTCAACTGATAGTCGCTGCTACGCAGTAACTCCACTTTTTCCACCGAATTACATCTCATGAAACAAAACTACTTCCAGCCTCAAAATGAGGCCTATATAGTTTTGCTATCTTACGTTTACTTTGCTATGCCAAATCTAATATGGGTGTACAAGTTTATATCACTCAATACGTTCCGATTCAGTACTCAGTGATAAGTATATTAGGTCGGATATCCTGTGTTAATCATCGCAGTAGGAGGCACTGTGAAGATCTAGTTTCTGTTTAAACGTGTTCACCAGGGCACCTGATACCACTTACTGAAGTAAGGAGTTCCAGTGGTCGACTGTTCAGTGGACAAAACCCTGACTCGCACTAAGTCAATTCCGTCGTGATTTTTGAACATTCTTGTGATGGTCGTGAGAATAGTCAATTTTAGCAGGAGGGGAAATATAAAACATACCAGAACCATTGTCATTATCAAGAATAGAGAATATGAAAATGAAGTTACGTATTTTCCGACAAGACAGTAGGAACGAAATTTCCTCATTTTTATTATTCTTTACGGAAAAGTTTGGATAAAACAGCCACAAGTTTAGAGTATGTTCTTCGAATACGCTCAAGTACTTTGGCATCCAGTTTCAAGTAGAAATTAGCTACTTGAATTCGGTGTGTTAAGTTTCTTCTTACTTAGGTAGAACAGTATACCCTGAGCAAATTCTAAACTTTTGAAAGCTCTTGATAAACATAACACATAGAAACCTTTCATTTAAGCTTCTTTGCGGCTTGTGGAGGCTTTCACATCATGGTTTATAGGGATATCTAAGCCAGGAGTAGTGGTGTTACTTCAATGGAATGCTGGAAACAATTAACATGACCAGTGTCCATTATTGCGCTTTAGTTAGAGATGATTTCCAGGAGCCAGTATTTGGACAAATTTACCAGTTTATCCATATCCGCTTACAGTACATACCTGCTGGCATTAAGCCGTATGGAAAAAGAAACTTTTGAAGCACCAGGGAATAGGAGGATAATTGCGAATCTGAGGTTATTCCTTGGCACATAACAGAGAGAGGAAGTAACCCAGGATTTTACCCTGAAAACTTCCATTCATCCCGGGTTTTTATTTGTGTGTAGTCCCATAAACCTTTACCCTGTACCTCTTATCGTATAAAATGTCCCTAGTCCAGTTTTATAATGCAGCACGAGATCCAAAAGAGGAGAACTCTTTTAGCAACTTCATATGAGGAGTCTTGTCAAACACCTTACTGAATTCTAGGAATAAGGCGTCTATTAACGGGTCACTATCATGAGCTGCTATCCATTCTTTCGCAATAAAATTTGCCAGACAAGAGCGTCTTGCGGAAAATTGAATGGCTGCGGTGCCAAAAGATCACTTGAGTCAAAACTGCAAAGTACCTTATGATGAGTTATTCCTTCGAAAACCCAAACAACCATATCAGTTCGGTTTGCAAAAGGATATTTCAACAATAACTTATGATTATTGGCCTTAAAATCTGTACCGACTGATCTATCCCTTATATTCAAAATATCTGTAAGCCTCTCAATAGGTTTAGAATGAACGACGCCGTTACCTAACTAGTATGTTCAAAACCCTAAAGTTAGTGGTAAGTGTACATCATTTACTAATGGGAACAATAATACAGTGGAAGAAAATATATTGGATTCGTATTATCTTCACATTAGTGAATTAAAGTCAAATCTGGTAATGACGGTTTGTGTTCTAAATTATGATGTGTTGCACAAGTTAAATTTTGAGTCAAAGAGACTGAAATAACGTTGAAGGTTGAACATTTTCGAAGCAACTATCTGAAGCTAAAACTATAAGCTTTATTCACTGAATATGTGGAGCACCCATGCCCGACGTTTTGGCATCTAATGATTATTCTTCAGTTATCCACATGTCTCAATAGAAAGTTATTTGCAAAGTAAGATGGATCTTGTTAGGTTAGCCAAAAAGTAGATATTTCTTGCTTTGACTTCATCTTAAAACTATCCACTCTGCATGTACCGCATTTATTTACTTCTGAGTTAAATGATCGCATGTTGTGGTCATCACAACATAAAGTATCACGCTATCACCCTTACGATTTACAACCTCACCCTACTTGATGCAGGAATACGCCGAGAAAAGTGGAGTAAAATCGAAATCTTTTACAACCTAGATTTCAGTAACAGCCACCATATCAGGAATTAGTTCATATACTGAACTCTCCAGCTTTGGCATTTCATCCCTAGCGCTGCAGATGTGGGTGTAAAAGAAGTTGAAGAGTCCCTCAACTCATATGTGCAGACTTCGAAAGCATTTGTTTCTGAGACTTGACAACCCAAAATCCCAATATTCTAAGATTATGCACTCCATAATTTTGTCATGTTTTCACTTCGACGAATGCTTCTCTTCTTTTTATCCGATTCTTGAGAGACCAGTTTGATTGGTTGTGGATTCCCAGTTTGTGTAGATTTAATGCATTATTCAGTCCGTCTCTTTCTTCTTTTTTGCCTAGAAAAACCCCCTAAGAATCCCCCACCCAGTGACTTTGTCATCCTTTTTCATAACTTAACTAAGTTGAAGATATGTACTTCCAAATACGTTCCCTGTGGAAAATGTTTGATGACTGACCCGATCACCTTCTGATCCTTTGCATGGAGTATTAAGGTATCTCTAGTAGATCATACTACATGGTGATCTAAGGTCCTTGGATCTTGTGATGATAGCCTTCAAAGTCTTCCCAAAGGGTGTGATAACCTTAACGGTCTGAATGCGAACGTTTGAAGGGTTCTTCGAATCCCTTCACGGTAATATCCAGTCAAATTTATTTTTCACCTCCGTAGCATCGATTTCTCTCATAAGGATAGGACCACAGCCCATTTATAAATCAGTAGGCATTAAGGTTGATGTACTAGTCACCCTTGGTTTCCTCTTGCCTCTGTTACGCATCGGAACTGGTGTCAAGGTATCCCTCACTAAATCGATGTCATGCAACATTAGTTCAACGTTTTTTTTCTTTCTAGGTTTTACTTGCGATAAAAATTGCTGTGTCATTATTTCACTCCGTAATTGTCTGATAGTTATCGTTCATATATGCGTGTCTTTCTGCCAGCAGCCTTTCAGTAGCTTCCTGAACTACAGCAGAAACAGGCTTGCAGCAAAGGTTGCACAACTTCGGAAAAGCTAACTTCTTGCGATGCTAATATATGACAGGTATCAATCTGTTGAACGCTTTGTGGAGTTAACATCCACAAGCATAACAGTTCATACCTTCATCAAGTGGGTAATGGGAATTAGGTCGACTATGAACGTTTATGGCTAACTAACTTGAGTAGAAATTCAGACTAGAACTGGTTTAAACGTTTAACATCGGTAGACCAAATTATCGGAATGCAGCAAAAACCAAATTCCTCTTAACAATATCTACACCCAAAAATGGTTGAAAAACTGTACTTCGACTGAACGTACCCAGTTTAAATTAAACCAGAAGAACAGTGGTTGCGATAAGCACAACAAAAGTGACCTACTACAAAGTTTTAAAAACAGACCTTTACAAAGCCAAAAACGTTTCCAAAAAGGCTACCTCAAGATTCCAAAAATGATAAAAACTCAAATAATGATTCAAGTGCTTTAAGTTAAAATTTAAAGGAAAGCCTCTGATGCGGCTTACACAACAAAAATCGGATTTGTCAAAAACATGGAAAAAGTAACCTTCTGTTTTGAAAGACAAGGAGTTAAAGCAAACGCTAGAATGTGCATGTCTAAATAACAAGCTCAACTAAACCCTTCAGTAATCCAATACCTGAACAAACTTATACCTGTCACTTTGCGGATTTAACAACTACAGGTCTGTTAGTTGCCAAAACCTTATTAACATACGAATCCTTAAATAACAGATTCAACGTCATAGCTGTTAACCGTTAGGATTCTCTTAGAGCACATTACATAACAGTCTATTCTTCACAATATGTGGACTATGAAGTATTTGAAGCACATCAGACATTATAATCTTTAAGTAGAACTTTTCAAAATTAGTTCACTAAGTGTGAACTACAAGAGCTAAGGTGTTGAATGAATCATTTGTTTTGGATCATTAAAGATCAGTCTGCCCTACTCATAGAAACGCATCACTAGGATAACGTAAATTTTATGAGTTTTAAAATAATTTATCTTGTTATCTTACAACAGATTGTGGAGGATTTGTTGACTAAAAGTGAATAAGTGTACTGAACGAAATAATAATTCAGTATTGAAAAATAGCTATAATAAATCCGTTCTAGATGCAACAGTTATGTGACCAAATTAATCATTATAATAGTATTTTAATCTTATCAAACAGACTTGATTCTGTAAGCAAATTAATACAAATCTGTGCATGTTAACACAGTTTATATATGCCTGAAAGTAGGTGATAAATTTAATCAGAAGTGTTGATTTTTCAAAATAAATAAAAACAATTCAAAAGAATGAAAAATTATTGTGCACTTCAAGTTTATATCATGTTCAATTATTGGAAAAAAGTAGAAATGTAAATCTTAATGTTACTGACGTACCAGACAGATAAAGTTATATCATTCTTTAAAGTGCAAATAAATATTATCCATACTAAGATCATAAATGTTTGTCTCACTGAACAGAGAGTAGAGAAGAGTTAAAAGGACTTCTATCATTAGGAGTAAGACAGGATATTAAGACAGAATTTCTTTTGAAAAGGTATGCATAAGAAGAGTGCAACAAAGAAGAAAATAAAATTTGTCTTTTAAGATCAGTGGGATAACATTTTGCTTACAATATCTGTAACGCATAACCCCGGCTAGCTTAATTTAACTCTCAAAGTTTTCACCATATGAATTTGATATTAGTCAACTTTGCATCTGAATATCTTCATGAAGTCTTGTATCATAACACAGGTTATATTGAAATATGCGTGATATCTTTTATTTACCAACTTTGCATTGATCTGACTTCATCTATCTAATTTACACCAGTGGGTGTTTTCTATCATGGAGATTGACCTGTACAGCTATCAATCCTCTTTAGATTTTTCAACAAGAATGTAGTATATGTATGATTGTCATCTCATATTAGGCAATCAGTTCTCAAGTCTTCAGCTAAACGTTGAATGGGAACTATTAGATAGCACAGACGTCATGAACAGTGTGTTCCCTTTATTGATGTAACAAGCAATTTTAATATGATGCAACATGAAGTACCACTATTAGTTTGAAGACGCTAGAGGAAAAACTCTTCTAGTGGCACTGTAGGATTACTGTAGATCATACCTCTTTCGACTAACTCATTGTTATACCTGATTTTATCTAAAAATATTTCAGATATCACGCTCTTCCTCAAAACAAAACCACACTGCCAACTTCAAAGCGTCGAATTACTTTGTATGATTACTGATGAGTAGCTGAGAAAATGTATACTGCTAACCACTTGGCAGTTTATTGAAAGTGCTCTTAAGCAGCCATCTTTATTTCTTGTCAGTTAGTTTTCAAGAATGCACTGAAAGTTGTTTTGTCTACTACTCCAGATAAAATAAATTGTTGCATAGACGTGATTGAAATGATTCATCATTAAAATACTACATGATAAACGTTTCAGAAAAACTTTACTCTGATTTTGTCAAAATATATGCTATCACCACTCAGTTAACTTGATTATATATTCTCGTCAACAAATTAATTCACTGCATAAGCTTCTTGAGTAAGCAACATTTAGTATAGAATAAAAATCAGATAAATAAACGTTTATTTTTTTATAGGGTGGTGGTCAGTCAGGTCACAGAACCTTGCTATATGGACACGCCATTCGACTGAAGCATAGAGAGAGTAATATGGTAAGTTCTTTATGAGACATAGGTCTCCTGAATACTCAAAGTTTAAAATTGCTTTTAAAAATGAATTTTATTTGATCTCTCATAACAATCTTTTGAAGTTGTTTCTAGATCCTTATATCAGATATTAACCGTATTCACTTCCACAAGACAATGAAAATCTATGGAGTAATAGCGACTTATGCAAGGTGCTTCTATCCCAATCCTATATATTTATTTGCATTCAGTTTATCTGTCTTCTCATATACGGGTTTTTGATTAGTATAGTAACCCTTTCTACTTCTTCACATCTCTCTGCATGAATGAACTTATTGACTTTGGGGTATTAGTCCGTAGCTATCCATAAGATACTTTGCAGCCTTGTTGATCTTGTAAGTATTCGTGTCCCATTTCTCTCCATCTATCCAACATATTTTCGTGTTAACTTTCTGCTCAACAAACTGTTTTAAAGTGTAGCAATTTAGATCGATGTACAACTATGTCAAGTTCTATGTTTTCATATCTACTCAGCTTATCTTCATTTTGCTTGTGTAAGTACATCTGAAACTCATTTATTTCATCTTCAGATCGTGTTTTCAGCAATAAAAAATAATCTGGTTGCACTTTCATTTTTAACTAGATAAACATTTAGATTGTCATTCATTTATGTTTTTATCACAGCTGATGTGTTACTGTTTAATTACTTCAACCGTTTATATAAATTAAGAACATTAACAGAATATTTTCCTCATCCAGTTTTCTAAGAGGTGGCATTCTTCCTACACAACTAATATGCATAAGAGGTTGACGAACGTCAGTATCTCACTATTTCCAGAGAGAATGTAATTTAGACATTTCTGCATACTACAAGTTACCCTTCATCAAGTTCAATATCTGGCTTTAATAAATTCTATGCGTTATTACAACAAACCTTGGTATAATTCACTCTAATAAGTGGGTTATAGAAATGTCACAAAGTGCTTTATCATTATTCAGCACAATTCATCCTTGTGATTGTTAACCATCAGATTTCAAATTGACCTCTAAATTACTAGTTTTGATGTCCACAGTAAAGTTTCTAGTGATAACTGTCTACTCATAGCCGACAAAAAATAAGGTCATTATGTTCATTCGCTCTCACCTGACCTGTGTATATGTGACTTATTACATCTGACAACCTTCTTTCTATTTTTTTAAACAAAGACATTATCTTTACAGCTTAGATTGTTTTAAGAAGTAACAACTTTTTAAGTACCAGCTGACGATCTACCAAAATTTTTGGGCTTTGTTTGTTCAACTGAGTCGTCAAAAACTATTGCCGTTTTTTCGCATATCACCTCACTGAGTGCTAACCGAAACCAAGAGTGTCTGAATGAACTGTGAAGTTCTCAAACGAATAGGATTTATTATTAACTTCTGAGTGCCAACTTTTTTCAGACTTCGCGTCAGTCTGTCCTCATCGTACACGTTTAGATCCATGTAGCTTGCCTCCTTCTAGAGGATAGCATATATATATATATATATATATATATATATATATATATATATATATATATATATATATGCTATCCTCATTTGCCTTCTTATCTTTGTAAACCGTTACTCATCCTGTTAGACTGTTGATCCTCTTGTACCATTTTTTATTAGTTTATCTCTAAAGCTTTCAGTATTTGGGAAATTTGTTAGAAAATCAGTGACTGTAGACTCTTGGTGGCATGAAAAATCCATTACATTGGGACTGATGTATTCACCTCTTACTGTCTTTATAACTTTTAGCATTTCACCAGCCTGTGTTATCTCTTTATCAAACATGTTGATTTAAGTATCATTCTTTTTCACTCCATTGTCTCCTCTTGTACTGTCCGTTTGCACTTGATATTTTGGCAAAGCTACTGACTGTAGTTCCTAAATAGCAAACAGAAGGGCAGCATTAAACAGTTCGTCTTTTTTCGATTAATAGTCTCTAAGAAATTAGGTGAAGTATGTCTATTCAGTGCATTTACAAGTTTTTAACAATTGACTGATGATCACTAATCTTTGTGGGTGTGTCAGTATTGAAAATGATATAGTGCGATACCACCTGATATCACAATGTATTTTGGGGATGATGTAATATTGAACCGTATCATCATGTTGATTACTAACTCCAAGTATACGTATTATCCTTCAGTTTCCTCTTCACATTTTGCATGCAAAGCTGTGCGTTTCCACTACCTACTAGTTTCACTGATACTATATCAGCGTGTCTAACAAAGTGATGAATTTCACCATCTTTTAATTTGGTTTCTTTGTTCGTGTGATATGTGTATTTTTCCCTTCATAGTTAAACGTGATGCTTTTTGTCACAGTGGAACGTGTTTTCTAAATTTGTAAGTTTACAATGTACATGGAGCTCTATATGAACCAAGTATTCTATGGCACAAATTAAAATTCTATTAATTTCTTCTGCTAACTCGTAGTAATTACATAATTCCCTCTTCTGTCACAACTTTTCAGTATCTCTCATGCCTTTCGACAAGTACATCACAAGATAAATTAGCTTTCGACGTTGGTCTTCAACAAAATGCTGAAAGTGAGTCATTTAAAATGATCATTTCTGAGAATTTTTAAAATACTATATTTAAATATTTGAATAATATACTTTCTGACCCAGAACTTCCGAATGTAGAAATATCTGGCAGTATGATATATGCTGCATTCTGTCTAGATTTTTCTAACCCAAGGTAACACAGTACCTAAGATGAATAATTATTCATGTGATAAACCATATGCTAGTGATAATCAGATAATTTCCACTACAAAATAGTCAATAGGTAGCTGAAAATATGGCAGTGGTGGACCTGATTGGGAAAGAGATCATGCGTTACCATGGTTTGGAAACATTTCAAAAGCGACATGATTGCTATTCATTGATTTTTTATTCTTGTGGTTCATTGACTTTCTAACTTCCTTACATCGACAGAGTTTGATTTTTAATAGTTGTCGCATTTCGATAGAAAATTTTTAAAATTATTTGATGGGAGCTCACGGACAAAAGAAAAAGTTGTAATGAATCGGTTTCCCCGTCGAAGAGAGAAAATAGGAATATTTTTGACAAGCAGTTTTTTCTGACTTGATAGTCTACATGAAAGTTAATGCTTTATAGTAGATCAGATAGAATTACTGAAAGGAAATTTCCGTAAAAATATTATTAACAGTTATCAAAATTAACACGGATACACACAGTAACCAAATCTCTTGATTGTAACTATTTTTAGCTTCGTAAGTTAGTGATGAAATGCATTTTTCTTCTCACTTATCCCTTAGTATCCTTCCGAGTTTCGCCTGTCATCCATCACATAACATCTCCCCTGATTATTCATCACGAAGCTATAAATTCACTTGAGTTTTATATCAGAGTACGCTGAAAGAGGTAATGCGCATAACATAGGGATTCGGACTGCATGCAAAATAAAATAATTGTTTTCTTCAACGGGACTGCAACAAAATTTCGAAACTCAGCTTATGTATGAGTACATGGGGGTTAAGATCACACCTGATATACTTGAATAAATTAAGAACCACGTAATTGGTCTTCGATAAAACCATACTTTAAAAAATCCCAAACTGCTGCCACATATTTACTAAAAACGTATGGCTAGTAACTGTTTCCCCAAGTCGGAAGCAGAAATACATCGTTTTCTAAAGGGGAGTTTATTTCAGACAACTTTGTGTGAACCTTGTTTTTTTTAGGAAGAGTTTTTCGGAACTCATGGTGCAACAGTAGCACAATTCTTCTTCATTACTTTTATATACTAGTATATACTTATTATTTCGAAAGATTTTCTTAACCTTCTTCACAATAAGAACCGATGTAAGAATGTCTGTACAAAGAGGCGATGCACATATTACCCTCCAATTTCCTTCGGTAGTATTTGCATAACTTTCCAGTCTTTTGTGTTGGAGTAAACCAGGTTTTTTGTAAAAACGTCGTAATAATTGCCGTTTAAACAATATCTAAGGCTTTTATTGGTTAAAATAATCAGAAATTTTATCAGTGATGTATCCACACTAAATTGTAAACTCAAGTTGACTTCAAAGGTAGCAGAAAGAAAAAACTTATGGAATATATTGACTAGAAGTACGCGACAAGTAGTCAATCTTCTGTCACTTAAAAACTATCTTATCCACCAAAGAATATGAATTCATATACATATTGCTAAAGACAAAAGAATAAACAGTTCATTAGATTTTTCCAGATAAGTCAATTATGAAATGAATGCTTAAACTACATCAATAAGCTTCAAATAAAAGTAATTCTGTTTGAAATGTTCCCCTAAATCAAATTTATTTAGTACATCATCATTACATGTCTGCTTAACTCAAAAATGCAGATTTTTATCCCTGAATAAACAGATTTAACAACAATTGTGGCCTATTTGCTTACAGTGTGCACATAACGACCAGGAAATGTCATTGAGCGGTATGTTAGAACTATGTGATTTGTTCTACTGAACTTTATAACACTATAGTGAGAGAAATAGAAGAGGTATAGAAAGACAAGAAGTTATCAGGTCTAAAGTTATAAGATACTAGAGATTCAGAGTAACATTGTTTTAATGAATGCATCTTGGTATTTTCGATAAAAGAGATCTATAATGATAGACCTAAACTACTGCCTTGTGACGAAAAAGGTCGGGTTGATTTATCAACGTTCGTTCCTTTAAAAATTACCATGCAAACGTGATTACTTTAAAGTGGTGTGAATTTTTGCTTCAACGAACAGTATTAGAGTATAAAATCTCCATAATTTGGATAGATACACGAAACATCATTTTGAAGTTCTGAAACGCTTTATGTGGCCCTTAATCGCCTTCTTATATTCTCTGTTTTTATAGTCACAAACACAGTAAACAATATATATTTGCTTACTTTTATAAAAGACATAAAGCTAATCAAAAATATTGTCATTTAAAGGTGTTACCCTCCTTGTGTTTCGCTTTCAAACTGGGCAGTTGACTATGATGTTACCTTCCTTATATTTTAAATACAACCAGTTGAGTGATTTCAGTTGATTTAGGCCTCCAAAAACTTCGTCGTTTAGAGGGGTTGAGAAACAATTAGTTCGGACCAATTTTTTTACATGGTGCACTTGCTTTAGTCAGTTTACTCTGTTGTATATGATAATAACTCTTTAAGCACCAGTCCCAGTTAGTGGTTTAGATAAACATTTTGATAATCAAAGAATGTATTAGCTCTCAAAGCAGATTCGGTTTCTAGAAATGAGTGAGCGTTTCCCTTGAACATCCAGTATTCATACTCCGAGCGAAGTTCTATCAGCTTTAGTTCTATTTATCGACAAACAGACATCAGAATATAATCCGTTACATTATGTAAGTATAAAACTTGGGCGCTGTGGTAGAATGTAATTCCATATTATATTTGTTTATTTGATATATAAACAAATCTAATATGGCATTACATTATGTACCTCTTATTTCTCGTTAAATGTTTTAAGAAGCCATAGACATGCACTTCGTATCCTTAATTTCGCATTATCATAGGCATGTGCTGTTCATTTGTGACCACCATGTAACTTGACTTGTGATGATAGCTTAGGTAAGATTAGGTTTGGATGAAGTAAGGGACAGCCAGAACAAGATATAGCACAAAACTACAGAGATTATGACTGTTTGTTTTAGCTATGTGTGAAAGTATAGGCTGCATGGTCCGAGTCCTGGAGGCGAATATATGGTTGCAGACTTTCATTTGTTTGGCTGGAAATCAGTCATGATGATATAGATGTGTTCACACTTAGCGTTTAACCTGTGAATACCAAAAGTATGTCATCCACTGAAAACAAGCTTAAAAACTTAATTCACCTACGAAATTTATATCTTCAAATACAACCCAATTTATTTCTCTTAGTTGTGATATTGCAACCTTAAGTTGATGGGATTCGATCGATGCTAAGATATAAACCATCACTTTGACCGCTTTTCATAGATAGACCAATGTGCCTGCGTGGCTCCTGTGAAGACTTTGTTCCGACCAAGATATCTCAATGAAATCTTGTGATTACGAACATGAGCAAGCTAAACTAGAAACACTGGAACAAATTAAGTTAACTAGGATTCGTAAATACTCTGTATTTGTAAAAGAAAATAGGAGGGAGACTTAAGTGTTAAAATTTCTGTGGCCATCCTCAAACACAGCATTTCATTGCATACGAATTTCTTCACAATGAACTAACTATAATTTTATAGTTGATTTACTTAAAAATTATTCATTTTTGATGAATTTTGCCTTAAGCTTCCACTTTATGTATTCTTATTTTCAAGCTGAAGCATGCTGGTGGACAATACATCCAGCATCGAAACAACGTTCGGTTGGAGAAAAGGTTCGCATTGGAGATGATCTTATTCTGGTCAGTGTATCATCAGAACGATACCTGGTAAGTGAACAGAAAGACTTTTGTCTATTCTCTGAGAGGAAATTTCTAACAATAGTAGCAGTACTGAAATTTTACTAGTAGTACACTTGTTTTGAATAGATACACCACTATGCACAGGAAAAAAACAATTTTTCCGGCAAATTCTGTGACTTATTGGCACTGTAGTGAATATCATGTTTGTAGCGATTATTCACTGAAAGTGGCTGATTTTAAGCTTAGTTACGCCTAATTTATTTTTCAGTGAGTTCCATACCATGACTGCGAAATCACGTTTTGTACTGAATAGGTATGTGGCTAACTGATAATGGATTTTTGGACATAATCGTGCACCCTTTTAGTCGTTACAGTTTATAAGGTCATTTGTAGCATTTATAAACAGTACGTCATACAGTAGTTAAAAGCATATCAAAATTTCTTACCACTGTGAAAGAACAAATGAACTCCCCTCATCGGGCTTGTGCACATTCGTACAGTAGGCATTGAATCACACCTGTTGTGTGACTGCTAATAATGCTACCTGGTAATCCAAACTTCGGTCGCTGAAGATGGGATTGAACCCGTGGCCCGTTTGTTGGAAATCAAGTGCCTGGACCAACTAACCGTAAGTCGCATTGCCAATGTTATTAAGAAAACCATTGAAATTAAGGTAATGCTTCAACGTTATATCCTCCTTCTCTGGGACTGTCAATCGATAAACACCAACAGACCCTTTTAGAATAGGAACTATTACCGTAGGTTTTAAATGGACTGATCTCAAGATTTCAAAACCCGAAGTCACTAGACTAATTCCTAGTTTTCATCACAGGTTAGTCTAAGTATCAGCGTTTGGAATCAGTCAAACAACTTGCAGCACTGAAAACGCGTATGAGAAGTTTTATGATGCGAGAAAATGTCATTCCAGTAGTCTGACGTTTAGAGTTTGTTAGTGGGAATATGCAATTAATACTGAAGGAAAGGAGGTAAAACTGTCTATAATACTGAACCAGGGAACAGAGTTCAGGTTACAGGTCACTTTACAGTAAAAGTACATTAGCAATTCATGGGAATGTATTACTACACACAGCTAGTTACAGAATTTCTACTGAATTCATCCATTTACTCTTAATGTAGATGGCGTTTTATAAATGCGTAACTGGTTACTCTGTTTTGGGGAAATAGCAGTAGTCAGTATTTCATAGGCATGCAGTTTCCTTTCAGAAACTGCTTACGACCCAGTTTTTACCAACTGCAACAAATTTATAGAGTTCCGAAATTACTGTTTCTTCGTTTAATACAATAACCAAGTTTCAGTTATTTTTGTGTTAATCATTCAAAAAGAAACAATTATAAGTTTTTTCTCAGTTATTATAGAATCGTCGTCTGAGAAGAGTTTGCGAAAACGATAAACGAAATTTTAGACAGGATAACCTACTCTTCCTTATTCTTGACAAAATTATTTATCCACAAGGCTAAAACCAACAAATTATTTCAAGGGGGATTTTTCCAGCTCTATATAAAAATGAGATTTTCAAAACTATTTTGGTAGGTTATCATATCGTACTTTACACAACTCAAAAACGACATGCAAGATTGTGCTCTGAGTCGTATATATTGTTTTTGCGCACATGACACTACGTGATTGCTTAAAACTCGAGAGTTGAAGAGGAGTTCAAATCTGTGACTCTTTGATCGAAAGCCAACCACTTAGGTCACTAATCCGTAGCCCTACACATCAGATAACTAGCATGACAGTCATACTATCACTACGAAGATTCCGCAATAATTTAGAGTGAAAAGAACCTTATAGTTATTCTTTTATTGAATGTTTAACACAACGGGTAACTGAAACTTGGTTATTGTGTCAAGCGAATAAATAGTGATTTCAGAACTCTATAAATTTATTGCAGTTGATAAAATCTGGTCTCTAGTTATGATTGTTTTGGGTCATGTTATGACCACCACCAATAAGCTTCCTATTAACTGTACATTATACACCCATGTTTCGGAATGTAGTTAAAACTGTAGGTGAAAACACTAAAAACAAGGCTGAAGGGAAAATATTAGCTTTCATTTCCTCACAGAAATTCACCTACTGAAAAAGTGTTTATGAGGAGAATCAAAATAGCTATAGATTATATAGTTACCAGTCTTTCCAATGATCACATCAGAAATTTCGAGAAGAAATAGCTCTGTATAAGTGTAGAACTTTCACCGTTATGCAAATTACAGCATCTGGTGATGAAAGCTGTAGATAATCAGGTATTTACAAAGCTACGGGGCACAACAAATGAATTCGGATATGGAAAAAGCATGAGAATGAGAAATAGTAGGTAGGTAATCCCATAATACCATAAAAACTAATCTTATCGCTTTCGTCAAGCCATCACACATTGTTTGGACACAATTATTTGATGATTCCACTATACACTTTTCTTTTTAATCTTGTTTGTAGTCGTCAGAAATTGACATCAAGAACATTTTATGAAGCATTGTGTTCTATATTCAATCAAGACTCACAGGAAAATTTAACAACAGTCTTGCCTCAAATAAAAGACAGTGATATGACTTATACATAAGTCTCAGTTCTAAGCGAATTAGAATGTTTTCAAAACCTTTATAATGTATCTTCACAGAAGAAGGATAAAATTATTAGCCGGTATCGATTACACCACTTACTTCAAGGCAATAATCTGGTAGCGATCAAATGAGGAAAACTTTCCAACATATAAGGTTGTTAACCGTTTGCAGGACTCGTGTGTGGGGGGATTGTGGATATCTCATCTTCTGCTCAATGTTATATGATAGGAAAAGTTACTGAAAATATTAGACGATTTGGTTCAAAATCGATTCTATGGTGGAAGTGTATTCGCTAGTTTCCTTACTATGAACAGTAAACATGTTGTTCTGTACCCATTTATCCCCTTATTAATCATGCTTTTCCCTCCTTTTGTTGACTCTCTATCATACTATTGTTAAGTGTGGTAGCTGATGCATTTCTGTGTCACTTTCTACGCTGATTTGTCTATCTAACGCTAATTTTCCAACTTATTGGGTCAAAGTATTTACAGCCCTAATTTGAAGTGCTCGACTTTTTTCCCTATTAATTGGGTTATAGAACTAACTATTCAAAAAAACTGGCAGCCAATTTCGTTTTGAAAGCAAATTGAATGTTAGAGGTATTTTCATTTCACTTCATACGATCAACCATAAAACTGTCTTATCTATCCAATTCCCACTGGTCTTTCTGTACCAGTACTAATCACCTATTTTTAGTTCATCGATAGATGATCGATAAGTTTTTCTTATGAACCCTAACCAAATTTGGACATTTATCGATGGCATAGCTTTTTTCTCAACAGACTTCAATTAGCGAACTACTAGTTGGGAGATAAATCCGTAATAAGTGCTCCTATGGCTGCGTGTATACAAATAATTTCTCTCACCCATCTGAATGTAATATATACGGTGCATAAACACACTTTAGTACCTACAGAAAACAAGCGTGGGCAGTGAATGTTTAGGTCAGAACTTACATTCACTTTTCGGGCTGGCTGACGACTATACACATACAATGTATGTGCATGTATGTAAATAGAATAATTTGCCTTGGGATGGACAGTATGTAATGCTTTGGAAAATTCTAATAAAAAGTTGAACAACGATATAAAAGAAATGCGTGCAATAACTTGGAGCTAACCACTTACTTATGCTACATCGCTGTGGTCTTAGGTAATACTTGAACCAAAAGATGTAGTGTTTTAGGATACTGTAAAAATATTTATTGATTATTACACTACATACCATTCAGTTATCATGATAGAATTAGGATTGTTACTTAGTGTTGCTGCTTAATTACGCATTTTTCAGTAGATTAATATTAGTACAAGTGTTCTCTCTCTCTCTCTCTCTCTCTAGATCCCATACTTTGAGGTTAGAAGTGAATAACTAGACTAATTGAATGATGCTAATGAAGTTGATTTAATTGCGTTTTCTGACGGCTAACAAAAAAACTAAGGATTTGTACTCCATCCTATGGTAGACTCGTCAACTGAATGTATATGATTCGACTTTGATATCGTTGTTTCCACTCATATCTGAACCCAACAGTTTTGGCTATATTACTATATTAATTAAAACATGAGTTCGTTTATAGTGAGTTCAAATGGCGACTAATAAGTGATACAGTAAGCTCAATCTCAGCTAAATCATTACAACAGTATTGTTCACTAACTGAACTGTTCAACTAAAGATTATCCTAATTTTATAAACAACGGATTATTCCACAATACATAGTGTAAAGAATACTTTTTTTCTGTAGTGAATGGTGAGGTCAGTTTCACAGCGTAATTGAAAATGTCGCACTTTGTTAGCTCAGCTATTAACTTGTTGCTATAAATTAGGTTTGGGGAGGTACTACTAGTTTTTATCGATTAAGCAGTTTAAGATGCCAAAAAATAATGTCACAACAGATGCAAGACTGTAATAAATGACCACATCATAATTCGAACCATCAAATTCACATGGCCAGAACCATAGAGTCAAAAGCATAGAAATCAGCAGGGCTATATACATTAAGAATAAACAGAAGCAATAATCAAATAGTAATGCGATATTTAGAGACTAAAATTTACCGATTCAGTCACTAGCCATGAAAACTGGCATATTGTGCATGAATTCCCTATAAAGCACGAAATAGGGATCACTTGCTACAAATTCATTAAATAAGATGACTAATTATGCCTGTACCTCTCTGAAGTGTTGACTAGTATTTAACAATGTACATTATTATTACCATTATTACTATCAATACCATTATTGTTATTTGTCCCTTGGGTTCCTCAAGTGGAACATAGGGCTTCGGTAGCACGTCACCATCTCACTCTGTTCTCTGCAGTCTTTTCAACCTGGCTCGATGATTGCCCACAAGCTTTCATTTGATCTTCTCCCTCGGACGCTCAACTCGTTTCTCCTATGGGTTCCACTCGATGGCCTGACTTGGCACATGATGTCCCCAAAACGGTCTTCTCAGTGTATTCCCAGTCCAATCCATCTCCACTTTCTGCGTACTTGTTCTGCGATGGGTTCTTGGTTGATTCGTTGTCAAGCCAAAGTTCCTTGTTGCTTATTCTTATTATTCTGGCCATCTGGCCTTCAGAATCGAGCTTGGGCAGCTGTTGATGAATGTCTGCAGTTTGTTGGAAATGCTTTCGTAAATCGCCAAGTCTCTGAACGATATAGAAACACTGGCTTGACTGACATTATTGTTAAAAATCTGGATCTCGTTCACGCTTTATGTTGAGTGCAGTACATCTCCACACTGATTTCTGATGAATGCAGCAAAGTCTGTCTTGCTTTTCCGATCCTAGCTTTGACATCCTCATCTGTCCCGCCGCCTGTAGTTGAAACGATGCTGCCTAGGTGGCAAGTGAAAGAGACTACTTACCTTAGGTTTCTCCCGTTCATGGTGATTGGTGCTTGTTGTTGGTGGCGTTACTTGGGTGTCTTCATCACCTCTGTCTTCTTTACGTTCATATGAAGGAAGTCTCGTCTTCGCTGCCCTACCTCTTCTGCCAACTTGTTAGTTTTCGCCTGTAGATCTTCGAGTTTGTGCGGCAAGACATTAGACACAAATCAACATGGACGAAATCCAAATCTCCTACCGGGGTTTTCTCATCGCTCCAACCACTGTATGACCATCTTCTTGCTCCTCACACATTGTTGCCTGGTCCAGTCCAGTCCAGTCAACCACAATCAGGAAGATGATCGATGATAGTAGGCAACCTTGTCTTACTCCTTTCTGTCCTCACTTCAAAATCGTCACTAAGGTGAGCTTTCCATTGTGAGTCATTTGGCATTTAGCATCCTCACATGGCATATAGCTGCTGTTGAATGAGGTTGAAAAAGGTTTATGTCACTAAAACCGTAGTGTTGAAGCAGTTGCCAAATTACTTGTCGGTCGACACCATCGAAGGCCTTCTCAAACTCAATGAAGTTGAGGTGGAGAACTGACTAGGATTCTATGATCTGTTCTATGATGATGCGTAGCGTGGCGTTGGAATTTGATCCACACATGATTTGTTCTTCCTGAGGCCAGTGAACCGTCATGTTCCGATCATGATTTTGAGTCCAGAGCAATTTTATTCTCTTCAAGATGATGCGGTTTAATATTTTGCTTGGTGTAGGTGGACAGCAGCATGATTTCTTACCAGTTCTTGCAAACACTGAGGTCACCGTTCTTTGGGATTCTGTCAAGGTAGCACTTCTTCCAATCGATAGGCAGGTACCTTTCCTTCCTTCCAAACCTTCTGCAGCAGTGGCATGAGTATTTCCGCTGTTGTCTCTGCGTCTGTTTTAGGTACTTCCGTAGGACTTCTATCTAGTCCTTTTGCGTCCCCGGATTTCAGCAACTTTGGCATCCAGGACTTCACTTCTGCTTGTGTCAAGGGGCTTGTGTTCATTGACGGTTGTGTGGCTGGGCTGCTAGTGGTATTTCTGCACGAGCTGCATCTGGTTGTGGTGATCGATTCAAGAGTTTTTTGAAGTGGTCAGCCCACTGTTTCCTTTCTTTCTCCTCTTTGGTAACTAGCTTTCCTTCACTATCTTCAACTGGTTTCATCTGTGCTGTGTTGATCTCTTCCCAGATAGTATTTTGGTTATTTAATATAGTGTTGTCAGGTCTCTCCTACTTGCAGCCGGCTCTGTCTCACTTTCAAGTATGTCGTAGAAGTGTCTTTTGTCTTTCCGCGCACTCTTCTTCACTTCTTTGTCCAGTGTTTTACAGGTTGTGTCCAGTTCCTCTTTTTGTTGTTCATCCCTGAACTACACTGAACCGGTTCATCTTCCAGTTCACCACCTTCTCTCCTATGTCAGCTTCCATGTGTCCGTTGAGATCCATTCCTTATCTTGTCTTGTTTCTTCTTCCTTCCTAACAAGGTTATGCAGGTTTCCTTCCATGCCTCTTTCATAGAGTTCCAGTGTCCTTCCATGCAGGTTCCCTCAGGGATTTTGCTAATGTCTCCCATTTTGTCCTGATGAGTGGCGTGAAGATGTCCTTTGTAGTTTCATCCTTCAGTTCAGTTTCAGAATGTTGAACTTGAACTGTGGTCTGCCACAAGCTTTTTTGAAGGCTTTCAACTTGATTTTGAAGGTTCCTTGCACTAGATAGTAAGTGATGTACACTTACATCTGCTTCTCTTCTTCATCTTGTGTCCAGTAGACTGCGTCTCCAATTTCTTCACATTGAGATGAAGTTGATCTGATTTTTGGTGTGTCCTGGTGTCTGGTGAAATCTATGTCGCTTTGTGAATATCCTTGTGTTTGTACGCACTTCCTCCAATCACCAAATCATTAAATGCGCAGAAGTCTGCCAACAGTTCTCCGTTCGCATTCATTTCACCGAGTACTTCTCCACCCATGATTGGTTCTTTTCCTGTGTTGTCCGCTCCCTGTCTGGCATTCTGGTCGCCCATTAGAATTTTGATGTCGCCATCTTGGGTGTGGTCTTGTCTATTGTTGATTGCAGTTGTCTGTAGAATTCCTACTCCTTCTCTTGATCTGCCTAATTATTTGTAGGTGCTAGTGTAGAATTGTATGATTGTGACTTTCCTTCCTTTTGAGGAGTTGAATCTTGCTGTCCTGATCCTGATCCTAGAGGAAATCGGTTCCCACTGCATGAGAGCCTATGATGCTCTTAGGGACATCATGATAACCGCTCCAAAACTCAGTGTGCTCGTGGTTGTCGTCTGAGTGACAATATCGGAGTAGATTATTGACTCTCCACTTGACAGTTTGGAGAGTCCACTCCATTCCATCTGCAGATTCCTTGCAGATTCCTAGCACATCTATGACATAACTTCTCATCTCTTCGTCAGTCTGGACAACCTTGCTAGGTTCAAACATTGTTCAGACATTCCATTTCCCCATGTATACTTTTGCTTTCATCGAGAGAGAGAAGACACATCGGTCAATTGCCTTCCCGAAGACTTTCACCAACCGGCGTCATTTCGCCTCTCCGATTCCTGCAAATAATAGGTTTAATTTCATTTTTTATATTTACTTTGTGCTTTGAAGGTTTTTTAGCGATTGAATTGGTTTTACGGGGTAGGGTCGCTGGCCCTATTCCCAACCTCCTCTTTTTATTAGGGCTCAGGACCGGCTAGTAAACTAGGCGAGGTTAACAATGCACATGAAACACTATTATTAACGGTTATGTAAGGAATGTTTTCACTCAAATATGACACTAGCAAGACGTTCCTATGCATATCATGGGATTAGAATGCATTCTGGAGACGCGCTGTGTTATCACATTACTCCAAGATACTTGTTCTGAAGTTAGAATACACAAAACCTTGTGAATATTTTTAGGGTGATATTCAACTGTCAGTATTTTTAAGCTATTACTCAGTAGTGGTGGAATAACCAAGAGATGTTCATTAAGACTAGATTAAAATTTTATTTAGTGAAAGCGAATAGGCTGATAAGTATGGCAACCTGTATTGATTGAAGTAACCAGGAATAATGTTAAGGCTGTTCAGCCACTTTCTACTTCCCTGGAGTAGGAATACAGTATAAGAAACTAGGGCAAACTGTGTGGAATTTACCACTCGACGGTACGAGATGTTGAACGAAAGCTGTCACAACTGCACTTAATATTTATTTTTCCAAAAAGTTAAGCAGTTCATTATTCTAATTTCACTAGTGTTTTTTTCTCCCATTTGTTGTTTCAAAATGTAGCAATTCTACTGAATATAGTGCTGAAATAGACTTCAGGTTTTTCTAATAATTTAGTCTATATAACATGGCTAACCATTGGATGTTTTGGGTAATTACTGACTGAATGATATGCATATGCTTTACCGTCCGTCTCTATGAAATCCATTTCCTCCCCCATCAGTGTATATCAGAAGGTACTTAACCGGAAGTATGTTTAATTAACTAGTTATGGATTCGCGCAGAAAGAATAAGTGCACATATTAAATACTTTCTTGTGCACATTAGAAGACTGATTTCTTAGTGATTGCCAATCAGTCGCCTTGCTCCGTAAACTAGGTTCTATCTTGAGTATCTTTCTGAGCTCGTTTGTCCTTCTGATTCGAAATCGTAAGGCTAGACCTCATTATAGACTGAATCTTGACTACTACTGTTTTTATTTGATTCTAACTACTAAAAATCAGTCCTTCCAAGTCATTACAATGAATTGGTTTAATTTTCTTATGCTTTTTGGACTATTAGTTTACCTTCTATGACTTGAAAGAAGAAATATTTTTTCAAATGGAGTTCTATTTGTGGTACTATTTTCATATTCTTTCTTCTTATACCTTGTAAGCAGATGATTAAGAATTTTTGAATAGTAACTGTTGTCTTACCACAGTTCAGATCGACGTATGCCCGAAGTAACTGACAGTACATGATAAGTGATGAATAAATACGTGTACCGGAATGGGTCCTAGAAAACAATTAATGTAGCTATCAAGCCCCCAGTAATCAGTACTGGTTGAAGTCTTTTGATTAAATCTACGATGTGGTGCACTAAGCTAATTGGTGATACACTGCTGTGGATTGTATTGTGGGGCAGACGTTTGAAATCAATAGTCAGAAGCTCCGGACCTAAGTCTCGTACTCCTTGTCACTCATTAATGAAGCGTATCTACAACCATGGGACCTACATTCACTCTATGATCAAAGTTTGTATCACTCAGTGTCTAAATCCCAAACTTTATCGCTAAGCTATTTAGACGTTGGGTGTGAATGATAGTAAGTGGGAAACGCTGATTCATGACCTCCTATTGGTCAACTTTTAACATCTAACACCAAAATACTATACCATAATTTAAAAGCAAATATTTTTGCTTCTCTTCTTCAGCATGTTTATGGAGAAATAAACTCAGCTCATGGAGTAATTGCCAGTTTTCAACAAACGCTATGGACTGTACTTCCCGTTTCCAGTGGTGCAATAAGACAAAAGTCGATGCGTATGTTTTATTTTATATCTTCTGTTGCATTTTTTTCATTTCAGATAAACAGTATTTAAGAGTTGCATAACTATATTTTAGTTCACCAGTTGGAATCTGAATTGTGAACAACCAACGTTTGCTTTGACCACTTATTTACACTCAGTACGAATGAAATCATTTCATCTAAATTGTTATCAAAAATGAATACACAACAGCTACTTTGCAAATTGCAATGAATGTAGGAATAAGCACTCAGATTAGGATAGATGAGTATAATGTTTATTGAACTAAGTGAAAATGAGATGTTGAAGACGGTTTTGCAAAATCTGAACCAGTAGTCCACAGGTTTTTACTTTGAATCTTACTAACACTTCTTTTTTTTCCAGCTCTATAGTTCTCACATAAGTTGTTGAATTTGAGATGGCTCTGACAGGTAATCTGTATCTGTAAAAGTTTAGAACTTGTCGATGTAGACAATCATTTTATTTAATTTAGAAATACCCCAACTGTAGACCAAAAAGAAACTCAAGCATCTTTAAAACGCGTTGACCTTTGAACTACAGGAAAAGCCTATCATACTAAATGACATTTTCAACTACATTCTCCCAGAAATACAGTTACAAACGCTTTATGTTATGCTGCATGTTGAAACCATCTCACTTCATTTGATAGAATTTGTCATGTTACTTACTAGCTGGTGGTGGTTGAAATCACTACCTACCCATTTGTGATAGCTTCATTAGGACAACAAAACTTATCAAGCTGCAGTTCAATATTGAGGGAATAATGAGTGAGTTTTCAGAATCAACCTATAACAGGCAGAATCACTTAGGTCGATTGACTAAATTTTCTCTTCCAAGACCTCTGTTCTACTTAATACACATTTTCTACTTTTCATTCAAAATATAATTGGTAAATATATCCTTCATAAGATCCCCCATAATGGAGAAGTTAAAGTTCTTCTTGACTATACAGCATATGTAACTGTTTAATTACATGCTCTTGAAAACCTTGTCTAAAGTTAATTGAAAGTAAGGGATTTAAAACTTGATTAGAAATAACTGATGAACTAAATATCCGACAAAAATGAATGAAGTCAATAAATACCACAGTAAAAGAGGACGAAACTACCCTGCCACAAATTTAATGTAAAAACACGATTAGTTTCATGAAATTTTCAAGCCTTATTTTAAAATGTTCATTTAGATCTATTCCAAATGGATACGATGACCCAACGTATACTAAAGGTATCACTTGCGGGGAAAACGATGTATGTTAGATTCTAACCAATGTCATGCTAACTTATTCCCACTGCTGGTACAAATGTATGGATTCGAAAATACAATACTGGCATTAGGCTGAGTCACTTAACATTAAGGTGTTCTCTATACGATAGTAACTAACCTCAGAAACACGCCTACACTGAAGAAATTCGATCAGCATTGAGGAGTAGTGTATTTACTTTGCCATCATATGATAACAGACACGTTTACTCAGTGCAGTTTCATATAGATCACTGGTGATTTCGATAAGTCAGTGTCTGCGCCTTCACATACAGTGCCCCAGTATTGACCTTCAAGTTTCCTGTGATGCTTGAATTGTATGGTGGAACCCCTTAAGTAATAGGTTTCAGCAAACATAAAGCAAACATGCACGGTCTGTTGTTATATGTTTATTAATCATCGATCTTGATGATCACCAGGTTGTATGGAAGCGAATAGTTTACATAAGACCCTACAATGTTAGCAGCATACTTTTTAACACCGAAAAGGATTTGTAAACTACCGTATTTTAATGGTTTAATGGAAAATGTGAGGTACTTTTTACATTTTAATACACTGTAGTATTTTTGAAGTTGATTAATTACTTTTGATTGCCAGTAGTTTCAGTCATCGGACTCAGGATAGTAGCTAGCGTCATGTTACACATTTTAAAGTGCTAACCGAATATTATCACCTATGTTGAGAATGTTGTGACTAAGATAACCTAGTGGTTATGATTTCGGTCCTCTATGGTTGGAACTATGTGAATAGTGATAAAATCTGTGAAGTTTTAGAAGAGTCGGGGACGTCAGTAATAAGAATAGAAAATGTCCGCGATTGATGACTAATATCAAATTGAGGGTTAGCACCTCCTGAAGATGATCTTCCATCAACTGATATAATCAATGAGTATGCATAGAATTTGCTACAAATCTATTCTGATACTTATTTTTCAACTTTTTAGATATGGTACTCGGTGGAGATGTTGTTCGTCTGTTTCATGGTGATGAGTCTTTGACAGCTGCATGCGCTGCCGAATCAGAGGAATTCTCTCCATCAGTTGCAATGACAGTAAACGGGTTAGCCCCAGGAAGCCCGCCAAATAAAATTCAACGGTCAAGTATAGTAAACCCGGAATTAATGGTTGGGTAAGTTAAATCAAAATGTTTTAAGTATAATGTTGTAGCGCTTATCGTCATGAGACTTCAATGAAGAAGTGATAACTATTTAATGAAGGTGAAATTAAATCATTCACAGGCATGAAACGTTATGCATACGCAGACAATTAGTTCTTTTTCCTAGACTCATACCTAAGTTCGTAAACCACAACCCTATAGCATTAATTATATTACCTTTGTTTCGATATACATTTCTTTATTTTTAAACTGTCACGATACTTAGATCTAGTTATCTAAAACTATGATTTATGACTTCATTATTTTATTTCTGTCTTGAATTAAGCTAAGTTAACTTAAAATGACCCCTAAACTCATTTTTTTTAATGAGAGTCACCAATGAAAAAGACCCACAATATGAAGTATACTATATGAAATGATAAAAAGCTAAAGTGGAACTGTAAGAATTGCTATATTTTGTTTCTAACACTCAGGTTACACTTTCAGTTACCATTGGATCTACTTTCGTCTGAGTAGTCACTCGATGATACTAGTTTGCATGCATAACACAACCTACTATCAAGTATTTGAAATCATGCACATAAATACTGTTATTTGAAGGGGGATTGTTGGACATAAACATGATTTTATGTGAATGCTCATCAGTGAATAAATGAACCTGAAATCAATAAATCTCCACAAACCTACAAACTGAATTAATCTAGTGCTCTGATTTCAAGAAGTGATTCTCAAAGTTCCAGTGAGAAGTCATGACCGATGGGGCCAATCAAGTCGAACATGAGGATAGTTACTCAGTGACAGCATTGGATGGAGTTCACGCTAGATCGTGAACTGACTGAAGTATGAAATATGGACCATTGGATTCTGACCCAGTGATCTAATGGTGATGTGCCGGTCGCTGTGCCTGAAATTCCTTGGTTCGATCCCTGGTGGGGTAGGGTCATGGGTGCTCACTGCTGAGGAGTCCAATACTGGGGCAAAAGAGCTGACCAGTGCCCTTAGGTTTCCAGTGTTTATTCAGCTGTTGTCACTTCATGAAGATTACCAACCTGAAGTCAATAAACCCCCTCAAACCTCCAAATTGAATAAATGAACTGTTATAACAAAGTTAAAAGTAGACTGGAGGAACACATACAGCATAGTCAATAAGTCTCACGAAATGTAATACCTAGAACCCTATACTGTAAGTATTAACTACAGGCTAATTTAAAGACACCAACTATTATGTTTAAGTACTAATCTAGAACATAGTAGTTTGACAGACCTATAACCAGGATCTATTCATTTACTCAATGATCAAAAGGAAAAAGTCGGAACTGGACTTTGATTCCCAACACATATGTCAAGTGAACGAGTAAGATGAATTTATAGGATTTTTCGATGAATTTTCAACTTAACCTTAGTTGTTGAGCACATGTTAAGTCACATTTTTGTGTTGTGCACTGGTAAACATATCTGTCTATGTTCTTATTTGATAAATGGGATGGTGCACATCTCATACTGACTTTAAGAATATTTGAATGATAACATTTAAGTATAGTTCCATGCAATTGATTGCTGAAAAAAACTATTTCAAAAAAGTAGATAAGGAAGAATCGACCGAAAATTCCATCTGATTGTGAGACGTAGCGTCACCTTACGCCAACAGAAAATTTAATCGTCTTCACATTTTATTGTAAATAGGGGAACCTTGGTAATTTCCTAGTGTTCTCTAAGCTTTTAGGAGAACACCAAACAATTGTCATCCCCACCCTAGGCTACAAATCTTCGCTACCATCTGCGAGTGGAATTGTTAAAAATAAGTAAAAAACAACGGCTAACAATCCAGTAATTTGTCAGTACTAATCACCAAAGAAAAGTGAAGTCATCAAAGAGAGACGTCATGAAAATCATGGAAGTGGCAACACTTGAATCAAATATTGCTTGCTAGAAATAAACAAAGCAGGAACTTTACGCCTGAATATAATAAAAACAATCATCTGCATTTCTCCTTCATTTGTTTAGTCACTGAACTTAAACAGCACTTTGACCCTGCTACATATATATTTTCAGCTATGTCAGTCCGTGCAAACTTTGGTTGTAAAAAGGGACATATATATTTTATGAAGTGAGAACTCATACACTGGGTGTTACTTTCTTGGTAACTATTATCTTTTAATCGGTTTAAATGTTGCTTTTTTCAAAATACCCTTTTGCATCTTGATCATTTCTAATTTTCACATCTTCTACTATAGAACACGCCATGCAGTAATGTATGAAATCGGAGCTGTTTCAACCAGTGCTCGCTCGTTATGGCGAATAGAACATAAGAAAACAAAATGGAGTGCTGGGTTCTTTTCATGGGGTTGTGAAATTCGTCTACGACACGTGACTACTGGTCGTTATCTGGGTGTATTACCCAGTGAGGCTCAAGGAACTGGACACTGTGATGTTGTTACTTTATCAGCACATGAGGCAACAAATGCAGCTTCAATATTTTTAATAAGGCCTACGAAAGTATGTTTCTAATACACAAGTGTATCATTTTTCTTATTCAAATTACTTCTAAATTTGCATAGTTGATTTAAGTAAGTCAGTTTCTATTCCCTTAAAATGTAATATCCAGCTAAATAACAGAATATGTGAATATTTCTGGCTGATTCACAGCTTTAAACTAATTAGCTTATTTTGTTGTTTTGTTAAGTGAGTTGCAACAATTAGTTGACAGCATGACTGAATGAAAATAGTAGATACCTGGAGATAGTGAGTAATTTAATTCTCTAAGGAAAATCACTAAAGGTACTTAGGTAGAAGTATTTCATGCTTATTAACTAACGGAAAAACTAATATTCATAAGCCTAAATTTATTCGGAGTGGTTTTAATAAAAGTGTAGTATTATTTGTTAGTGTTTCCATTTAAAACATGATTTATTCATGGATAATGTTCACAGGTTGAAGCGGTACAAGAAAACACAGGTACCAAACAAAACCTTTTTAACGTTTTGGAGTCTGTTTCAATATTCCTGTTTGCGCACTTTCCGGATCCGATTTGACTCATCCGGGAAATTTCAGTGCCTTAGTAAGAAAGAGAGATTTTCTATGCCATTCGCAGGTGACACGCAGTGTTAATATTCTCGTAACTAGACATTAAATTCATATGGGCAACTATGGAAGATTGATGCAGTGGATTGTAGTCTTTCAAAATAGCTGAACTGTTTGGTTTGAGAAGTAATCTAAGTTTTATTGTGCTTCAATAAAAGCATACTAACAGTGAGTCAATGAGCTAACTGTGATCGTCAAATACTATCTCAGAACGTTGCATCACACAGCAAAATTCTTCTTGCTGTGGAAGTTTTACGAACACAGCTAAACACTACTTGAATGACTAAAATGAAAGATTCTACCCGTATGCAGTTATAACACAAATCCAGAGTTAGCAGACTGATTCCAAATATTCAAGTAGTTGATTTCCAAAGCAGACGAATCCCTAAACAAAATAATATAGATCTAGATTTATGGGTTTTCCATTTTAGGAATGATGAAGCTGGAACTGGGATAACAGAAATGAAGTGTACCCAAAAGGCATAGAAAACGTCGTCTTTCCAAAAATGGATACTTTGTTCAGGGGATGTAACTGCTGCAACACCGTAACTAATTCTCAAATACTTCTATTGTAAACATTACGAGCTGAAGTCGTGATTCCTTGCATATCTTTTTGCATCCCTTCTAAATATTTATTTTCTACAATTCTTTTCTTCTCTTAATAGGATGATAAAAAACGTTCAGAAGAACATGAACCCGAAGGTATGGGTGAACCAGACCTGAGATTGGGCGAAACACTGACTTATCTTCAACATGCTGCGTCAGGACGTTGGCTATCCTATGAAGCCTATGAAACACGTAAACGTGGCGTTGGACGGGTAGAAGAGAAAAAAGCTGTACTTTTAGTAGAAGGACATATGGATGATTTGTTTAGCTTAGTCAGAGCACAAGATGAAGAAATTCGTTCTGCATCAGCAATACGTCGATGTACATCTGTGTTCAATCATTTTATTCACACACTGAATTATCTATCATCACCTCAGAATATTAGTTTACCAATCCAACAAAATCAATACAATTTAAGCAATGGACAATTATTGGGTGAAGTAACTCAGTGTTTAGAAGATTTGATTGAATTTTTCGCTCAACCAAGCCCTCATGAAGAACATGAAGTTCAACAGTCTAAACTGGCTGCACTAAGAAATCGTCAAAACTTATTTCAGGTAAGTTGTTTTAATCATAACGTATGTCACGCAGTGAGATAACAATTAGATTTAACACATTTAAGAGATTGGTTGCCAGTAGTCGGTTACCAATTTCGAACTGTTTGTGTTATCTAGTTGGATTTTACTTCAATCAATTCTACAATGCCATAGTACAACATACTTTGATAACGTATAGGATTATGACACAGGATATTGCTAAAGAATGCCAAAATCGAGTATAGGTTTTTTTGAGGTGTTACATAGGTTGCAGGATTTGACAAGTGTTAACAGACAGCAAATTTTGACCCTTGAGGTTTGGTAATCCGTGCAAGTACTATCTATTTATCATCACTCAGAAACTCATTTGGCCAGTCTGAGTCAGAATCTTTCCATAGGATATTGTACATCAAACACTTGTAATTGACTAGTTTTAACTAAGAGTTTCATTCGTGTCACAACTTGATTGAAAAAAAGTTATCGTATCACCCAAAACTCTTCATATATGACATTGTAAACGTTCTAATTGAAACCAGGTACATTTTAGTGCCATGAAGCAAACACTGAATTATTCGGCATAAAAGACATACTAGTAGTGCAGATTCAGTTATTAAGATTTATCCTATTCAGATAGGTAATTTATGAACTCATTATTTTTAAAAGTTCGTTTCCAATTCAATGTAAACACGCAATAATCTAATTAGACGTTTCAAACCATATTACTTATTAATTGTAAGTAGTATGGAATTGTTGAGATATTCGAACACAACTTTGAACTGAAATTGTTCATAAAAGTGATATGTACATGAAGTTCCGGTATTCCTATCTAGGTGAAGCTTGGAAAGAAGAAAATGCACGTCAGAATTATCACACTCAAACATTACCTTGGTATGTGACTTTGGTTTGATCTACATGAGTTTATTTAATGGCAAAAGTCTATCTACGGATTGAGACTGTGTTTATTCGATCACGTTACACTAGTTATCGCATAAATAATCTTCCAATATTCTGGCTTCCTTTTTCCATGATATTTCCACTTGTTGATTCTCGTTGAGTTCTTTGTACGAATGATAAATGAAGATAAATGAGAAATGAAGACCTTGGGTGATATTCAAGCTATATCGTGAATTTACAGAATTTTGAAATTGTGAAGCATTGAAGACTGACCCGGTGGCTGAATGGTTAACGCGTTCGCCATGAAACCGGAAGGTCCTGAGTTCGATCACTGTTGGGTCACGGGTGCGTACTGCTGAGGAGTCCTGTCCTAGGACGAAACAGCTCTCCAGTGCTCCCAGATTTCCAATGGTTCCCCAATTGATATCAGTCCATGATGAATACTACCTCCAAATTTGAAAAAATCCCCATTCATAAAAATACATAAATGAAAGTGTTGAACATTGTTCCAAATTCTAGAGTTTTCTAACCAGCAATATTTTCAAGCTGAAGTTTTAACACCCTTTTTTACTGAACAAATAAAATGATAATAAATTTAATTTTTTCTTTATCTTTATTGAATTATCTTCTTTTGTTCCTATTTGTCAGAACGAAGGCATGATTGGGCACGTGCTAAGCACTATAGAAAAATTCACAGGGACGTTTCAAACACGCCGAGAGTTTTCACAGGCTGTTGGTGAAGATAAAGCTGATCAATTCGATGAGTTGGGGAATTATTTATATTTATTATTAGCTGCACTCATTCGTGGTAATCGTGAGAATTGCGCTCAGTTTGCTACACCTACAAGACTGGATTGGTTATTCAACAGACTAGAACTACAACAGGGTTTTGCTGAAGGTGTATTGGACGCTTTACATTGTGTCCTAACTGACAGTGATGAAGCTCTATATCTGATAACAGAACGACATATACGGACGTTGATCGGTTTGTTGGACAAACAAGGTCGTGATCCAAGGGTCAGTAGTGTGTTTTGCAGACTTTTATTTCTCCTGTCCGTAAAAAAATTATCATATTTGCATCTATATCACTTTAAGTATTTGCTGATGTGATTTTATCTGATAACCAGTTAATGAATAATATCATGTAGAAGTTTTAAACCCATCACTGGAAACTCTACATCAGCGTTAGCTTTGATCCAGCTGTTTGTCTCCGCAAAGATGATAAATCAACGAGACTAATTCTCGTCACACAAAAATATTTATGTTTTCAAAATGTTCACACGAAGAGCTTACTTCTCTGAGTGGGCGCACAGAGGTTGGTGATGACGCTGTCTAGACAGACAATCAGAAAATCCCCAACAAACTATATCCCCGCAATATCATGAGGTAAATTTCTGTTGGAAAGATAGTAACCATGGCTGCTATGAATCAAAACACAAGGATCAGCAAGGTTAGACTGTTCATTATTACGCCAGAATCAGTTATTTAATCTAATTTCCTTTAAAAACTGTAAGCTTGGTGATCCACTAAGGGTGATAATACACAAAAATGAGAGGGTATTTCGAAAACTTGATGGCGGATTCATAGATGAGGATCTACAAGGTTTTTGCTGCTTTTGAAAGTACTGCAACGCTGTTTGCTTAGAAACTTGATATGGATTTAGTTAGTTGATCTGTCAAGTTTATCACAAATATCATAAATTTGTCTATCCACTGTTATGTTATTTGGTTGATGGCGATCCCCAGGAATCCCTGAACCTAGGTTCAACGCTTGCCGGCACTTGTCAGCAAGGTTTATCTGCAACATCTAGGGAATTGATATCCTGTGTGAAGCTGGAACTCGCGTCACCCAGTGTTGCAGTCAGCGACGTTACTACTAAGCTATTTGTGCCGCGACTGACCTCTTGTAGGACTGGATTACATACATAGATTGGTCACTGGTGAGCAACTTATCTCATATCGTCCAGTCCTAAGTGCTGACCGAATTCTATTGATCATTTTGCAATGTAACCACCATCCACTACTATACAATGGATGACCTTGTCCAATGTTAATCCAGTTTACACTGGATTAGTGAACAGAAACAGCTTCACTCAGAAATGTCTTAACTTAACTGCTCAATTTGATCACTTAACTTTTATTCTTTATCCAATATCAATACGTTTCTCCTCAACTGTGTAGATCAGCTGGCCGGAAAAAGTCGTACATATTATGGAACATCATATCTGCTTGTATGCAGGACATATGGCCGAGTAAATATATGATTACAACACACTTTATATGATACGAATAGCAACGGTTATTAGTGTAGATTAGCTGATGGTCACAGAGTGGTAAAATAATTTAAGCATATGTATACCTAATTTCTGTTACTGTGTGAGATTTGTTTATAAAATACCTCGTATTTGATACTGATTATATTTGCAGTAACTTTTATTTCAACTTTCGAATTTCAGCTAAGTATTTGCAACTCATTTTACTCAGTAATGCTTTCTTTCAGGCAAATACAACTGTTTTTAACATTTTTTTAGGTACTTCAAGCATTATGTTCATTGTGTTTAGGACGTCAAGGTGGGGCAGTGAGATTGAATCAGGAGTTAATTTATGAAACGCTATTACCACAAAAAGATCTATTATTGCAAACGAAGTTGGTTGACCAGTGTGGATCAGTTCGACCAAACATATTTGTTGGTTATAAAGATGTGAGTGTTTTCTAGTCGCGTCTTAAAGTTGAACAATGAATATGACTTTTGTTCCGTATTAAGACGAAATCAAAACTTCAGCTTTACATTTTGTAATCTATTTTTGTAATTTACAGTCACTAACAGATTAGTAAAGGGAGTAGTATGAATCCATTCAGCAAGTATTGGGATCCAAAAGACAGAAAAGTGACCCGATGACTCAAAAAATAATGAATGCACTCGTGTTTAGTTTTCCGAATATGGATCATTAGTAGTTTGTAACACGGAAATGAGAAATAGTACAATGCAGAAATATAAACTTTGCTGTCCCTTAAAAAAACAAATATGGACTCTGAATATTTATGTTGCATGTTAAATAAGGTCAGCGCTACTCTCATACTGATTTGTTTTTCGTCTTAATTGATAAACAGAACTCCATAAAACATAAATATCTAGAAATACACTCCATCATATAATATAACACCATTATGAAAACAAAAATGGAAAGGAGTGTAATGGGATGATCAAAGAATTATTTCCAAAAAATAACGTCCCCAACACTTTCATTATATTTGTATAAAATTTTAAAAATACAGGATTAAAATAGTTACAGAATGATCCGTTATCTTTGATTTCGAGCCATACTTTGTGTCAGTTCAAGTCATAGAGTTGTTTGACCCTTTGATCTTGCCTTAGAGAGTTTTGATGCGCCGACAGTTGATTACATAACACAATCATCTTTGATTATACAGCTTCACTTATAGACTGGCCACGGTAAACTGTATGGAAACCGCTGAAAAGGCATAAGTGTAAGGTCTCCACTAAAACTGGTGTTTTACAATCACTGACATGCGATTGTTGTTATGGAACGCAAGCAGTTCCACACACATACACACACACACACACACAAAGATGTGACCAAACATAAAGAGTGGTGAAACATTCTGTGCTTATGTAGACCGGATTTCAGTAACCTGGTGCGTGATCGCTTCCACTAGAGGATTGTACATTTAACCTTTCAAAGTCAAATTGGTGTCACGATAGTACTAAAAGTGGCCTTGTTCTGCGTATGTTGTTCTAGTTTTCCACATATGACCAGAAATTTCATTGGTAGTATCTATCCTAGTAGTCTTTTAGGGATATGCGAACTTCTTAACTGCGGCTTGTCATTCAATAATTGACGCCAGTGCTGAGAAAGGCTTCTGTCGATCTTTTAAGGGAAAAAGAGAAAACTATACTTAGAGATACATGCTCGCAGTTTATTTTTCTTAAGTGACAACAGTGGCTCATCTACTACCTTTACTTTAATCAACTTGCGATAGATAACGCGAATGAATCTCTTACTTGTCTCTCATGAAAATCGGATACGAACAATGGAAACCAATGAGCACAACAGTTATGTTAACATTTATTTAGCTATTTATTTCACTGCTTAATACATCCCCTAAGGACTCTTTTCCCAATCCTAACATAATTCGCGAAGTCGAATAAATGTGACTTTCAAAAAAATGTAGGTTTCTGCAGGAAGTCAGGGAGTGATTCATCCATTTAGTTTTGTCTAATTTTATCCTTCTCATTTTAGATTGTGAGTTTTTAAAGCACCTACTCTATCTACCAATCCGGTGTTTCGGATGATACTATAGATCATATTGGTTTCTGAGCAAGATTATCGTTGAGCTAATTAACCACTTCAAATAACTGAGAGAACACATTCAAGACAAATATCAGGCAATTAATTAGTTAGAATATAACTTTAATAATAAATATTGAAAACCATGATGGACTGGATGAGTATGCATCCTTAATTTGTTTATTTTAAATCATGATACAAATATCATGCCTCATTTTTAAAAGTAATGTCAATAGCTGAAGTACAGAATTTCTATCAGTTACAACTCATACATAAACAAGCTTTCTGTTACAGATGTCATCGTAGACTTATTTGGCTTTAGGAATCATAGCTTCCTTCTATACTTCCAGATAACTATTCGAAAGAAAACGAAATATCCTGCAGATTAGAAATTGTCAATGGACTAGGAAACAGTTATGAATTTGTCCCACCGGTATTTCTCATTCCATTAATTCGCATAAGTACAATACTTTATCTTATAAAATTAAAATTTGTGAAATAGGTAGAAATTAAAGTGACGAATTTAGTTTCTGAAATTCCTATTATCTCAAAGAACATGAAAATTTCATGAATAGTTTTAGATAAGTTAAGATTACAGAGGATACTTCCATTTTACCCCAACAAAAACATAAAAAGTGGTTTGAAAAATTCCTCACCAATTGATAGAAACTTCAGGATACTGACTTATAAGACATAACATCGCTTGCACTCGTTATGAAGATACTTAAGAAGTCATGACCAACAAATTTGTACACAAGAAATCAATCGCATATGAATAACTTCAATGTTGCGTCAACATAATTTTATTTTTAAAAATGGTTTATATTCTCGCAAATTCCAAGATACTACTTGTCAATGAGTACAAAACTAAATGAAGGATATCATGCTGATCAGTTTTAAACTTTTAACTGTATAAAATGCTATTGGTTTATCTTAATTTAAATTTTGAAATATGTGTTCATTTTAGGGCGGAGCTATGTATCCAAAGTGGTATTTTGAGGTGATTATTGATTCTCTTGAAACTGTTACACACCAACCAGCACAAATCCGTGTTGGCTGGGCAAACACAGAAGGTTATAATGCACATCCATGTGGAGGACCTGGTTGGGGTGCTGCAGGTCTAGGTGATGATCTTTTTAGTTATGCATTTGATGGAAGTTGTTTATGGGCTGGTGGCAAACCTAAACGTGCTACAATAGGAACAGATGAGACATCAAATGAAGACGTAACGCCCTCCGTACCCCTAAAACGGGGAGATGTTATTGGATGTCTATTGGATTTAACTGGGCCTGTTATTCAATTTAATGTAAATGGACGTTTGGTCAAAGGGTATTTTCAGGTATGTTTTGTTATGGTGGATACCCGGAGAGATTTCAAATTTTATTTCATTCTTTGGTTTGATATGCTTTCATACTTGAGAAACGTTATCAAGTATGCTGAATAAAAGCAGCTTGATTACCTATTCTACTTCACGAAAATTTAAAAATTCGGGGACTAGAGCAAAAACACAAATCAGTAAATCTAGGATAATCAATCCATAGGAATCCTCTAGACCTTTGATTATCCTTTTGACCTCGACGAACTTATTACTATTACTTTTTTGACGACTCTTCCGCCCTGTTTTACCTACCTTTAGATAGTCATTCAGTACTGTGACAACCTTTGCCTTCTATGGCTTACATTAGTCATTGTTTCATTGATGATCACCGTAATATGATATTTTATTTGTAAAGTAACAGAGGCACTAAAAGACTTGCATTGTAGTCGAAATCTCACAGCTTCCCCGTTAACTTTTACTTAATTCCTAGAATTTTCTGTGTTGACAACTGTCTGCTTTAACTCCGAATGAGCTATATTGTCATTGATATATCCTTGTTATATATATGAGTGAGCTGCCGAATAATAACCTTAGGCTTCACCCTTAAGGGTCACTGGGTATCTCAAAACAGTAAGCAGTGGGAAAAAAAAGTGTATTGCTAAGTCGAATATATACCAAAAGTAACAGTTTATATATCTTTTCTAGAAAGCCCTTTAGCCAACCTGAGACTTACACGTTTGATCACTTGGTTCTTCGAGAATGTTTGGCATGCCATGATTGGTTATGTTGGCTGTCTACGAAATTCCAGGCTTGTTTGAATAATCTAGGAGGTATTATCTCACTCCATAGCAGTTATCGTAGATAATACTTACTTATTTTTTATGGCCCATGTTATCTACGTCGATTCCATGCGTCATTTCGAATTTTATATTTTATTCATAATTTTTTCTTAGTTACCATATTCAGACCACAAAGGTTTCTGTTAGCCAATTTCTAGTATGTGAAAAGCAAAAACTACTGATCTCAAACTCAGCGACCCAACTGTAAAATGCTCACTGTAGCACCTTTAAGTTATGGGCTTGATCCTAAATAAAAGGTGCATACAGGTTCAGGTTGTCTCTAAGCTCAACACTAAACGTCATCAGAATTGCCTTCAAAAAATTATTCTTATATCAAACAATATTCGGGTGCAGGTACATGCAACTGATGAGTCCCAAACAGAAAGAAAAGCGCGTCCTGGATTCCAAGCAAGTTATCATAATAAATATTCAGTCAATATCTACCCATCCACATAAAAGCCCATATGCCAACAAAGATCAAACAATTCGATCCACTGTAACAACTCGGTATTACAAGTATATCAAAAAATAGTAATAATATCGGTAATACATTGAGTGGTCATTTGGGGATAGTAATTCTTAAGATGAGTGAATATTCGAAGCTAGGTTGTCAGGTGGAATATATCGTCATTACGATTGTATAATCCTTATTGAAGTAGGAGACATGCATAAACGGTTATGTTCAAGTCCAGCGTATTCATGTGAGAGATAAAGGTTACTTCATATTTTTGACTAACTTTAGCATACTAACATTTAATTATTTACAACGTTGAATGTATGCATCCATGATAAATTAATGAAGTGTTGGTGAAAGTTAGTACTTGATAATTAGTAAATAGTATGAAATTACATTTGAATGGTGTTAGTGATAATGTTATTCGCAAAATAAGGATAGATCTGCAGAGGACTAACAACACAGAGTGCCATACAAAAGTTCATCTGTTCAAACTGTCAAAAGTCGCAGCAACAGTCAAGCAGGAAGTTAACAGAACCGTAAAAATACTAAGTTTGAAAGAGGAAATTGGAAGCGGAGGAAAGTAACATGAAAGTAACTTGTGTTGCCCCAGCATTCTCAAAAACTGATTTTTTAGAGCTTAAGTATGTGCTAAATTATACTTTCATTTAGCTGTCCGGTTAAATAAACCTAGATACAATGAAGTATATCTGTTTATAACAAAAACTAATAATTTAGCAGTATATTTTTGCACATAGTAAGATGGTACCATCACTTTTTTCTCTGCGATGAAACAATTTGCTACCGTTTGTAGACAGATGGATGAAGAAGTAACCTAACTCCTTCAATGGTACGTAAAATTTACCACCAGACGAAATGGAATAACTTCTATTTTTAGATCTCTACCATTTTTTTGTTCTCTTTAATGATCAACGATTGCTTAAATTCCCTATTACAATTTATTTACCACATATATATAGGATTTCAATATAACAGGACTATTCTATCCATGCATGAGTATGAATGCAAAAGCTAGTGCAAGATTTCTTTTGGGTTCAAACCAAGGTCGTCTGCATCATGGCCCTCCACCTGGTTATTCGCCTATATGTTATGCTAGACAGCCTGGACAAAGACTTCGCCTTGAGCCTGTATTCACTTTTGGTCAACTTGAGAAATCTGTATTCACTGGACCATTGAGTTCACCAACACCCCAGCAATACGTTTTTGTGCCAAAAACAGTGCGTACTTCTCATGTAAGTGATCTTATTCATTAATTTACTCATCCTTCTACCTTCTTTTTCCTGTAGATTTAAATTGCTTACTAGCTCTAAAGTTTTGTTTTTCATTGCCATATTGCATTTTACAGAAACACTGTGACAAAATTCTTACAGAAACTTATTTAACCATAGATTTAAAGTGAATTACATACTTAAATAGGCAGTCCCAATTACTAACAATATTCATGTGTCAATTCAAGAAGTACTCAGATTTGAAGACTTAATTGTATTCACCATAATCACATGAGTCATATAAGAAAATTAAGTTGTCCAAATAAACATGTTTGAAATAATTAGTCCCTTTATGAATTTGGATAACATAGAAGACATAGTTTATCTGGAAAACCTGATATATTTGCTCCAAACATTTTGAACAATCTATCCACACATCTACTTATCAAGGCATTTTATATAAAAAGTAAAAGTAGAAGAAGGACAAATATGACAATAAGGAATGTAATAATAAGAAAGGTAATGAAGGGAGAACGATAAGCTCTTAAGAAAACCCCGGTAGTAGGATACGCTAAACAATCCTTTAACCTTTATCAATAGTATGTGTTCAAAAAGCAGCTTCTCCTTACCCTAAATCTACCCTGGTTATCATATCCTACTACTAGGGTTTTCTTCAGAGCTTATCATTCTCCCTTCATTACCTTTCTTATTATTACATTCCTTATTGTCATGTTTGTTCTTCTTCCACTTCCACTTTTTATATAAAATGCCTTGACAAGTAAATGTGTGAACAGATTGTTCGAAATGTATGTTTCAAAGTCATAACATTTTTCAGCTAGTCTGCATCGCCAAATTGAAGATGTGTTTACTTTTTTATCATCTTGAACCTCTTTAGTAAAGAGTGTGTCAAGATGACGACATTCCTTGCATATTTTAACGACTTTCTTTTTTTCAAGTCTTCTGTACTCATGTGGGAAAATTCCACAGCACATTTATATATTGTCAGCCTGAAGTAAATCAGTGATATCACAGTAGTTACTTATATCAGTGGTAAGATGACAATTACTGTTATACACCGATTCTGTGTGATAAATGAAATCTGTCAACTAAGCAATAAAGTGGACCACTAGGCTACATGGTATAACAAGATGCTTCATCCTGAGTGTATTCAGAAAATTCTGTTGACTAAATCAGAAGAGTAATCACGAAATAATGAATGTCACATCTTTATTTCAGAGATGCTACTAACTCCATCATCATAGATTTAAACACTACTAAAGTTTCGAGTTTTTTACTGATTCAGTTTTGCACAGAAGGACGATGGTCTACATTCTCGTTTCTAAATAGATTGGAAAGAAAAATCTTGTCTCCAAACTGAGTTGTTGATTAGATTAACATCAAACTTTCGACTCTGTAAATGACTTGACAATGGATTTCATTGGAAAAAATTCCTAGACTTCTATTTGATACCTTTTATACCAAAATTATGACTGAAGTTTATCTGTAATATTTTGAATATATTTTTTAGATACAATTACCGAATTATGTGGAAATTGTTCGTGATAGATTGGCTGAAAATCTGCATGAAATGTGGTCCATGCGAAAAATTGACCAAGGCTTGAAATATGGGGAAGTAAGTTTTTACTCTTTTACTTATCGATATAAATTGGGCTTATCAAATAAAGACAAGGGCGGGGGTGGTGATGACAGGAGTGAATATTAACTTATGCATATGACAAGGAGTATCATCTTTTCGCTAAGTACAACCACAGAAATTGTCTAACCTTTTCTTGCTTGTGTGATTCTTTGAGACAGTAAGTAGGAAGCGATTACTGCGCAATAGACTTTTTAAAATCCTTACATTCTGTCGCGTTTTGCTGAGTTACGTTCTCACTTTTTTACATGATCGAGTGTTGTATGTCTTCAGCAAAATACTTTAAAAATCATCACATAGGCCTAATATATCCACTATAATTCTCGAAACCGTCTGCCATTTCACAGACGTAAAATTTATACGAAACTCGTTTTTGTCCAAAATGTTTTCAGAGATTGTTGTCAGCTCCATTCAGTGCTACTAGTTACGATGTTGTCCTATTATTCTGAAGCCAATAAAAAAACTAAGTTGTTCTTAACACTGTTTTGCATATGTAATAATGAGTGGTTCAAAGACCATGTATTTCTCATGGAATTTTAATCATCTAGCATCAATCAGTTGTTCTCGAGGTACATAGTGTAGATAAACTCTAGAGTAAATTAAGTCTCTATTCGTGTTCTTGAAACAGCCTAAACTAAACATCTTAGAATTTCAAAGATTCACAATAAAAATTTAATACAGCTTTTGTAAAATTATTATTGTTATTATTTATTATTTGTTTCTTGGGTTCCTAATGGAACATAGGGCTTCAGTAGCATGCCTCCAGTGACCTCTATTCTCTGCAGTCTTTTGAACCTCGCTCCACCACTGCCCAGAAGCTCTCATTTCCTCCTCGCCTGATCTCCTCCATGTCACCCTCGGACGTCCAACTCGTCGCTTCCCATGGGGATTCCACTAGAGGGCTTGACACGTGATGTCCCCAGTCGGCTTTCTCAGTGTATGCCCAATCCACCTCCACTTCCTTCTACATATTTGTTGCGTGATAGGTTGTTGGTTGGTTCGTTCCCAGAGCTTCTTGTTGCTTACTCTTGTTATCCTGGCCATCTGATCTTCAGTAACGAGCCAGTGTAGGCAGTTGTTGATGAATGTCTGCAGTTTGTTAGAAATGCTTTTCGCAACGCGCCAATTCTCTCAACCAGGAACCCAAGGGACAAATAATAGTAATTATGCTGAGTGCAGTAGATCTCCACACTGATTTCACATTAATGTAGGAAGGCCTGTCTTTGTGTCTTTCCCATCCTGGCTTTGATGTCCTCATCTGTGCCGCCACCTTTAAAATGACTGGTTTTTTACTTGTCTTACTCAAAATAGGTATTCTCTTAAGCTTTAGAATAATCTTTTCGTGAATACTAATTCGTTGATTTGAAGCGATTAATGTGTAAGTCTTTTCATAAGGTCGTGTAAAACAAAATATTTTCAGATATGCTCACCATTTGTTTCTATTTTCTATCTTGCATTTTCTTTTTCCACTTTCATTTGTCAACTTTTATTCACTTTTTAAATAGCGCCGTGACGAGCAGAATGGCTTACACCCATGTTTAACAACGTTCGACAAACTTCCACCGTCAGACAGACAATATAATGTAACACTTGCCTACGAAACATTGAGAACAATTGTTGGATTAGGTTACAATATTACCTATGAACCATTACCTGAAGGTACAAGGATGCGAACAATAAAGTTGCCAAATAGGTAATTTTTCTCAGACATCTGAGTCATATTTTCTGACTACCTTAATACCAATGAAGACACTGGTAGGGTAGTTCGTATGCTTAAAATTTCCAACACCACTTTGAGTAAAATTAATAAAGATGAGTAGGAGAAAACTGATAAAAAGATGTTAGAAAATGAAAAGTGAACCTAGCAAGAAGCTAAATAATATGAATAAAATAAATGTTACATGTATTTGTTCTTACTCTACTATTCCTCAACTTTCAAGCCAACTAGGAGATTCTCCACCTAGCTTAAACAAGCAGTAGATGAAAGTATGAATTTGGTTTTATTATGCCATTAAGAAATGCAGTGAATTAATTACAGTTGTGATTAATTTTATCTCAAAAAACAGCCATCTAGCTGTTTAGAAATTAGTCTACCACACAAGAGATTAAAGCTAGAAACACCTAATTTTCAAGACTAGGACAATTACACAAGTATCGTAAAGTTTTGTTGTTTAAGCACATATTACTCAGTTTCACTTTAAAACTAGTTAATACGAGAATACGTCTACACGTAATTGTTACTTTGAGTTTAATGTACTAGACGGCTCTTCATGGGTGGTGTTTTAAAGATGTATTAAATTCTACGTTTAGGTTATTTCTGAATCATAAATTCGTTGTTTCACTTGTCCTTCTTTCTACACTAGTATTCTCTTTTTTTCCTGTTTTCATTATAACGTTACAGACTAGGAATTTAAACATTTCTGGTCATTAGGGTGTTTAAACATCATGAAAATTATAAGACTCTTATTGGGTTAATTAATGAAAATACTATATGTCTGCAGCTGGTTGTGTTTATCGTATCTGTCAGATTGAATCACATTTCTAGATGTCTTATAGTAGCCTAGCATGCGTACACTCACAGTGGAGTTATATACTAAAGTAGTTTAGCCAATACCTCGGTTTAAATTTATCTTAAACTTCACTTACAATCCTGGTGGCCCAGATTCTAGGCAAGGCTATGGTTGAAAAAATAGAAACCTGCCTAGAAGTTCAACCTGCCTTTGAAATAAGCAGGTAATATTCTTAGTTTACCGATCGTAGACTTATTAAGGGAATGTAAAATACAGACCAACTGACCCCACGCATCCAGCATGAAACATAGTGCACTGCAGTTGCATGTCAGTTAGTTAAGTAGTTACGTTGCTTGTCTAATCTATGAAGTGCGATCAATATTTTGGGCTGAGAAGATACACTGAACTATGATTCTGTGGCTGATTTTGCTAAATTTTTTCTACATCATATGTATGGGATAGTGTGTATGTTAGTTACATTTTAAATTACAATAAAGTAAACAAATGACAAACTCCTGACATACTGACGTTAGACAGCTTTGAAAGAGCCCTCCAAAGGAAGCATGAAGATGGGCTTTTGACCTTTATGAAAAACGATTTATCCAGCCAAATAATTTTACACAAAAGGATTATTCTATATAGTCATATTAACATGAGCAAGTGAGGTGCACTAATTGCTACATGAGCTGTTGTTAAATTCAGAGAAATATCCTATCAAAACATCAGAATGCATTAGTACACTTTGAAGAATAACCATTTATTAACCTACATCCTGGTTACACTTTATTTAAAAAGATGACTTCTTTACTGACTTCATATGCTGTATTAAGTATGAATTGACTATGTCATAGATACAAAATGCTAACCTATCATTTCATTGTTAAATTTTATTCCTCCTTTTACTACCTCAATAGCTTTACTCAGTCAAATGGTTATAAACCTCAACCACTTGATTTGACACAGATTCGTTTATCTGTACGCTTAGAAGCATTGGTTGATCAGTTAGCTGAGAATACTCATAATATGTGGGCACGCGACCGTATTGCATTGGGATGGACTTATGGTTTTGTCGAAGTGAGTAGTTGGAACACTTTTTTATATTTATCTCATAAATATATTATTGGATAAAATGCAGTCTTTTTATTCTAGGTAAGTCAATTTTTTAATCATTTTTTTTAACCACCAATGAGTATAACGAGTCTGTCACATGACTATTTATTCACTTCCTCATAACATAACACAAACCTTTATGTAGTTGAGTAATTAAATAATATATTGGACATAACTAAACCTTGCGTGAGTACAACCTAAAGGAATTCATTGTGACAGTGTTTTATGGTCTGGATCAAGCGCAATCCATGTGAATATTGTTGAGCTTAATAAAACCCTAGTGTTTTACAAATGTGTACTTCATATCAAAAAACCTACTTACTTCGTGAATAAAGGTGATAGCCATTTCACTTTAACAGACAGTGGGTTATTCTGTTAAGTACTGATTACAAATAATCATCTTATGTGATTTTCAAGTGATATAACGGTTTTCAGTACAGGTGGATATAATTGGAGTGATCAAAAAAATGTATACAACAGAGGTTCACTTTACAGTAAATCAGAACTGTTAATTTACATTGCATTTGAACACTTGTTCGAATATGTCAAAATAGAAATCTAATCTATGAGCACACTTGAAAATGAGAGGTGTTTAGTAGTGGTCATAAAGGTGAATCGTTTTGGTAAAGCTATTCTGAAACGATAATCAATAATTCAACTAAATTAATGGTTTGTGTTATCTCATTTTTTATCTATCATGCTTTCTTAGTTTCATTTTTAAAATAGGAATCAAATTTTCATTTTAGTAAAAAACGAACTGACAATCCTGCCTTCTAATACCTACTGAGTTAAGATTTGGGGATATGTTATATCAGGATTTATGTAGTCATCCATTTTGAATATTATTCTGTTATAGTCTTAATGCTTGTATTTATACCGTGATTAATTGAACCGAATTGATCGGTTTCCATTGGCATATGAGCTCCTATGCGGATATCTCGATATTACCTGTGTTTTAGTTATAGTAATGATGGATAGTGGCTAGCAGTGGGATCCAAGGTGTGCATTTCGTCCTATTCGGGACTCGTCCACCGTATGTACCTACCACCCAGTGAGTGTTGTTCCCACCGGGATTCGAACTCGGGACCGATCGCTTCAAACTCCAAAGCGTAATCCACTAAGACCATCGAGCCATGATAGCCACTTCTTGTGCGACGGGGACAGTTTTAGTGTTAATGCTCGTATTTATACTGTCGTTGATCGGACCGAATTGATCGGTCTCTATTAGCATATGCGCTGCTGTGTGGATGCCTCGATATTGCCTGGATCCCTTGGGTCGGTCGCCTAGTGGGCAATGCTCTGGCGTTTGAAGCAATCGGCCCCGGGTTTGACTCCCAGTGGCAACAAACCTCACTGGGTGGCAGGTACATCCTGTTGATGAGTTCTTCATAGGACGAAGTGTGCATACTGGATTCCACTGCTAATCATTATCCATCATTACAACATATTATTCAGTCAATCAGCATTCAGTTTAATGTATTCTTAACTGTGTTATGATACATTTCATTTGGTCCTACTAAAATCAATACTTTTGAACAAGTTCCCGAAAATGAAACTCACTAACAGTCTTTTTAAAAATCTGATAGTCCCGAAAAATTGACACACAAACTGAACTGTTTTTTAATTATCCTCTATACCTTTCTACTTATTTCTATAGGATAATTTACAGAAACGAAGCCCACATCTAGTTCCATTCAGTGAAGTTGATCCAATTATTCAGCAGTCGAACAAGTAGGTTCGACATATAAAATGTTCATGTACAATTTCATAATTGGGACTGTTCATGAATTTGTGCTAACTTTTATTCTTGGATGCAAGTAAATCACTTTAACTTGAGCTTATTGACTTTTAAGCGTATTAAAAGTAGATTTAAACTTGCATCTCTATGTGTTGTCATAAGTACTGGAACAACGCTAATGGGGAAACACGTGAATATCATTGGGGTCTAAAAGGTATGGTTAAAACGAGAGTATGCTTCCTACCTCTCCGGAACGAAAAACAGTAAATGATGCTGAGCCACTGACGATGATTAAAAGTTATATAATGCAGTGACAGTTTTAATTTTTGTTTCGATGATAATGTACCAGTAACGAAGCTTTTCTAAATACCTAAATGTAGAAATTAATTAAACTATGCCTTTCCGTTTTATGATAATCTGAAATCACTTAGTCCATTTCCACTTTTATCCACATCTACTATCTGTGACGTGTATTTGGTGAACAAAAACTGAATTCATGGTATTTGCAAACAATTCTTTGCTTAACACATAAATTAATTGTTTTTTTTTTCTTTTGCAACTTAAATACATTGTAGGGATACAGCAATCGAAACAGTGAAAACATTACTAGCCTATGGTTATTCACTAGAGCCAACTGGCTCTGATTCATCTGATGCAGGTTTGTTTTATGCTTACTTTCAGGTTTTCAGTGATTCAAATTGAACTGATTATTAATTATTGATGAGTGTCTTAATATGAGCAAACTTGCAGTAATTCTGTGGACATAATTCTTAATAGATGTGACTGAAGAAGCAGAGTACAAAAGTACTCGCTTTAGAGTAAGGATATCCACTCGGGGCGTTTTTTATTGGAGTACGCATAAGTCCAGAAATTTACTTTTAATCATTCATTATTCAAACCCAAATTATGTTCACTGTTCATTACAAAAAAGTAGGACCAGATTTTAAATGATCAGCGTTGTAAAGATATGTACTTAGTTTTCTAGAATTCAGTCTCAGAAGCAATGTTGGTATGGACTGCGAAGGATATCCCAAGCTAGCCTGAAACATATAGTATGCCTGTTAGTTTGTAGGGATTTTACAAAGGATTTCACTAAGATAAAAACTTTTCTCTAAATTCTTTTGTCATTCTAGTGAGCGCTGTGAATATTATCTCAATATTATTCTGGTGAATAACATGGGAGTGTATTTGTGCTTTGTTTCTTTGTAAATTGTAATTTTATTTTCATGACATCAACTTGGGTTCTGTCAGCCTGATGACTAAACACTTGAAGCAGGGTGAATTGTCAACCACAATTTCCTGCCGATAGCTTTCAACGGAGTGGACATCCTGGTAACCTCGTCTATTCGGTAGCAGATTGTTATTCAGTGTGACAATATTCGCTAAATTCCTAAAAAAAGCCTGGAATTCCCTGGGAAACCTTTACATCTAGTCATGGCATGCCGAACGTTCGCAAATAACCGCATGATCATATGTGTGAGTTTCAGGTTGACTAATTGACTTTCTAGAACATACCAAGGCCACCGAAAACATATAAACCGTTAATTGTGGTATCTGTTCAACTTTACAATAAACCGTTTATCACCTTACCGCGTCCTACTGTTTTTGAGGTACAAAGTTTATTGTTCAACAGCCCATATATATATGACACAGAGATACATCATGAATAAATTTATTTTAATCCAGTAATAAAACAGTTAAATGCTGTGTGACTTATTTCAAATATAGGCGTAAAATTTATTCAGAATTCCTTTTATTAGTTGTTGGTACCATCCTACTTCAGAATATGTAAGAAATGGAAAAGAGTTTCAAGGTGTTCGAAAATCTCTGCAGGTTCCTTCATTTCTTCTTCTATCATTTACAGTTAATCTGTCTTCTGTCCATACTGTTACATGTAAACTTCAAACTTTCCACTCACCATAATTCACAGAATAGTACCGTATTTATGGGTTGCAAGTTAACGATTTGAGAAACGTATCTGTATTTTTCTTCCTTAACATCAGGTGTCTGGTAACTGATGTCTATTCTGATAAGGAATCAGACCAGTAGTAACCAATATATGTTACCTCCACCAAAAATAATTTATCACTTTAACACGAACACTATGTTGCACCACAAAAAATTAGTAAAACTGGTATAGCTTTGGAAATACTTATCGTTTCGAAAAGCCTAAATCCATGATATTTACAAACGTCAAACCAAAAGGAAGCTGCATATAATCCCAAAGTCCATCTGTTCATAGCTTTTATGGTTTGGAAAAGTTAGTATTTTACTGTGAACTGCTTTAATGGCTAAATAGTTCACTTCAGTTTTTATGATTAAATTACTTCAGGTGCCAAGGGATTTTATTTTGATATCAGCTGCCAGTCAAGGTAAACTACTAGTGTGATATACAAGATATGAGCTAATGACTATCCAAATTTAATGGAGATGATAGTAATACCATACTTTTTCCAACATCTCTTTTCTAATATGTATGCCAGTGGATCTTTCATTAGGCATATGATCAATGTTTGATCATACATATACAACATATTATTTTAACTGCAAAAAGCTACACAAAGTCATTCCTACAACAAATTTATATAGTTGTAAGCTTGCAGACAGTTACGGTTTGAACATTTAGACCTCTGTTTGAAGACAACTTCTATAATACAGATATCTATATAAGAAACTTATTTGTGATGCACATATGAAAGATGTTCATCAGGTACTACATACAGATTATCTGCTGATTTGGCAAATAAATTAGCTGATTGACTACTGGCTTCATGAGGTGATTCCCGAAGTTCCAGTAAAAAATCATGACAGGTGGGGCCATTCAAGCAAAACATGAGGACAGTTACTCAACGACAGCATTGGATGGAGGTCACGCTATATCGTGAACTTACTGAAGTATGAGATATAGACCATTGGGTCCTGACCCAGTGATCCAATGGTGACGTGCTGGCCATTGTGTCTGAAAACCCTGGGTTCGATCCCCGGTGGGGCGGGGTCATGGGTGCTCACTACTAAGCAGTCCGATACTGGGTCGAAACAGCTGTCCAGTGCTCACAAGTTTCCAGTGTTTCTTCAACTAATTTCAGCCAGTGATGTATACCAACCAGAAATAAATAAACTGGCGTCACTTATATTAAAATCCAACCGATCGGAAGAGTTGAGATTATGCCTATCTAAGATTCTGAATGCTAGTGGGTAGAATGGACCTAAAGTACTTCATGAATCTGAACGAAGTCATAAATCCATATACGTATGAGGGCAAAAAACGGTCCGTTTCGCTAATAAATAAGTGATTTCTATCATCAAACAAGTATTAAATCACGTTACTAGCCAAACGTTCCTAATACTGACTTTACTTCAAAAAGAACTAATAGTTCTTAATAAACCTCCAGTTCATTTATCAATATGATACGTCATGTGATTTCAGGTCGAGGTAACTCAACTATGGATTATTCAGGACCTACTAGGACTTATCGTGGTCAAACCACTAGGGCAGTTACACGCGGTAAATGGTGAGTAAATATTTACACCTATATTCAGTGCATGAATTATCAACCTGCCTGCACCTGCATGCTATTCATTACAAAGATTGGGGTTAGTAGAACATTTAGTGAAAAAGTAGTTTAATATAAAGTTGGAAATACAGTTTGGAAAGCAGCTGTCTTCTGTCACGTAATTATTTTCATTCAAACTATTCAATGAATTTTCAACTTACCAATAGGTACTACGAGGCAGAAATTCTTACCTCTGGTTTCATGAGAGTTGGATGGGCGAAGAAAAGTGCACCTCCTGAGTTGATAATTGGCTCAAGTAACAGCTCCTTTGCTTTCGCTGCACATCAGGTAAGTGGAAATTCCAGCAAATACATTACCGATATATATATATATATATATATATATATATATATATATATAATATTCAGAAATGCTGTTCGTGAGCCTCTCCGTATGCTACCATTAACACCAATGTATGAACAAGGCTTTCACATATAGCTGAAGACAAATGAAAGTGGCAAATTAAGCCTATGTATGGTCGATTGGAAATTGAGAACGTCAGGTGCGTATTTAAGGAGGAGTTAGCTAAGTGTTTATGTGAACGTGCAAGCAATGCTCATCCTGAAGAAAGCTCACGTGATATGAAGTCTGCTGTAGAAACAGAGGTAAATACTATTGGTAATCCACATTTAATCGGATTTCCGCGACGTCATTCGAACTGTTTGATGCAAGAAGACTGATTCTGGCTTGCTCTGACTGCGATGATAAACAAAAACAACCTAAGCACAAATTCACCAGGAGTATTGCGTCGATCACAACCATTGGTGAGTAGCGAAAGCAAGAGAGGTGGAGAAGGCATCAACGTTGTGTAACACTCAGCAACTGTCTAGGCTTACTAGAGATACTAGTAAGATGATGATGTATGAAACCATCACCGAAAAGGATGGAATGCTGATGACCTCCCAGGACTGGTGGCTAGAATTTTGGGCAGAACACATTGAAGCACAGTTCCAGTGACCTTCAACAACGCTTTAGTTGCCTTACACCAAGCCTGAGCCTCAATGGGACGTAGATGGCGGTCCTCCAACCCTACTTGAAGTTGAGAAACCCATGTCTGACCTGAAACGATGCAAAGCCCTAGAACCTGACAGTTTTTGCCACTTGAAATTTTTATGGATGGAGGTAGGAAGTTGCTAATTAAAGTGGAGGAGGTACTGCGTAGTGTTTGGGAATCAGAGTTAGAGCCGTCAGACTGGTGTACTTCACTAATCATTCCAGTCTATAAGAAGGGAGAGAAATCTTGTGACAACCACAGGGGAATTAGTTTGGCTGATATTTTGTTCAAGATCCTAGCATCCGTAGTTATTTGACGCCTGACTGGAGCTCGAGAACAGCAAACTCGAGAAAACTAGACCTGGACGAGTGTGGATCGATTATATCTTTACCCCACGATAGGTCCTGGAATAGAAGCATATATATGGGTCAGTGGTCGACACTTGCTATATTTCTTGAGCTGAAGGAGGCGTTTGACTCAGTCAACCATAAGGTGTTATGACAGTATCTGAATGAAGGGAGTACCGAGCAAGTATATAACGTTAATCAAAGCTCTCTACTCGAATAATATAAGTGTAGAACTTGGGCACTGTGGTGGGATGTAATTCCATATTCTATCTGTTGATTTGATATGATTATGAGTAGTAATTTATGCGATTTATATATCAAATAAACAAATCTAGTATGAAACTCTGCTCAAAGTCATGCAGCTGTGCAAGGGCTTATGGGGAGTTATAAACGTACTCATGGATATAACCTTCGGTAGATCTGACTTCAAAGGGATCGACCTACTCCATGTAGGTTATACGATTGACATGGAGTATGCAGACGATATTGTCCTTCTAGGTGGAGATGCTGATGCTATGTAGAGTCTTCTGAACGCGTTGAGCAAAAATCCGAGTATGTTTGATATAAATTTCACTGACACCTGTCAAATGTAAGATAATGCTCCAGGACGAGTCTGCTGTAAGTTCTCCTGGTCTAATGATAGGCAGTAAAGTGAGGAAGTCTCACTAGCCCAAACGGGCTGGTTGCTGGAGAAGTTTCAGCTCTGATACAAGAGGTCCGTTTGGCGTTTGTCTAGTTACTTCATCTGTGGCGCCGACTGGCGAAATATCCGACTATCTATCTAGCAAAGGACAAGTATAATGAGCTGCAGTTCAATCTGCCCTTTGTAAGGCTATGAGATATGGCCGTTAATAGTAGCAGACATGAAGTGATCACAGATATCTTCGCAGAATTCCTGGCGTTTCGACGAATTACCATGTGAGTACTGTTGAGGTCAGGCGAAGGGTACTAGGCAAGACTGGCAAGTCGATTGGTGAGGTTGTGAACTTTATTCGACTGAGATGGCTTGATTATGTACTACGCGTACCGAGCAACCCCCTACCTCGATAATCCATGTTAGGGGAGGTTGGATTAGGTTGAAAAGGGTTCAGTGTGTCCATACCAAGACCTAACAGCAGTCGACGAAGTCCCTTACTGCTGTTCTGACCCATGTGCGGAGATGCAGACTGCTTGTATGAGGTCCGCGAGATGAAAGAAATCTTTGATATAGCTCTTTTTCTATCTACCTATTCTTCGTGTACTACTGTGAAGTGTTGCAAATTCAGTCGATGCACCTGTGTGCAAGGTTCCACGTTGATTCTGTCAGCCAGGTGGTGGTGGTGGTGGTTGGGTATTTCACCACCTCTGTCTTCTCTGTATTCACCAGAAGGAAGTCCCGTCTTCTCTACCCTGCATCACCTCTTCTGTCAACTTGTTAGTTTTCGCCTATAGATCTTCAAGTTCGTGCGACATCAGACATAAGTCATCGGCGAAATCCAAATCTTCTAGGTTCTTTTCCGCGGTTCAGTGTATCCCCCTCTTCTCGCTCCCCACTGTTTGTTGCATGATCCAGTCGACCACAATCAGGACAATCATGGGTGATAGTAGGCAGCCTTGTTTTACTTCTGTCTTCACTTCACTTCAGTGGCATCACTGAGCTTCCCATTGTGAATTACTTGGCTGGCATGTGGCGTCTTCATATAATTGTTGAATGAGATTGATGAGGTTTTGTGGTACTCCGTAGTGTTGAAGCAGTTGCCAAATTACTTGTCGGTCGACACCATCGAAGGCCTTCTCAAACTCAATGAAGTTGAGGTAGAGAGCTGACTAGGATTCTATGCTCTGTTCTATGATGATGCGTAGTGTTGTATTGCGATTTGATCCGCACATGATTTGTTCTTCCTGAAGCCAACCAGCCTGTTCGGGTCGTAGTTTTAAATCCAGCGCATCCTTTAGTCTCTCCAGGATAATGCGGCCTAATATTTTGCTTGGTGTGGGTGGACAGGAGCGTGATTCCGCTCCAGTTCTTTCAAACACTGAGGTCGCCGTTCTTTGGGATTCTGTCAAGGTAGCCCTCCCTCCAACCGATAGGCAGGTACCTTCCCTTCCTTCCAGACCTTCTGCAATAGTGGTGTGGTGTGAGCATGTCCGCTGTTGTCCCTGTGCCTGCTCTCAGTGCTTCTGGCGGGATCCCATCTGGTTCTCCTGCTTTCCCGGATTTCAGCAGCTTTGTGGCGTTCAGGACTTCTACTCTTGTCAGATGGATTGTGTTCACTGGTAATTCTGTGGCTGGGTTCCTGGTGGTATTTTTAGACGAGTTGCCAGTGGTGATCAATTCAAGAGCTTTTGAAGTGGTCAACCCATCCTTTCTTTTGTTTCTCCTCTTTGGTTACAAAGTTTCCTTCACTATATTTCATTGGTTTAGGTGGTGATCTCTTCCCAGATGGTGTTTTGGTTATTTGATATAATGTTGTCAGGTCTTTGTCTCTTCTACCTGCAGCCTGTTCTGCTTCACTTGCCAGTGTTTCGTAGAAGTGTCTTTTGTCTATGCGCACACTTCTTCACTTCTTTGTCAAGTGTTTTATACATTGTACTCAGTTCCTCTTCTCGTCGTTCATCCTTGCACTGGTTGATCTCCTGCTTCACCATCTTACTCTCTCTGCTCTATCAGCTTCCAAGTGAAAATCCGTCAAGATCCATTCCTTATCTTCTTTCTTCTTCCTTCCTAATACTGTTGTGCAGGTTTCTTTCCATATAGCTTTCAAAGAGTTCCAGTGCTCATCCACACAGGTTTCTTCAGGGATGTTCCTCGATATCTCCCATTTTGTCTTGATGGCTGACTGTCGTGAAGATTTCCTTTGTAGTTTTGTCCTTCAATTCAGTTTCTGTTCTGGGTGTTGAACTTGAATTGTGGTCTGTCACCAACTTCTGTGAAGGTTTTCAACTTGATTTTGAAGGGTCCTTGCACTAGACAGTAAGTGGTCTGAACTTTCATCTGCTCCTCTTCTTGACCTTGTGTCAAGGAGACTGCGTCTCGACTTTCTTGAGATTGAGATAAAGATGATCTGGTTTTTAGTGTGTCCTGGTGTCTGGTGATATCAAGTCCATGTCACTTTGTGAATATCCTTGTGTTTGTACTCACCGGTTCCAATCACCAAATCGTCGAATGCACAGAATTCTGCAGACAATTCTCCATTCTCATTCATTTCACCTAGCGCCTCTCGACCATGGTTAGTTCTCTTCCTGTGTTGTCCCCTCCCAGTTTAGCATTCATGTCGCCCATTAGAATTTTGATGTCACCAACTGAGGTATTGTCTATTGTTGATTGTAGTTGTCTGTAGAATTCCTCCTTCTTCTCTTCATCTGCATTATTTGTAGGTACATAGCATTGTATGATTGTGACCCTCCTTCCTTTTGAGTTGTATCTTGCTGTCATGATCCTGCGTGAAGAGATTGGTTCCCACTGCATGAGTGCCTCCGATGCTGTTGGGGACATCGTGACAGCCACTCCATAACTCAGTGTGCTCGTGGTTGTCGTCTGGGTGACCAGAGATGATTATTGACTCTCCCGTTGACAGTTTGGAGAGTCCACTTCCATACCATCTGCTTTCGCAAATTCCTAACACTTCAATGTGATACCTTCTCATCTCCTTTGCAATCTGGGCAGCCGTGGTAGGTTCAAACATAGCGCGGACATTCTATGTCCCCATGTTTAATTTGCTTTCATCGAGAGAGAGAAGACACATCGGCCAACTGGCTTCCCGAAGACTTTCACCAACTGGCGTCATTTCGTCTCTCCGATTCCAGAGAGGAATAAGTTTGTTTTCATTTTTTATATTTTGTTTATGCTTTGAAGTTTCTTTAGCGATTGGATTGGTTTTCCGGGGTGGGGTTGCTAGCCCTATGCCCAACCTTCCCTCTTTACCCGGGCTTAGGACCGGCTAGTAACTAGTGAACTAGTTAACCAGGACCTATGACTTAGTTAACAACTATTTATTTCCTTTTGTAGGCACGTAAGTGGCACAGAAATGGGTCTACTTATGGTACAGTTTGTCAACCAGGCGATGTAATTGGTTGTATGCTGGATTTAATCGATAAAACGATTTGTAAGTTGTACGAACATCTGAACATGCACTTTTTCGATATCATTATTTACATGGTCTTTTTAAGATTTAATAATACATATGAATTTATATGTATACACTGATACTATATAAATTCAACATTTTGTGTTGATCTGTTTTTGAGTTACAATATAGTTTTTGATGTTTATGTTCTACTAGAAGTTTGAGTACTCATTATTTTACTACCCATTACTTAAAATTCTGTTATCTCACAAGTAAGATGAATAAAAGTTAGTCAATCATAACGTAACATGTCACCTTATCCCAAAATTTATAAGCCTAGAAAAATCAAACATGAGTGAGGGAGTACAGCTTGAAGAGTATGGACAAATAAGCGGTTCTGCGCAGAGGGTGTTGGATGATTAAAAATGGTACAACCGTTCACAGTCGCCTGTAGAACTAAGATGATTGAGAACCTCTCTATCTGCTGCATTGCTCATCAGAGAAGTTTCACACAGCTTTTTCGACAAAACAAAGAAAAGATGTAAATTGTCTGAACGGTGTAACAGATTTGCACAGCACAATTCGAACAGTCTGATCACACACATATGTGTAATAGATATTTATATGAAAATTCATTCAGATGAGGAATGAAAACATGAAAAGAGGTCAAGTAGGAAAGTTGAATTGATGGTCAAATAACAATGAAAATCAAAACAGCAAAAACGACAGCACATCGAACTTGGTTTCAAAGTTGAATTCCCCAAGTGAGATTTAATATGATAACTAATCGTGTCTGAGTAAACGAAAGTAGTTTGAACTTCCTAATATCTAAGTACTCTAGAAATTTAAGGATCTATCCCTTACACGTGTTGTAAATAGGCTTAAAGAAGGTAGTCACGTCAATCCTGTGCCGTCTCAACGATATGTTTCGCGACTGGAAAACTTAGATATCTGCTACCAATGTTTATAGGTTCAGGTGATTCATTTTGCTCCTGAAGCCACTTTAGAATATGATTTGAGGCTCTACCTTGGATGAGTGTATGGAAGCTCCCTTTGTGAGTGTCAATGCATGTACATTTGAAGTAGTAGAAGCAATGGGATGTGACATTGTCATTAACATGCATTAAGGGTTTTAGAGAGTATACAGGCTTGGTGTTTTCTATTAGTTGGACCCTTGCTGTATAGTAAGTCTCTTTTTAAGGATTGTGCTGTGAAAATCACCTTTGTACAGTAGACTGATAAAGACATCTTTGAAACAGTTAGTCCGTTTTATGAATTTCGATAGCGTAATTAGAAGACGAAGTTTGTCTGAGCAATGTGATGTATTTGCGTAATACATTTCGAACAATCTGATCACACATTCACTTGTCAAGTCAATATATATATTAAACCGAGGACTGGGACGTGTGTGGTCACACATACATAGGGAGGAGTAATCAAGTCATGTAGTTGAGGGTGGCAGAACATGTGCCTAAATGGCTTCAAAATAAATGGAGTGTAAAACAGTGATAAACCCTGGTGGGAGACCACATTCTTCATCTATAGTTAAACATATCATAGAAACAGGTCACAAAGTTAATGTTCAAACAGCTTTCAAAGTCTTATATAGAAACAGTCAGCAACGTATTCTGAGATTTGCCAAAGCCATAGCCATACACAAATTTAAACCACCTTTATATGTACAAAAACAGTTTGTTATTACACTACACCTACCTTGGTAAACTTTGTTTTCTTACCGAGATTAGGATCAACTATGTCACTTCCTGTTTATCCTCATCTTTCTTAATTTTAATCCTTTATTGTGTTAATTGTTGTATTTATCCCCCCCCTTCCCCCACAGTTCTAGGTTTAATATATATTGACTTGATAAGTAAATGTGTGATCAGATTGTTCGAAATGTATTACGCGAATACATCACATGCTCAGATAAACTTCGTCTTCTAATTACGCTATCGAAAGACATACTTCTTCGGGAGGGTGAAGAGCACGTCCAGTTTTTTTCTTAAATTAATCACCTTTCGTGAACATGTGAAAGTAGTCTACTTATTTACCCTTATTATTCGACCAAGAATTTTTAACACTTTTAGATTAGATGATTTAATTATAAATTTAAAACAATTTAGAAAAATACAAAATGCCAATCTGATACCTGTCTAAAAGGTCATAAAGATATTAACGGTTTGCAGTAGCCATTGCAATATGATTAGAAATACACAACAGATGTAAACAAATATCTTATATTGACTCCCATGCTCTTATTAAGGCTATCCAGATTAGATTTAGAAATCTTTAAGTGAGGAAACAATATGGAAGAGTTGTATAAGAATTATAAACAAAGTGGCTTACATAATAAAGCTCAGAAAATAATAGATATAACTAACGAGCAACATATTTTTGTCGTGAACTGTAGAAAATGAAATAGTTGGTACCTAGGATAATAAAAATAAACAGATGGTTCATTACATTTAATAAACTAGACAAATAGGATGATTCATTTCACTGTTCAAGTTGACATTTTTCACAGTTGAGTAGTTTAGCAGCTGCCAAACTATGGTGTAATCAAGGTTTTCTTTGGAAAGCACCCAACCAAGATCAAAAGATGTGGTCTCTGACACAAAAGTGTCACAAACTAACGAAATATACAACTGAACAACTTGAGTGGTTTCCAATGAAAACCCTGCTGACACCACAGTGGGGCAGTTGAAAAACTACTCAACTGTGGAGAATATCACCGTGGATCGTGCGGCTTGTAAATCATTTGTTAATTGATCATCTTATTTAGGGTGTGCTAGGTCATCCAAGTAAGATAGACAAATCCAAGGGATATGAACACTTTGGTTCTGTGAATTGACTTTGTCCTGGTACACTGCTGATGAGCTCTGTTCCAAGCGAGCGAATCGACTTTCCATAGATAGGATCATTCCATTCTGGCTGACGAAATCCACAGATCGGCGCATGTGGCTTTTAACTACTCAAGTTGTTCACTAGTAAACTGGACAGAATACGATAAATGTGTCAGAATTGTACTGAATCATGTGAACTAGCTATTTTAACACATTCTTAGTTCCATCTTTCTGATACCTTCACTTCTACGTTTTCAGTCCTTTCCCCTCTTTTTCTTTTTGAAAGTTACAATAACTGAAATCTATGTCACAGTTTCGGTTCAATGAAACCAATTGAATCTCACAACATTTTCATAAAATTGGAAGCAATAGTCTAAGTTTACACTCGATCATTGAATAAGTCTAGATAAATTTTTACGTTTTATACACTAACTGGTTTGTATGATTATAATGAATCATTTAATCTGATTTAACATTTTAGCATTTTCATTGAATGGAGAATTAATGATGGATCCACTTGGATTGGAAATAGCATTCAAACATATCAAAGTGGATGAAGGTAAACTCTCTCCCTACAGTTATTTTCTTGTTTTGATTTCCTTTACAATTCAGCATTTTAACATCCTATCAGCTGGTTGACTGTAAGATCGGTTACACGAAATCCCATGGCTCCAACATTGCCATATAACAAGTTTTCTTTAGCATAAATCATAAACACTGAATGTAATAGATTCTTCTACCAACCGGGTAAATCTCAGACATTGCAACTAATATGTTCAAAGAGTTTATTTGCATTCACGTAGTTTACATACACAAAGATGACAAATATCATCATGTCTTTGAATAACCTGTCATTCTTCACCCCCTATAAACATACTATCGTTAGAGTTGGTAATTACACCTCTTTTTGGTTCACCTCTCTTTTGAATTTTGTTTTAAAACATGGTAACCTAAATCAGTGGAATACAGTCTGTGTCCAATTTTCGCACGGTTAGTAAATCATCCATAAAAATTACTTACAAACCCATTTACTCTTCCCCACGAACATCAGATTTGATATTTAAAGACAAATCACTGACATTTTTAATAAGTTAATGTAGGAATAAAACTACGGTACTTTGGTAAATCTTATTTCCTTTAGTCTGTACATGAAATGTATCACATAGTGAAATGGTATTCCTTACCGTATAACATTTTGGACACAATTTCTTTTTCGTATTCATATTAAGGTGAGGTTCGTATTTTCTTTCAGGCAGTGTTTATAAACAGGATTTGTTCAAATCGACGTTATTCTTCTGAAAACCAGATGCAACTGTATTTCATCTGAATATTTATTTCATAGATTGTTGTTCAAAATTCTATATTAACAATACGAAATTATGCAACTAAAAAATATTTCCGTTTTTCAGAGCCAAAATCTGTTCTGAAAATAAAGTAAATGTTTGTAGGGGACTCCTTATGTAAAACAGCTGAATTAAACACTCTACAAAACTAAGTTAAGAATTTTGTCCCTCCCGAAAGTCGATCAGTCATGATAAAAAGTTCGAAACGAAAGAAACCTAAAAGCTACACTGAGTAACGTCTGCATTCATACAAAATATGTTAACTTTCCTGATTACCTTCCTCAGAAGGTGAATTATATTTATGCAGCAAATAAAGGAAACTGTGAGCTGTTAATAAAATAAAATTTTCAAAGGTCGTTTATAAATTCATTGGTAATCACAAGGTAACCAACTTCATGCTGTCTAGTCCTAAGTGGTGATCAAATCCTATATGATTATATTATGGGGTCATTAATCTAGGAGACTCACGATAACGGTGCACTACATCTCATGTCAGTTGATTGGAGACATTCAGCAGAAAGGAACTATTCAGTTAAATCCATTATCCTAATTTGTATACGTACTAAGGCTTGGAGATTGTTGATAATATCATGACATACTTATATATATTACGGCCAAAACGACACACACTGTTTAGTGGACAGTGAGACGGTATAACTGTAGCTTATCTCTTTATCTATATTATGAAATTGAATTTGAAATCCCAAAGGATACCAATCACTACTCATTTTCCAACTAAAGTGACTTTTCTGCGGGAAGATAATTTGTTGTAAATGAGCTCAATACACATTACTTTCACGTAAAGATTTAATTCGTTCATCAAGCAACTGTCCAGGAGTATTATAACTTGAAACTTTTGATTGTTTGAGCAGAATCTTTCCAGATACACTGTTGATAAACGCATTTTGAAACAGTAAACGACACTCATTGAATATCACTCTTCAAACTTTCGCTAGATATATTAAATAGTAATTAAGAAGTGAACACGAAGTGGTTAGATAACTTGGAATGTGCGGTTGACTCTTTCCATTAGAAGGGAAAGCTCTGGGGGCCTCAAAAATACAGGAGTTTAACAATTAATACAATCAAGAAAAAAAGATTCCTTTGAAAGACCGGATTATTATCACAGGACTGTTTTTGCAGACTGTCTATTAACTATTTTTTTGAAAGATTGCAGTACAGTGCCTTCGTCCTCATCAAAGATTGTTTTTCTTTTGAAAACATTATGATTAAAAGGTTATGTGCCGGCATTTTCTCTTGGTTCTGGTCAACAAGTCAAAATCAATTATGGAAATAATGTTCAGTCACTGAAATTCTTCACTTATTGCGGTCTACAAGAAGGATACAAACCACTAGGAGTGTGAGTCAACTTTTTTTCTGTATTTCATCTGATGTAATATTTTATTTGACTTTTGAATATTACCTGTCAATAAGCCATTCTACGAATGATGATGGTTTGGTGTCCGCTGATCTGTGGTATTGATAAATATCAACCCATCAGATAACACCAAACCACTATCAGCCTCATCCTGAGCTGCAAACCTTTTCCATCATTTCAACATTCGGCGAATAATTATGTCAAAAAACTGGTGATTAGAGATCCGTTCGATTCTTTTAGTAAGTTATTAATAATGAAAAGGGGAAAAGGAAATGATTTTTAAGAATCGTTGATATGAATTGATTGTATAGTAAAACACAATATCTCAACACTTCGGTGACGAAAACAGTACACATCGCGTTTTCTAGTTATTCAGCCTTATGGTCACATCTTTTCTATCCAACAAACTTCGTTGACTATTGCGAATGAATTCATAATAGCACCTACAATTTCGTGATAAATTTCCTTAAGTTGTGAAGTTGACCCAGGAGCTATTTGTTAACCGGATAGCCGATCCATGAAGTTTATAAATTCGGAGCTAGACGAGCCCATTTGAATATCAGATAAAGAGTATTTTTCTCACTATTCTCTATTCAACGGCATGAGATCTAAATACAAGCTTCTCTGAATTTCTTTTCATCTATTCAATATCAAACAAACTAGACTACTAAATGAGATCAATCGGCTCAGTGTTCACAAAACATTATTCTATCTTTGAATCAAGGTCAGTGCTAGAGGTTAATATGTGAGATCTGTTCACATATCGAGGTATTTTTGAGCACAAAACAACGTCTTAGAGCTAATTCAGAGCCAAGTTGCTCACTGGAAATGTACCCCATTAAAGTGATGCAAAATGTGCGTGTATTCACTATGGCTGCAAGGGTTTTTTGACAGAAGATAACCAAGAAATACCACCTAAGTTTAGTACTTTCTACTGTTTATCTCACTAATGTAGTTGAATTATATTCTTTGCTTAGACGAAAATCATACCGATGAGCTGTAGAATTATTTGTAAAAAATGACTAAAGTCTTCAGTGACCTTAAGCACTTAAAAACATTCATAGGTTATTGTGGAATCCGGATGGAATAAGAAATGAAGGGACCACTAATTATTGCTATTACTACCAATACAAAAATCGGTTTCACATTTTCCTGTTTCTCTAATGCGTCAATTTATTATTATTTGGCCTCTGGGTTCCCAGTGGAACATAGGGTTTCAGTAGCACGTCTCCATTTTACTGTTCTTTACAATCTAGCACGTGGCCTAGCGTGTGATGTCCAATCCAATCCATCTCCACTTTCTTCTGCATATTTGTTCTGCGATGGGTACCTGCTTCGTTGGTTCGTTGTCAGCCATCCAGAGTTTCTTGTTGCCTATTCTTATTATTTTGGCCGTCTGATTTCCATCTTCAGTATCCAGTGGAGTGAGCGTAGGTGGCAGCTGTTGTTGTATGTCTGCAGTTCGTTAGAAATGCTTTTCGTGACGCGCCAAGTTTCTGAACCACCACATAGAAGCACTGACTTACTTGACTGACATTATTGTTGAAAATCCGGATCTAGTGCAGTGCAGTAGATCTCCACAATGATTTCAGGTTAATGAAGGCCTGTCTTGCTGTCTTTCCTATCCTGGCTGCTTCGACGTCCTCATCTTTGCATGTATCGCCTGTAGTTGAAACGATGCTCCCTAGGTGGCAAGTGAAAGAGACTACTTACATTAGATTTTTCCCGTTCATGGTGATTGGCGCTTGTTGTTGGTTGGGTGTCTTCATCATCTCTGTCTTCTCTATGTCCATCTGAAGGAAGTCTTGTATTCCCTTCCCTACCTCTTCTGTCAACTTGTTAGTTTTCGCCTGTAGATCTTCGAGTTTGTGCGACATTAGACATAAATCATCATGGATGAAATCCAAATCTTCTTCTAGGGTTTTCTCATCGATCCAACCACTGCATGACCATCTTCTTGATCCTCACACATTGTTGCCTGGTCCAGTCCAGTCCAGTCCAGTCAACCACAATCAGGAAGATGATCGATGGTAGTAGGCAACCTTGTCTTACTCCTTTCTGTCTTCACTTCAAAGGCATCACTGAGCTGAGCTTTCCATTGTGAATCATTTGGCATTTAGCATCCTCATATGGCATATAGCTGCTGTTGAATGAGTTTGAAAAAGGTTTATGTCACTAAAACCGTAGTGTTGAAGCAGTTGCCAAATTACTTGTCGGTCGACACCATCGAAGGCCTTCTCAAACTCAATGAAGTTGAGGTAGAGAGCTGACTAGGATTCTATGCTCTGTTCTATGATGATGCGTAGTGTTGTATTGCGATTTGATCCGCACATGATTTGTTCTTCCTGAAGCCAACCAGCCTGTTCGGGTCGTAGTTTTAAATCCAGCGCATCCTTTAGTCTCTCCAGGATAATGCGGCCTAATATTTTGCTTGGTGTGGGTGGACAGGAGCGTGATTCCGCTCCAGTTCTTTCAAACACTGAGGTCGCCGTTCTTTGGGATTCTGTCAAGGTAGCCCTCCCTCCAACCGATAGGCAGGTACCTTCCCTTCCTTCCAGACCTTCTGCAATAGTGGTGTGGTGTGAGCATGTCCGCTGTTGTCCCTGTGCCTGCTCTCAGTGCTTCTGGCGGGATCCCATCTGGTTCTCCTGCTTTCCCGGATTTCAGCAGCTTTGTGGCGTTCAGGACTTCTACTCTTGTCAGATGGATTGTGTTCACTGGTAATTCTGTGGCTGGGTTCCTGGTGGTATTTTTAGACGAGTTGCCAGTGGTGATCAATTCAAGAGCTTTTGAAGTGGTCAACCCATCCTTTCTTTTGTTTCTCCTCTTTGGTTACAAAGTTTCCTTCACTATATTTCATTGGTTTAGGTGGTGATCTCTTCCCAGATGGTGTTTTGGTTATTTGATATAATGTTGTCAGGTCTTTGTCTCTTCTACCTGCAGCCTGTTCTGCTTCACTTGCCAGTGTTTCGTAGAAGTGTCTTTTGTCTATGCGCACACTTCTTCACTTCTTTGTCAAGTGTTTTATACATTGTACTCAGTTCCTCTTCTCGTCGTTCATCCTTGCACTGGTTGATCTCCTGCTTCACCATCTTACTCTCTCTGCTCTATCAGCTTCCAAGTGAAAATCCGTCAAGATCCATTCCTTATCTTCTTTCTTCTTCCTTCCTAATACTGTTGTGCAGGTTTCTTTCCATATAGCTTTCAAAGAGTTCCAGTGCTCATCCACACAGGTTTCTTCAGGGATGTTCCTCGATATCCCCGATTTTGTCTTGATGGCTGCCGTGAAGATGTCCCTTGTAGTTTTGTCCTTCAATTCAGTTTCTGTTCTGGGTGTTGAACTTTGAATTGTGGTCTGTCACCAACTTTTGTGAAGGTTTTCAACTTGACTTTGAAGGATCCTTGCACTAGACAGTAAGTGGTCTGAACCTACATCTGCTCTTCTTGATTTGATCTTGTGTTCAGTAGGATGCACCTCCGCTTTCTTCAGATTGATGTAATGTTGATCTGATTTTTGGTGTAGTGTGTCCTGTTCCTTATGGGTTAGACTGGTTTTACGGGTTAGGGTTCCTATCCCTGTGCCCAACCTTCCCTCTTCATCCGGGCTTAGGAGCGGCTAGTAACTAGGGACTAGTAAACTAGGTGAGGTTAATGTGTCAGTTACATTCAACTATTTGCGCTCAAAATACTCAAAAATGTTTATTTTAATTCAAATGGTCATCAATTACTAAAAATAATCTTTTTATAATTTTAGAAATATGTGTCGACCTTTGCCTATGTGGTATTCTCGAGAAGATCCATCGTTGTTTGTTGATGTCAGCAGGCAGCATCCTTCATTAAAAGTTACCGTGTCTTCTGGATCGTAAGTGTTTATTTATTTATCCACTGAATTGTTATTATCATTATCGTCATCAATATTAACTATTTCAACGGATTCTAGGCAAAAATGCACCATGAATTTTTGCTAACATCTGTAGCAAAAATTGATACATATCTGATTTTTATTAGTAGGTGATCACTTTATATCTCAATATATTTGGTATCCTACGAAAAACTCTAGATACATAGGAGTTACAATAGCATTTCAGAGTAATACAACGCCTTTTCACACATCAAAAAAGTGCTTTCACTTTTCATTCAGTCAGTAATAATCAGCCCCCCTTTTGATATAAGGCTCTTAATTAACTCATGAAAACTACCAAAATATGTTTCAACCACGTATTTTCTGAATGAAGTTATTTAAATCGTATCTGAAATTCAGACATCTGTAATTCCTTTCAGTGAGTGAATTTTTCAATTCTTGAAACTTTCACTTGGCATATGTTAACAAGTAGTCATTTGCAACATTAGTATGAGATTTTTAGTATCATATGAGTTACCCAAAGTAAAACTTTCAGGTAAACTTGATGTCATATTCGGTACAGACTACGTAAATGAAATGGTGTTCTGAGAATCAGCTGATGTTCAGTTATTATTTCTGTTGTATTTTGCGTGATATTTAAAGTGAGGATATAATTTTTGTCTGGTGGATTACATTTTTTTGTTTGACAACGATCTTTGAAAACATGAAGTACACGTCTAAAGCTTTTTTTTTATAACCTACTTAGTCACATTATAAAAATGATAAGATTTCAAATCCAGCTAGTTTAAAGCAAAACATGTCATTATGTTGTGTTGACTGCACTCATAAACAGTAAATTACTGATCAAAAAAGGTCACTTTTGATGAGTGGAAATAATCTGCTGATAAATTTCAAAAAACGAGCATAAAATAAAGCAACCATTATATTACTTCTTTCGTTTCTTTGCAGGACACCTACTTTCAAAGTGACTGTTAAACAAGCTGATATGTCATCTGAAGAAACACAATTCTTACGACTAAGTTTGGGCACACGTTGTAAAGATCATTTCACATCGAAGTAAGTTTATCCTGTCTTCTTTTGTGCACTGTTAAAGTTCATAACTTCATGTTTGGGATATGATTTATTCTTGGTCACACGTATTTTATGATCTCTTCATTCCGATCCACGATAACAAAAGTGAAATTTTAAATGAGTTTTGAAAATGGATGGTAAAGATAGGTGTTAAAAAGTGTAGATGGAAATATTGAAAAGTTTTTTTTTAATGATATTACATACTTGGTAATGCCTAAAAAATTGAGTACGCCAATGAAATATGAAATAAGCTATTTCAACTATAATAATAGATGGCTGTCAGACTGCAATCATGCTAATGTCATGTTCATCAGTTGCTATAAGTCTTATTCACCGAAGTTACAATTTTCTATTCATGAGTAAAATTATTCAGTTCATCCTATAAGACCCCAATATTATCCTGGTTAATACTCAGCGACAATTTTTTCAGTCGAAAATTTGTTAATTCATATGGTCATTTTTGTTAAGAACACCTTGCTGGTAAAAGTTTTACTTGTATAACTACACAAAGCTTACTTAAATAGCGCGTAAAAGTTTCTAATGCCCAGCACTTACTCAGGATCATCACTTTAGTTCGTAAATTAAAACCTAAATTAGTTTCTTTCGGAAATGTAAACTGTTAGTAGTCTGGATGATAATAAACCACTCTTGAACTTCATTCATTTGCTTATGAATTGAGATTGTGTTTTATGGTATTTCTGAAACTTTGCATTAATATCTTACTGTGATTTCTGTTTGTATAGAAGTCTAAAGGAACGTCATGCGCATCTTGACACTTTGAGACGTCATCTTGAACCAGAACCAATATACACTCAGGGACCCGGAGTTGGAGACTCCAGCAATTTGGTTATGATGGGTCAGGTAAATGTTCACTGTTGTATTCGTGTGGAAAACTAATTGCATTATATTGCTTCTAGTTTATTTGAATTTAAACATTTAATCAGTTACCAACAGAATATTTCCCTGTTATTGACATCTGAGCTTCTCATTTTATACTATGTGTATCGCAGCACTTTTCGACATGAAGGTTTCCACAGCGTATAATTGCCCTTAAATATTCAGTAAAAAAGCAGTCATATTGTCTTTATGTAGTATGCTAGAGAAGAATTTGCAAAGTAAAGAAGTTGTATGCGAAATAATAAAATTTTGACTTCCTAAAAAAGAGGATGCGACTAAGTCGAAAGCTTTATTTATCAAGTCCATTTCAAGTCTTGTCTCTGATAATTATTCCCACTAACAGTTTTGTCGACTTAAAGTTGTTATCCACATAGTCTTTATTTGGTTATCTGATTTATTTCAGTAGTGACAGGACTCACAAAGTCAAGGTAGTTTTATCATGAACCGAAATCAGCTGAAGAACTGTTAAAAACTAAAAGCACTGAATAACTGTTTTGTCCTAGTTTATGACATCTTAGCGGCAGGTATTGGTATACAAACACCCGATTTAAAACTAACTTTTAATCATGTTTGAGTACTTAACTACTTTCATGCATCATTATGATTACTTCTGTACATGATCACACAACTCGTTGCCCAACAGCTTACGCTCCCGACCACCGTTCAGTAGATGATGGGACTGACATTACCTTTATGATAATAATAATACTAACAACAATCTAACTCACGCACATACACATGTGAATTGTAAAATTCTGTTTATTCTACGGTCCAACCTTCTATGAAGATGAAACATGTCATTTAGTACCCAGAACAAAGAATGATACACAATTAAATTCAAAACACGGTTAGCGATTTTGACACTGTAGATCATACGACAAATAATTAGTCGAAAAGAAGTCGATAAACAAACGAATTATAATCTCTATAGTGCACTTTTCTTCGTGTTGTTATAACATGTTGATCTGACATTGTATCCTTTAAGGTATAAAGTGTCTTATTAGGTGCTAATACCTCTTATTGACGTGTTACAAGCGTTATCATATGATTTATCTCAGTCATTTTGATTTCAATCACTGATGGCGAAAGTAGATGTGCTCTTGTTCAACTGAATAAATGTCGTTCTGTAAAGGATTCGGTAGTAAAACACTGTTGTTTGATTCCATATTAGATGTTTAATTGATTTATAACATACAGTGGTCTGGTATTGTTTACTTGATGACGTTTTGAGCATAAATTATTGCTCATGATCATATCAATGAAATCACTACTTTCGACATTTGATCTTTATGGTTACGTCACTTTATATGAGTTGTTTTTATTGGTAGCAAAATTTTCCGGTATAGGTGTTGCGCCATTTCTATTACATGTGTTGAGTGTTGATTAGATGAACAAAGATTCAGTAATCAATCTCTGTCTCCACCTAATTATATTGGACTTAAGTACAGTGGCCTTATCCCACCTTATTGTGTGGTTGTGTGTTAATGCATGCATAGCGATGGCTGAGTTTTTTTTAGATTATTTATTCTATTCTTATTTATTCTATTATTATCCTATATTTAGCTAAGTTCCTATGTTCGGCTATTCTAACTGAATCCTCAATAGAGCTGAAATTAGGGTGGTATTTAAACCTACAAACTCATTCATATTTAAACTTTGTCGGCTTAAGGAGCGGATAGAACCAATTAAGCAAAATAATATTATCTATCAAATACAATGTAATGACTGTCAGGTCAAGTATATAGGTCAAACTAGTCGGTCAGGGTCAGTTAGAATAGCCGAACATAGGAACTTAGCTAAATATAGAATAAATAAGAATAGAATAAATAATCTAAAAAAAACTCGGCCATCGCTATGCATGCATTAACACACAACCACACAATAAGGTGGGATAAAGCCACTGTACTTAAGTCCAGTATAATTAGGTGGAGACAGAGATTGATTACTGAATCTTTGTTCATCTAATCAACACAACACATGTAATAGAAATGACGCAATACCTATACCAGAGATTTGGAAAATTGTTTTATGCATTTCACTGATATCTCTTTAGTCCTACTTCACCAATATGATATAGTGTGGGTCAAACAATTTTACTGGATATTCTATAGTTTACCAACACAACGATCAAAAACGCTCGGTGGTTGCATTCAATACAAGATTGGATTTACATCATCTATCTATCAAGTCAGAGACAACCACTCATCAACATAGTAAAACTTGGGGACTGTGGTAGATTCTATTTCAGTCTGTTAATTAGAAATGTCACACAGTGAAACAGTATCATTTACTTGATAACGCGTTTCCGACACAACGTATTGTCCGAATTCATATCATGTAACCCCACAACTTTGAGACAGTTTATACAGTTCTAATTAAAAGTAAATTATAACTATATAGATTTTGTTTCAAAGTTGTGAAGTTACATGATATGAATTCGGACAATACGTTGTGTCGGAAACGCGTTATCAAGTAAATGATACTGTTTCACTGTGTGACATTCTTAATAAATAAACTAAAATGGACAGTATCACTCACCTATTCAGGCCGTGATTGTTCTCGCGGTGCTTTGTAACACTGAGACTTCTAGATTGTTGACCATATGACAAAATGGTCGATGGAACATGGTCAGCACTAAGGTCTAGTCAATATAAAATCGGTTATCCTGCAGTAATCAACTGATGTAAAATGCAAATAAGTATATATCTATCAGTAAATGTTATGTTACACAAGTAAAGCAAGACACCACTTTGAAGTTTACAAGCACCTTCGATTAAAACATTCATCATTATCTTCTTTTTGCACAAACATATTGTGCACCTAGCCTCACTGGACAAACAATCAATAAAAAAGTTTATTTTCAACATGCTTATGAAATATTTAAGTGTAGATTACGAAAACTGAGTTTTTCAAACTGGTCCTATTGTTGTTAAAGCACCTGGAAGCAAATCTGAAAAATATTTAAATACATAAAGTGTGTCATATTTTTAGAAAGAAATCTAGTTAGTGCTTTTCAAAAACATTTCAAGAAGGATGAAACGAATTAACATAAACTGAAGTGCACTGTAATTACTGCATTAGGGTAACAAGCATGTAATAATCAAAACTGATAGTAGAAACATATTTAAAACTTATCTTTCAGAATAGTCTTTACGTTGAATAGGTCCAATATACAGAAACATCTGTAATAACTTTCCAAAATTTATAAGTATATGTCTAAAATTCCAATGAAGTAAAAAGAATAATTTCTAACATTTTCTAGCTCGTGGAAGTTGCTTCAACAGATTTATATTCTGAATATTGGACTTCCATGAGGACGAAAATCGTCAGATATTTTCTACCTCATCGGGATTTTAAAAATGTGTTACCTTTATAATCCACTTACCCAATGCTCAATATATTCAATTCTATCGGGCCAAATTTTGATCCTGGAGTCTATAAAATCATTTTAAAAATATTTTTTCTTGAACTAATCCGAATTATTTTTGATAATTTTGAGTAATAACTACTCTCGTCCGTAGAACCTTCGGGTTTAAAAATCGTGAAATTTGCGAATTCATTGAAACCTAAAGGTAAATCAGCTACATATTAAAGGTCGTTTAAGAAATATCCCATAGTTTTACGTTTAACTTAAAAGAGAAAAACTTTTAAAAGACAGTCGTACGAAGAGAATAGACGTGTGCTACACAAGTAACTGACAACCTACGTAAAGGGTTCAAAAGTAATCGCAACCACCATGTCTAGTGAGAACTGCTACTGTACAAATGTGCAAAAACGTTCAGCGAAACATGTAGAGGTAGATCGAATGAATTGAAGTGGAGGAGAAATGTTATTTTAAATGTTTTATTATTAAAATCAGGAAGATAGTGAAGCAGTTGTTGCTTGAGTGAACAGTTCTTACTCTTACCAAATCATCAATCCTCATGATTTATGCAAAACAAATCCTAATTTTTCTTTCCTTTTTCCATTTTATTTTACAGGATATTACAGCCTCCACATTAGAAGTTCGAGACAGACGTGGAAAGAAAATCAGACTCGGCAATATGTTTAAGAAAGCCAGGTCAAGGGATCCAAGTCCAGAGGTTACTTCCACTCTAGGTGGAGGAGGTTAGGATATAAATGCTTATATTTTTTAAATGTTTTCTTTTCTTCTGGCCCTAATGAACAAATTCGTAAAGCGGATAGGTTCGATGAGTGATCTGTCTCATTCAGAAGAACTGTCTTGATGACTCATCAACAATCAAATATGAATTTCGATGAAAATAGTTATCCTTTCTGCCTTTCAACGGAGGTGATAGGTATTCAACCAAAACATATATGTATCCGAATATAATCTTTAACCTCTATTCGTTTAAGCATTTTCTTCTAGTGAAAAATTGTCTAATTAAAGGTGATTTCTTAGGGTTTACAATTTTCCCCATTGCAAATGATCACGATCCTTTTGTCATCTTTCACCCTGACCCAGGTCTTTTCTAAAGAACTAGAAGGTTTCCAGAAGAATTGAATACCATAAGCAACAGACTTTTAGAATCTCCTCAGCAATACTATCTGACATGACATTGAGATAACTAACACCCATGGTTTTGTCTTGATCTTATTTTCAGAACTCATTTCCTTTTTTTTCTGACTGATGGTATTGTTTAAACCTTTGTCTGTCCCCTTTTTTATATTAAGCCTACCGTAAATTGTTAGTACCCAGAACATAGTTGTTATGAATGAGCGATGAATTCGATTTTATCATTTTAAAAACTAACTTTAATAAAATCCCAGTGCGTTTTAGAAATCGGAAGATTTTTTTAATTTTCCATTGTTCAAGTCACAACTTTTTCAAGACCGATTCACTGAGATTTTCAAACCAGAACATAACATATTTGCTCCTACTTCTTTTTCATACAATATGATCACGCAACTGACACTATTGGTGCTGCTGATTTCCGAATAATTCGATCCCACTGATATTTTCACTGATTTCTCCTAACTTACAGCTGGTGGTTCCTTACTAAGTGGTGGTGGGAGCAGTCTTACTGGTGGAAAACGAGGTGGTACCCATGCTACTACTGGATCTTTAGGTCCTTCCGGTGCTGCTGCTGGGGGAGGTCAAGGGAGTGCCGGATCCGGTAGTCTTCTTTCTGCAACAGCTGGCGGGTTCTCTAGTGGTATTACTAGTTCACAAGTTGCGCAAGCTCAAATGTCTCAACATCCTGGACATCTTGAACAAAATATTCCCGGGTTGGTGGAGGTCAGTTTCAAATGCATCACGCAGTAACGTCGACACCAGGAGCTGTTCCAAGTGGCATGAAAAATACTAGAGCAGGTGCAACTAGCCCAGATGAAATAGATCTTTTCCTAGTAAGTTGAAAGTATCAACCAATTTGAATAATTTTGATAAGAATTCAAATGAATAACTTACCCTGTAGATGAAATACCTAATTGTTAGTAAAATAGACAAGCAAATATGAAGTGTTGACTTCAGTTAGGGACCATAAAATGAAGTAGTTATTGTACACTGTCCAACCCTACATATATACGCAGTCATGACGTTTTTATTTCTAAATAGTGGAATATAGTTATATCCATCGTAGTGATAAGCTTTTTTAATCAACACACCACGATATAAAAGTGACTTGAAAGTCACCCCAGCAACTGCTGAGATAACCGATCATGTTAAGGCATTTCGGCTGGGACAAGAGTTTTTAGAAAATACGAAAAAGTTATTGATTATCTCAGCTGCTGCTAGAGTGGCCTTTGAAGTTATTCCAATATAACAGCTGTAACAACTAACTGCCTTATATATGACAGTTTTAATATCGTATGTCCCACCTATGACTTTCAGACTTCAGAGGGGCGACTATAAAGGCCACCCTAGCAACGGTCAAAATAACCAATTAGATTCCTCTATTTCGACTGAAAAGGCAGATTTTCAGGCTGATTGGTTGTTTCTGTTGTTCCTGTGGTTACTTTTAATCAATCCCTTCAGAGGGATTGACAAAGGTAACCGCAGCAACTGATGAGATGACCAATTAGACCTCTATATTTTATGAAAAACTTTCTGCCCGGAATACCGAAACCTGATTGGTTATTACAGTGGTTACCAGAGTGACCTTTAAAATCGCCCCTTCAGAGATAGGATGCATCAGTCAAAATAACCGCTGCTCATAAAAGTCAATCATTTCTGATTGGGCTTTGAGAGGTGAATATTAAACTATAATTACACTGAAACTCACTGAATCAATGGAAGTCTATATCTTTCTGATAAATACTATGGTTTAGAGTCACTTTCGGGGTGGACTTAATTTTGCGTTATGATAGACACCCAACTATACATCTTTATCAATATTAAAAGAATAATGCAAGATTATCTCTGATAGACAAAATAACGTTATGATACGTTTCAAACAAATGTATCACTTACAAGTAGGAATAAACTATTTGTTAAATACATTTTTCTCAAGAAATCTACATGTACTGTATCCAAATCTATTAACTTGTTTATCCTATGTGAACTGACTGAACAGTTTGGGCAAATGAATAATATCCTTCAAATCTTACTTTCCTATTAAAACTATTTTATAATTTGTGGTGATCTTTTTCTGACTGTTGTTGTCATTTTCACAACATTTTCATTTTAGCCAACATCAGGCGGAAATACTAGTCCATTAGCTAATCTGGTTGATGAATTCTCATTCACAGTACTAGTCTTACCTGGACAAGATCCTGGTCTTGTTCATATTGGTTGGGTTACCAGTTACTTCAAACTAACTAAATCAAATCCAGCTGACAGTATGAGTGGACTTTTAAACGCTGCATCAACCCAACAACAATATGATTCCACAAGTGGACAAGCCCATGGTCAGTCTAATCAACATTCAATGCGTGGTGACACTAGTGGTAGTGCCATAATGCAATCATATCCTGTAGACTTGTTTACTGTTCGTCAAGCGGCTGTTTGTCTTTTGGAATCCGATTTAACCTTAAAGGTAACCAGATGAAAGTATTCACTATTTTCATACTTTTAATAAGTATATTGTTCGATTAGAAAGTAAAAATGAAGGATTAGTTTGTTGACTAGGATAAATTTGAAGATAATTTTCATCCCAATCTGATTTGATTGTTGATAATCTGCCTCAAAACACTCAATAATGTCGTGAGGACATTCATCAAAATGAAGGACTTATGAGCTATACATGAGGAAATTCAGTCTTTTCAGCACTAACCAACATGTGAAATAATATGATTAACACTTGTGTGATATGTATAACCACGGTCATAAAGCAGTTTTTTATTCAATGAATCACCGGTTCTCGCAAGAACCTTCAAAGGATGTTTTTTAGCGATTCACCAATAACATTCGATCGCTAAAGAGGTTAAGGGAATAAGCAAGCCAAAAGCTAATTAATATCCCGAATTTTCTTCTTGATAAAGAAAAAGCTTAAACTCCCGAAACTTCTCAAACTAATACACGAGTTGAATCTATCAGTTTGGCGAAAAAAATCTATCTGTTCCAGTCACTGATCAGAATAACATAGAATTCACCAAAGTAATGCATTAATCAACCTTACTTCACCTCCTCATACAACAAATTGATAGATTCAATAGCAGGAAATACAAAATCAACACTAGAATGTGCATAGTATGTAAATCTCCCCCAGAAATTGTATGCTTGAATTCAAGAGGAGAAAAGGCGTGAACTGTCATTGTTACCCCACATTCACTACAAATCCAGAAGCTAGACGCCATAGCACATAGCCAACTCAGTCAATTAGTTGTAAGTAAACAAACAAAAACATTTGCTAGAACCCAGAGTTAGCATTATGATAAACTCAAGTTCAGTCAATAATTTCAAGGCATATTAAAACCAAATCTTCAACACGAAAGTGTTTAACGATCGTTTCAAGTTTTTTTCCTATAATTATTGATAGAGCTGAACATTTGGCTTAAAATCCTAGTCTCAGCAACTTCATTTTATTTGTTCTGTTTCTTTTTTCAACTGCTTGCAACTTAAAACAGTGTCGAAGTGCATCCATGACCCTGATAGGGATCTAATCCAGGACCTTCAGGCTCTGCGACGATCACGTTACTTTTGAGTCACTGAGTAAGCATCCATTAGTCCATATTTCCTACTGCTGTCAGTTCACGATATAACGCGACCTCCATCCAATTCTGTCGTTAAGTTACTGTCTTCATGTTCGACTCGGTTTACTCTGCTGGTCACGATTTCTCATTGGAACTTCGAGAATCACCTCTCCAAGCTAGTCACCTATGACAGCTAGAATAATTCTATCTGGATGTTTGTGGAGATTTGTTAATTGGTTTCAGATTGGAATTCATCATGTCGTGACCAGTGGAGTCACCCAAGTCGAACATAAAGACAGTAACTCACCTACAGCATTGGATGGAGGTCGCACTGTATCATGAACTGATAGAAGTAGGAAATTTGAACCACTTGGTTCCGACGTTGTGGCTCAATGGTAACGCTTTGGCTATGGGATCTGAAGGTTCCGATCCCTAGTAAGGTCATGGGTACGCACTGCTGAGGAATCCCATACTAAAACGAAAGAGCTGTCCAGTGCACCCAATTTTCCCCTAGCTGATGTCAGCCCAAGATCAATTCCAACCTCAAATCTTCATTTGTTCAGTGTATTAAATACCCTTTTTGTTCTCTAATGATATTGCTTACTTTGAAACAGTTAGTCCGTTTTATGAATTTCGATAGCATAATTGGAATACGAAGTTTATCTGAGCAATGTGAGGTATTTGCGCAATACATTTCGAACAATCTGATCACACATTCACTTGTCAAGTCAATATATATATTAAACCGAGGACTGGGACGTGTGTGGTCACACATACATAGGGAGGAGTAATCAAGTCATGTAGTTGAGGGTGGCAGAACATGTGCCTAAATGGCTTCAAAATAAATGGAGTGTAAAACAGTGATAAACCCTGGTGGGAGACCACATTCTTCATCTATAGTTAAACATATCATAGAAACAGGTAACAAAGTTAATGTTCAAACAGCTTTCAAAGTCTTATATAGAAACAGTCAGCAACGTATTCTGAGATTTGCCAAAGCCATAGCCATACACAAATTTAAACCACCTTTATATGTACAAAAACAGTTTGTTATTACACTACACCTACCTTGGTAAACTTTGTTTTCTTACCGAGATTAGGATCAACTATGTCACTTCCTGTTTATCCTCACCTTTCTTAATTTTAATCCTTTATTGTGTTAATTGTTGTATTTATCCCCCCCCCTTCCCCCACAGTCCTCGGTTTAATATATATTGACTTGACAAGTGGATATGTGATCAGATTGTTCGAAATGTATTGCGCAAATACATCACATTGCTCAGATAAACTTCGTCTTCTAATTACGCTATCTAGATATTGCTTACTGTTTCTTTTTTTCATGTTTTATTCATGATATTTCGTAAATCTTTTGTGGATGTTGTACCACTTGCCTATCCCTTGCATCCACATGTATTTCGTCCCAGTCAACCTTTGCTGTCTATTTGAAACACTAATGTACACTGTTCATCCATTTGTACTGTTTGACCATTTCATTCTATTTATTAACCAAAAGGAAATAAATCCACTGACAGTGATTTTAATGATGTGAAGTTATGTGAACTGCTTATGATTCAATGTTTGTAGCTTTCATGAATTTTTATTGCGAATATACAGAATCCATTTGCATTAGGCTAAATCACTTTTATGATAATAACTTCAACAAAAGTCATATCATGCATACTGTTTTTATATATTTTCGCCACTTGCGTAAATTTTGTTTATCAGCTAACTACTATAACATAATTTAACTCCACTCTGATCATTATGTTTTATGTTACGTCATAGTCTGCTGTGGCCGAACGTGCATCTTTTATGGTCAACCTGGGGCAACTGCTCAATCAAATGGCTACTCCAGAAGATTTGGGAAAACGGATGAGTCAAGGTTTGTCATTAACTTGTTGGGTAGATATCGCTACTGGGACTCTTGGGTTCGATTTGAATGGTCGGGACAGTGGAATAAGATATCAGGTAATTCTTTTTGTTTGTTATTGTAATATGGTTTAAAATAATAATGTTGCTGCTTGTATTAATATATTAATCATATCATTATTATAACTATATTGACATCATATTAATCTAAAAGCAATCAGTGTTATCTTTTTGAACTGATTACCCTTGTTTAAACCTGATCCATCGGTCAACATCACTAAACCTTATGCATGCAAAGAAAAATATGTAGTTCACAGTTTACATATACTTTGAAAATTTGACTTTCAAATATTATTTAATTAATTTGGATCCCACTCTACTAACTTAATTCAAGACAGTACAGGTTTTACCTCTAGTGCTAACGCGACTGGTATAACTCACAGTCTACCACCTACCAGATTCATCTAATTACTTAACTTCATTATTGTCCATTATACTTGCCGATACAACAATATTGGTAAGGTTAAAGGTGGCAGTCGTCTTGAATATACAGACCTAATTACACCCTGATGATCTATCAACTGATTTTTGACAGCCAAATAACAAATAGGTTTTAAATCCTTTGGTATCATTTTAGCGTTATTACCGGTTGTTTCTTTCTACTAACATCCTTTCATATTTGTTTACAATTCAGTAGCACATCAACTGTTGTTTCATGTTTAACAACATTTCTATATGATACAGACAGCAGTTACACAAATTTCTCCATTCCAGTTTCCAAAGGTAATCTTATATCGATGAAGATACTGCTAAGATATTCAGTTCTATTAGTAAGGATAGTTTACTGAAGGAGTTTCTCAAAGATGATAACTGAGATCCTGAAAGATAATATTTGGTTAAATAAGGAATATATATGTATTGAGGAATGAAATAGTAAGGGCATAAACAAACAGATAAGATGACAGAACGAAGTGTAACCTATGAACTTTATTTATAAAATATTTAGTTTGTACATTACAGCATACTATTAGAGTTTTTTACGACGTCAGCTTTCTAGTATTTATCACCATTACTTTCTACGGGAATTAACTTTTACGAACGATTATATTCTGCATCCACGTGTGTTTACTTTATTTATTCGAAATACTCTCACTATTTGGTATACTCTCCAGTCCTTTCTCTGATATTTCTAACCATCACAGTGTAAACCAGTTTTGATTATTCAGCTTTTTAGCATCAGAAGTTTCGTAGCAAGCAAATATCTAACAGATTTATAACTTTGAAAACTAAATTTTCTAATTAATTTAGGTTGAACCATCTACACGATTATTTGCTGCTGTCTTTTATCGACCAACTGTCAAAGAGGCGATACATTTTGAATTCGGTCGACGAAATCGCTATACCCTACCGATAACAGCAAGTATGCTTCGACCACCGAGGCATGCATCAACAATCTTACCACATCGCCTGAGAGTTCAAGCACTGGAGGTATGCAGTAAATTATCATTTATTAACTTACTTTTTCCTTAAACTGACTGATCATTTTAAAAAAAATCAGTAGTAGATACAGTTCACTGTGCTGTCATAACGCTTTATGCAACGATTACTTTGGATTCCTTAAGTGACAATACTTCTTCAGCACTTGACTCTAGACACCATGGCACTAATTACTAACTGCTTACCGAATCTTACGTATAATCTACTCTCGGAAGCAGTCATTTTCCCTGTTGACAAATTACTGTATACTTTCTCAAACAATAGCCATATACAATGTTCGACTGAATACTTTCCTACTTTCCTCCTCTTACAGCCCAGACACTGCCTCGTTTCATTACTCCGTCTACTTGAAATGGCTTCAGTGTCCTAGAAAATGATCTTCCTCCGTTCTTTTCTTATGTATGGCAGAAAATTCAAAACTGTTTTATAGAGTCAACCACAGAATCGACCTTTAACAATTATGTGATATTGAACCCATTGTATCACTTAATCACAAGTGTTCTGAAAGTGTGCCGCCTCAGTAAAATAAGCAGTCACTTTTATTTCCAAATTAAGTATCTCCTTTTTGTGAGGCTACATGTTAAATGCAAAAACTACCATCCACACTGAACAGCAATCAGAAATCTGTAGATTTTATTTTTCTTCATAATGTAGGTTTAAAACTACTGACTTAGGTTTTCATGCACTCAGAGCATTTCTAAAATCTAGTTCTTCTTCCGCTTTTCTATGTCTCAAATGTATGAAATATATATTCCGGTTGATGTAATTTTCTTAGAAGTTAGTACTGAGATTTACTATGTGATTTTCGTCCTGTCCCAGAATCTTCAGTTAGATCTATGCACACCTTGACGAAACAATGTTCCCACAAACTATGACAGATAACCTTTCAGCGAGCCAGTTTGCCAACAGAAACCAATTTATCTAATTCCGCAAAGTAGTAAACAGGAAATTACAAGTATAAATGAATAAGACTTCGCCAGTTGTTTACAAATTGCACGGTCTGTATTGCTCATAGCTGAGTGGCTTTCTTACTACCTAACAGTGGCATCAGAAAGGTTTCCATTAGAAAATACTCACTTGAAATCACGAGAAGGGATCCCTGACACGAAACTGATATGCACTTACTTGACAGCTTACTAAACATCACGAGAAGGTTATCATTCATGCTGATCTGCAGGCTGTTAGTCATATTAGGGTAATATGAAAACGGATAACCATTCCACTCATTATAACTATGTTACATCATGCTACACTGGTCCATCTAAGTAAACTGGTCAGTCTCATTTTGTCAGCGAAGAAAAGTTTATTTTCGATGAATCATTTCTGTACTTATGGTTACATTTTATTTTATCATTTGTTTATTTGTTGCAATCCTATAAACAGTTTTTGATGTTGCGCTGACCTAGCTATTATAATCAATTTATGACTCTACTGACAATTTTTGATGCCCGAGTATTGACCTGTTAACTTTTGATGGAAATATATTTTGCTGTAACTATAACTACGGTTGTACATCTGAAAATAATTCGTCGTAAACACTTTCTTTTCTGAACTGTCTTCTGCTAATTTTTTTATTATTTGAAGAATTCAGCTGAGTTATTCCAGGATGCATTTCCAATGAGTTTAGCTCAAAAAGATCGAAATAGTCATCTAGTATTTATATCAATCTAGTCTGACTATTGAGATCCGAAGATTTGTGTGAGTAGTTTCTAAATGCTTAAATTCCTAAGTAGCATATTTCAAAAGTACACGGTTTTTCATACGGTTTAAATATGTTTATTTAACCTGTAATTATTTTATGCATTTATAATCAGACAGATATGGTGGAAAAATTTCCTCCCATAAGTAATATACAACATATTATGAAGTTTATTGCAGAATATCTAGGAGACTAACAACCAGGCTCCCATGTTAAATGAAGTCCCGTCCTTGAATGCCTATTGTAGTAAGATAACATTTTCCAATTACTCGGCACACTTTTTGTTCCTTAAAGGGAATTTGAATCGTTAAAAGCTTTAGATAAATTAACACGAGTAGAAGTTTATCATTTTTCATATATCTTCGGCTTTTCAGTCTGAAACTCAGCATCCAAAACCGACCTTTCAGTAGACATTTCTTTTATACTAGACTAAATGAGGATAATGAATTTCTGTCCCTTTTGCTTGCTAATTGTTTTAGCGTGTTCACTGGGCTCGCGTGCCACCAAAAGCCATAAAAGTGCATAGCATGAAAATGAGCGAAATACGTGGCTGGAGTTCAATTACTGAATATCCAGTTTCTGAAATCGCTGTACGACTACCGGAATCTGATCGATGTTTCACAGCACTTGAATTGGATGAAATGCCTGAGCTATTGAAGTGAGTCTTACTGGATGTGATATATTTTTGTATTTAACATTGAAAATGTTAGTGTTCTGTTCTTTCGTAGTTAAATCACTGGTTGACCCTAAAGACCGTAGAATCTTGACATAGTAGCACTTTGGTTCACTCGACCACATTTTTGGAAAAACATTAACAATCAAAAAATCAGTAGTAAAGAAGGAGTGGATAAATGTTCACCATTGGAACCATTTCTAAATAATGTCTCCTACTGATTTTTCTTATTACATTTTACCACTTTAATGATCATATCCAAGAAGTTGTTACTGTTCTGCGCTGTTAGACTAAGCATCAAAGACCTATTAGTTTGACCACTCTATAGGTCCATACACCATATTATTATTTTTACTATTACCAATATAATTGTTACAACTGGTCCAATTTCCACTATGTACACTACTCCCGCTACTTCAAACACTATTCTTAGCTGACTATTTTCCATTTTTCTCTAAGTTAGACTATGTATTTTCAATGTTTTACTGTACTACAATGAGAAATCACAATATTTTATGAAAGCTTATATGTATTCAAAAAGGATGAATGACAAACTATAATCAAAAGTTGAAAGAAATACTTGTGGTTCGTAGTTCAGGATATGGTAAAAATTACATTCTTTTTTCTTAATAGGTTTCATTCACACACTCTAGAACTTTATCGAGCTTTGTGTTGCCACGCTAATCATAATGTAGCCCAGTATCTGACTAACCATGTGGACGAGCATCAATTGTTGTATGTCATTACAGCTTCAGGTGAGAATTTTATTAATTTTACTGAGTGTTTGATTTCTCAAAATGCATTCACATATTTAAAAACTGTTCATCCACATCGGTAAAAGGTTGATGATTCCATAACTACACGATTAACTTATATATATATATATATATATATATATATATATATATATATGCATTACAATTTGTTCAACGGTCCGTTGCTCCATTCTTATTTTTTTGGTATTATCGCAACTAATTATTTGTTATCAGAACCAAAAATGCATTGGTCTTCCAAAAGTAAAGATCCACTGATATCCACTTTGAATATACGTAATCTCAGTAAGTTTTGAATTAGAATTTAGAAAATGTCATCTACTTGACAAAAGTTACTTTTTCTCTTAAACTTGAAAGTAAACAGAATGCTTTAGTCTTAAACGCATTGATTGGTCTTTACTTCGATATTTGAAACACATGAGAAGAGGCTTTTAATATCTTCGTCACTATCAAGTTAACCAGTGATTTCAGAGGAAAAGAAAGAAACTGAACAATGTTGAAGCTTGAATAAAATTGATTCACCTCAATTTATTCCACTTCTCAACACAACAGTTCACACATCCATCAACCAATATTTTTAGTAACTATTTGACACTTTAGGTGTAAAAATAATCCCATTTTAAAATAGGTTAGTAACGATTCCAGAAGTTCAGAAGCAAAATATTTATCTAAGGTTTAAAGGACACAGGTCTATATATCTAGAGTATCATGAGATTGTGACCGTTTATAGGTAAGCCTTGCAGATAAATACTAAAAACCATTGGAACTGGGTTTTTTGTTGACGCCTGTGAATATCTTATGTTGCACATTGTACAGGTTTCTAAAATATCTCTTACCAAAATCATTCACGTTTATTGGTTGCCGATTCCATTTTTGTTAAACTTTAAATGTTTTCCTTAGCTGTTTATCTTTTACATGTCTTATTATAAATCTATAACCAGATATGCCTGGACCATTGCGCTCTGGCTTTATCGATCTAATGTTAGTTATGCATATTAGTAGTCACGTGAAATTGAAACAAGTTACAGGAAAAGAATTTATTGTGCCCATGTTTAAAAATGAACCAAGACAGAAAAGCATATTTGATTTTGACGAACAAACAGCTGAAGGTGGTGATAAAGAATTAGTTGGAGGTCGAGGAGAAGAAGAGGAGGAAGATTATGATTTAGATCGAATTCCAGCTGTTGAAGAACATGTTAGTATTCGTCCAGAACTGAAAACTGATCCACATTTGCTAATGTAAGTTTTATTCATTCCATAGAGAAAGGTATATTTTATAAAGGCTTATCAATAATGAATAATTTTACCCTGATCATCCTTTTATGATTCATATGTTCTTTTGACAATTGTTTCATTGTCATTTTTGAAATTATTGTTTTACGATTATTACCAAAACGTTTTCACAAATCAATTGTTCAGATAGATTTCCTGCGATTCCAATATGATAAGTATCAAGTGGCCATGATTTATGAACTTGAATATCATCCAAATGAACACAAAAGTGAACTGAAGGGGGTTTACGCTTGTTGAACAAGTTCTAATGTTTAACCGAATGTGTATCAAAAAATAAACTCGTTGGTTAACTTGACGAATAACATTCTTGATGGAATAGAATTGTGTCTTACTAACGGGAATGAGGTCAAAATAACATGATTGTAAAATATTCATTATTTAACAAATAATCATGCCAAAATGTATGAATTTAGTAAGCTAGTATGTCTGGTGACCTCTCTAGGTGTGATATTCAGCCGTAAACACTTCATCATTAGTTTATTTAACCCTAGCAGCAATTAATATCCATAACAGGTGCTAATGAACCCAAATAGCCTGCTGATGAGAAGTTTACCCACGGATATTCTCATTCTAAGCTACAATATTCTATGATCTTCGTATTTCATACTCGTATTAAAATTGTCTTAAAAAGTAAGTGTTTGAATTGTCACAGAACATTTAGTGGATTTGAACGAGTTTGAACACAGTAGCTCTTGTAGACTTCAGAATCAAAATTTAATCTGATAAAGTTGAATAAGTTGACCATTAGATAAATAGATCATAAAGGAAATATACTTTTAAAATCTCAATTAGGTATTAATCCTATTATGTATAGAAACTAACTCATATGCAGAATAGAAGCTAACTATTTTCATATCGATGAATTATGCAAAGAAAACAGCACTATGCTTTTAAAAGGGAGTAACATAAAGTACAGAGATAGTCATTTACAGAAAGTATTCCAATCCTATTGTTGGTCATGTGAATGAATGAAATCATCCCAAATGAACATAATTATCGAAAACATTTTAAAACACGTAACGCGAGTAAATAAGAGAATTCCCTATGTTATCCGAGGAATTACTGCGGTTTAATTGATGCTTTCAAACAGTAGGTAATAAATCGCTATTGTTTTCAAAACATAAATTATGTGCGATGGAACCACTAACTCTGTTGTGCTTAACTTAGATGTTAAATGCCGCATGAGAAGGACCAGATGAATGATAGTGTTATGAGCCTTCACCAAGTAGGGTGTTTAGACTATATTACGTATATCTGGTCACCTCCCACTGCAATGTTCTAAAATGGTTAAAGAATTTGATACACAGAGCCTCGGTAAAGTCGAATCAGTATGCTGTACCTATTCATAACATTTCGTACTGTGCTTGTGAGTAACGTGACAAAGTATTGATTCACTAGTTGCCGTAGTCAAGACAATTTAAATCTGTTAATGCAGGGCTAAGGTCATATTAATCAATAAGTGGCAATAGTGCGAATGCATTCACTCTTTGTTTTGCCGTACATTTTTGTGATTTTATTAGTGCAAACATTGTGCTCTGTACCTCGTTTCGTTTAGTTTATTTTAGCTCTACTTCTTTATAGTTCCTAATATTATTTCCTCACTTTTGTCACCTGGTGATTTTCTTTCGTCATGATGTTAAGTACACAGTAATCAATTCTTTGAAGTGCACTGACTTCCTGAGCCATATCTTTTACACATTCAGTTAGGATCAATACTGTGCTTATCAGTTCTACTTATTTTCGTTAATGTAAGCTGTTTGATGTAACAGATATGCATAGTTAGATAGGCTCATGGGATTCACATTAGAAAAACTATTCGGATATAGGATAGAAACTTAGTTTATTATATTACTGTTGATAGACTTTAGTAGTGTCAGTTTTATCACAAACTAAAAGTCCTTGGATAAATGGTAGATTATCTACAGAACTATTTTAGAAACAACATTACTCACAATTGAATAGCATATTGTTATTTGACCATGAAGCATCTATTTGTATCTGAACCGATAAACTAAACATGTAGAATATTACACACATATTAGTGCAATGATTTAAGCTAACATAATTTATTGAAACATACAGGTGAAACCAAAAACCTTTCAAAGATATAAGGAAAAAAGCAAATGTGCTTGTGTCGTTGTACTCACCATCAAAGATACTCAAAGCACTAGATTTTAACACACTGGTTTCCTCCCAGGAAACATTTTTACATCCCATTTAATTTAAACCGACAGATAATGAATTCATTATTTGATTTCTGATTTCTTGATCCAACCGGTAAGTCTTTATTGGTTCATGCTGGTGATTTACACCTATACCTATTTTTCCCCAGTTTATTCTGGCTACAAATTCATTCGTTATGTGTATGCATTTTTAAGATCGGTCGGTTGTTAGTTTAAAGCAAAAGAGAAATATATTATGTCCATTAAGTATAGCCTTAGTGGATGCCTGATTATGCTTTAAACATTCAGTAAAGGAAATCCATCAGTTCCACCAATATATTCACAAGACTCTTGTAATTCATTATTCTTTTTTGGCATCCTAACTAACTGTTTATGAACACATTTAATCAGAACTAAATCAAATCATTCAAAGTTAATATTATTTCACACAAATACTGTTTTCTTTATATTGAATAGAACCAAAGCTTACGTATGGTAAGTATTAACAGACTGAAAATGGATACTTCTCGTTCTTGTTGTTGATTTTATTGCTGTTGTTTTTTTGGTACCTGGTGGAAAAAACACGCAGTTTGTCTCCTTAGGCTAAAAATTATATTTGCTGTTATGATAAGCTTAATACACTGAATGCTTGTATTTAATAAATTGCATGATCTTTCAGTTTTTCTTCATCAAAATAAAATAAGCGAATCCTTACATGCTGACTGAGTTACCTTGACGTTGAAATGTTAACAGAACTTAATAAAACAGAAAACGTTTTTCTTTTTTCGCGCTATACGAATTTTACTGAGCACCTCATTTATCTTCTGGATCTGAGACGCTGATTCTGTTAGCATGACTATGTATTTTGGTTGTTGTGAAAAGTATTTCACAGATATTTCTAGTTAACAATCCATTAGTTACTCAATTTAAGGCTTTTACAAAGAATATAGCACGATAAATATCATGTAAAGTGAAAAAGTTCCTGTACTTTGTATATGAGGTAGGTTATTAAGAAACTTCACGGTTAAAGCAAACTTGGAACACGATTAAAAACCAAGTTGTATAGCCCACCTGATTGTACTTACGACAGTATTTCGATGACTACACACTGGAATGCACTCCAGACTTAAGCTTCCTTTTTATTTTATTCAGTATCCCCGTTCACATTTAATATTTACCAACCATAGATAATTTAACAGAGATGATTTCAGAAAATCGCAAAGTTGCATCTTATCAAAATTATTATTTTCAAGCTCATATTTCACTAAAATTCTGAGGCAAAATTCTTTCATTTATTCTCAGACGGATATAGATTAACTTTATCGAAGTATAACCAAATAGTAAATCTAGGAATTAATCTGTTAGATATTACCCAATAGGTATAATGCTGAAATCAAGTCGACTATTCGGTACTGTCCCTGCTGGTAGTCTATGTGAAATTTCATATACTCATTAGAAAAGCATATCAGAAACTTCGACAAGTATGAAGCTCATTTAAAAAGTCCAACTTAAATCGCTTAATGACATAGCCAAAGACTTTCTTACTGAACTATTTCTGTCTATCAGAATCTAGGAAAAACACTAATCTCTCTCAAAATACTAGTCAATTTCATGCTGTTCACTATTCAATGTCAACTATAAATTGCACATCGAGCAATATTAAGCCATTCGGCATAAATTAAGCCAAATCACTATATACGTAAACTACGTACATATTACAAAAAAATACATAAGGATATGAGCGGGGTCATTACCTGTAATTCAAAAGTGAGAACGTTTAAGAATAAAAGTAAAAACTATAAACGTACTAACTTCATCACTTTTAATAAACATCTATCAAATAACTAATATAAGAGTAAAATATAGGCGTTTTGACAATGTTTAATCCCCTATTTGATTTCTTTATTCCACCTACTATAAGGCAAAAATGAAGAATTATTTACTAATTAGTCTGCTCATAAAAACCAGCACTTACTTAGTAGTATAAGTTGACGATAACTTAGACCAGCCATTGAATGAATTCAGGTTTACAGAACTGTCCCAAATCTATTAGAAATGTTGAAATCATGTCTGCTTGAAATTAAACCAATCGTTTCTTTCTGCATACAGTATTTGTAATTCAAAATGTTATCTATGATACAATATATGAAATGACCAGTTCTAGCTACATCTGTCCTTACTTAGGAATTCTGTCATTAACTAAAAGTATGTAACACATTCATTTAAACATGGATTAGTTATCAGATGGAAAACCATGTATTTATTAAGTCTTATATGTCTATCAAAGTCTCCCACTCAAGTTCAAAATAAAGCTGTTCAACACTGTAATTTGTTACTACATCAGATGGCATTCAGTGACCGATGTGTAAATAGAATCTACTACCCTAGGATGCTAAATGCGAACCAACTGCTTAGGCTGTAAAGTTTTTGACTTCAATTGTGAATGTTACACTCTCAAATATTCAGAAAAAAATGAGCTTCCTCAGGCTTCCATCCACATTTTTCTTGTAAAGACTAGGAAGCATGAAACTAAGGTCCAGAGATCCCAAAACTCGTAAAATCAATCGTACTGAAAACCTAGTTGCCACTGAGAAATAAATAACTACAATCAGATATTTAGTTACACATTATCTGTTGAAAATTATTAACTCCAGCAAGAAATGGCTGGTCATAAAAAGCAGGGTCTGATAACCATGTACTCCTCGAAAGATAGCTTGTTTTTAAGACTGTTATCTAAAAATCACAAAGGTCATGGATGCGCACAGCTGAGGAGTCCCATACTAGAACGAAACGGCTGTCCGGTACTATCAGGTCTCCAGTGTTTCTCCGACTGATATCAGTTCATGATGACTACCAATCTGAAATCAATAAATAAATCCCCATGAACCTTAAACTTGAATCTGCCTATTCTATTTGTTTTTCGTCTCTACACTTATTTATTTCATGAGTTTCCGACAGCATTGTAATTAGATTTGATTATTCCTTATGCTTATTTATATTTTGTCTGGTTGGGATCAGTGCATGTTCACTGATCATTTATGAAGAAGAAGCATAAGTTTTGATTTTGTTTCAACCAATCTCTGAATTCACCTTTTTGTAAAAATTTCACTCTTTATGGTATGATCCCATTTTAATGCATAATGAGGAGTTATATATAATTATGATTATTATTTGTCCCTTGGGTTCCTAATGGAACATAAGGCTTACAGTAGCACGTCTCCATTTCACTCCCTTCTCTGCAGTCTTTTGAACCTCGCTCCACCACTGCCCAAAAGCTCTCATTTCTTCCTCACATAATCTCCTCCATGTCACCCTCGCCTAGAACGCCCAACTCGTCCTTTCCCATCTGGGTTCCACTCGAGGGCCTGATGCGTGATGTCCCTGAATGGTCTTATCAGTGCATGCCCAATCCATCTCCACTTCCTTCTGCATGTTTGTCGAGTGATAGGTTGTTGGTTGGTTCGTTCCCAGAGTGAGTTCCTTGTTCCTTATTCTGATTATTCTGGCCATCTGAGATTCAGTAACGAGACAGTGTAGGCAGTTGTTGATGAATGTCTGTAGTTTGTTAGAAATACCTTTCGTGACACGCCAAGTTTCTGAACCATCACATAGAAGCACTGACTTGACGTTGGTGTTGAAAATCGGGATGTTGTTCACACTTCATGCTGAGTACAGTGGAGTAGATCTCCACACTGGTTTCAGATTAATGAACGCCTCTCTTGCTTTCCGATTCCGAATTTGATATCCTCGTCTGTGCCTGTGCTGCCTGTAGTTGAAACAGTGCTTCCTAGATAGGTGAAGGAGGCTACTTCCTTTAAGTTGCTACTACTGATGGTGATTGCAGCTTGTTGTTGTTGTTGGTGGTGGTGGTGGTTGGGTATTTCACCACCTCTGTCTTCTGTATATTCACCAGAAGGAAGTCCCGTCTTCGCTACCCTGCATCACCTCTTCTGTCAACTTGTTAGTTTTCGCCTGTAGATCTTCGAGTTTGTGCGACATTAGACGTAAGTCATCGGCGAAATCCAGATCTTCTAGGTTCTTTTCCGCGGTTCAGTGTATCCCCTCTTCTCGCTCCCCACTGTTTGTTGCATGATCCAGTCGACCACAATCAGGAATATCATGGGTGATAGTAGGCAGCCTTGTTTTACTTCTGTCTTCACTTCAGTGGCATCACTGAGCTTCCCATTGTGAATTACTTGGCTGGCATGTGGCGTCTTCGTATGGTTGTTTACGGGGACTGATAAAGGTTTGTATATATATATATATATATATATATATATATATATATATATATATATATATATAGGCCACTCAACCTCTTTATTTTATTAAAAACTGCAGTTCCACCAGAAGTAAAGAAACTTGATTGGTTTTTTCAGTAGTTGGTGAGGTGGTATTCAGATTTTACTTCATTTCGGTCAGTAAACAAGTTTCAAAACTTGATGGGAAAGTTAGTTGTCTAAAATGCGAATATTTCTCGATCGCTTGTAGAAATGGTAAATACAGTACTCGATGGATTTAGTTAAACTTGTATATGCCTATTAGTTTTTTGTTGAAATGAAGCTGGTACAGGAGAGGTGCAATATGCTGAAATCTAATAGTTTCACCAGTCTTGATCAAGATGTTTTCTAGACTTCTTACTAACTATTTCAATAGCCTAATTAATTTCACTAAAGTAACTGTGGGACAACTATTATTAGGAGTACGTATCTGTGTTAACACACGACTATGTATTTCAGTGGTTTCAGCTATTTTTGAATGGCTTTATATTAGAACATTAAATTCTCCCTGTTCCGTTTTAAGTCGTATACAGTTTACCATCCAGTAGGAAACCTAAAGATTTCTAATATGCTACCTTTTTACTAAATTATTATTATTATTCAGTATACAGTATTCACTTACTTCTCTACATCGTTACGATGAAAAATTCTTTGTAGTCCTGGTGCAGATGGAACAGGTAGTGTACCTGTACCAATAACGGATAAATCCAAAGATGATAGTGCTATGGCAGCAGCATTAAATATAGCTGGACCAAATGGTTTATTAAAACTAGCTGATTGTCCATTATTTCCGTTGGCCAAATTAAAATCAGTCTGCTTGAATTGTTTAGTGGATAGCGTATACAAAGGAGGAAGTATACGTGATCCAGCTGGTGGAAATTTTGAACATCTTTTATTGTAAGTTAACACAAATGAGTAAAAATGATTTTTGCATACTGATTTCTGTGCAGAAAAAAATACTTAGAGTTGTCATATTTTTGTGAAAAGTTATTTCTGCTTATTTTCGATGCATTCCAAAGTGTTTGTACTATCCAACCTACTATTAATTATTTGAATGTGCTTACATGTCTAATTTATTTTATGTTAGCATTAATTTAGAATATTAGTCTAGAATCGCTATTAGTTACCTAATGAATCATATACTGAACTGGGATAACATTTCGTCAGCTAGTTGAATAAGACGTTGTTTGATACCTGTAATTTCCCGTTGCTATATAGGATCAAATTTCTCTACCTCTGTTGGCAGATAGGATTCTATGTGGATGCGTCGATATTGCCGAAAGTTCACGATGTTTTATTCATCTTTGTAACTAATAATGGAATCCAGGATGCGTGTTTCGTCCTATTTGGGATTCGCCAACTGGATGTACTTCCACTCCAGTGAGTGGTGTTGTTCCCACTCAAACTCTAGTTTTATAAGAATTACTTGAAAAATCATTTTTGTTTCTTTGTCACTCTTTGTCATCTGAAAGAAGTAAGCACTTTTGACTTGGAAAATCAGTTGTAGCATTGAGATAGCTTTAAAATTACAGTATAAGTTATTTTAATGATTAAAATGAAAATCTAACACAAATCTGTTTCTTTAACTATACAGACCATTAATCAAAACAATCAACTGTCTGCTTGTAATGGGCACATTAGATTCAAAGGATATTCACATCCTGTTGGCTTTACTCGATCCCGAATCATTTAAAATATCGCCACCATTAAGAGGTTAGTGTTGAAATATATTCGTCAATTTAATGAATCCTTTGTCGTTCTTTACTGAGTTATTACGTATGTTTATATCACAATCACTTTAAAATGCTGTAGTAATAATATACAGTGTAACAATAATAACAACTCACCTTTAACTCTGAGTAGGAGAGTAAATCCAATGTGTATAAATGAATTTTACAATTGAACTTCAACATTAATGTCAAGTCAGTGCTTCTATGTGATGGTTCAGAAACTTGGCGTGTCACGAAAGGTATTTCTAACAAACTACAGACATTCATCAACAACTGCCTACACTGTCTCGTTACTGAATCTCAGATGGCCAGAATAATCAGAATAAGGAACAAGGAACTCACTCTGGGAACGAACCAACCAACAACCTATCACTCGACAAACATGCAGAAGGAAGTGGAGATGGATTGGGCATGCACTGATAAGACCATTCGGGGACATCACGCATCAGGCCCTCGAGTGGAACCCAGATGGGAAAGGACGAGTTGGGCGTTCTAGGCGAGGGTGACATGGAGGAGATTATGTGAGGAAGAAATGAGAGCTTTTGGGCAGTGGTGGAGCGAGGTTCAAAAGACTGCAGAGAAGGGAGTGAAATGGAGACGTGCTACTGTAAGCCTTATGTTCCATTAGGAACCCAAGGGACAAATAATAATAATTTTGGTGTTAATAACAAATTGTAGTTTAAACAGGTTAGTCGTCAAATGATAATCAATGTACCCGTCAAGTTCTAGGCAATCGAAATCGATCATTTATAAGTTTTGTGTGGATTTTACTGTCCAATGCTCAATAGTGACTTGTTCCAAGATCAGATTCTTGAACTTCTAATGAGAAGTCGTAACCACTAGGAGAAACTTAGTCTGGCGGAAGGACAAGTACTTAACGCTTGCATTGGATGGACGTCTTGTTATACCGTGAGCTGACATAGGTATGAAAAAAATGGGTCATTGGATTTCGACTTAATGGCTCAATGGCAACGTGCTCACCGCCAAACCTAAAAGTCTGGTGTTCGATCCCTGGTGGGGTGGGGTCTAGGTGCGCACTGCTGAGAGGTCCCATACTAAAACCAAACAGCTGACTAGTGTTGTTAGGTTTTCAGTGGTTCTCCAACTGATGTCATTCCATGATTAATACCAACTTAATACCGATCAGTCGATCAAACATAACCTGAAGAGCTTAAAAGTAAAGTCTGTGATATCAACACGGACTGACGTAGGTTTGTCTTTAAGGGAGCATAATTTTTCTCAGACACACCTTGCTGATGAGTGTCAACGAATTCAAAGTGTAGGTTCAGGTATCCCTTCAAAGTGGCTTTTAGTGTCTAGTACCAAAAATGAAGTCTATCTAGATTGAAGCGGTACCCAGAGCCAGGTTGTTGACTAAGGAATTCAGTGTGAATTTAATTTCATGTCAGCAACTACTTCCTAGGCCACAGATACCTAAAACTATTTCAGAAGTGTAGTGCTCATTTTAATTCAATATCATCATGTGTAAGATAATATGCTGTCGAAACTATATAGTTATCCAAAAACCATCTTCATACATTTGAAGAGCTAAACCTTTTGTCTAACATGCAGTTCCTCCTAGAGTTTTCCCAATGTCTAATCATAAATCTGTATTAAACACCTTTCCAAATAAAAATAAACTGAATAGTAGTTTATTTTTTTCAAGACGTGAGGGTTGTCGGCTGGATCTCATGTAGCGTAGGTGGTGTGAGCAGTTGTATAATAAACCAAAACAACTGTCCGATTTCAATAGTTTTCTAACGAAACTTGAATCTTTGATATAAAAAGATTTCAAGCTAATCTCAGAATTTCATGCAACCGGTTCACTTGATATAGTGGGTCAAAGTAAACAGGACTAGATTTTTTAAATCGAATGATATCACTGTGCATATTTTTGGGTTTGGATTTCATAATTTCATGGTAAATTATGAGCTATCACTAAATATTTTATTGTTGAAGCTTATGATCATAAAATTTTGGTCTAATGATTATCGTAATTTTCATCTTTGAACAGTCAATAATATCTATGTAATAGAATGATATCATTTTATTCTGCAAATCTAATCTCATAATGTTAAAATAAATCAAGAAAAACTCGATTTCATTCAGGGTTTTGCTGTATGTAAAACAGTTCTATCAGTAGTAAAAATATCACTTCCATTTCACTTATCAAATGTATTATGCCTTTTGAAATGTCCACTTACTCTTATTATGATCTTTACTTAAAGGTGATACAGTATGTCAAAGTCTACTGGAATTCCCCTTACCAGAAAGTGTTAAACTAGAAATATGTCGTCTGCTACAGAATTTATGTGATTTACAACTTCGTAATCGAGTCGAACAAGTTGTAAGATTTGCAAGTAAATTTGTACGAGCGTTGCAGGAAGTAAGTTTATTTTTCTGCATCACTTTTTTATCTTGATGAACAAGGCACTAGAGTTGTGGTTTATTGAGCTTAAGCACTTGACACCAAAATAACATTGAGTTATGAACCGGAACTCTGCTCCAGCTACTGGTGTTTTGACGAGATGGTGTCACTATATCCATACAATACAAGGGAATAATGGTCTAATGTACGAACTCAAATTTATGTACTGAATTCCATCCTTGTTTTATTAACTTAATCATATCCTTGAGCTCGGTTCTTACTCATCGGTCGGTAACACGAGGTAAATGGTTCAAAAATTTTTTTAATGAAAAGTAAAAACGTTATCACTAAAATTAATCTGTACAACATACAAAGCTTAGAAGCATTTCCGATACGAACTGATATGACACTGTAAGAAACTAGTTTCAGACAGTTGGGAGGATAAATTTCTTTTGAAAATACTTGATAAACACCATATTATCGGTCAAATGAGAAGACTATACTGAAAGTCAAAATAATAGTAAAGATCAATAAACCAACAACAATAACAATCTAATATATTTTATATGAAGTATGATCAAGAATTGACAGAATAGTACCACAATTATTGGGCGCTGAGTAAGAGGTTGACATTAGCTCGAACAAGATTTCCGTGTAAAGCATTGGAATTATTTCATATCAAACACCTTGTGATTCACACAAATACAAACTATATCTATTGTCACAAATTTAATGGTACAATAACCTTGGGTTTAAAGGTATATTTACCAAAGAAGGTTTAGCATGATGAAAAATTAGATGTTATTTAGTTGGAGGAAACCAGGTAACATCCATCAAAGTGCACCGCGATGGTGAGCCTCCTAGCTTCATGGTCACATTGCAAAATGTTAGATGGAATTCGGTTTGTACTGAGGACTAGACAACATGAGACTGGTTGCTCTCCAGTGGTCAATCAACATGTAATGACAAATTGTTTTTGAACGCACAATCGTGGCGTAAACCTCCTAATTGCTAACGTTTTAACAAACTTTAAAATATGTCCCCAATAAGTCTTATGGAATACCATTAGTATTCTTTGCATCAGTTAGATTTGTTGTCAGGAGTTCATTACTCGTTGCTTTTCATGATATGTTGCTAACTTCCAGGTCGATCAGTTTTGCAGCTACCAAACAGGAAATCTAAAGTCTATTTTTGACCACTTCAGTCTTTTTTTATAAATTAATTCAAAATAAAATAACTGACTGAAAGTACTCATCTTCTTCATACACTAGTCACTTGTTTAATTATAATAAAAAGTATATTATTATGCAAACGCTAAAAAAATTCTAATCATACTCCTGTCATAATTCCCACAAAACTAGGTTATCTAGTTTTCTGTGGTTGCTACATTGCGTACTCTCTTTAGCTTAATAACCTTATATAGCGAGAGGTTGGTAAAGATATTGGTACTGTAAGTTAAGCTGGTGAGACAGGGTGATAAACTGATCAGTATTAAAGTGAAGCAGGTGTTTGGTACATTCCAAGTAGAGGAAAACTGTCATAAATAAGGCGAGTTTTCACTCAGTATTTCAACATTTCCCACTCTAGGTTGGATTGATTTGAGCTGTTTTTTCCGTCATGCAGATGGCTTAAGTTTACACCCATTACACGTCAAACCACATGAAAAAAATGTACTTAAGAAAGATAGGAGATATTAATTGATGTGCACACTTTTTATTAGATAATATTATGTCAGTAGGAAGTTTGTAACAATGGCTGTAAACTGTTAACATTTGGCTACTTATTGTAAGTCAGAAAACAACCCGTTAAAGAATGGTTTCAGAGCATAGAATACAAACAGCACTTATCACTTAAATTCAAGAAAGCTATAAAATCATTTTAGGTACTTTTTTAACTTTGATTCATCTACACTTGAGTCAGTAAAAGCTACAAAACACAAGTTGAATGTTTTATGGGCTTCATGTTAACTAATTCACATAATTATTGATTATACTAACTTAGATACCTTTAACAAAGGAGTTCAGTGATTTAAAACTGAAAGTAATAACATAGGATTTGAAATGACCTATCAGTATATGTTGTTCTTATTGCTTATATGCATCACTCAAGACAAATGAAGTATGAGTATCAGTTCATGTTAACAGTGTGACAAGTAATTTTTTGGAGTAGACTGAAAAAAGTTCCACATTTTCCAAAAAGGTTTTGCATGTTGCGGATTTCCCGATTTACTGTAAAGTAGCATATAGGTTTTGACATTAAACACTTGGTCTATGTTATTTTCATCTACTCCCATATTCATTACAAACCATGGGATCACATCAGGGTTATATATCCTTGAAAATATAACTGTTCTGATATCTTGCAACCAATATATTGCTCACCACTAGAATAAAGTGCGTGTAATGTTATGATATTGCAAGATTTTAACGTTAAGATTTTTCTTTTATCTGTGCATGGATTTATTGTATAAATTATTCACAGGATCAAAGTGCCAGGTATATGGCCATCAAAAAATCAAATCTACCTTCATCAGTAGCAGCTAGAAGGACAAGAGAATTCAGATGTCCTGCTTCAGTTCAAATGAGAAGTCTTTTACAAATGTCTGGTCCAGGTGGACCAACTGGTCGTTTAGAAGAAGCAGCAACTGAATTGCCTCCTACTGAGCCAGGCTCTGGAGGAGAAGATTATGATGAAGAGGAATTAGAAGGTGCAGATAAGAACCGATGTGCGGAAGAAGTAAAGGTATTGGATTCTGACTTACCAAGTGTCTTTTCTTTTACAACCTCATCGGTTACTACAGTCTTGAAGTTTTATTGACTAATACATGCTTACAATAATCTTTTGATAATCTTTGCTTAAACCAATGGAAATAAAGTCTAACTCCATAAGAACTATGTGCACTAATTACGCTGCATGTATGCTGATAGAAATGTCTTAGAAAATTCTTCCATCCAACTAAGTAGCGAAAACTCTTACCTATGAGTTAAGAAAAAAATGAATCAGATTTATTTCATTTTCCTCATATAATCAAGGAGTACTTAACCTTTATGTTATTTCACTACCCCTAAAGTGAAATCACTAAAATTCGTATTGATGAAGCCAGGAAGTTTATCTATGATTACTCTATGAAATGAAAATAAAATTTTAGATTTTCTCCACCGTTTCTGGACAGTGCAAGGCTGTGGTACACTGTCTGACGGTTTATCAATTGTTTAGTTCCTGTGTTTTAAAATGGTTTTGGCTGGAACGAGAGTTCCTGGGTAAGAACAGAAGAAAGAAGCAATCGATCAGAAAGAGAAATAGACAAATTACCGAACAGTCTTGCACAGAATTTAATGAGTTGAAGTTAACAAATATCATTACACGTCATATTGATCAAGCTACGGAGAACTAAGTGGCGTTCATCTCCCTCAACTGATGTGATCATGTCAAAATTTCCCCTAATAATAACAGGTATCTAGAGAGAACATACATTGAAGGTGTAACCTTTTCATGATGGACAGTTGTACTTAAGGTTATGCAGTGTTGTTGAATAATAAAACAGTCCCTTCCGCACATTAGGGTGAACCCTGATTTTCACAGATGCAATCCTATTTTTCATGTATAATAAGCTGTCGTACGCCTAGAAAGTGAAATTTCCTGAATTTCAGGAAATACATATTCTCATTGGGGTCCCATAAAGACTAAACCCTAAATGTCATAATTTTGCCATGAAAATATTGCCTACTCTCTAAGAAATGTTTGCTATGCAATTTTCTAATACCAGAAGTAACTAATTGCCACTAATAAATTTTGCAAGCACTTGGTGTGTGTTTATTTTTCATAGTAAATTTAAGGTATTCAAGGGCGTAGGGTGGTAAAACTTCAACAAAACAACTTATTTGCTTATATCTTATTTCTGTTATCTTTTTTGGCGTCTTACTGATACAAGGAGTGTGCCTAGTTCATTCTTGAATTTCTTCAACAACTTTTATTGTTTAGATCTACACAAATATGCGAACGCTGTTCGCAAATATTTGCACATTAAGAAACTGAGTAAATATCGATAATGTTTTAACATTAGTAGATAAAATTCGTATTTATTAGTATTGCTAATAAAAGGGAAATAATGGGGACAGTTATCCTTTAATTCAATGTTACATTATCAAATAACTAAAGAATCTATTTTTTAAATACAGTAGATATGTATTTGAGCTACTTAAGTCCCATCCCTAAGCGTATTAGATTCATACAACAGGTATATTTCAAATGAATACATTGCCTGTATATATATATATATATATATATATATATATATATATATATATATATATATATATGTATCAGTAACTCCTGGTTCACTTAATTTTATTATTCCTTCTCAACAGTAATTTATAAGTGTTTTGACGAAAACAGTGCCTGATAGTAATTTTTCAGTCTTTATGAATCACCTAGGGTAAATATTTCAAAGTCCCTCAGATTGATATTCAAATCGCAGTTTTATTACCTAGAATATGTTTTGTAGCTGATTACCACCAAGAAATTTCAGAAAAGACAACTCAGGTATCCTTATCTGATGGGGAACTACTTTCAAAAACTCAAATAATTTGAGCTTTAAGAATTTATTAAGCGAAAGTGTGACTGACAGTTTAAGATTTTTGAATAAACTTCATACGGTAACCTCGGTTGGATAAATAACCTCTATTAAGAAAGAGGAAACTTGCATCTACAATAGGATTCCACTAGATGCCTTCAAAAAAAATAGAAGTTAACATTCTCCTGCTCTTAAGATGATGAAAAAGCTTTACAAATAACCATATCATTTTCAATACTATACTAAACATCCCTCTTACTGTTTTTTTCCAGGAGATGCTTCGTAGTTTTCATAAGTTACTCTGTGATAAACTAGGTGTAATGTTGCCAGAAAATGACAGAAAGAATTCCGGATATAAATCTGATTCCGATTCTTCGAGAGATAGTGGATTCGCTGAATCGAATATGAATTCACCATTGCTAACCCATCCATCAGATACACTCAGTTTAGCTTCATTTGGCACGTCTTTTCCATCAGATGAGCTACAGGCTGCTTTAGCTCAACTACCACTGGTACCACCTGAAATGGGTCATCCAGAAGAAGGTTCAGGTACACCGCCATGGATCTTGAAATTTGTTTGGAATATGATTATTCATAAACAGCAACTGAATGATTCAACAACTGAGACAAACGAAAAAAATGAATCAACATCAGCCACCCAGTTTGATCGTTCAGGAAAACGTAAGTTTAGCTACGAAATGTCATTGACAATTTTTAAAGTTTAGAACATTGATTACAGCTTGTATTTTAGGATAAATACATACTTAGTTACCCTGTGTAACCCTCCGGCTTCAGACTAATATTGTTGGTTGAACGGCTGATTACGTCTTATGAAACATCACCAGCAACAGGTCACGTACCTGAAAAACAATATTCTTGCTAATAGTTCACCATAGAGAAGATTCCTAATTGATTTCTATTATACATTAACAAAGTTTATGAGCAACCACAAATCTTCAGGTTTTACTTCTGCAGCGTATATCTAATGGGAGCGGTTTCACGGTGGCTAGACCAAGACGTGGTATCAGTCAGCGAAGTCCCTCACTATTAGTCTGAGTCGTATGTGGAAGATGTAGGCTATCTGGATGACGATAGGAATCAATGGTTGAGGACTCCTGATGATATGGCTGAAAATCGGTCACAATGGCGCAGATGCATTTACTACTTGACATATTCGAAAGCCTAGATATTCATACTAACCTTCACCTTGAGACTGTTTATTCCTTTGCACTACTTTGTCTACTTTGATATCACTCTTTTTCTGTCTACCTGTTCTTTGTGTTCTACCGTGAAGTTCGACAACTTGAACCGATGCACTTGAGTGCGAGGTTCTACGTTTATTTTGTTTGTCTGTGTGCCTGTCTGCCTATATTTGATGGCATTCCAAAAGATATTTTTTTAGATCTAATAATCTTTACAGTTGTAACAGTCTACTAAATTCATTTTGTAAATTTCTTATGGCAATAAACCCTAACTGTTCTCTCAAATACAAATTCACTGGAAATTATGGACTGTTTTGCCCAAAAAATGCTTAAAGTGTCTGTGCAATAAGGTTTTTGCATTAGCCACGGGAAAACATTCGACTGAATTCATTCCACTATACTGAGTGCAATCTACATGTCGATTTGTTACCCTAGTGTCCAAGAGATGAAATTTCAATATTTTTATATTCTTTCATTCAACTGTTGTCTCATAAAGAACAAATAACAATCAAAAGTCATATATTCTATTTTGCGTTAGGAATACAAAGAAAAGTGTCGATCACTACCACAATGAACTTATAAATCTTTCAAAAATAACAATTTGAAAATACTATAACCGATTTTCAGTGTACAAATCTCTATTCTTATTTCTTAGTCATCACATATTGGTCTTAACTGTAGGAAAGCTTTATTTCAACTATGTTAGTTAATTTTTACGAAAGAATTTGTTACAACAAAATATTGATAAAGTCAGTTTGGCAATAAAAATAATCTTTCTACCTTCACTTAGATCTGAAAACTTAGTGACACGACAGTCTCTTAACATTGTTATACTCTTAAAACGAGTGAACTTTCTAATTTTTTTTTCTCGTAAACATTACTGACTTGGCTATAACGCTGACAATGATGACGCAAAGTGGGTTCTGGGTCTTTGAATGCACTCTGAATCTGACTTTTTTAATTATCAGTACTTTTTCTAATAGGTTACTAAGGTACAAAAAGTCCTTGGTCTAACATTTCGAAGCTTTTTTAGTTGAATCGTAACCCGAGTTATGAAAGTTATATCTTATACACTGATATTCCTTACAGCTGAACACTTTCTCAACCACTTAGATGTAATGTCAACAGGGTTTCTGAGGATCACCATCCTGTCAACAGCATTATCAATGATCACTGATGTACAAGTATTCTCAACTAAAAACATGATTAGAAGAAGTCAATAATCGAATATAATCCAATTTGATCAATAAATTCTGCTCAAGGTTGCGTAAAAAATACGGCTGGGTATCAAATGACCAGAACAGTAACCCATGAATAAAATTGCTCCTTAAGACTATGATTAGTGTATTGTTATGAACATATCCTGTTATTTTTCATATCTTTCAATTATATTTGTAGATAAAAAGCCACAGTTTACTTTTAAAAATATCATTCCTTGTATTTAGGTTCATTGGATGGACTGATAGTTTACACAATTGTTAGATGGGCTAACGAAGGCTTTATTGAAAGTCTAGAACTTATTCGTGAGATGTTTTCTGCTCTTCATCGTCAATACAATGCAATAGAAGAAGTAAATTAATTTTTATATCCACTCATAACATTAGTTAGTGAAATAATTTATTCAGTTTTGAAAGAAAGCTTTATAATACTTACTTAAATAACAGCCATAGGATATAATGATTACATATCTAGGGTTTGACATTTACGACGTTTAAAATACAATTAAACTTTCCTGTAGAAGCATTTTAGTAATAATGATGATACGAAACTTTAGAAACAGACTTCAGACTTACAAAATGACCCTTTATAAGATGTAATAGACTGTACATTGTGTTTTAAACTGTGCAGCCAGCTTTTAACTAAACTCTTGGTTGTTGTCAGCTTTAGACATGTTTTACATAATTAGAAAAAAAAATTAAAGGTCGTAAATGGAATAAAATATTGTGTACTACGTGTTAATGAGATGGAAACGACTGAAAAGTTCGAAATGACACTACGATTATGTCGAAATTACAAAGCAACAAAGGTCATGCTGAAGATTTTAAGTAACTAACGTTTCAGCTTATGCACTGAATAAAATGTTTGAAGCAAGAGTTATTGATTTTATTTCACCAGTAAAGTGTTCTACGCCTTTGTGATATTTCAAGAATACACACTTTCCCAACTGATCCTGAGTATCTTCAGTATGCTATTTTCCACAGAATTGAGTAAATAGGAAGATAAAAACATCTGATTGGTGCTCAATGTATTATATAACTAGTCTAGAACTGGAGGAAATATTCGAAAGGTTATCTAGGAAGAATCTCTTCATGAGGCGTCTTAAAAGATAATCCTTGAGAATTACTGGACTAGTACTGATCTTGATTTTTAAATCTGCGTGCAGTACTTTACGGTAAAAGATGTACAGCACACCGTTATTTTCCTTTGGTACTACATTACAGATTGCATAGAAAATACTTAGGCTACTGATTTAAAAAACACAAATATTTCCCGATAGATAAACAGCAACATTGTAATGAACACATGCGTGTACATGCAATCGATCCCCAACAGCCATATTGTAGATGTCACTTTTATATCTCACAGATAAATCATATCTCAGAGAATACTGTTGCCAGAATTTCAGTAGAAATACATGCATATGACCCCCCCCCCACGTCTTAAACATATGCTACTTTAAATTAATCAGTAGTTTATTGATCAGAAACAAAAATATTATTACGGAAACTGAGGGTAGACCAATGTTATATCATCCTGTTAGTACTGGTACCAAAAGATTTATTCAGACTCAATTATTATGCATAATCTGCATGGTTTGAAGTAAATCTTACTAGTTTTGTTTTGTACTTACCAGATTTTACTAAATAGCCAGTGTCGTAAAAATAACTAGATTAATTTACCAATTTTACATGAAGTAGTAAATCATCCAGCAATATAATTCTGAGAAATGTATGATCAAGACCGAAATAACGGATCTGAAACACCTTAGATTGCTATGTGTAGATCACATAGGTTGTAATGCTTTCTAAAGGACTACAAACAAATCTCAGATAAATATTGATTTTAAGTTTAGGAAAGCAGGAAACTAGATGCAAAGCTTCTAGACAATTGCATTCCATCACTAAGCATGTTGGACAACAGTTAGATTAAAGGTAAAAACATCACATTAAGTCATCAGGGAAATTCAACCATTACTTGGTTATGTTCTGGTGACTTATATATGCGAAAATGTGAATTTAAGAGACTTTTCAATGAAAATAAATTGTGATTTTTCGAAATAGTTAGATGTCAATTTTTATTTATGCTTGTAATCTCCCGTTGATCATTCACTATACTGGACTGAAGTGATCAGTATCTCGTTATATATGGGCTTCTTAAACGAATGCCTTGATTCCATCTAGTATAATAATCATCGAGAAGTTACAAGCATCAATAAACGGCAAATGATTTCCATTGTTCAAGATGCGGATCTGGTGGCTCAGGAACCTAGTGGAAAACACTTAGATATTAGAATTGATGAGTACTAGGTTGGCGTCTCCGTTCCAAATGAAATTAAACATGCTTCCTGAATTCCACCATTACCCAATATATATTTGTATTTTCTATGAAAATGCAACACATAACCGTCTTCAATTTTCAGCTGAGAGATGCACTTGCAAAAACGTACGTTATATGTGGTTTATCGCAAGATGAAGTATCCCGCTTATTACGGTCACTAGGGCGAGTAAGGTGTCTTCTTGGTGTTCAGTTAGGATCAAATGAAGAAATTTTGTTGAAAAACTGTTTGTGGTAAGTGGTTTTTTCAGACAAAATATTTCAAATACTTTTGACTTTACTGTTATTATTATCCCAGGTTGATATTCATCATAGACTAGCATCAGCTAGAGAACCATTGGAATTCTGGGAGAATTGCGGATTCGTTTCACCCTGGTATATGGGTTCGATCCTTGGCAGGGTTATGTGTGCGCACTCCTGAGGAGTCATATACTAGAAGGAAACAGATGTCCAGGGCTCTCAGGTTCTCAATGTTTCTTTAACTGACGTCAGTCCATGATGAATATCAACCTGAAATAAATAAATAAATCCCCAAAAACCTCAAAACTGTTGTTATTATTATTAGTATTATATTCATTTATCTTCATTTAATAGTCCTAGAAATTCAGTATATTAGCTTTATTCGGTACTACGTACGCATGATGCACCGAGTACTGATTTCACCAGAGAGAACTCTTTTAGCTACTTAAATAACGGTGTTGTGATCACAACCATCTAACTGTAGTAAAAATATTAACCAAACGTATGGAAGTATGTAGTTTAGTTATTCAATGGAAAACTGAGAAAGTTAGTATCTAAAGTATGGATTAAGGATATCATGAAACGTATTCACCTTTGTACATAATACAGCTATAGTCTCGACACTTCCATACCGAAATAATATCTACGGTAACTACACTATATTTCTTTAATGATCCTATAACGGAAGCGGTAAAAACTGACGAATCACGTAGCAATAAATTCATCCAGGGTTATTCACTTCGAGACTTTTGCTTTCAAAACATATATATATATATATATATATATATATATATATATATATATTGACAAAAGTTACAACTACCAGGTATCTGGCTTATCGGCCTCCAAATATTTAAGGTTTTATTTCAAAAATTGAATTGCGCGTTGCTTTATTTCCCTGGTTTGAATTTTATTCTGCTTTGACGGAAACGTACTGTGACATTGACTAGTTGCTTTTTAGGTTTGACAAGACACTCTTCATCTATGCTTTACAAAATATCAAGATACTACAATTCCATATTTTAGGTTTATCAATCCCTCAACTTATAGTATACCTTTCAGTCACCACTACCTTCTTCATCAGTATACAAAAGTATAGTTGCCATTGTAAATACTTTTCCCTTTTCTAAAGTTTTATATTGTTTCAGTTGTGTGCTGAACTATGTTATGACCTTAATCCCTGTATATCCGGTCTACTGGTTACTGAACAATATCTGTATAGTCGCCATTGAAACAAGCTGTACTACCAGAACAGTTGTTTTCATATTTATTAAATAGCAACCAATTACTAAGAAAATTATTGACCTTAGGTAATATCAGAACTTATAGCTTTTGACTGATAAGATTTACTCACAATGAAAGAAAAATCGTTGATTTATGAACTCAATAAACACCAGCGAGTTTTTCTATGGGATAGTTAGTTTGAAACTGACTAACTGATGCAAATTAAGTTGGGAGACTGTTTCAAATATGCACACTATTTAGATTGTATTCTAATTAGAATAGCTTTCGTTTACTTAAATATGGTAGTATTCTCTCCGTTTAATTTTTGATATCTTTCTTTTCGCTCACTTTATTTACTATAGGGATCTCATGAACAATAAGGTATTCTTTCAACATCCGGACTTAACTCGATGCCTAGCAGTTCATGAAACAGTTATGCAATTAATGGTGCAAACATTAACCAAAGCAACTTTTGAACAACCAGGCTCTGCTACTTCTGCTAAAGATGCCATACATTCATCTAGTCAAGCATTAACAACTGATATTACGCTAACTAGTGCATCTGGTGCTTCATTACCTGTCTTGCATGAAGAAGGTTAGTTAACTAAATAAACATTACTATTAAATGGACATTACTAACAACATTTCTTAGTGAATAATAGGAATAATGTTTTCCGGTGATCGAAGAAATGCACCTAGATTTCCTACTAGACTGTAGTAGTCCATTACGATCTTGAATTAAATTCAATAATTTGCTGTTTTTATGATTATCTGATTGTCGATTTAATAAAGTTGTCGACTGAAATATGAATTTTCTAAGTTTCATATGTTCATTTTGAAACTGAGAATGTTCCTCGCCTTAAAATGTATGACCAGTATGTTAGTATCATAACTAACATTAATAGTTTCACATAGAAATGAGGAAAAAGGCAAACCTTGTAGTTTGAAAAAAGTTGTTTTCTTTTTTCACTGACAAAAATCAGGCGTTACAGTAAATTAACCCACTTCATCTAGTGAGCAGGCGTAAAACCCCACTTATCTAAAAAATTCTTTCTAATGAAATTATTTCAACTTGTTTTGAATTATGTGTTGATGAGATGTAAATTTAAGGAACATTTAAATTGCTGAGCATTGTCTTCCATCGATGTATACTTCACAATGTACTTGAATAAAGTTGTATTAAATTACGAGATTAACGGTTTTTGATCCATTTAGTTTTGAATATTGGTAAGAAGGAAGAAAAGCTGAAACTATATATTACAGCTTCCAATTTCCCTTTGTTGATTTATTTAGGCTAAATCAGCTGGCAGCTACCTACGCATAGGCTACTATATGGTGGCCATGATGTAACCGGAAATCAACAAAGGCGATTACAAGCTTTGTTATTAAAATGAACCTTTGTACAATGAGCAGATTAAGTAAAGCAGTAGCCAAGTAGATGACACTAGCATTTAGAGTAACGAGTACTCGATGCAGGTACACTAAATTGACGAGTTTCAGACTAAATGAAACATGTACTTTGGATTCCGCTAATAGCCACAGTTCATCATTAGCATCACAAGTACATAAAACTTTGCCAAGACATATATTAGATTTTGGTAGCTTTCAAAGCACCACAACGACTGATTTATATTGAGTATTATATGGATTCGCAGTCTGTATTTTTGTTTTTTTTCTAAATCCTAATTCATCAAGATGTATGTAGAACGTCTGATTACCAAAAGGAAATCTTTTTCACTTTATCTTACTAATGTTGTCTTTAAAAAGTAGTCTTATGATTAATTTGGACTTGTGTTGTTTTACTTTTTCAAAGCTTTTATTTTGTAGTTTTAGGAAACCGTGAAGTAACTTTTTTTGGGTGTCTTCTAAAACAGAACTCGCTCTCATTTACTTATAAGACCTAACATATATCAGCAACAAGTTTTATATATTCCTTTCAACTCGATCAATGATAAGTTACTAATTATCGAAAACTATTGGTAGTGTGAATATTTTTTCTTAGCGAATTAGATTATCTGGATATCGATTGCTTCTCATTGAGACTTTTAGGAACGCAGGTTCATAAGCCTTTGAATTTGAAACTTAATAATACAATGTTTATGATTATTTAGGTTTGGGATCTGGTTCAATCCATACATCACAACACCACCAACAACAGCAGCAACAACAACGTGGTTCAGCTGGTCCAACAGAAATGGTTGTACAATGTTGTAGATTTCTATGCTATTTTTGTCGTACTTCGAGAGATAACCAGAAAGCTATGTTTGAACATCTCAGTTATATGTTAGAGAATTCATCTATGCTACTTGGTAAGAAATGTAACTATTTTATTTTTCAATGGTAAAATGCCATCATCTCTTGGTAGTGAGTAGTATCTTACCTGTCTTCAATGAGTTCAGTTAGTAGGATGAATAAATGTAACGTTTATATGTGTACATGACAAACTTTGTACTACTAGTCACAGTGAATAAAGTGAAATTGAGCTATATGCCAGTGGGGAATTAGCAAAATACCTTCATACTTGGATAAGCATTGACTTAATTAGTATTAAAACTCGTTATCATAAAAGAGATACTCACTGTAGTGTAAAAGTGACATCTTAATTTTTTAAACACTTCCATCAAATATGACATTCATACAAATTTTCTACCAATTCAAAGTGGACGTATATACACTACTTGTAACAAAATGAAACTGCCTGTTGTTTTATTTTTTTTTAATGAACAACACTGGGTTACTCCTGTTTTCTAAAAATGGTTTTCTTTAGTCCTTGTGTCAACAGTAGGTTATAAAATTTCACATAAAAATTTTTGATAACACTTCGCTTGCATGAAATTTCAAGAAATGCGTAGTGATTTTCACCATTAAGTATATGCTTACATAGTCCTAATCTAATGATATGTATTCCAGCCAGTATTATAAATGATATTCGAAACCGAATTGGTCTACATTCTAATACTCACTACACATAAATATCCAAGAGGTTATTACCCAGAATTGTGTTATTTGCTAGCAAATGTCTTTTCTTACAGCTCGCCCAAGTCTTCGTGGTACTTGCCCATTGGATGTGGCTTATTCCTCTTTGATGGATAATAATGAATTGGCTCTAGCCTTACGTGAAAAACAACTAGAAAAGGTAACGTTTTATCTGGTTATAGATAATATTTTGCTTTTCCTTCGCAGATTTTATTCTAGTTAATGTCATTAGACTAATAGAATCAGGCTTGTCTTGAGAATATTGTGATCTTATTCTTGCTTTAACAGAATGCAACGAAGTTATAATTTAGTTGAGCCACCTATTTGTGACAATAAATAGTGATCATGGTTTGTCATAATTTGACAAAGAATAGGAAATATAAGAAATCTAACTGTAACCAAGTAACTGTTTTGGCATATCGTTAGGCTGGGGAATCTCAAACTTGGTAATAAATATTAACTTCGGACGGTTACATGTTCTCCATTCACATTTTCAACTAAAAGTATGGGCTTTATAGGAAATGTCTCATAAGAATAAGCAGCTGTTACTGGGACATTTTATGAAAGCTGATGAATGCATGAAATTCTTTCCCTTTCTTGATGATAAACAGTTGGCTATATCATCAGTATATTACTAAATCTACTTAGTTCATATTTTACAACTACCATCGGTATTTTGCTAATCAACTCATTTTTGAACAAAATATCTATTAGGTTGCTGTCTATTTGTCCCGTTGTGGTGTTCAATCGAATGCTGAATTATTAGCTAAAGGCTATCCAGATATCGGATGGGATCCAGTAGAAGGAGAACGTTTTCTTGATTTCCTACGTTTCACTGTGTGGGTTAACGGTAAGATTATATTATTTACGTATGAAACTGCATTTTTCAGTTCTCAGCAACCTTTTACAAAATTCACTTCATTTATTCTGTTTCCGGAAGCTAACTGCCAATCGATAGGTTTCATTAGCTGCTGTTACTCAGCTTATCTCTAAATCAGTTTAAAGACAAGGAGTAAAGCGGTGGAATGCATTGACGACTTCACTTATTTGAGGGTTTACGTTAGCCTTATTCATGAACGAATTCCAGCTTGCATACAAAAGACTGGTTTGGTAACTGTGGGCTTAAATCATCTTTGGCGCCAGTGAAGTATCTAATTACCTGTCAGAAGATGAGTATATTGCTCAGCATTCCACTCTGTCCTGTTGTATGGCCGTGAACATCTGTTGAAAAGTGAGGAAATAGGAAGACTACTCTTCACTTATTTGCATGCTGCTATGAAATTTAGCAGCTTGACCTAAAACACTTATGTATAAGGTTCCATCCTAATTTATCTATCTGTTAAATTATTCATTTACAAACTACAAAACACATATGCAGAAACATGAAGATAGTAATCGTAGAGTATCTTAATAGGGAAAAAACGTGATAACTCTTAGGAATCAAATATCTCACATTTTGGTGGCATAAAGCCCATATTGTACAAAAAGCAATTATCTCGAGTGTTGACTCGTTCAATTTTTATATGCATACACTGGGTCTAAGATCACATGCATTTATTAGAATAGCTTTACTAAATTTAGAACCACGACAACCAGATCCCAGCTAAATGACATGCGAAACTCATAAAGCTCAGAACAAAAGTTTGGAGACTTATTCTCTCTGATGGTGTACGTAGCAGTCATAGCCAAAATAAAAATAACTACTTCCAAGCGTCGCACTTCCATCGGAAAAATCGCTTAATCAGTTACAACCACTGAAATAGACAGTTAGGTTTCTGTATCACATAGGTTACCCCCATTTTAGCTGCAATAAATCTAGTTGGACTTGTCAGTGGTTACCAGGCTCTTTTTACGGTCGCTCATGCTAAACAGTGCACAAGTTCTAAATGAAACGGTAATGGCTGACTTTAAAGGCCACTCTAGCAACAACTGAAATAACCAATTAGACTTCTATATTTCATGACAAACTACCTTTCCAGCTGAAATAGAGAAACCTAATTGGTTATTTCGACCGTTGCTAGGGTGGCCTTTAAAGTCTCCTAACGGTAATACTCTGACTAATGAAACATGTGAAGGTAACCAGTCAGTATATGGGTCATAAATTCGAAAGGGTTAGAAGACAAAATTAAGCATGACACAAGACGTTCTTGAAAATGTTAATAGGATTTCAATTCACTAATAGACTGATGATACTAAAGCTTGATACAAGTGAAGCAAACAACCACAGTAGTCAGCAGTTTTCAATTGTTATAGATTGGCTTTAGTAAATTATGTTTCCTGAATTAGGTGTGAAGTGGGACTAATTGTCGGCAAATAAGATGTTTTAAGAGAAAACTGAAAATGAACTTTCTGGGTATATTTGGCAGCCATTATGGATGTCATTTATCAGTATTATTTTCTTCTTAGTGTTTAATACAAAACATAATTTACTATGCTCGAAGAAATATACCAACAGATATAGTGATATTTGCAAGAGCAATATACATCCTCAAGGTAATGCTTTAACTATGCACTAACAATTATGATTCTTAAACTATTGTCGGTGGAGTGTCCTTGTGATAAATTTCGAAAGAGGCATATATTCAAACAAAGTTGCCATCTTTTGGTATGTTTATGTGCTCGTTTTATCAGTGATTCCCTTGAGTTTCAACGTCCCGTGAAGAATCCTGAATGCAATAATTAATAAACAGAGGGTTGGTAACCTTTTCCCACAAATGCTTAAGCCTAAATAAAGTGCTAAGTATTGTGTGATAATATCATTTCGTAGTTCCTCAACAATCGCTTAACAATTAAAATGGCTTATAATAATAAATTATTCCAAAGCTAGTGCTCATCAGTTGGAGAATTACTAAAAACCTGAGAGCATTGGACAGATGTTTCATCCTAATTTGGGATTTCCCAGCAGTACGTACCCACCACCCCACTAGGGATCAAACTCAAGACACTCAAGTTTTGTGGTGAATGTGCTAACCATTCAGCTACTGGGTCGGAGTCTAGTGGTTCACAGTTTCTTACTTCTCTCAGTTTGCGATATAGCACGACTATCATCCAAGGTCTTCAGTTGACATCTGTTTCACTTTCGACTGGTTAACTCCACAGGTTACGGCTTCTCACTAGAACTTTGGGATATCAGTCTCGAAGCATGTCAGTAATGGACACTATAAAGTAATGTATTTTGAGGTTAATGGGGGTTTGATTGGTTTTCCGACTGATGTTAGTTCGTAGTAAATATTATACTAAGAATAAAATCCCTGTAAACTTCAAATTACAACAAATTATTCGTCAGTATTTGCAGTTATATCCAGTCATCATATCACCTTTTCTTGCTTACGGATTGAAGTTATGTGAAACAATTGAACAGCAGTCAGTATTGACTTCTTGATTAGTCAACAGTAAATCCCCAGCTATAGATGACGCTGGATTTCTACTCATGTTAAGTACATTTGGCTTAGTCATGTGGTTTGACAGCCGATGAGAACTAGTTCTTTCCGACGGTATTGCATCATTCCACTAGTTCTGCCCATATATGTGCCCACAACTGTGGTTCAACTTATAGATACAATTTGAGGTAGATTTAACTGAGTTTCGCTCCTTAACTGCTGGTACTGGAAGAGGTTAACTAAAAAGAAGCAACGTAGAAAGTGTGTTTGATAGTCGATCAAAGCTTATGAGCTGTTAAATGGATAATCTGTTTACTTTTAAATGGTGGGGTGTTGAAGACTGTTTTCATTATTTCCGTAGCTGTCTTTTGGACGGGGAGTTGGTCCTCACTGTAGCATACAACGGACTTTCCGGATAACTGCTGGTCTGTAAAACTGAATGCATGCATTGTATCCCATCATCCAGTGTATTCCGAGTACATATTCTATGAGCTCATGAGAACAGATACTACTCAAGAATGTTTATACTGAATAGGAAGAAAACTACTGAAATGAAGATATTGTCCACTCCATGTTTTTTTCAGAATATTGAGCTTCTGATAGTTCCATCGTTTCGTATGCTGATTAAAGTGTTCAGAAAACCCAACCTGTCACTCTATTCATATTCAGATCTCATGGGAATATTTGGTTTAGTACGATTGAATAAGGCGACAAATTTAATAGTTGACTCATGATTATCACCTATGACAAGAGTATCATTCACACAACATTTATAGAAGTGAAGTTTTGAAACGAATCTTCGATTCGCTTTTCCAATTTAAACATAAGCGCGTTAGCTAACAGGGTCCCAAGGGGGTTTCTCATTGCAACACCATCAATTTGTTTGTTTCTGAAAGTTGAATCTGATGTTTAGTATGTATAATAGAACGAGGTTCTTTTATGAGAACGAGTAAATACAAATGGCTTTCTGTTTCTGATGTAGAAATTCCAAGCCTTTACTTTATCTTCAAAGAAGATTATTAAAGTGGGTGCCTTTGGGGCTACTATTTACTATTCATTCACCACATCATCATCCATATTCCTGATTGACCAACAGGCCTCTAGATTTTCACAAATACTTTGCCATGAGATAATTCTGTTTCATAGAGTATGAAATCAGTTGAAAAGGTTTCTTATTCCGTTATAGAAATCGCTCCTGAGGATCATATGATCAAAAGTGTATTCTTTTTTGAATAAAGTATTCTCTAGGATTTGAACCAATGCTTGAACAAACTGAGTCTCATAACTTAGTCAGGAGAACATCTGGCTGCTAATCCAAAGGCCATTGGTTCGAATCCTGTCACGACTAAATTTTTCCTCCAAATTTAGTCATTATTCCTTCAAGATTGACATAACGTACCTGTTTATTTACTTACAATCTGTCGTATTCTTTCTTTACTGTCACTCTGGTTCAACCAAACTGCTGAGTTGGTAGTGAATTCAACTTTTTGAAAGGAATTTGTTTTAGCAAAGAGAATAAGGAAATGAAGTCATCTGTGAGTAGCTTTGAACCGTAGTGAGCGTGTATACTAAAACTAATAACTACCTATCAATGTATTATTAGTTAAAACAAAGTTATAATAACAATGCGTCATAAGTAGTGGATCACATTTACATTATACTTCTGTTTATTTTAGGAGAAACCGTTGAAGAAAATGCCAATCTTGTTGTACGCCTTTTGATTCGTCGACCAGAATGCTTAGGTCCTGCACTTCGTGGTGGATCAAAGGTTATAAAACAGTCCACTGGGAATACAGGAATAGATGGTTTAGAAGTACCGCCAGGTGGTCCAAACGGCTTAGGTGCTCCAAGAGAGTCAACTGCACAGTTATACAGTGATCCAGATGGTCAACCGAATTTGGCTGGTGGAGGCCTTCTAAAGGCAATGAAAGAAGGCTTAGTAATGTCAGCTCAAATTAAATTGGTAAAAATGGCTCAAGAAGCTGAAGCAGCTGGTCTTAACCCAGAAGAGGAAGACTTAGGATGGCGTACTGTTCTGATGGATTATGAAGATGCTAACTTATTTACACCACTTCCCTATAATTTTGAATGTTTACCAGTGAGTTGAAGAACTAGAGTGCTTCGTGAAAATATCAGTTAATCATAAAATGCTGAAACATACCGTTACAGGCTATTCTATATAATTTAATCAATATAAAAGCTCAAACCACCATGAAATATAGTATTAATATCTTACAGTATGTACTATAGTTTACCATTCTTATAAATTAAGTATTGTATTCATCAGGAATGCAATTTCTGCACCTGTATTATATATACCCTTTTTTCGCAGCACTGCTATGACTCAATCTTTATTCTACAGCTCTTTTATATATTTGATACAGTTGTTATGCTTGACAAAGTCACAGCTCCAATTATTGGAATAACCAACTGAGTATGTTTACTTTTATCGTACAGGTAGCTTCTTCGTAAAATACAAAATCTTGGTTGGTTATTTCATGAATCACTAGAGTGGTATTTGGAGTCACTTCTTACTGGTTATTAGTAAACCTGAATATTACTGTCAGTCAGCAAGTTGATGGTACAAATAACAATTGAATTTCTTACAAATAGCCAGTTGCATCAGCTGAATAGCTTTGATTAAGAACATATAAACCATAAACCGGACACAAACTATAGTTATAAATAATATACTTGTTGTATCTTTAAAAAAACTGCATTACTAAACCAGTGTTATATAGTAACCACCATGCTCTAGATTTAATTTGATATGTTTCTTCTACAACTAATTTTTAAAAGAATCTGAACGTGTTCGCAAATTTACAAGTTTCAACCGTTGTTCATACGTATTGTAAATGGCTTACTTTTTAACTTCTATACGTGATAATAATCAAATAATTCAGATAAATTATTATTCGACAATTTCTGGTTAGCTAAGTGCATACAACTCGATAATTAAGCAGAGATTCTAACATTTGACTATTAGCCAGACTTATATTTCGAAGTCTGATTATGCAAATTGACTAATTGAATTTATGTGGGTGGAGTGGGATTCCAGCTCATCAACCGCCAGTTGGAAATGAAGTGGCTCTATAGCTTAAACTACTCTTATTTTCGATATTCATTCCCACCGAATCCTTCAACAACAAACAGATGGAAGAAGATAAAAGTCTGTAATATGTTCATCATATTTATTTAGTGAAGTTAACAGGTAGGGACTCACCTTATAAAATGAGCGCTCTTCGTCACCTTTCAAACTTAAACAAATTATCTTGGGATATAATGTCTAGGAAAAATTACTGAACGGTGTGAATAGTTACTAGCTGCCCATATCACCCAACTGTGTGTTTGAAATGGTTAATATTTTCGTTCACTAACAGAAATTCTAAAAGCATAACACGGAATAATGTGAATAATCTTTATAATTATCCTGAATTTATAAGTTTTGTCTAATATGATATGTTTGTTTTCCCTCGACTATATAGCCTGAAGATGATCCAGATTACATAGATTTAGGTGCTGCTATACTGACATTTCATTCAATTCTGGTCAATTTGCTTGGATTTTGTGCTCCTGATATGGAAACCTCCAAAAGTGAGTCTTTACGTGCAAGATCAATTCTACAGTCTCTTGTGAGTATGGCTGACTTGGAAGGAGTATTATCATTACGATTTATACTACCACCACCGAAACTTGAAGTTCAGGTAGGTTTTTTATCATCTGGTTGCTAGTTATATATTCCTGTACAATTATAATAATTTTACGCAATTTTCATCACTTTAATAAGGTTGAAGGGTACCCTAACCAACAATAGACTGGATGGTTTGAAAAAACTTCGGCATCGAGTTAGTATGATTCATTGTATAGGGTGTATTTTTACTTGTGTAATCCCATCGTAGTATATTAGAACAAATAACAAAATAAACAAATATTTTATATTATTATGATCGATAGAATTCGGTCTGCACTCAGGACTAGACAACATGAAATTGGTTACACTCCCGTGACCATTCAATACATTTTGTATTATCCCTCAACGTTTCGATCTTACTAGGAAGATCCTTTTCAAGAGTAAGAATCTGACATTAAGTTTTCAGGTTATTATTCAAGTTTTGGTACAGAAAGTGACCTTTACAATCATCCAATTACATAGTGATATGGAGCAAAGATCTATGTAAAACAGCTGAATGAATGAATAAGCTACTCGGTCAGAGAGGTTTTTTCGTTGTGCGAGTAAGGTGAAACAAAAATAGGGTGGGGAAAATTTTTTAGTTCGTCTATGAAAAGTACAATGCGGTTGGGAGACATGATGGGTGAGAAAGAATAGATTACTGTTTGGAAGGATGAATATTTGAAAATCAGACAACATATGATGAATAAATAATAATAATAATAACGATAAATGTACTTTTGATAACACTTGAAGTATTAGTGATAAAATGGATTATGTTATGGTTCATCGAGAGTATATGGCTCAGAAAGCAGCGTAAAATTAATGAAAATAGTAGATCAATAAAGTGCTATGTAATAGGACTAGACAAGTTGTTAAAATGCAACCAATATTTTTTTTAAAGCAACTGGTCCCTTTGATTAATTTAAACAGCGTAATGAGAAGACGAAGATTATCCGAAACATGTGATGTATTAGCGCTATCCATTTCGAACAATCTGATCACACATAGACTTGTCGAACTATTTATGTGAAAATTTGCGAAAAAGGTCAATGAAGTTAATAGGAGACATAAGAATAGGCAGGGATAGAAAAAAGGAAAACCTTGGTATGAAAATTAAAATCAATACTACCAAGGTAGGTTCAACGTGAGTACGAATTGTATTTGTATACATAAAGGGGGTTTAACTTTACGGATGGCAAGAGCCTCAATAAATTTAAGCACCCGGCTCTGACCACTTTTATGTAGTACTTTAAAGGCTGTTTTCATGTCTATCCTATGGTTAGTTTCTAGTATATGTTTAGCGATAGACGAAGATGGATGTTTGTCACCTGCACTTATCGGATCTGTTGAGGTCATTTGTTTTTGTAGCCACTTAGGTACATGTTCAACTTACTCCTCCCTATATATGTGTGTCCATACATACATGTAAATTGATAAACACAGTGGGATGTGATGTAATCGTTTATATGTTGTTTCGGTTTGTGCTGTAACGTGGACTTGGTCTTCTCTACAATGATGACCTTAGCTGCATAATACGTTTTACAGATGGCCGATCTAAGTCTTTTCCTCACAACAAAGCTATGTGAATCACCTCTAAATGGTAGTGAGATGTAGACATTTGTCTTAGCAACGGAACACTGTGTACTTTTCAATGGTACATAACTTTTGCACCGGTCGATAAATCTCAACGGGTATCCATTCTGTGTCAGAGTTGTCGTCAGTAAGTTGGTTCCTTCCTCCCTGGTGTCATCGGTGCAGATACGGTTTATCCTGTTGAATAAGCATCTGACTAAACCACGCTTATATTGGACTGGACAATAGCTATGGAAATTAAGATATTGCCCTGTCCATGTAGGTTTCTTATAGATCGACCTCCTGATCGAGCCATCCCGTCGACTGATCAATACGTCTAGGAATGGTGGCTGGTTGTTCGTCTCTTGTTCATAAGTCAGGCTGATGTGATTTTGAGCCGTGTTCATTTTCTGTAGCAGGCATATTGCATCATCAGGCTTTTCACATATAATGACTATATCATCAACATATCTCTTATAAAGTGAAACCCTTCCGAATGAGATCGTCAGCCATGTTTTCAACATATGACATGTATACATCAGCTAGCAACGGTCCTAATGGACTACCCATAGCAACACCATCAATCTATTGAAAGTGTTCACCCTCGAATGTGAATTCAACTTTATCAGTGCATAATAACAATAAATCTTTTAAAAAATTAATAGGGATAGGGAATATATGACTGTTAGAAGAAATATAGTCACATAAAATATCAATTGTTTTTACTAGAGGTACATTAGTAAATAAAGAATTTGCATCGAACGAGTACATAGTCTTATCCTTGATATTAATATCTTTATTTACTAATGTACCTCTAGTAAAAACAATTGATATCTTATATGAGTGAATTCGGAATAAATCATATGGAATGAAATTGTGTTCTACCTTCACTTCAGATATTATTTACAACTGCCTAGGCGAGTCATTAATGTTTGCCGTATTAGTGGGATGTCTAACCCATCTTTTCTGTCGACCAAAGAAGGATATGAACAGATGCGCAAAGCTTATGCAATGGTCCGGTCTTTGTGAGAAAGAAAACCCTTTTGCAGAACTTTTGTCTGAAGGGTGGTCTGAATGATATTTTATGACCTGAATATAGGGCAAGAGCTGCGATAGCAGAGCTTTTTTCAAGTTTTTTTAGATTATAGGAATTTTGTGGTGGTTTTTTGGAACTTCGACCGTGTTCGGTTAAACGTGTTAGTACTTGACATGATGTCTCTCCAATGTATGTGGCATCGCATTCACTAGTCTACCTTATAAACACAATTTTGTTGTTCCAAATAAGGAATCGGATCTTTTAATTTACACGGGTGTGAGTGTAGTGTATTCGTCACCTCAAAGAATACTCGATGTTGTAACTATTAAGGATACGTCTTATATCCTGTGAAGTGGATGTTCGATAAGGAAATACTATAGTACTTATCCAACTTTTATGGCTTGGTTTTTTCGTATTTTTATTCGATAAACTTTTTTCGATCCTTTTTAATAGTTTGTCCGGATAGTTGTTTTAAGACTTCCCGAACAAGTTGCCTATCTGCTTGCTGAGATTTCACTTTATTTGGTATCCTTTGTAATCTCGTCAACAGATTTTTGGCAACGTTTAACTTAGTTTTCAATGGATGAGACGAATTGAAGTCAAGGTGCCTGTTAGAATGTGTATCTTTTCGATAGACATCAATGTCAAGTATCCCATCATAGAGAAAGCTAACTAGTTATATCAGCGATGGCCAGAGTGGTTTTAGAATCATACCAAAGCTCAGCCGACCTTAAAAAACCAGCACGCTACCATTCCCCAAAAGTTAAGATAAATGGCAAATTTTTCGATGGTTACTTTGGTAGGCCCTTAATAAGCTATATAGGGCTTGATTTCTTCCGTGAAAAAACTAGCGACATGCTTAGGACGATTGACTTTAAAGACCCCGTCCCTGAAACAACTGAAATAGCCAATTAGGCTTTTTTATTTTATGAACATCTGTCTTTCCATAAAAAATGGAGAAGCTGAATTGGTTATCTCGATCGTTGTTTCGTCTGGAAAGGTAGATTTCCATAAAACAAAAAATCTGATTAGTTAATTAAGCTGTTGCGAGGGTGGCCTTTAAAGTTACCCTTGAATAGAGTGACTTCAAAGGTACCCTGACAAAGAACCAACGAATTGAGTGACTTTAGAGGTCACCCTAGCCACAACTGAAATAACCAATTGCGTTTAATATTCGGCCTGGAAGAGCAGTTTTTCATCAAATAAAGAAACGTAATTGGTTGTCTGGACAGTTGCTAAGGTGGCCTTTAAAGTCATTCAACTTATTAGATTTCTTCATTTTATGAAAAACTTTCTAGCTGAAATAAAGAAACCTAATTGGCTATTTCAGTGGTTGTTGGGTAGCCTTTAAATTCGCTGGGAAAGAGTATGTTTGTGGCTGACGTTAAAGGCCACCCTATAACCGTTGTGACCAAAGGTTACGGATCTTTATTTCATGGAAATCTAACTGGCTAACAGAAATTGGTTGATTGGCTGTTCCAAAAGTTGTTAGGATGACCTTTAAAGTCATCCGTGCTTGTCGAACCAGGGAACATTCCTATTGGACTAGAACAATTATTTGTAGCAATATGAGGACAGATTAGCTATCTTTTCTTAGATTGGCTTAGAAAATCGGGATTATCTATCAGGTGAAATCATTTTTGGAAAAGCATTCACCATCTAGTTAGGATTAGAACAAAAATTAGCGTAGAACTATTAGTGATTTCCATCTTGTAGTGACAGTGTTGTGTAGTAAATTATAAAGTGTGTATGAAAAAGTATTGAGTACAATTCATAACTACATACGAGGTTCGCTGGATTACCCAAATCTTTGTAGGAATACACTACTAGCTGTAATTTCAGGCATAATGTTGGTGAGAAACTGATTGCTCAGCTTTTTTAGTTGTGAACCACATTAACATGCTCACTTAAAACTGGTGCTAATTGAATGATCGCTAATATAAGGACATATCTTAAAACTTATCTTCACATCTGTCACAAAACTGCGACCATTTACTGTGCTCTTCGATAGGTATTGTTGAGAGTGAATTTGTTGTGAAATGGAAACCATCACTTCTAATTTCCCCTATAAAATTGGTTACATACACATAAACGAAGTGAATTAATGTTAGGCAGTTTTCATCACTGACTGATATCAGTTTGACAACAATTGGAAGTCTGGGAACACTGGACGACTGTATCATCCTACTATGCGACCTCTCAACAGTGCACACACACGACTCTCCAAACTGACTTGATGTTAACCGAACGACAGTGCGTATAATAAATAGGTTGTCGGAGAGAATGGTCCTAAAGGCCACTGTGAAAACTACTAAAATGATCAACTAGATTTCTCAATGTTTTGAAAAGTCGGCCTTCCAACCGAAATGAACAATTCTAATCATTTATTCCATTGGTTGTTCAAAAACGAGGTACAGCATCCCTCCAAAACAGGCTTGCAAAGCCATATAGCTTCTCTATAAGACAAAATGCACAGTATCTTTAAAAAGTTGTGACAAAGCAACAAAATAGGGGCAAGTTTTGCACTGTCCTTTCTACAAGCTTTTGCAAAAGTAATTAAACCAGTTAATTCTGCGTTATTTTACTACATTTAACTCAATGTACAATAATTTCAGGATGAAACAGTTTTCTTGATGTCATTACCTGCAAATTTCTTGTCTCTGATTGCATTAAATTGTTCAACCTCTATTGGCAGATAAACTCCTATGAGGATGTCTCGACAGTGCTTGGATATTTACTACATTGTAATTTTCTTTACAGAAGTGGAATCCAAGATGCGTCTTTGTCCTTCTTTGGACTCATATGCTGGTTATACTTGCACCCCGGTGAGTGATGGTGTTCCTACTGAGACTGGAACCCATGGCCAATCGTCTCGAATCCCAAAGCGTTATGCACTAAGCCTTTCGGTCACGTTTGAAGTGACCGGCTTCAGGTTCGAGTATTAGCGAGAATAACACCCACTGGGAGATAGACATGTCCAGCTGATGAGTCAAAATTGGACGAAACGCACATACAGGATTCCACTCCTAGCCACTAGTCATCATTACTGCCGAGATGGTTTTCTTCTACCAACTGTGAATTTTGTACTTTCGTCATATAAATTACTCTCCTTCTAGTCTTGTCAACAGTAACACTAAGTCCTTAAGTGCAGTTTCACCCTCAGTCATCAACCAACATCTATCTCAGATGATTTCATCAGCAATACATTATAAATATAGTCCAACCTTCTTGATAAAGCTTAAGCTTATATGTTACTTTAATAATATTAAAACAAAGTGTACATTCCAGTGTTTTTATGTTATTGCTTCATTTTCCTTTTACAGACTAATGAAGACGGTGAGGATGAATGGGTAGATAAAGCTGGCATGCCACCTGGCCTGCTACCGGAGCACAAAGCATCAGTGGTGTTATTCTTAGAACGTGTCTACGGGATTTCAGATGCTGCAACCTTTTTAAGACTGTTAGAAAATGGTTTTCTACCAGATTTACGTGCAGCAACATTACTTGATTCAGTAGGTTTATGTGTTAATTATGAATTATTGACATTTTTCAAGATACGAGTAGATTTTTGAATTTGGAAGAAGACTGTTTTTACTTTGTTTGTTCATATTCCTAACAAATTTGCTACAGGACATGAATACTTTAATTTTAAACAGTCATTTTCAGATAACAGTATATGTTATATGTTTAGGTCCTTCCGTACTTGGTTTTGAATCTAAGCCTTTTGCTTTTGGCTAGTCGTCATCAGGATGTATGTACAGCCCTAAGAAAAATCATTCCCTGTTAGCTATGTGAACCTGCTTTGATCACTGCCAGGTTTAGGAGTATTATTAATAAGCTGTTTGGGTGATGAACGACCTCTCGTAAGGTCGATTTACAGTGGTTATCGAGTTCGAACTAATATGAGTGTGAATGCCAAACGAAATTACCCCACGAAGATTAATTCCTACTTTTATTTGTTAAGCACTCTTCTACCTTTCACTAAAGATAGAATGTAAGAGCCATGTTATAATTCTCCTAAAAGTATTAAATTTCCTTCGCAAAGTAAATGTATATGCTTAATCTTTAAATCAGTAAAATATCTTTGGTAGTACTGTTACTAAATTCCCTGTTTGATGACAAAACAAACAGTAACAAGAGCAAGTGTTCGCTTGCATATAATGTATTTACAAGTACAACTTGAACCTAACGGTAGTGAGAGATCCATTCAAGCAACCTCTATGCTAACAGAGGTCTATAATTTCAGTGCAGTAGAATAATCAACTGGGAACTACGAATATCAATAAGTAACAACTGATACCCGTTGCATAAGAGGTAGCTCTCATGACTTGATAGCCTAGTGGACAACGCTTTGGTAACTGAAGCTATTGGTGCTATGTTCGAGTTTCGGTGAGAACATCATAACTCACTAAGGTGAAAATACACGTAGCTGATGAGTCTCAAACAGGAAGAAGCATACACCACTGATCCCACTGCAATCCATAACCAAGTACATTGCCACAGCTACCTTGACTAAATAACAGCCTACTGTTTCAAATATGAAGATTAAGATAAAGAGTTCTAATCGCTATGGTCTTTCAGTTTGTCGTGCTTTGGTATTCATAATACTGCTCATTTCCCCTGTCTATAGGGTAACTTTTCATCTTGATGCTTCCTCTTAACCACCTGGTGTCACGGTATCCGATCCGCTGCTATACAGTTAAGCAACAAAAGAATGATTATGTCCGAATTCTATATCAAGCGTAATCGAAAGAGTTCCCGTTTGCACATATTATCTATGATCTCTGTCCCAATCAAATGATATCTCCTTCTATTTGTTCCTTCACTCTTCAAATGATCGGTTTCTTTGGTAATTAAACATTCTTTTGTATGAATGATAAGGGATACAAATTCCACTGTTCGAACCCATTACCTCTATAGACTAACAATTAATTTACATATCGTCCTAGTTTATACAGCAACTGACTGATTGATTAACTCAAACAGAGGAGAATAAAGTTATGTAGCCATTACAGATACTGAAACCTGGAAAATGATGATCAAATGTAATGGCATTTAAAATTTTCAGAATCTAAAAGAAGATACAAGGCCGTTGCATCTGTGCCAGTGACATCAATTCCAAGCATCCAGTTTCTACCATCTGAATGATATCAACTAACAAGTGTATATTTTACCATATTAAACCGAACAACAGACAACCCTTTAGCAGACCGTATTATTATCACTAGATTAAAACTTACAAACTCTTCAATATATCAAGTGCTATTACATGTCTAACTGAGCTATTATGCATATGCAGTATATATGATATTTCAGCTTTATAAGTAAATGTTTGCCGATAAGCTTATCACTTTGCTTGTTTCCTTCACCTCTAATATTACTCTAACTTTTTGAAGCATTTATGAAATGTATATTGAAGATATTAGTTATCGAAATCTTATAGTCCACTTATCGCTTACCTTATAAAGATATTGGAAAGTATAATGAGTATTAAATTCCAAGCAAAGATATCTAGCCCCAGTAGAGTGACATACAAGAACCTGAGAAGTGCAGTAGAAAAGTATATTCAAAATGGTACTATAGACAAAAGTATGGCTACAGAAGTAGTCATGCAGCCTTCACCTGTATCAATTCCGTATTAAACTTTTGAGAATATTGTCAGCGATAATTAACAACAAGGGTCAAAGAAAGCCGAAGCGGAAAGGATTTTAAAGACTACAATACCAGTTACTAGCAAAAAATATGGATATGACAATATGGATAGAGGGTTATGGAGAAAACTGCACATACAACTTGGAGTGGTTTAACATTCTTCTCAACTTGAACCATTCCCCTACAACTTAAGACCGGCCAGTTAAACTAGGTCTCTCTCAGTAGAATCAATAATTATTTACTCGACATTCTGTCCTGTTGGAACTGGGACGAAATAACTTGACTGTACATCCTGTGTGATGAGAATAGATAGTCACTTACCACTTACTCATATGCGGTCTTCTTGGAAATCTGGATGACTAAGGTGAAATCAAAACCTGGTTGGCACTCTAATATTGCACGTCAGTTGATTTATCACTGGACTGACATCAAAGTCGTTGGTTATAGCTCAGCAACGACCTAGGATTTTGACTTCAGTTTCAAACACCACTTTTTTACAAGTTAAATAGTCATATTTAGCATATGCAACAATTGAAATATTTAAGATAAAAAGGTGTGTTTTACAGCTCTGTAACAGAAATAACCTCATCATTTCACTTATTTTCCGTTAGTTAATCAAAGATTCTATGAAACAGATATACTATGAATTCATTATACTGAGGTTTTTATTTCCAAATAAATGAAAAACTAAATTTAATTGCAGCTGATGTTTCCTTATTTAATACTTGACCGCTCTTATAAAATGATAGCAAACCGCTAAATGTAAGTATGCTTTGAATACTTGATTTGCTTTTTTTTCCATTATTTTTCTCTATATTGTTTTCGGATGAATTTAGGCTGTTGTTCCGGATAGTGATATGGCTTTGGCTTTAAATCGTTATCTATGCAACAGTGTCCTGCCTTTGCTTACGCGGCATACTCAGTATCTTGGTGAGGAAGGTACAGCTGGAGGATTGTTTGAAGCCACACTACAGACAGCTTATCGTTTATCCAAGTGTCGTGCAATCACTAATCATCAGCGTGAAGTTGTTTGTGATTTCTTAGTGGCTTTAGTGCAACAAATTCGACCACCTATGATGTCTGCTCTATTGAAGAAAATGGTTTCAGATTTACGTACACTATCAAAAGAAGTAAGTGGTATAGTTGTATTGAATTCTTGTATTACAAACATATCAGTGTGATGGTGACTTTCTACTCATGTGACCGAAGATAACTTTTATCTGTAATATTGAGTATAGAAGTAAGCAAATAATATAGGGGATATAAAACCGCTTTATTTTAAGAGAATTCATTACTAATTGTGAAATGAGAAGAATAATTACAAACGAGAGGCTAACTGAACTGCAAAAAATCCTATAAATTACAGGCTCTTAAAGTGAGAATCATCTCACTTGTGAATCTTCAGGAATCTTCTGGGAATTTAGAGAATATCCACAGGATTCCTAGAAGCTTGGCATTCAGGTCAGTCACCAATCAGTAGATGTATAGACGTAGACCCAATCTATCAACCAACAGCAAAGATGATAGGAGACGGAAAGGTGAGAGGTGAAGCAGCCAACAGGGGAATCTATACAATCAATGACACAACAATCAAAGGAAACAACCAATCACAGACCATATCGTCAGAGCGAGCCACTAAATCACTCACTGAGAGATATTGACAGCCCACTTCATAATGAAGTTAGTGCTGATGATGTCGTCTAGGAAGACGATAAAAGCCTCACGATTAAACAACCCACCTCAGAGAACACAATACAACCAAGACTAACCTATCTCAACTGGTCGTTCAGCAACCGGTTTATATGCATTCAACTGTCTGACATGTTTTTCGAATGTGTAGAATACAAAAGCTATAAAATGGTAACTGATACAGCATGGTTCGAGCAGAAGTTTGCAGGTCTAGTCTTTCTTCAATCCGTTTCAGTTTATATCTGTCAGTAGTGTTGCCACGATTGGGAGTAAAATAATTCTGCTCTCTTTTTCAAAACTGTACATCAGTGTTCAACCTTTCTTTTCAGAAGTCTCAGATACTCCAATATGTTATCGTCATATACTACAAGTGGATCTATACGTTAAAATTCAGTATTCCTTGTAACGGTTACTCTCGTATGAGCGTGAATTTAGTGTAACGAATTTATATTTAAGCTAACTGAGCATTAGATTAATGGGGTGGTCAGAATGAATCCCACAGCACGTAGAAGAGTGTTTTGTGGTAACACGAGGATATGGAAGAGAAAAACATGAGTCAACGACTCAACAAGCACGAGCTCACTATGATTAACCGGTGACTATCTCATGGTCTAAATGTATGGTACCGAAAGATAACTGCTCACCCAATGACAGTATTTATTTTCTCTATTAATATCAAAACCCGAATTTCAGAACCAGAATGTTAAGACAGTCATTTGTATATTAAAAATGTTTCGAAGATCAAATAGTAATCTACTATTTAAGTAATAAATAATTGGTTGGAGTGAATCTGAATACCACGCTGATAATTTCTTAAATAACCAATCAAGGTTTTCTATTTCATCTGGACGGGATGTTTGGACATAAAATATATAGATCTAATTGGCTGTTTCAATAACTGCGACAATGGCATTTACAGCCATTCGTTAGTTGAGGTAATATGCAAGTTAACAGACAACCAATAAATTTCTACCAATAAGTCTGCAATTGTGTTGTAATTATTCATTTCAAATACTCTGAGATCTATACAAATATAACATGTCTAATGTCAACTTTCAACTCGTTGCCCAAAATCTGTGAAAATATCCGGTCAAATCTTGACCAGGATTCATACAAAATATACAGCTTTGTGAATAAGTCACTGGTTCGATCTTTGACGAATAAATGATTTATTTGGATGACTGGGATCAATATTTACTGACGATGATAAACTTATTAAACAATGCAGCTTTGGTCGTTGTGAGTATAAAAAGTAGAATTGCTACTTTTGTTTTATTTGTCTTCACTAGTGGTTCCGAAGGCACCCTAGCGACCATCGAAAAATATATCAGCTGGAAATGTGGGTTTTCATAGATTGAGGAAACTGATTAGAAAATTCTGGCTTTTCTAGAATAGCCTTTAGGGTTAGTCACATAGTTATGTTAACGGACAACTTTCGAATGTCGGTGGAGCATAATGTTTGATTCAGACTCGTACCACTGCTTAAAGTTATGTTTGATGAAAGTTAACATTTTAGCTAGTTCGCAAACTATCTGGATGCATGTGATATAAGTATCGCTTCATGTATTCAAATGTAATCGCGGTGCGGAATTTAAATAAGTATGGTGCCCAGATAGCGTAATTCAGTAATAAATTACTGATTATCTGAATAACTTAAGTACTCTACACATGGTTGGTTTACCTGTTAACTGCCAAACAACATAATTCTGCTTTTCTGAGTCAGGTATAACCGATTTGATCAGAGATATCAACGGGAAGTTGTTTCTTAGTTTATGTGACAGCTTTGTGGTACGATCACGAAAGCTGTCTTTTCTTGATTTATACCAGGAATTTAGTCAGTTGAAATTCACCAACGGATTTCATTGAAAGTTATTGAATGATAAGAAAGAATATGAGGCTAGAAGCACTATGATATTTTTCCATCCTTCAGAACCTAATGGCACTAACTTTCTTTATTTCAAGAAAAGGAGGAGAACAGTTCTACTTACTCTTAGCTTAATCGATTGAGTGTGAATGTTATATCACAGAATTTGATGATCTCAGTTATGTCAACCCCTATGTTAGTAAACCTTTCACTATCATCAAAAGACATGATAGAATATTCAACAGGAGTTCAAAATGACTAAGTCAGAATATCAGAACTTTACACTTGTGACCAAATGCTAAAATCATATAATTTTAGATGGCTAGCTAAATTCACCAAGCTGACGCCATTCAGAAAAGTTAGGTCAGTTTGTTAATTGACTGAGACATCAATCGGAAAAAGGATTTATCACAACCAGCTAACTGTATTCTGTTTGACTGAATCCCTGAATGAAATAACTGAATTCAAGCACACATGTCAATGAATAGAATATTTTAGTTTGCCAATTTTGACATAGTTATGCTGAAACCCCTGTTCATATGCTAAAAAATTGTTAGTTTACAATGGATTAAAACTATGTAACCAAAAATACCAAATTAAAAGAAGTAGTGATTTATTGCTTCAATATAGTGAAAATTCCAACATTTAGAGAACAAAAATCTAAGCGAAAAAATGATCCTTGTCAATTGATACCTTCTTAACAGCCGTATAATGATGAAGAAGTTTCATTCTTAAGAGTACAAAACAATGTACCAGTTCCGACAATGAACGGACAGTTGCATATGACCGTGTCCCTGACAGCTAGGCAAAACTGCCAATATTTGAAGTTAAGTTAAAAACTGATAAGTTCCTGGTACCCGTAGCTGAGTTGATAGGGCATGTGGCGAGTATCTGAATATTGCTAAACGGAAACATGCAGGGAGAGAGGTTTCCATTCACTCACTACCGCCTAGGATAAATACAAGTCTGTCAATTGACGGCTATCTCAGGTATTCTTACTGAAAATTCATGCTACCGATTTATCATCGCCAAGTTATGTCATGTCATGGTGTTTTAATATACCTATATACTAGTGTAGAGCCACTAAGAAGGTTCTAATTAAAAAAAATATTTGTTTGCTCAATCTGTTATCTTTTGCATTATTGGTTATAAAATTGGAAGAATTCTCAATAATAAAAGCGTTAAGTCAAACAATTAGAAGAATATGTACAGCTTTGGAAGCTGTTCAGTTGTATGAAGTACAAGTGAATCTTCTCATCTAGAAGTACTTTTTATCTACTTGTATTATTTTTTTTTAGTCAGTTGTGTCCCTTCGAGTACTGACAGAATTTTATCAGCGTTGTGGGACCTATTATAGTTCAGATGGATGGTCAAATGAAGGCGCTCATAGTGGTGGTGTGGGTGGTGGAAATCCTGTTGCCGGTGACTCTGGCACCAAAGGTGATGGTGGTCATTCAGGTGGTACAGAAACCACAGGTACTCATAGTGGTGATGGTGAAACATCAGCAACTGAAGAGGAACGGAGCATAACTGCCCATTTGTTTATACTGATTTTTGAAAAGCTATCCAGACAACCATATGAACCAGAATTGTTCTCATATGCATTACCATGCTTATGCTCCATTGCTTGTGCACTACCACCAGACTATTCAGCAACCCAACTGAATGCAATGGATCAACAAGGTAATGGTTTCGGTCAAAATGGCGGGCAGTCGGTATTTAATAATCAAATTAGTAAGTTCTAAGTTTTGTTAGTCACTAACACAATCTTCCTTTGATGTCTAACCAATACTTTAACAGATCATATGGCATCTCTTGATCGGTGACCTCTGATCAACCCTTGAAACTTGAGCCCTTCACCACCTACTGTTGCATGCTTATAGGAACTTAGTTACAAACTGAACGCAATAACGAAAATGTTTATAACTTTCTCCCCCGGTGATGCATTTTCTATTTTCTTTTGATTGAAGCTGTATCTTTTTGAAAAGTGTTATCAAGAGTGGAACTTGAGTCTGAATTTTAGTGCTAATTGTATAATTAAATACGAATCTGAGAAATATAATTCTATCCATCATTCAGTTAGTGGTTTTTGACATTACAAATAGGTATTTCCGTTTTAAGGGTGCATTGTAATCATGCAATTATTAAGATGGAATTATTTATCCATCCTTCTATGCGTCACTAATTGGCATTATTTTTACATCTGTAATTGTATCTATACCCAGAATTAACTCAAGGTAGTAATGTAGTCATAAGTTTGATTTGTATATATATATATATATATATATATATATATATATATATATATATATATATATATATATATATATATATATATATATATATACTAAGTCTTTGCTTGTACTCATCTAGTTTCTATACTAATTGACACACGGTTACATATGAGTAGCGTGTGAATTTGATTCAGATTATTTGCAGACACCTTATTTATAGATGATCTTGCAACTTCACTATTGGGAAGTTGAAAATACAGGTAATATCGAGGGTTCCTTACAGTAGCTCATATCTCGACAAAGACCGATCATTTCGGTCCAATCAACAACGCGATAACACAAGCGACATCATATAAATTATGCCTAGAAGTGGCTATCGTGGCTTGTTGACCTAGTGGCCTATAGTTGCAAGCGACCAATTCCGAACTCGAGTCCCAGTGGGGAAAACATTGCTCCCTAAGATACAGCTACACCCAGCTGACAAGTAGGAAGAGACGAGTGTTCTGGATTCCACTGTGGATCATTGTCCACCATCAATAAGATGGTGTTTAAATCTCAGGGCATTTTTAAAATAATGCCTACGCGATAAATACTGCTATACTCCAATGGTTTTTTAGACGAGTGACTACGATCAAGATATCGAAGAGACATATAAATAAGACCAAAAGTGTGCAACTGATTGATCACTTCTTCAATCTTACTGCGATGATGATTCTATTGTTTAACATAAATTGTTATGCATAAACTACCAAAAATTTTCAGACGAAATAAATCACTACAAATCTTTTTTACACACTTTCAGTTACTATCTAAATAGACGTTTAATGATGAGTAGCGTAGGTTGGAAATGATCTATGGTTAAATCAAGATATGTAGTCATTCAAAGACATCTATGGTAGTTTGGAAAATGTATGTAAGAAATCAGAAGCATCCTAGTTAAAGTCGTTGAAATGCTTGGAACTAATAGGTTGGGATTGTTGATAACAGGGCTCAAAATTGATCGTAATAACTCAGGTATTCTGACTGTATATTTACTCTCAACATTGATCATCACGCTATTTGTTACCAATCTTCTCCTTTGCTATTTACATTAATCTTGTTCATTTCAATATTCTTCATCATTTCTGATTATTTTTTTCTGTGGTGTTATTAAATTTGACGACTTAATTCAATGCAGCTTTATGTAAGCTTCCAAGTTGTCTCCTCTCTGTTTATTTATTCAAATGTCTATATTGGTAAGCATATTATCACTAATTTCAAACATCCACGAACACCATTTTTGTCATTCGTTCTTAGATTCGTTACTCGCTCCTGGAGCACCGAGACCAGAAGCAAATGATCCATCTGATGAGCTTTTTCACCATGATGTATTTCGACCCCAGCCTATTGATACATCTCAGGTAAATTTTATTTGACAGCTTACAGTTAACTAGCTCATATACGCATCAACTATTTAGTATTATTTTACTTTAACTGACCAAATTAGTACAATTGAGTAAAACTATTTGAAAAATTTTGTAGAGCCACATTATTCTAAGTATACTTCCTACCAGAAGGTTTAGTAAATGAAAACAATTAAGGTGGATTGGGTTGCAAGTTAATTTACAAATTGCCTCGTTCTTGCTGATACTTTACAGAGCTGATTAGCTTTTCCATTTTATAGTGTACTGGCTCATTTAAGTTGGTGAATCAGATTCAGCTGATTTCAACAATTCAGTTATTGAGTTTACTGAAATTTTTCTCGTTACACGGTCGACAAATCAGCCCTGACTGAGCGCAAGGGTTATAAAGTGCTTAAATTTTCACATCTGGTTAGCGAAGTCCATAAATCAGTGTGGTTTCTTTCAAACTGAGCACGTTATTCATTAGCAACTTTAACTTAATAAGATACAAGGTACACTTTTACTAAATACCATCATCTGTTGGTTTACAGTTATGAATGTTTATCAAACATATATTTGGGTGGTGACTAGTACTGAACTGCATAATGTGTTTCGGTACCGTTCAAGATTTCACACTAGACTACTGGGATTGTAATACTCATATTTTGTTCAATCCATTGCGCTCATCAGTATAGCTTTCTATCTACCTGATGTTGCCTGTTTATAGTCTTAGTGCTAGTAGTTGTTTGCTGATTATAAAACATTTGATTGTATATCTAGATCATCCGACTCTCCACTTTTTAAGCGTTCCGAATAAAGAGAAATAGTTGTTTCGCGATACACTTTTATAGATAAAGAACCTTTGGTTACCTGATAATCTCGATATTTTTCAATGTTTGAATTTCTACCTTGATACCAAATCACACAGATATTTATCAGGTGTGAACTCTGAATGATGTTACTTATTCTATTCATCCCCCTTTTTCAGCAGAAACAGCAATAGTAGTATTGCCAACAGTGCCACTAGTAATAATAACCTGAATAGTCATGTCATTCAAATGCACATTGAGAAATAGAAAAATCTATTATGATCACGTTATGTAACTGTTGTTATTCCATCCCTAAACTTAGCATCCACATTCAGCATAAGTGATATTTTTATTTATTGCACCTTGATTATTTCTGTCAAACAGTTTCTTTCATAATTGTCGCCAATAACTTCGCTTAACTATTTCTAGGTTCGTCTTCCAGTAGCATTGAACAGTTTAATTGAACGCTTTGCTGAACATTGTCATGATTCATGGGCACTGGATTTAATTGAACAAGGTTATACTTTTGGTCCACAAGTAGATGAAACACGAAGAACTCATCCAAATTTACGTAGTTTTAGTCAATTACCTCCTCAAGTAAGTTGCATTTTGCTTTATTTTTCAAAAAGATCAATTGTAAAGCATGTTTGCATGTGTTAGGAGGACTCAATGACTGACAAAAAAAATCGACAAATTGTAAATCAGGGGTACCAGTTAAGTGGATGATTTATCGCTGGAAAAAAGAATTTTTTCCGGATGAAGTATATTCTTGCTTTGTCCACCAGCAATAAACGTGATGAATGTTACATATATCAATAATAACTGTTCTACGACAAACAGAGCGTTAGCATAGATGATGTGTTCATATTATATCAAACCAATGCACATATTCTAGATCTATGTCTATTCACTAGGTCGTCAAAAATCTCACCTATCGTTCAAAGTTGGTTTGATGATCTGGTTGACAGTGGCTTTTATTAAAATCTTTTGAGTGAAGTGAAAAGCTACCTGAAACGACACACTTCGGTGATATTCTGTAAATTGTTTGTAATTTTTCCCCTCGACTAAATTAAACAACTTTAAGCTCCTAATTCAAATCTATCACATTTCTACATACATTCATGAAATTCGAACCAGTTCACCTACTAAGTTCAGTTATATGTCCACATCTGTTCGTTATTTGTATTATAACAGTTAAATGGTAATATTCGTTTACGCAAAATAGAGTAGGTGACACTGTTTTGGAAGCTAAATGATCAGATTGTTGAAATGCTACTATTAGAACATATTTAAGATTTATTGCCATCTCACTTAATTATTTCGATTTTCATTTAGGAAGAAAGACTAATTGTTCCCATTTTGTCTTGTTTTCTTTTGCTTACATTCGTTTCGATATACAGGAACAGATGAGGTACATTCATCCAGTTACTGATACACTGAAAGCCATGCTAGCCTGTGGTTGGTCTGTTGATAGTGATGAAAATCGCTATCATGATGCATCTGGTGATACAAAACATTTACGTCGACCTACGATTACGGTATGTAACATTTTATTGTATGCTATAAGACTTGTTTTAAATTACGACTTTACTGATTGTACATAGGTTTTAATTGTTTTACAGTGTATCAGTCGTGCGTAAAGCAGAGGGACAGAAGTTTAATGTGCATTATCCAATCAGTTTATAGCTATCATAGTAAAGATTTGATCACATTGTATTTTAACTGAGCATAACGCTGCCTTCCCAGCAATCATTTATGCACACAGTTGCAGAGATTGACTCCAAATTACGAACTGTGTTTCTGTTTTATGAAAAAATTGAGTGACTCTAAAGGCTACCATAGCGACAACTAAAATAATCGGTTATGCTTCAATATTTGTGAAAATAAAGAAACCTAATTGGTTATTCCAGATAAGATAGCTTTTATTCTCACTCTGCAAAGTCTAGTTAAACTATTCGTCTTCTGAAACTCCATATAGTAAGAAACTTAGGCTGGTGTTCACCTTCCATTTTACTGTTAGGACTCTCAGTCGTCGATATTTACAAGTGAAGTATTTGTTCACATCGTACACTAATTCCAAAAATAGGATAGTGGATTTTATACATAGGAAACGAACTGGTGTATAACAACTGGTCATCATTAACATTTAGTTATTTTGGACTACGTCATTTTAGACTAAGTCAGAAACAAGGAAGAGATCAACTTCAAGGCTTTTGATTTGAACTATACGATAAATGCTGTAAATCCTGAGCTACGCAGCATCATAGAACAGAGCATAGAATTCCAGTTAGCTCTCTACCTCAACTTCATCGGTTTTGAAAAGACCTTCGACAGCGCCGACCGAGAAGCAATTTGGCAGGCAGCTGCTACAACACTACGGTTTTAGTGCCAAAAATCTTGATCAACCTCATTCAACTGCTATATGAAGACGCCACATGCCAAGTGATTCACAATGGAAAGCTCAGTTCAGTGATATCTTTGAAGTGAAGACAGGAGTAAGACAAAGCTGCCTATTATCACCGATTATCTTGTGGTGGACTGGACTGGATCATACAACAAACTGTAGGGAGCTGTGAGAAGAGGGACATACGCTGTTTGACCGATGAGAAGACCCTAGAAGATTTGGACTTCTCCGATGATTTATGTTTGTGTCGCACAAACTCGAAGATCTACAGGCAAAAACCAACAAGTTGACAGAAGACGCAGGACAGAGAAGACGGACTGCCTTCAGGTGAACATAGAGAAGACAGAGGTGATGGAGATACCCAACCAACATCAACAACAAGCACCAATCACCATGAACGGGAGAAATCTAAACGAAGTTGTCTCTTTCACCTACTTAGGCAGCATTGTTTCAACTACAGGTGGCACAGGCACAGATGAGGACGTCAAATCCATAGTCGGAAAGATAGCAAGACAGGTCTTCATTAATCTTAAATCAGTGTGGAGACCTACTGCACTACAATCAGTATGAAGCGTGAACAAGATCCGGATTCTCAGCATTAATGCCAAGACAGTGCTTCTATGTGATGTTTGAGAGACTTCGGGGGGTTACGCAAAGCATTTCCAACAAACTATAGACATTCATCAACAGCTGCCGCCTACGCTCACTCATTACTGAAGATCAGGTGGCCAGAAAGAATAAGCAACAAAGATCTCTGGCCTGATAACGAACCAACCGAGAACTCATGACTCAATAAATACGTGGAATAAAGTGGAGATGGATTGGACATACGCTGAGAAGAGCATTCGGGGACATCAGGTTCCAGGGTCTCAGGTGGAACCCAAAGGGGAAACGACGAGTTCGGCTTACGAGGTGAGGGTAACATGGAGGAGATGGTGTGAGGAGGAAATGAAAGCTTGTGAGCAGTTGTGGAGCCAGGTCAAAAAGACTGTATAGAACAAAGTGAAATGGAGGTGTGCTACTGGAGCCCTATGCTCCACTAGGAACCCAAGGGACAAATAATAATAATAATAATAATAATAATAATAATAATAATAATAAAATACCTTTTAAAATTATACAACCGTCCATAGGGTTTCTTATTTTCTTTTTTTCAATCGGCCTTACATTATCATCTGTAATACTAATGGGCAGTATTCATTTGACTGATAATGAAACCCATTGGCATTTGAAATAAACCTGATAAATTTATTGATCATTTCCAAGCTGAGATGATAGGAGGTTATCGTGCAATACATCATATCACATTCACACCCAGTACAGACTATCAAAGAGGCGATAATAGCAAGCATTACTATGTAATGATCTAAGTTGCTGTAATTCACATCAACATACCGAATCGATGCCATAAAAAAGACAAATATGGATATTATACCAGTATCTGAAAAGCTAAAAAGGTATGAGACAAATAGGAAAATGGACAAAAAGAATAATGATTTGAAACTAGGATTTAGGGGATCAATCCTGTTTTAAATCACCTGTAGCTACCATCCCTTGGTTTCGACAATCTGGTTGATTCCAAAACGTAATCCCACATTATTAATCATTGTACATTGCGGAACTCATCATAATATAGAACAACAGCTTTCATTTCTTTACTACGCCATGACTTTTTATTATCTTCATCAGCGTTTCTAGACGAATGTTATCCAATTTATATCATTAGAGTTTTCTCAAACTAAACATATATTATGGAATTCGACTATATAAGTATCTGAAATAAAGAAATATTTCACGCCTGTTTTTCCACTATGTTATGCATACACAGTTTACTGCTACACCGATTCATCTGACTTAGTGGTCACGTCGTAAATGTGATAGACTCAGTCTTACCAGTGCCTAGTTGAATTCTAAATTACCTAATGGTGACGGTGTGAACTAACACATTAAAGGATACCGGCTCCAGCTTCGAACGGAGCATGAATTTCCACTATATTGACAGTAGAGAACGATAACAAATCAAGGACTGGCCACGTTTTCCACCTAACCACTTGACTCTCCTATATTTGAATTTTATTTCAGTCAATTTCCAGTCTCATGAATAAATTAGAATATGTTTGATCACATTGTCATTGTCATAAGTAAGCATATTCCACACTTCCCCTCAGTGGTTTTGTAACAGTCTTATTGTGCCTTTGCTGTAAAAGCAGACAAACTTAACACATGTCACTTGATTTACACCAGTGAATATTACTTAAACATTGTCACGGTGCTGGAACTTTACATACACCTCACTGTCTAAACGTTGCTTGTACTTGGAGTTAACTTTGCTTTCTGATTAAATTGAATACAAGATGCGATATTGAAAATTATTTTACCAGTAGTTCTTGATAGATGGCTGATACTTTAACGCGGTGGTGAGGCCTGTGTATCACAATGACTGAACGAACTACACTGGTTGGAATACTTGTTTCTTGATGTTCTACTATACCATAAAGATCTGTCAGATAGTGGTAAGAGGCAAACTAACTACCATTGTAATGTAAATTACGACACAATGATAGGGGTCCGAAGACAAAATCGTACTACTGACTGGATGAGTTGTAGTAGCATTAAGGTATTTCCCTTGTATTATTAGCAGTGATATGCTGATGCTATCTTTCCTATGAGAGGTGGTATTAGGAAAGTTTGGACTAAAATATAGCACTCTCTTTTCTGTCCCGTGGTCTTTCATTGCTGACCGTATGGCCATTTCTTATCCGGTATTATAAAACCAAATCTAAAACCAACAGTCCTCAGAAGGTTGAGTGCTAATGGCCTCAAGAAAATGTCCTAAGGGATCTGTGGTTACATAATTCTGTTCCTTTTTCACTTCCAGGCACCCTGGAGAAACGTTTTTCAAGTTATAGGCAGGTGGGAAGTATCAAACGCCTGCACGCTTTCAACAGTATATAAAAATCAATCAAATATAACCTACTCTTCTTATCTCTCTTTCCTTCCTTGCTCTTGTATTCTGCAGCCTATTACACCTTCCTCAACCTTTCACTCTGCTCCCACTGCCAATGATTCAAGTTATTGAAACACTACTCATAGTTTCCTAACACCCTGTTGCCGGATTCACACTGGAGCTTCCAACATCCTAACTTTATGCCAAGTCAGACAACAGGCATCCCCTACCAGAAGTCTAGAATCTCCAGCCATAGACATATACTGTGTTTCCGAGAAACATATTCAGGACCCAAGTGTGGTTATTAAATTGACCTTACCTGGCCTTAGTAGTGAATCTTCAAAATATACTTTTTGAGTGTTCAGAGATTCAGTGACTAACTCTTGTTAACTCGCTGGTGTAGTCATAGCATTGAGTTGTCGGGCAGAAAGAGAACTTCTCGACTAAGCAGCAGTCTGAGTGTTGTTCAACTGAATGGATTTGTAAAAACTAGGAAACTGCCCGCTATCTATTCGTATTCTCCGCCTGCGCACCCACTAACTGCAGTTTGGATGACGCGAAGGATGAATTCCATCAAAAGCTGTCGATTTCTCTACAGAAAGCAAGACGCTCAGATATAGTCATAATAGCAAACGACTTCATCTCTCAAGTAGGAAAGCTGAGCCAGTAAAAAAGGGATTTGTGAGGTACTTATGGTATTCTATCCCGACGAACCAACAAGGGTCATCGTGTTAAAATTTGTGCTGACAATCACTTGTTTCCAGCCACCGCTAACTTTTAGCTTAATAAGAGATACTGTCTCACATGGCGTCTACAAACATCAAACCAACAATGGACACAAATAGATTATATTGCTATAAACCATTGTTGGAGAGGATTGATGGAGGATTACTACTCACGCATTAGTGAGGACGTATCATTGGTCGTGGAAAACAGATAACAGGGAAACGTGTGACTGCTTGGTTAGGAGATAAAAACGTGAACTACGTATTTGGGGAGGAGATAACATAGCATTTGCTTGAACACGACAGCAATCCTCATCCTGAGGATTCTTGAGGTTATGTTAACTCTGCCGCAGAAACAGTGACTAAGGCAGCTGGTAACCTACATGCATAGATCAGCAAAGGTCAGTGGATTTCCGCAACCTGATACAAACCAGTTGATACAAGAAGACTGATTCCAGTTACCTGTGACCATAATTAGGATCTAAAGCAGATGAAACGTAAATCAACTATCAGTCTTTGCTATGGTCGCAAGGAATGGAGGGTTCCAAAAGGATGAGTGTTGGAGAAGGCATTAGGGCTAGGTAATGCTCAGTAACCTATTAGGCTTATCAAGACTTCTGTCAAGAAAAAAATGATGGTTAGTTAGACCATTGCAGACAAGGATGGTACCCTGATGACCTCTGAGGACACAGGTAGAATGTTTAACAGAACACTTTGAAGCACAGTCTAATTGATCCACAGGAACGCTCCAGTTACCTAACACCCAGTCCGAACCCTAGTGGGACGCAGACGTTGTTCCTCCAGTCTCGTAGCATTTGAAAAGACTGTTTGTCACCCAAAACGCTATAAAGCAGAGGGACCTGCTGGTTTCCCACCCGTTGATTTTAAGGACTGGTGGTAGATTACTGAGGCAATGTAACTATAACAGGTGCATGTGCGAAGGTGTTTTTTAAAATTAGTAGTTTGTTTTATGACTTGCTTGTAAAAAAAAATATGTATATTTACGCATCACTGCTTGCATATTTTCTGATATTGAAGCAATTTAGTCCTTTCTAGTGCCCTAGATTACTACTTTTCCAGACTCGAGTTCCCCACACTAAGTTTTATTGTGTTTGCTAATCTCTTCAGATTAAACCTTCAGGTAAAGATAGAATGTATGAATTTATAATAATCCTATTTCAATTTCTTTTGACAAGGATTCTTTGAAAATTAGTTTGACTGCACAATTGGTCTTATCTCTCCAACTGTGGTAGGAATAACTGGACTATACAGTTTAAAAGACATCCACTTAAAACATATACTATTCAGTCGCCTTCAATTATGAGTAATGTGCTACACATGCTTTTTAAGTCACCTGACAGCTTTAACTTTTAGTTCATTAGGCAGTTTGATACTAGTTTTTGCAGATACGCTGCATTCTAAAAAATATACACACACTGCACCTCATTTGTATTTAATTGAATGGAATCTCTGGAAAGTTACTGTTGTGTTTAAGTTACCATCAGCTATTAAAACAAATAACCTAAGCAAATGTTCGTGCTGTACATGATGAAATAATTTAAACTCTTACCTCAGTCTAAAGTCTAACAGTCTGTGAGTGATACAAGTGAATCATTACTCAGTAGGCTAGTGGACAAGGATGTGGCGTTTGAAGTGGTGGGTGCGAGTCTCATCGGGAACACGACTACTCACTGCGACGCAGGTATCTCCATCTGACAAGATGCAAATAAAAAGTACATCCTGGAATTCACTTCTAGCCACCACTAACCAAATAATATAATGAATATTCAGATGATATCGAGACATTTGCATAGGGCTTCATCTGGAAACAACTAACGCGGTGGTACGAGATCAGTAGGTAACAAATCCTAATATGTCTACTAATCAGAATACTTCTTGTTATAAAGTTGTTAAGCCCTTACGCTAAATTACTGACACCTATATTTTTCGATTGTTTATAGAGTGATAGTTTATTGAACTATAATCCAAGTCCAAAAGATTTACGTGGAGTAAATGTCACGAAAGAAATGTTGAATATGGCTGAACGCTTAGCCGATAATGCACATAATATATGGGCTAGACAAAAAATGAGTGATTTAGAAGCCATAGGTAAGCAATATACATATGTGAAATTTTTATCTAAACAATAAAGTGTGGCTGAAATATTTCATTTCCTATTTCTTTCATATCTCACTTGTTTTTCTAAATCTTTTGGATCCCATTATAGATACCAACACACCAATAAGACGTAATTTGTCTGAAACGTTTAATATATTTGCGTTACGCATTTAGAACAATCTGATCACACGTGTGCTTGTTATAGGTATTTATATAAATGGTTATCAAAGGTAAAGGGGTGCGAATATGAAAATAGGTCAAGTAGGAAGGCCTAATTATTAAAGGCTAAAATAACAATAAAAATTAATTGGGCAAAAATAATAGTGCATTGAACTTGGCTTCAGAGCTGAATCCACTAAAGGAAGTTTAACGTAATAGCAAATTATTTTTGAAAACAAAGGTGGCTGGAATAGACAAAAGCAATGATATATTTTTGAGATGAATGGGATTTTAATTTAGAGGTAGTATTCACCACGGACTGAAATAAGTTGGGGAACCATTGAAAACCTGGGAGAACTAGACAGCTGTTTCATCCTAGTATGGGATTATTCAGCAATACTCACCAACTACCCGGCTGGGGATCGAACTCAGGACCTTCGAGTTTCATACCAGGACGAACCAGCTGTCTAGTGCTCCCAGTTTTCAGTGGTTCCCCAACTGATGTCAGTTCGTGGTGAATACTACCTCTAAAAGTTACGACAATCTAGTTTGAAGTCTATCCGGATTTTATTTATTTTAGGTTATGATGATTCATATACTGCCCTGCCCATCTAGATTTTTTATAGGTACATCTTACCGTCGACTGATTAGCATATTTCCAAGAATAACAATGATCTTCCTCTTCTACACATGTCAAGGAGATGCTGTTCTGTGCTTCATCCAATCGGTTTAGAATTCAATTGCATCGAATTGAATTGTTGCATATAATTAAGATATCATCGATATAGCTTCAGTATAAATGGGTTTTCTCAATCACGTGTGACATAAATGTCTGTCTTCCAATGGCAACACCGAAATGTTCACCTTTGGATGTAAATTTGGTGTTGGTTGTACATAAAGGGATACAGAGAAAGAAGTATTGAAAAATTATGCATAGAAATATAATCGCTGTTATATCGGCCAAAAAGTAGAAAACGTGTATCTCAGATAAAAATTTCGGTTGTATTAGTCAGTATGCCATCATAGCTCACTTTTGAACTACGGAAGGCAATTGATTAAGACAGTTTAGAATTCGACTTTGGTTCATAATAATGGACTCCAAAATAATACATTGAAATAAAACTCATAAGAAAAAACGCTGTAAAGTATAAACATGTTTTAATGATGGTAAAATTCATAGGTAAACACCAGTGATGTTAGCTAAAATTGGGCCCCCTTAAGGTCTTGCTCAAATACCAGTCTTTGTAAAGACAGCCAATTTGCCCTAACCCTAACCTTTCCAGAAATAAGTACACCATTAAGAACTCTTGTTCTGTAGCATAAAGGATATTCAGAAATTACCTGCTAACTTCATGTGAGATGTTTATTTCCTGGTCGGAGAATAAACTCATGTGTAACTTAATTAAATGTTTTACTCAATAATATCAAAGTAAACTTTTCGTAGTCAACACTAATTTTTATAATACCTTTTACTTATTTAAAGGTGGTGGAGTGCACCAGTTACTGGTACCATATGATATACTAACCGATAATGAACGTAAACGATACAGGCGTTTAACACACGAATTAATTAAATACCTACAATACAACGGATATCGATTAACAGTTCGTAATGTCTCTGGTTCAGCTAATACAGGCACACCAACTGGAACTGGAACTACAAGATTACATGATAGCAGAAGTATGTTATGGTCTACACAGGTTCATTTATCATGGTTATTATTACTTTCGTTCCATTATTCTTAGTTAATACTAAAGACTGTAGACATCTTTCATGTTTGCAAATGCAAAAATTAATCATCTTACTGACACATAAACAAAGTTGGCATTTGATTGATTCAGACCTGTAATGACAGTGATAGAAATACCAACTTTCGATGAAACACCATAAGAAAAGCCAGTTGAGCTTTAAAACAATTCTCTTTATGAACTTCGACAAGATAATAAGAGGACGTAAACTGTCTGAACCGCGTAACAGATTTTCTCAACACATTTTGAACTATCTGATCACACACGTACTTGTCATAGGTATTTATCCGAAAATTCATGAAGATAAGGGGTTAGAAAAAGACGAGGTCAAGTTGCAAGGCTGAATCAAAGGTTGAATAACAATGAAAATCAATAGAGCGAAAATAATAATAAATCGAATTTAGTTTTCATAGTTGAATTCACCAAGTGAGATTTAACGTGATAACAAATTGTTGTTAAACACACAGAGGTGGTTTGAACTTCCTAATTGCTAAGGTTCAGTCCTTTACACATTTTGTAAATAGGCCTAAAGGAAGTAGCCACGCCAATCCTGTGACCCGTCTCAACGATATTTTTCGCGATCAAAGAATCCGAACATTCGCTACCAACGTTTATGGGCTCAGATGATTTAATTTACTTCTGAAACCACTTTGGAATGTGTTTCGAGGCCCCTACTTGCATAGATCTATGTGTCCTCTTTATGTATGTCACCATATGTACATTTGAATCGGTAGTTACAATGGGACGTGTCATTATGGTCCACATGCTGTAAGATTTTGGGAGAATATACGGGCTAGATGGTTTGCATTCATTAAAACCTAGCTGCATAGTTAGTCTTTCCGACAACAGCGTTAAGTCTTTTTCTTTAAGGAATGCACTCTGAGAGTCACCTTTGTAAGGAAGACTGATACAGATATCTTTCTTTGGGACAAAGTAAAAAGCTAGTTTTTGGGCTGTGATTATTTTGTGCTCCCTCTTAAATTTCCATGGATAGTTTTCCAAGGGTAGTTGAGTCAATGTTCGTCTTTCATCTTCTAAAGTATCCTCTACGCATACTGACTAAACATCTAACTAACTCTCGCTTGTACTGAACTGAAGAAAAGCTATGATAATTCAGATATTGCCCTGTTCATGCTGGTTTTCTGTAGACACATTGTTCTATGAATCTTTCCTGCCGCCGAATAATTAATATGTCCAGGAATGGCAAGCAGTCATCTTCCCCTTCAAGGATATCTTGTTTTGTACTTCATTTTATCGGTTTAGAATTGAAGTAGACTGACTTCAGTTATCACAAATAATAAGAATATCGTCGACACATCTCCGATATAAATGGGCTTGGTAACTAGGTTCTAAGTTTTCCATTTGTGGCAAATATATTAGCTAAAAGGGGACCTAAAGGACTTCCCATGGCAACGCCATCAATCTGGCGGAAATATTCGCCCTCAAATATAAACCTTATATTACCTGTACATAAAAGTAGTGACTCTTTTAAGTGATCCAAAGAAATAGTGGAGAATATTTGTAGCTCAGGTGGATAGTCTTGATTAAACAACCCAGCTCAGAGGTCATACTTTAGTGGCTTTTACAAATTCCTCTGGTGTGATGCTGTCAAGCACATGGCGTAGCGCACCTTGAAAATGCTTTAACATATATCTACTGAAATGTACTTTTATACTTCAGACTCAGCGCCTACATCACGTTTTGCCTATGGACTTTTGAATAAGCTCTTGGATTATGTCGATTCAGCAATGTCATCAGTTCGGGAACCAATGCCAAGCAGTCGCTACAGTACAAGTCGTTCATGGTTAAGTTCCAGTCAAGATATGAAATTCTTTGTCAAGGTTGTACTACCATTAGTTGAACGTTATTTCGAAACACAGCATTCATATTTTTTGGATCCGATATCAGGTGCTTCTATCGATGAAAAGAAAATGGCCGCTACGTATGTTACGATGACCAGCTATGTTTATTTATTGTCAATTCCTTACACCTTTTTAAACCCCATAATACTCCTTTCTGTTATTTTGATTATGCTACAATATGCAAAGATATGAGAGCATGTTCACGTTAGTTAGGGACAAACTTAGTTTTTTTAATTGAAATGATTAAGAAGTGCACTAAGACACTCGTATCTGACATGTTCTGGCATGACTCACTGGGACAAATAAATTCCGTTATTAGCAAATTCAAACCGTAAGGCCTGTAGAAAGACTAAAGGCCAACCCCGTAACCACTGTAATAGCCAGTTAGCTCCGTATTTCAGTTGGATAAGTTATTGCATTTTTTGTAAAATTCAAAAAAGAAATGGTCAGTTCAGCAGTTTCTGTGATGTCTCTTAAACTCACTCTGCTCGTATTAACTCAGGGTTTGAGGCTAGTTTCACTCGAAGTTATGTGGCATTGGATTTTGATAGTAAAAGCTACCTTCAGAAGTAATCATAAAGCGATTTCCCATTGTATCTCTAATTCTTTCCGATTTTGACTGAGACCAAATGGTTATGCGATTTAAAGTAAGTAAATATTTTTCACTCGTGGAAAATGTTCACAAAAAGCTTGTGACTGAGACTTGCCAAAATGGATTAGATACAAAGTCAAGTGAGACTTAAACATCAGAATTGTTCAACTTAATAACCATTCATTCGATTTCATATCCTGTAGTACCAAAAGTCTTAGTTATAACAGAAAAAGTATTAAATTTCACTAGACTACCACTAAATATTTATGGCTATTTTTAATGTTTATTAATGACGGATAGTGGCTAGTAGTGTAATCCAGGACTCGCATTTTGTCCTATTTGGGATAATTAGCGCAACAACGTTTTTCATGTTTATTTACGTGAACAGTCGAATATACATTTATCCTATGGTCAAATCACCTCAATTTATGGATGACTAAAGAGGATGCAGGTGTGAATTTTCAATAGTGAGTACCAATAAATAAAAGTAACTATGGTTTTTAGTGGTGAGACTGAAGGCCGTCGTCGCAACTGATGTAATAACCAATTAAGTCTCGCTGTTTTGGCTGGAAAGGTAGCTTTCATAAAATAATGATGCATAATTAATCACATCAGCATTTGCCAAGATAGCTTTCAGAGTCATTCAATTCAGTTAATAATTCATCAGTCGGTACTAGTTTTTTATACCAAGAAATTAAAGTGTCGTCATGACAATAGGGTTTCTTCGTTGATGCAACTTACTGCAAAAAGTGACTCTTAAAAATGTCTTAAACACTACTGAAATTACGAATGACTATAATAACCACCCAAAATACTATTAAAATGACTAATTAGATAGCGATGTTTTAGCTGCAAGGTTAGTTTTCCACGAAGTACAGAAATGAAATTGACTACTTCAATGGTTTTTGGGGTGGCTTATAGAGTCAGTAATTTGTAGCTTAGATGGATGATCTTCGTTGTGTTGCTTTCTATGGGTTGTGTAGCTCAATCAATTAATTACAATTACAATAAAGCATTTTGCTGAATAAAGTAGGTCGATTTCAATAGTTAGTATACTGACTATTAACTCCACTATCAAACAACTGTTTGGTTTGGTCAAGCTTGTTTGTCACCTCATTTTTAAAAAATCCTCTATACGATAATGAAACATCAACATAATTTAAAGAAAGAAGGTTATTTGGTTAATTTTCCCAGTACAGATTATTATGCGCTTTCTTAATACATATCCACAGCTCTGTTTTGACTTAGACGTACAAATTACTTAACTTCTATCCTAAAGGCAGTGATTTTTTATTTATGCAAGGATAAAGACTGAATTTGTTAGTCTTTGTCATATCTCAATTCTTGTGATTAACTGCATCAACTGTAATACAAGATAAGATTACCATCCAACCCTTATTTTCACTTCTCTTACCTTTTCATAAAAGAGGACTCACTAACATAGCATTTCATCAGCTACCAATATGTGTTTGTGTGAAAATCTATGATAATCAGTATTCAACCGAACGACCAGCTCATTTGATGATAATTTAGTTGGTAAAGCATCAAACCAGTAATTTGGGAGCTCTTAGCCAAAATTCAGTAGAAATCCGAAAATTCCTTCATCTCTAGCTGCCACATATCTTTCTAGTATGATGAAGACTCACTGAACTGCATATATATATATATATATATATATATATATATATATATATATATATATATATATATATATATATATATGCTTCTGGAATTACCTGATAATAACTTTAGTTTATCATATATTTTATTAGTTTATTTTGTAAGCTGTTCTCGCTGCTTCGAATAAAGCTGAATGCATTTGGACATGATGTGAAAATTGCTGTATCTTGCCTTCAAGGTCTAGTGCAAACAATCGATGTGAAGTAAGCTCATCATGTGATTTGTTTCTTCTTGTAATTTACGTATGACTTAATCATTTACGAATGACAAGAGTTGGGAAGTAAGGATCATTTGATCAGATCGACTAGTGGAATAGTAACATGCCAGTTCTGTCGTTTGGAAGTTATGTGGTTGTTACTGTACTGAGCTGTTAGATACGTACTGCTGAGGATTCCTAAACGATAACGAAAAACCTATTTTGTACCGTCCATTTTTCTGTAGTTCTTTAGCTGATATCAGTCGATGATGAAAGCCAACCTGAAGTCATTTTTTTCTGCAAACTACCGAATCAAAAAAGTACATTTCATGTCATTCATCTCACACATCCACATTACTCAGTTGTCAAACACTGGTTGTTACTTTACAGTGGTTAATCAATTTACGGGACTTCAATCGGTACCCAGTTAACGGGTAGTATGTATGACTGCAAAGATAGTTGGTACGGATTCAGGTTTCTAATGAAGCATCAATTTTTTGAGGTTTCAGTTATACCTTTCTAATGGGAGTCAGCGAGCATGAATCCTGAGTCAAACAGCCTTTCTCTGGGGATTCAATCTAACCAGTCGATATGACCATGACATTGCCAAGAATATCAGTAAAAATAAGAAGGGTAAAACGAATCAAAATCAAAGCAAAGCAGATGAATTAATGAAATCCTAAGGAATTCGTACTTTCTCATGCAAAATCAGTAAGGAAGGGAATATAGGACTTTTGAGCAACTCGTAGATAGCTCTTCATAAGATTAAATTCTTGGTGGACATATTCTTGTGGTACACAATTTGAATGATGTGCATTTATGAAAACCAAGGAGGCTTTAAGTTAAACTGAATGATTGAAACCCATTTGTGGGATATATTTTTATCTACCAGGCTGTAAGCCAGATTATGATACTACCTGGTTGCTCAAGCCAAATGAGGTGGGTTTGAGCATGAACTTGCAGCCTTTGCCTTACAACTGTGTACTTAAGCATATAATCCACAGCTCCAGTTTATGTTACTATTAAGTTGTTTTCATGAAATCACAAACAATAAAAAAGTTTTTACGTATAAATAATATTATGTATAGTAATAATAACATGATTACATTGGGTATATGTGGTATTACGGTGAGTTCAATAGAATGAGTTCATAAAATTACTTGGATATCATTAGGGTTTAGGATAAATGGTATCTTTTTCTGTTTTTTACCAAAAGTAATGTGATTATGTCTTTCGTTTATCAGCCGAAAAGATTACGTATGATGTAGTCTGATGTATAATTCAAAAAACTGTTTACCTACCCCTGTTTGATTTAATTTGACATAATATAAGACTAACCTACTCTAGGATTACATTTTTCCGGCTATTCGACTGAGCCTTCTTACTACGAACACATCCTACTCACTCTCCGGGAGAAGCATACATCGTCACTATGAAATAACGGGATGGTGAGTGAAGTTGAAAGCAAACCTTAATCGTAGTGGGACTCAGACTGAACACCGTAAGACGCAAAATCTACCGTAACCTAGGCTTTCTTTCAAAATCAATCACAACCCGTTTGCACTAAAATCAAACCAGGGCAGTCTGACATAGTCTAGTCACCATTATTATCTGATCAGTTAAATAATACAGATTCACATTCCAAGGATGACTAACACCAAACAAATTGTCAGGTATTTTGCGTAAAATATAGTTCTGGCTAAATATGTTTCCATTATGACCTTCAAATAGAACTTACTCAAATCTAATACTTTGTAAGCAAATTTGTTTTAATCATATGATTTTATATGCTTAGTGTTGGTCGTTGTACTGCATATGAATTATTTGCAGTCATGCAGCATGAAAAACGGTTTTCACTCATTTATTCCTCATCATTTGCCACAAGGTCTCGATAGACCATAATTCAAGCATAATCACTCTAATACATTTGGGTTTATCATCAATCGCATATTATTATCCCATGTAGTCGTTGTATACGTAAAAGAATAAACTAATATCGAATAAATTTCTCTTCTTTGATATTATTTGCAGTGGGTTTTCAACAGAATATATTTCGTAGTGATTATTCGTGTTTCCTTTATGACCCAATGGATATATTTCGCTGTCTTTTTAATTACAAAACTCTGGCCCAGAATATTGTCCAGATGAAATAAAGTGTTTACAACAACAGTAAACAACAGGCTTTAAAAGCTAGTTGTAGTTTTGATTGACTCATCAAAAGAACAATAATTTACAAAATGAATTGATTTTGACTAAAAGACATGTTAAAATCCAAAATAAACTACTTTAAGGTGTTAATAATAAACAGTAATTTTTAAAGTCATTCACACGGAAAGTGAAGATAGATGGCTTGAAGTGAAATTTGAAGACTGTTGTATTTTACATTGAAGATATTCTGTTATGATAATTGAATCTGATTCAGGAATTTAAAGTGTTTATTTCTGGACACTTGAATATTTGGCTTGCACTGATTACTTATATAATGAAACCTGTGATTAGAAATATTATCTACAAACAGAAACAACAGCATTTCTCTTTCATTATAAGAAGTAGCCTCTCTTCTCGTTCCGTACTAATTTCATTTCCTTCTCTGTTATCTATCTGTATTTAGAGCTATCTTAAAAATGGGCACAGCAGAGGATTTTGTTCGTAGTCGTATTCTACCATTTTTCGTCAATGCCGCTGATGATTTATGTGTTGTAATTCGTAATCTTGATGCTGGTCGTTATTCACATGTGAAAGTAAGTACATAACTATTTCCACTCAAAAAATAAATGTTTGCTTTTTGTTATGACTCAATTAATTCGGACCATTTTCTGTTTAATGTTCACCTAGTTCTCTTGTCAAATCATTTCACTCACTTCATAACAATGTGACTACTAGTTACTGTCAATAACTAGTATCCACTTTCAATGTTAAACTGGTACGAAAAGCATTTTGAATGAATGCGAAGTCATTATTTCTTAGTACAGTACAACTAAAGAACCTCAAAAAAAGAGGAAACAGATATCGGGTCCTTCCATTTATTGAAAAATTCTACACCTAAAGTTCACCAGTTAGGAGAAACCTATTCATATATCTATCTTCATACTAATTGATTACCGTGGGCCGAATCAGTTTCCTTATTAGTATGTGATACTGATAAACAGTATGTCGAATATCAGTTCAATAACCTTAAATTCAATCACCCTTATTGCTAAATTTTGGGATAACATAGAAGGCGGAAAGGTGATCTAAGATTTTTTGGATGCTTTATTTATGTACAAAGTGCTGCGTAGTTTATCTATCTTTAGATTGCATTGATAATTTCTACATTATTCTGAAAGGTATAAAATCATCGATTTCAGAGATTTATCCATGTTTACATGCATAGTCATGTGAGTTTCTAAAAAATTCCACCTACAAATGATAATTTCTAAATGTATTTGGGGATTTTTAGCTTCTCTGCACTGTCCAGGGAAAAAATCGTGCGTCTTAACTAAACTAATTGCAACTGACTCAACTTCAGTTAACTGCCAACTATATATATAATTTTCGGAATTCAGCTGCTCATTAAAATATTCACATGAAGTAGCCAGTACTTAGGAAAACTATATTTACTTTTATCTGCCGATATTTCCTGTTTCGACGACACCTTCATACTCTTTAACTATAATAGTTAGCTATATCGTATATCAGTGATATTATGTAAATTTCATTTTGTCGTTGTCTACGAGCCACTGTGCATACAGTCGCGTTATACTCTGTTTTATTTAGCGTATTAGCACTCTAGGGCCTTAGCCTTTCTTGTCAGTTCGTGAGCGCCTTCCATCCCTTTCACTTCGCTTCACATATATCATTATTATTATTATTATTAGTCCCTTGGGTTCCTAGTGGAACATAGGGCTTCAGTAGCACGCCTCCAGTGACCTCTGTTCTCTGAGATCTTTTGAACCTGGTTCCACGACAGCCCACAGCCTCTCATTTCCTCCTCGCATGACCTCCTCCATGTCACCCTCGGACGTCCAACTCGTCGCTTCCCATGGGGATTCCACTCGAGGGCCTGACGCGTGATGTCCTCAGTCGGCCTTCTCAGTGCATGGCCAATCCATCTCCACTTCTTCCTGCATATTTGTTGCGTGATAGGTTCTTGGTTGGTTCGTTCCCAGAGTTCCTTGTTGCTTATTTTTTCTGGCCATCTGATCTTCAGCAGCGAGCGTAAGCAGTTGTTGATGAATGTCTGTAGTTTATTGGAAATGCCTTTCGTGACGCGCCAAGTCTCTGAGCCATACAAGAGCACTGACTTGACGTTGGTGTTGAAAATCCGTATCTTGTTCCACATGCTGAGTGCAGAAGATCTCCACACTGGTTTCAGGCTAATGAACGCCTGTCTTGCTTTTCCGATTCTGACTTTGACGTCCTCGTCCGTCCCGCCTGTAGTTGAAACAGTGCTTCCTAGATAAGTGAAGGAGGTTACTTCCTTCAAGTTTCTCCCGTTGACGGTGATTGGAGTTTGTTGTTGTTGTTGATGGTGGTGGTGCGGTATCTTCATCACTTCTGTCTTCTCTATATTCACCTGAAGTCCCGTCTTCGCTGCCTCTTCTGTCAACTTGTTAGTTTTTGCCTGCAGATCTTCAAGTTTATGTGACATTAGGCACAAGTCATCGGCGAAATCCAAGTCTTCTAGGTTCTTTTCCGTCGTCCAGTGTATCCCCCTCTTCTCGCTGCCTACTGTTTGCTGCATGATCCAGTCCACCACAATAAGGAATATCATGGGGATAGTAGGCAACCTTGTTTCACTCCTGTCTTCACTTCAAAGGCATCACTGAGCTTCCCATTGTGGATTACTTGGCATGTGGCATCTTCATATAGTTGTTGAATGAGGCGGATAAAGGTTTGCGGTACTCCGTAGTATTGAAGCAGTTTCCAAATTACTTCTCGGTCGACGCTGTCAAAGGCCTTCTCAAAGTCGATGAAGTTGAGGTATAGAGCTGATTGCCATTCTACGCTCTGTTCTATGATGATACGAAGCGTTGCAATTTGGTCAGCACATGATTTGTACTTCCTGAAGCCTGCCTGTTCCGGTCGCAGTTTTGAATCCAGTGCGTCTTTAAGCCTCTCCAGGATGATGCGGCTTAATATTTTACTTGGGGTGGATAGGAGAGTGATTCCGCGCCAGTTCTTGCAAGCACTGAGGTCTCCCTTCTTCGGCAGTTTGACAAGGTAACCCTTCTTCCAATCGTCAGGTACCTTCTCTTCCCTCCACACCTTCTGCAATAGTGGTGTGAGCATGTCCGCTGTTGTCTCTGCATCTGTTCTCAGTGCTTCTGGCGGTATTCCATCTGGTCCTGCTGCTTTCCCGCATTTCAGTAGCTTTATGGCGTTCAGGACTTCCATTTTCGTTGGGGGATTAATGTTCACTTGTAATTCAGCGGCTGCAGGTGGTATTTCTGGACGAAGTGCAGGTGGTGGTCGATTCAAGAGCTTCTTGAAGTGGTCGGCCCATCGTTTCCTCTGTTTCTCTTCTTTTGTAATTAAATTTCCTTCTTCATCTTTTATTGGTTTCATCTGTGTTGGTCTCTTCCCTGATAGCAACCTGGTTATTTGATACAATGTCGTCAGGTCTCTCTTACCTGCAGCCTGTTCTGCTTCACTTGCCAGTGTGTCGTAGAAGTGTCTTTTGTCTTTGCGTGCACTCTTCTTCACTTCTTTATCCAGTGTTTTATACATTGTGCTCAGTTCCTCTTGTCGTTGAGCATCCTTGCACTGGTTTATCTTCTGCTTCACCATCCTCCTCTCCTCTATCAGCTTCCAGGTATCCGTCGAGATCCATTCCTTGTCTTCTTTCTTCTTCCTTCCTAATACTGTTGTGCAGGTTTCTTTCCACATAGCTTTCAAAGACTTCCAGTGTTCTTCCACACAGGTTTCTTCAGGGATGTCCCTCGACGTCTCCCATTTTGTCTTGATGGCTGCTTTGAAGATCTCCTTTGTAGTTTCATCCTTCAGTTTCCGAGTGTTGTACTTGAATTGAGGTCTATCACCAGCTTCCTTGAAGGCTTTTAACTTGATTTGGAAGGTTCCTTGCACTAGATAGTGGTCTGAACCTACATCTGCTCCTCTTCTTGACCTTGTGTTAAGTAGACTGCGTCTCCATTTTCTTGAGATTGAGATAAAGTCGATTTGATTTTTAGTGTGTCCATCTGGTGAAGTCCATGTCGCTTTGTGGATATCCTTGTGCCTGAACACACTGCCTCCAATCACCAAATCGTTGAATGCACAGAATTCTGCAAACAATTCTCCATTCTCATTCATTTCACCTAGCGCCTCTCGACCCATGGTTAGTTCTCTTCCCGTGTTGTCCCCTCCCAGTTTGGCATTCATGTCGCCCATTAGAATTTTGATATCGCCAACTGACGTCTTGTCCAGTGTTGACTGAAGTTGTCTGTAGAATTCCTCCTTTTTCTCTTGCTCTGCATTATTTGTAGGTGCATAACATTGTATGATTGTGACCTTTCTTCCTTTTGAGTTGAATCTTGCTGTCATGATCCTGGAGGAGATTGGTTCCCACTGCATGAGAGCCTTCGATGCTCTTGAGGACATCATGATAGCCACTCCCTCAGTGTGCTCGTGGTTGGCGTCTGGGTGACCGGAGTAGATTATTGATTCTCCAGTTGACAGTTTGGAGAGTCCACTCCCATTCCATCTGCTTTCGCAAATCCCAAGCACTTCGATGTTATACCTTCTCATCTCCTTTGCAATCTGGGCTGCCTTACTGGGTTCAAACATCGTGCGGACATTCCATGTCCCCACGTTTACTTTCGCTTTCATCGAGAGAAGACACATCGGCCAATTGGCTTCCCGAAGGCTTTCACCAACTGGCGTCATTTCGCCTCTCCGATTCCAGCGGGGAATAAGTTTGTTTTCATTTTTTATATTTTGTTTGTGCTTTGAAGTTTCTTTAGCGGTTAGATTTGTTTTACGGGGTAGGGTTGCTAGCCCTATGCCCAACCTTCCCTCTTTACCCGGGCTTAGGACCGGCTAGTAACTAGTAAACTAGTTAACCAGGCGAGGTTTACATATATCATACTCTTCCATAAAACTGTGTCTGCCTTTATCGTTTGATTTACTAAGTTTTAATTCGAAAAATAAATTACGTTTATCTGAGGCTCAGTAAACTGATTTTGATTGAAATGAAGACGCCCCAACTTATCATTTGTATTTAATATTATTTAACTCAGTTGAGATGCACTAACCATCACACTTGATAATTTCATCACGATATAATGTTAATAATAGTAACTTACTAGTTTATACTGTTGTGATTGGGTTATCGATTTCTCAAGGCAACTACTTTGACAAAGAGTGCTATACTGACATTTTGTTAGATAGCAGCATAGATAACATTTTAAAAAAGTGTATAACAGGAAGTTAAACTGAAACTTTATGCAGTGTGGACGATAAGGTGATAGCATCTGTAGGTTACTGAATAGCGAATTAGTGTACTCACCATATCAGTCTTATTTCTGACTACTCTATCTCCAGGTTAACTCACTGACTAGTACATATTAAATCCATAACTGTTACTAAAAATATGCCTTTTTTTTCTACAAGTTGTTGGTTCTTATTCTAATCTATGTTTCTTGATCAATAGAATCTGGGTCAACTTTTTGGTTTTCATGGCTGAAATCTGTCCTGACAGATTCAGATCGATTAAGCATTTAGTATATAGTTTGTAGGGGGAAATTCATATTTGTAAGATCCGAAAGCAGTCGAAACTAGGTACTTAATAATTTTTGTCTTTTTTATTTAAAAAAAATTTCTTCAATAAACAGGGCACAATTAAACGTGGGGCATGTTCAATCGACTATGTACATATGGTATTACTACCAGTACTTAAATCAATGTTTGAGCATTTGGGCAAAAATGAATGTGGTGAATATTTACTAGGTAATTTTAACACAATTTTATACTGATTGACTGTCATCAATAAGTGTTTACCTTTATTTTACGACTAACAGTGATAAAGTTGTAGGCGATTACTGAAAAGTTTAATCATCAACAATAAGATCACTAGATATCAGGCATGTAGCGCAACTCAGCTTTACATACAATGAATTCATATTTTCAAAGTAGTTTTTGTCCCTGAATGACATTAATAAAGCAACCATTGAAAATTGGAAGCAATAGACAGTAGGCATAGAAGAAGAATTAAAAACTTGGATGAAACGGCTGTTTAGTCCTCCTAGATTTCCAGTGGCTCCCCAGTTGATGTCAGTTCATGATAAAAAAAATACACTGAAATCAATCAATTCCCACAAACCACTTATCGAATTACTATCTACTTCTCATGAATGACTTGCTTTGAGTTGAATTTCCTGAAGTTTTAATGAGAAGCCAGCGTTAATCAACTTGCATGTGAATATAAATACATGTCAGTGCTTTAGGGTAGTAGATTAGTCCCAAATGAGCATGAAACAGCTCTGCAAAACTATCAGATTTTTGATGGTTCTCCAATTTTTATCAGTCTATGATGAAAATTACTTTGGAATCAATCAATCCTCATAAACTAGCAATTTGATTGTTGGTTTCTTGAACTAAGCTGATGATTCTAGAGTTCCAGGTTTCATTCAGAACATAGGTTCTCATACAGCTGGGAATATTTTAGTATGAGTTCCAAAAGAGACATTCTTTTTTGTCTCTGATGTGATATGCATATCGATTTGTCTGTTTAATAGTTACATCTAACATTCAATAATTCCAACGGGGAAACAGGATGGGATTCTAAAGCTCACTTGTACTAGTGGTAACATTGTTAGTGTAGTATATAATTGCAGGGAACCGAGATAATAATGGGCCTGTTTTTGCACTTATGTGCTAAGTGTTTAGGTCCACTTAAAATCAAACAGAGTCATGAATAATCTGTCAAGCTTTAGTATATTATGACAAGGATTTTTCTCATGTTGGTATCTGTAATATCCGTCATCTCACTGTATGTCCATTATTACTGCTGTTAACCTCGTTCCGAGTTCCATATACGACTCAATGATTAATAGGTTGAGGCTAAAGCCGAACGCTGGTCCTACGGATTATTGTTACACGTAGTTGCTATGTTCAAACTGATCCTATTATCAGTAATGTCACACCAGCTCACTCAGAGAGAAAATGAAGGTCAAATAGTGGACAATAAAACTGTAGTTAGCAAAATACATCTAGTATGTACGAGGTCTTAAAACCGTGGGAGTCCCAGCCAAGGTGTTAATGACTGAGAATAAGAGACGGACAGGTTAAAGACATGCGTGATTGATTAGTTTTTTCTGTTATTCACTTTGCGTGCGGACATAGGCATAGACGAACCCCGAAGCCACAGAAATAACGAAATAAGTTTTTTTTATCTTCGTTGGTCAGATAGTTATTCATAAAATAAAGAAACCTAATTCATCTTTTCAGTGGTTGCTTGGATGATCTTTAGAGTCGCTTGGGTTCGGCAATATCGTATTGTTCACTTTAGACATACTTCTGTTACCTCTTGGTATATTAGATACCTTTTCATACTAGAAATGAAAACACTATTATTATTATTTTGCCCTTGGGTTCATAGTGGAACATAGAAATTCAGTAGTGCGCCTCCATTGCACTTTGTTCTCCGCAGTCTTTTAAACCTTGCTTCACGACTGCCCATAAGCTTTCATTTCTTCCTCACATGATCTCCTCCATGTCACCCTCACCTCGGATGTCCAACTCGTTGTTTCCCCTTTGGATCCCACTCGAGGGCCTGACACGTGACATCCCCAGTCGGCCTTCTTAGTGTATGCCCAATCCATCTCCACTTTCTTCTGCATATTTGTTGGGTGATAGGTTGTTGGTTGGTTAGTTGACAGCCAGCCAGAGTTCCTTGTTGCTTATTCTTTCTGGCCATCTGATCTTCAGCAATGAGTGAGCGTAGGCGGCAGCTGTTGATGAATGTCTGTAGTTCGTTGGAAATGCTTTTCGTGACACGCCATTTTTCTGAACCATATAGCAGGACTGACTTGACACTGATGTTGAAAATCGGGAACTTGTTCTTTGTGCTGAGTGCAGTAGATCTTCACACTGATTTCAGGCTAATAAAAGCAGAAATGAAAACATAAAGATATGAAATTTCTGATTTGCGTAATTTACGATCCATATTTTCATTTCCGGAGGATTATATTTGCACTTCTGTCAAACAGCTGTTTTACTATTATTTGCTTGCATCGAAATGAATTCAGAATGTGCCTGCTGTTATTTTAAGCTGTCGTGAGTAAAACTCGACTTGCATCTCGTGACTCAATATACCTACTGACTTAAAAAACTAAGACTTTTAGTTTAATCTGTGTATATGTTGGTAAAGTAAAAATTTCGTTAGCTTACTTTACAGCATTTTTTTGAAGTGTCAGTTGTTGAACGTGTTCGTAAAGTTTAGGTAGAAATTCAACCACAGCAACAATTCTGACATAATCATATAAACATTACCCTATCTCCATAGATTGTCTTAATATACATAATCTTATTCAATGTTGATTGTTAAGGTCAAAGAATGACTGTAGACGTATCTTTTATTGCTTATCATCCTATCGCATTTTTCTTTTTTACTGTTGCAAACTATAACAACTCTGAAAGGTTTTACATTATCCTGTCTATGTATGCTTAATTTTAATTTTTGGTTGCAGTTTTCTTACTTGTTTTCCTCAAAGTACACAAAACAGTGGTGCCCATCTGTATGTTCACATAATTATGGTATAAGGTGAATAATGACACGTATCAACTACTAAACAAAGCACGCACTCATTTACTGACACTACACTGATTGGATACCTAGTTACATGAACGTTAAACATCAGTAGAACATAGTATTTAATTTCCGCATCATTAAATACTATTACTTTACAAATGTCTACCATTTATATATATATTTTTTGTTCTTAGTGGGCAATGTGCAAGTCACATGTTACAGAATACTTAACGCTTTATACAAACTAGGCACTACAGCATCAAAGCATGCAAATCGGTGAGTATTAGTATGATCATGATTTATTTATTAACACTTTGTAGTTCCCTTCCTTTCTAGGTCTCAATTTATTATTCAGACTCCACCTCTTCTAAACTGCTGAAACATTTACTGAAAAATATTGCAGTTTTTGAATGTTTATCTGCTTTGTTGGAAATTCTTCCATGTAGAAAGGTTTCGAGTAAGCAGTATCATGTTGGAATATGAAACAAATAACTATTACGCTAACTCACTATTTGGAATTAGAATGTAAATCTCATTGATTACTGGTGATTTGAAAGGAGTAAATGAGTTTGTTTGGTCTTGGTTAATATAGTATTCCATGCTATTTTTAAGTAACATCTGTAGTCGGTAAAAAAAAGCCACAATACTGTTGTATTACAACCCACATGTTGGTTCGCCTCCAGCTATGCTACTAGACGATAATGAAAACTATCAATGGATATTTGATGTAGTAGAACTACGGACAGACGCTGTTTTCTCATTCATGATGATTATGAATAAATTCAAATTTATTTACAACTTGAACTTCTTAGTTGAGCTTATGTAGCAGAAAGTAGTTTATCTTGAGGGGAAATATTTTCATTTCGAACTTGTTCCCACTCTATTTACTGAGAAACGTATTACATGAAAAAAATATTTATATACTCGATGTCTACCTGATGTCACTTGGTGATGCGTACCATCTTAAAGTTAATAAATCCCTGTAGATATCCAAACTGAATTACTATCCAGTGGTCATTAGTGATACCCTTCAAGATGGGTTTCACGAAATTCTAGCGAGAAGCTGTGACCTATTGAGCAAAATAAGTCGGATGTGAGGACAAATACTTCCCGACAGCAGTGGATGAAGGTTCATGCTATATCATGAATTGACAGAAGTAGAAAATATGGACCACTGAATTCCAACCTAGTGGCTCAGTGGTAAGGTACTGGATACGGAACATTAAGGCCCTGGGTCCGATTCCCTGCGGCATCGTGCATGTGCACTACTGAGAAGCATATTACAACGACGAAACAGCTATCCAATGCTCCCAGGTTTTCAGCGGTTCTCCAGCTGATGTCAGTTTATGATGAATACTACTTTGATACCGAAAAATCCTCACAAACCTCCAAAGTGAAATACCTACATAAATTTGACAGAAAACTACCATCGCAAAGAGAAAAAATTTACACTTTTTACACTCAACATGATAAGAAATGCCGAATTACAATTTGAAATAAAATTGACCAATCTTTCTTTTTTCTTTTTATTTCTTTAGTCAAAGTTTTGTCGACGAATTAAATAGGTTAGTTATTCTTGACCACTAATTATTTTGATAACACTTTCATGTAGAATTTTCATTTGATAGTAGTTTAAATGACAGTCAGATAGTAACTGATGTGGAACGCAGTATAATTATGGACCCGTCCAAGTTGTCATACTTTTAATCAGCATATGATGTTAGTAATTAGAATCAGGAAATAATAAACAACTGAAAAGAATAGTAATATTAGCAGGTGTGGAAAAGTATAAAAAAACATAAAAGTAGACAATGGATTGAGGATAGATGGTAGTAAGTGTTAGATATAGCGTGAATATATTCATTGCCCTGAGATCGATTGCAAGCCATATTACCTAGAATCTTTAGTCATTGATTTCCACTTGTCTCATATATGCATACATTGAGAAGACATTTAACGCTTTACTACAACTCTATTAGCTCAGTTTGTAACATCAGTAATGTAGTAAAGCAAAGAGAAGTGCTTCTAAGACCCTCAGCTCTTCAAGCCTCTCATTTTTTCGACCTGTATAACTAGTGTCATGATTTTTTAAAAGTCATCATTCCATTCTAATTGAATCAGCTTCAAATAATGTATATTAGCAAACAAGTGATTAGTGGTGGGCGAAATTCTTCACCAAAATACATTAGAACCTACTTGTCTTGAAAGTTTGAAGAATAGTATCTAGTGATTCTCTGAGCTTTTCATTGGTGTCCTCATTAGATAATTAAAAGTGCCAAACAGTAGTCCAGTTAATATATAGATTGATTCATATATTACATGGTATTGACACATTTACACGCAAACATCTAAATGCAGGTTCTCATTGATTTTTAGAGATAAATGTGCTGATTTCAGTCAATCTAGGATTTATTTTTATTAAGAAGTGACGAAGACAGTGATACAGATTAATTTGCATAAATAGCATTTCATGAATTCATTTGGAGAATTTCACTGTTTCTTATACATTTATTACTATTTGTTTTTGTACTTTAGACATAGAGCTTTAATTGGTGAATGCCTTGCTGCACTTGCATCTGCATTCCCTGTCGCTTTTCTAGAACCTGAGCTGAATCGTAATAACCCTCTTTCAATTACATTTAATAATCGTGGAGGTGATTATAGTCTTGAGGCTAGAGGTAAGTGATTCGGTCACCATAATATTAAATGTACATTAAGAGTTTATTCGTTTTCTTTAACTCCCCATCAGAATAGTGTTATTTATTTACGATTCTACTATTCTTCCAGTTTGTATCTAGTGAAATGTTATTAAACACTTTCTAATTTTCTAACAGATATGGATTAGATCGTCATTAGTGGTCAATAGGATTGAACAAGAAATAATCAACTCTGCCATTTGAGGACATTTTTAAAATGATTACACTGTGTCTAGAAAATAATCAGGAAAACACTTAGCATTTGAAAGTTCTATTTACTTCTTAATAGGAGTGAACTTCGATCCAGTTATACTAACCAGAATCTACACTGGGTTTTATTACTTTACTCACAATTCATATACAGTGTCGGAATGATCAACTTTCCGTTGAAACATATTCAAAGAACTAATCAATAACTATTTACTCGGGTTGTATGGTGGCAGGGGGTTGACTACGGGTTAGTTTCTCTTGCTGGATAACAGCAAATGGAGAACCATTGAGTGCCAAGAAGGACTAGACAAATACCTCATACTAATTCAGGTCATAGGTGAGAGGTATGGAGGCGTTCCAAGCCAATATGCGACTATGAAGACATTATTTATTTGTTTTGCAATTCATAGTCTGTCATGGTAAAAATTTTGATATTGGTTACCAAACATTTGTTGATAAACATAACAATAATAGCCCCCATTTATTTTAGATGTACTTCAACAGCTTTCTAAAACAACTGGCAGTCTTCAAAGTATCATTGAACAAGTGGAGCGTTTAGCTGAAGCTGGAGCAATTGGTGCTGCTGAGGCCCCACATCTTATTGAAGTTACGTTACCTATGCTTTGTTCTTATCTACCTAATTGGTGGCGTAAAGGACCTGAATGTATGGCTTTGACATCTTGTGTTGACGTTTCTAATGAGGGTGAAATAGGTCAAGATAATAAAAATACTTCCATGATGCCTAAAACAAAGCAAAACAATTTTTTAGCCGGAGCAACTGGACCCTTAACAACTGTTACAGCTGATCTAATGAATCGAGTTCTTGGCAGTGTGTTGCAATTAATTCAAACTAACATTGATTCACAACATGCACCCTGGATGACGAGGATCGCTAGTAAGTATATGCAAACATTGGTAAAATTATGTTGACTTGAAAACAATTGTTTCTTAATAGGATAATGTACCCTAACAAAATGATCATCAAATACATGAGCCGTAGAGTTTGATGAATATCTTACCGTATTTTAAATAGTTGCATGCTGTGATGAAAGTGACAAGTTTAACAATGACATAACTTTGCTGATTGATCACCGTTTAGAACTGCTAACTGATTCACTTACCCTTCCCTTTTATTGGGTAAGTGAATAACCATGAAAAAAAGATGAATTGTTTAAATAATTTAATCCATAAACAGAGGGAGAAAAAACAACTATTAATATGCTAAAGAAACTCAACATTGATTGAAATTTAATTTTTGAATAATGAAAATATCTAGTTAAATGTAGATGAGTGAAGAAATCTATTGGTCTAAACTCTGAATAGTAGGGAGAAGTCTTGACTACTATATTCCTTTCTGTATGAGAAATCGAAACCCCTAAGGGACAAAAATGAAGGAATATGGATACATGAAAGTTTTTCTTAAGCTCTGATTTCTGTTCCATTCTTTATGTTAAGATTTATTACAAACTGTATCATTTTACTGTATAACCTTTCAAGTCTGTGAAAGCAAAGTTGAATGCTTTGCACTTGATTAATTTACTTTACTTGAGGTTATTTTAGATTTGAATTCGACTTTAATAATATGAAACGTTTCTTCAATATTCTGTCATCACTTGGCTAACTTATTTCGGAGCATGAAGATAAGTAAAACTGACAACCTGATCCTACATCATAATTTCTAACATTATTTTCCTATCTCACTAATTCGATAATTTGTCAATCAGACATACCATTTTTTTTACCAATTTCTTCTGTCTTCATTGATGTTAGATACTGGATGAATAATTTGTTAATTTAATTTTAAGCTTGCCACCCGGAATACAGAATATGCTTTTAATTGAATTTATAAGTCAAATTTAACAAGAATAAACCCAAACGACAAACTTTTTTTATGACAGAAAGTTATTCCCCTAAGAAATACTAACAAAGTTACTCTACTACGTGAGTCATCACAGGATTGTCACCCACTCATATTATTTTATTGTAACAGAAATGGTTGACTCCGTCTTGTGCAATAGTTACAATTGTAAAAGCTTAGGGCAATGAGAAGGTTCCGCCTGTGACCACTTCTATAAGATTTTCCTTCATCATTTTCTATGCGAATACTAACACAGAATGTATACTAGTCAAAAGAAACTTTCAGCGTTCAAAGTGAAATTCAGATCTAGCTGGTTGGCGATTGATTCTTTTAGGATAAGCGATGAATCTCTGAATCGATAATGTGAATGCCACGGGACTGAATATTTTCCAAATCATACTGTATAGAGCATACTTTCACTCTTGTGTAAAAAATGACTGAAGTACATAATGCAGTTTTTGTAGAATTCTTGTGTAATATATTGTTGAAGTGTGCTGTTTATCTCATGAAAAGCATTAATTATACGTATAAGTAGCTATGCAATTGAAACTAGTCCACAATTCTAATTTGCTCTGCAACTGAAATGAATGGTACATTAAACTTCTCATGTGTTTATTATAAATTACTTTGGAAATTGAGGGAAATAACGCTGAATACGGCTTTATAGCACATATTTAGACTTTTGTCAGTGCCATGTAATTTAACTGGATTCCGATGATAATAATCTTATAAATATGATATTCTTTGTAACAGCTACTTCAATCCTAGCATTCATATTCAACATAATAACAAGTCATTGATTAGACAATCTTTTCTTTGTGATCCAATCCTGTTTGATAATAAAAGGAATGTCTCCAAACTACGATGGATCCCCATAGTCATATTTATCAACCGAGTTTAGTGCCACTGTAACTATTTTTTAAACTATAATTCGTATTCGTGTAACTATTTAAACAAATAAAAACATTTTATAAACTTCAGATTCAAAATTTGACCTGATAGAGTTGAATAAGTAAATATATTTATAAAATCCCAATAAAATAGAAAAATAAAGACAGTGTTTATACTTTTATTTTGTCAAATTCTTTTGTGTAGTATTCAGTTGTAAGTAATTTTTTTTTATTCTCTCTAATCGACTAATGAAATACTTTATAGCACGTACACAGCCAATTGTAGCTAATTCTACAGCTGATATGCTTGGTCAATACTTTTTACCAGTGTCTGAACGACTTCTTGAACATGCATTGATTGTTGAAAGAGTCGAAGAAGCTTATCGAGTTGAAAAACGCTCAGGTAGGCTAAAATTGAACTATAAACAACTAATTTTTTCATTCATTAAACAATTAAATATTTTTCCAGAAGATAGCCTCATTGATCACTGGTTCTTTGTTATGATAATATTGCCTACACTATCAGTGTAGAAAGTTTTAATCATTTTTATAACTACCTCGAGAAAGTCTTAAGTAATAGTGCACCACAGAATGTTATTTAATGAGCATACTTTTAACGAAATCTCTGCTGAGATACATGAGACCCGTTTTGTGTTTGCTAAGGTACATTATTTATGGTGGAGGATATGCATTTTTGGCGAACTACACTTATATATCGAAGATATGTAAAAGGGTAAACTTTTTAAACCATAGGTGTTTTTGTATCATCTCTTACGTTTGATGGGAATAGAAAGCGTACTAGGCATAGAATATTGGACAAGAAAGCTAGTTAGTTGATGATGATGAGGACCGTTATCTACTGAGGTTGCGGAGGCATGTGTTACGCATATCGAGCAGCCACCAACCCACGTTATGATGTCAGTTAGTGTAGAACCAGGCTAAAAATGAGCTAAAAGTGTCCAGACTTCAAAATGGTTCCAATTCATATCAACTTCATTGTCATTCTTATTTTAGGCAATTCCTATTTGTGTGCTACTGAGAACTGTAGTAACCTCAACTGGTATACTTTACTGTTAGGTTCTAAGTTAGTCTGTCTGTAGGTGTAGGTTTACTCAGGATTACAAATACCGGGGAGAAATTTTACTTTTTAAATGCTACTGCTAATGAACAATTAAATCAAACCTAATTTTTGGCAAAATAATGGAGTGAACTGTTTAACTATTAGGACTGAACAACATTGAAAAGCTTATCCTTCTGCCTCTTTTTTCCCCTCTTTTTAAATGTAAGTTCAAACACAGTCGAAGTAAATGGTTCAAATCAGAAAACTAGATTGTAATGATATTATTACTTATCTTTATCACAAGTCAATGTCAGTTGGTAACCAATAGTAATAAAGTACCAAGTGCTAGTCTAGTTTTTATCCCGGTTTCGCTATCATTGTACATTGTTTATCTCGCTCAAGATATAATCAATAAATTTGATGCCTTATCATGGGCACATCCACTTTTGTAAGGTTAACTGGAATTCTAGCAACAGACGTTTTTGACCTTCGTTAGCTCGTGATGTAATGCTATCTATATACTGAGATATTGAGCGTTCCAACTGCTGAATACAACTTGGATTATTATAGAAAACATAACCTTTGACTAAATAAATCACTGCACATTAAAAAAAACTCAGTAAATATGTAAATATGAAAAACTCTGCAAATATGAGGAAAAAGTAAAAAGAATGAGAAAATCTGACAAATTACCTTGAAATAACTATGAGCGACAAAGTGTATCGAAACACTCCTAAGTAAATTATACTATTTCACTATATGATCAATCTAATAAGCAGACAAAAATGAATGTACAGTTATTCTTGATCTACTTGCTTCATTTCATGTAAAATTTATTTTATTGTCAATGAGTTTGACTGTCATGGATTATACGCATTGAGAATTATGACTGTTTCCCATTGAAAGTAATTGAAAATCCTTTGATAGGAAAACTCACGCTAATGTTGGCTATGGTGGATACTACCCTTTGACTGATGGCCAAAAGTAGTGAAACCCAGGTTGTGTGTTTCTTCTCATTTGGGACTCATCAGTTGGTTGTGGGTGCATCCCTGTAAGTGACAGTATTCCTACGTAGACATGAACCCAAGACTTTAAACGCCACAGTGTTATCCCTAAGGCGTCTGGGTCACGAGAAGCATCTTTTGTGCAGCAGGTGTCATTTTTTAATCATTGATACTTGTGAACTCGTGGGATTGAGCAACATAGTGTATAACGCTCTGGTATTTCAGGCAATGGATACTGGTTTCGAGATTCACTGGGAACATTACCATTGACTGAGATACAGGTAAATCCAGCTCATGAGCCATTGATAGGAGTAAAAGTGCGTTCTGAATGAGACTATTAGCCACCAACAAGCAAATAACATCGAAATGTAACTCAAGGCAACATCGAGGCATCCTTTCAAGGTGTGTATACATCAACTGAGACTGATTATTTCGATCTAGTACGATAATCAGCGGAGAATTACAATATCTAATAATTACTCAACGAGGAAAACTATCCTATAATGTAACATAAACTGTAATCTACTAGAACATTAGTGCAGATTTTGTTTTCATATAAGTCGAAAGCAGTTTTCCTTAAAATACTTTATAAATAAGACAAATGATATGGCCTATGAACTATTTGATTCCTAATTATTTTCTAATTCATTAAATAAATAAAATGAAACAAATTATCGATCTAACCAAGTGTTTATCAACTCTTATTTTTATTACTATTTTGCACAGGTGCTGAAACTGTTGGTGAACGCGAAGAGGAATTGTCATGTTTAGTTGAAATACTTGTACGAAACTTATTTGCATTTTATCCACTTCTAATTAAATTCGTTGATCGTCATCGTAGTGCATGGTTGAAAAAGCCAACATATGAAACACAGCGTCTATTCTCAGCTGTTGCACGCATGTTTCTTGTCTGGGCTAGAGCTACAGTAAGTTAAGTGAGAAATATTTTAGTGAATGCACACTTTGCTCATATGCAATATGTAACATTATTTTTTAAACAGTACTTGCCTGAATAGTCATAATAAGTTTTTATTTTGGTATAAGAAAGGATACATGTTCTGAAGGTGAATGCTCAAACAAACTGTCGCTGAGGGCACTAACTGTTTGACTGTTTGTTTGTTTATCATATCGTCTAGTTAGTATTACTGATAAAAATGAACTAATTATTCAAATGGCTTAATTGTCTAATCATTGAAGGAAAACCATGGCAAAGTATTCAGTCATTTGATTTCTTATCACATTATTTAGAGGTCCGAAGAAAAAATGTCTAGAAAAACATGGTTTTTACTCGTAGTTTTGCTTGAGCAACTCCAGAAATCAAATGTAAGATAATGCTAGAAACTGCATCATATGCTAGTATGACAACAGTAGTGATATTACTGACTACTATTTCGTTGGAAATTCTGTCTTGCAAATAAGTCGTAATTTAAAAATACTATTACTTTATGTGCTTGTTGAGGTTATTCACTTTAATCCATTTGCTTTTGTGGCAATCCGATTTCATGATCTTGATTTTTAGCAGGGTTAAGTTCAGTGCCCTTATGTTAACAATACTTCAGTTATTAGACTATCAAAGGCTGTTGGTTGGAAGGTCTGAATTTAGGTTTTGCCTTGCTGGTACTCATGAGTAAGGTGTGTCTGAAATCAAGACAAGGTCTATGTTCCTTTAAAAATCTAAACCAGTATCAATGAAACTTCATCCATATATTTTTATCAGTGGTAAGCACTTAGGACTTGATGGCTACATCTACTACCGGTGACTAATTCCCTTCCATACTTCAATCCTGCAAAATGATAAGTTAATTCACAAGTCGACTAATGATAAAATTTCTACCTTCAACACTCAGTGATCTGAATTCAAATCTCCAAGGGGACCGGAGTTTCCTCAAGGTAACAAATACATCTTGTTGATCAGTACCAACAAGTATGAAGTCTAGATCCTAGACCTCATGACTCCCAGTATGTAGCACCATGATAACAGCAACAAATGAGTGTCAGTCACTCTGTTTCATTATGTTGAAGAACTGTACCATGTCGTCTGGTTACAGATATTTTTAATTGAACTAAAGGTACATTTCGTTTACAGCTGTGAACTAAAAAAATATATGAAGTCATCACTTTTTTAAACGTAGACGAAAGTAACTCTTGAAATTAGGAGCATTAGTTGTGTTTTAGGCTGAAAAATTGACTGACAAATTATTTGGTGTAAATAGTAAGAAGAATCGTAATTTAAAATAAATTGAAATTAAATTAAAAATTAAAATAAATGTTTGAAAGTAAAATGTTGAAAGTGGGTATTAATCTAGCTGTATATAATCACGTTACCAGTGTATTATTCTACTACTAGGTGCACATAATATGCTTTGTAACTGCTATTACTTTGGACAGTAAATGATTTGGTAGTTGAACTTTTAAACTGCTGAAGTGCTTGAAATTATAAATGAATACATAATAGTTTAAAATCTGAGGTCACTCATGTTTATAAATTTATAGAGATAGTACTCGTTCTATTGATATTTGACTAGTTATTACATCAGATCACCTTTAGTAAACAAGCCAACAGTTGACGGACTTACGTAACGTGGAAAGTGACATCAGTTAAGAAAACGATATATAGAACAATAACACCAGATTAAATAGAAGTGAAACTCGAAGAAAGAATCAGGAAAAAGTGATATGACAAGTAAGAAAATAAGTGAACAACTTCTAGACAAATTGTATGAGACATCAATTTCTATTATCTCCCCTACTTTCGTAACCAGTATACTTACAATTACTAACGTAAACGAGATATCAGTTTCACTGTCTGAGATAGCTGTGGATTGGCAGACTCGCATTGCTATTGGGTGATGGATGACTAAGGGTTTGAATTCCAATAAGGCCCAGATTTTCATTTCACCTCCAGTCATCTACCACTCAGTAAATGAGATACTCGTGGTCATATGTTATACATGACCTTTAGAAGGTCATACGACAGTGGATAATAAACTGTGGAATGAGGTTAATTAATAAAAGGAATGATAAATCTTTATATTATTGATGTATCTAATCTCTCTGGACAATAACTCCTTTTTTGTCATTTAAGAAATTTAAACGAGAAGAAGAGAATTTTGTCAGTGCACATGAAATAGACCATTTATCACTTATTGTACCAAGTGGAGGAAGTTTAACCCCAGCCATAAATCGTAGTCGAACTCAAACAAACGGACGTACTGAGTCAAGTAGTTTGAAACAGGGTACGTTTTTGTAATGAGTTGATTATAGTCCATAATAATTGTTTGATTTCATAATAGTTATTGGTAATGAGAATAAACCGTGTGCATATTTCTCAGTTTTTGATGTCAAATTTGCTTATTACAATTTGAACACTTGGTATCATATTATTTTAAAATTATATTTAGCATAGATATGACTCGGTGGATTAATGTATTGTAATCTGTAACTTTCTGTATTGTGATCTCAGTCTCATATCCTTCGCTGTCTAATTCTGTGCGAAAATTACAGAATAGTTGATGCATATTGGATTTGGCTTACAGCACAGTTAAGAAATTATATTTGATTACTATGTTGCCAGGCCTAGCAACAAAAAAATGCTATATGAGATCCGAAGGAGATCAATTTGGTTACACAACTAAGTGATGGAAAGTCATACCGATAAGCAATAGTCGTTGCGTAAGAGCTGGGTACCAGAAATCAGTAGTCTAATTCTATTATACTTTGAAAAATATAGCAGTGGGTTTTAGGTTTCAGTTCTGATACCAAAATATTCACATTCAATTCAGGTAACTTTTGTAACCGTAAATTGATTGGATAAAAATATATTGTACCTATGATAATGATATCTCGCTACCTTAAGCTTATGGTTTTGGAATGATTAACTGACTATGATCTACTAGTGCTTATGCACAGCAAAACTAAATAAAATCGAAAAGCCGAACTTTTATCCCAATGACTGCTTATAATGTCCAGTTATATGATGCCTCAAAACAAGGACATAAATGAATCAAAACGGTCACTTTGGTAATAACAACATGACCCTGAATTAATAGACGGTCAGTTCAAGATGACTGCGAAATTATCAGGTAGCCATTTAACTTCTACCACTCCTACATCAAAGCTTTCTATGGGACAAACTACGAAATCTACATTACAGAGGTCGTAAGTGCTGCCTTTCTAAATTTTTTTTGACTACATTGTCGTCTTATGTTGTGTATAGAGGAGCCAAGGTGATCAGAACTGTTTACAAGAAATATTGAAATGCTGATCACGCTATTAGCAAACAGTAAGATATAGAACGTATTTTTTAAGGTCATGTCAAATGAACTTACTTGCATCTGTATTGATTTCTCTATAGGTACCTGTACTCAGTACCGATTACCATGAATACTGAAACTCTGTCTCTTGTGTTACTGATTCTCGATACTCTTCTTCTTGAAATGAAGTTACTAGTTAATCTCACGAGGTTTTTATCAGAGTAATCTATTTTTATTATATCACTAATAAATCTTATTCTGAACTATCATCATCAGTAATGTACAACACCTGATTATCCCAAGAAAAAACATCATATACCTTGTACTTAATCAAATAAATAGTTAACATATTTAACCCTAGTCAACTTAGATTGGGACAGATAGATGTTTGCTGTTTAGTGTTATGAAATGCATGTCAAAAAGGGTCTCTCACTTATACTGAAGTCATGACCATAATTGTTAAATAGAAGGATCCTAATCGGTCTGATGATGTCAACTAGTTAGTTAAGCATCACAATAGTTTTTTTTTCATGCAAGTATATAGTTTGGGCACTGCTGTAGAGTATAATTCCACATCAGGTAAGTCTTTTTGATATGGTAAGTAGTGTTATATCATAATATAATGTCACACATGAAAAACTTAGCGGGGACGTAACTTAGTATTATTTACTAGATTACGTTTCGAGTAAAATTTATTGCTCATAATCATATCCAGGTTACTGGTTTGAAACCTACAGTGGCCCAGATCTTCATTTCACCTTTAGTCACTACCCAGTATCAAAGCAGAGTAGTCGCAAAACTCTCTGGTCTAGTTTTTGTAGTTCTATTGTTTTTCATTCTTTGATTTAATTGACACACATCCTGAATTGACTTTGCTTTATTTTGATTACATGTGTTAAGCGTTGAGTTGATGAATAGAGATTCAGTGATCAACCTACCATTATCGATGTGACTGAGTAACTATTAATTCATTATTATTTTAGTTAGTCAACTCACCACCAATCATTAGTGTTATGCTTCCGAATGGGAAACGGTGGCTTAAATACAAATGTTTTCACAAAACCATAGCATTTCAATAGATAACTAGACTGTAGGTCATTCCATCTTACAACAGCAACAGTACAGGAAGGTTTAGTCAAATGCTTTTTTAATTAGTCGACTTAAGAGTCGCTCCAGTAAGTCAAAAAAGAAGCTTTGCTTCTTATCAATTATCCTCCTAAATTTATTCACAAATACTTAAGGATGCATAAAAAAGGGGAAGTATTGACGTGAATGATACCTGCAACATGACTCACGAGGAATTCAAGGTCTCTGTAGTGTTACCATGTAGAAAGGGGACAACAGAAACCTTAGGGTTTTCAGCAAGCCTGGGATTAGATTGACATTCAAACCTTTAAACTCGCTGAGAAGTAAACTTTGTTGGCTCCATGTTTATATTGTTTCAACTAGATAAAATAGCTAAATTTACAAAGTGCCTTGGAATGACTGTGAGGTCAAGTGTATATGTCAAATTAGCCAACCAGATTATTAAAACATAGGAATCTAAGTCTAGATTGATGAACCCTTCTAAGATGAGTAATCTACAGTAGAATTCAACCATAGCTATGCGTGTGATAAACAATGAAACAGTAGGGTAGGACAGGGTTGCCGTCCTGAAGACTAATGTAGTTAGGTGGAGAGATGGGTTGAACACAATCTCTGTTCATCAAACTGCCGCAACAGCAATTCAGGATGTGTGGGAAATTTTACTGCCAACTGAATCAAAGGATGAAAAACAATAGAGCTATAGAAACCAAACTTGATATGATTATGAACAATAAATTCTGCTCAAAATGCCATCAAATAAATAAATAAATACTATATTACTACGTGCGATTTCAAGTAGACTAATCCAAAAGGGAATCATAATGGTCTTTTGAAAATGGCTAGTTAGATTCGCTGATTTGGAACCTCACCCTAAACTGTGTTGATCGTTACATAATTAGGAGATTAACATTATGAAAATGATGTTCAAGCAATGCAGGAGGATAATGTCGAAAGGGTGACAGTTGGTATAAAAGTAAAATATTAAGTTGTTAAGAGATCACAGAGGTCAAATGCAATCCTATCATTGTTATAAGTTTTTGCCATATCATTATGAGTTTCCATCAATCGGTTAAAAATGTTTCTAGTTTGATTGCTTTAACTTTCTTACATGATTCATATAACCGGCTACTGTGTTGATAGATTAGTGACGATTTTGGTATAACCACCCTCACCTACTTACCGTGTAATCCTATAATGACCAACATTTGACATAGATGTCGTACTTGACTCGGCACAAATGACACATATTCAAGTCATTACTGTGGATACAATTTTGTAGTCTCACAGAAAGACTTATTTTCTTTGCCTAGCACTCTGCCTCTAGACATCACCCTCTTTTTTGGTTTTGTTACCACTAATAATGTTACAAAATACTAGTGACTGTAAAGTTGAAACGTGTTTGCGTAATCGACGTTCAACGATCACGTCTCACAAATATTGAATGAAGCAAAATCGACTAGCACGCAATACACTTTTGTTCTGCTAAGCCTTTAAATATATTTCACGCGACAAAGATGGCGTGGACCAGTAAATGCCGAACAAGCTTTTTATATATATGTAAGGATTTTGCTAGCAATCAACTCATTCAAACTAATGGAACTTCCTAAGTGACTAAACTTGTAGATTTATTCAATCACTGTTCCTTGTTCACAAGTTAGGTTTCAACGCAAACCAAAATGGCACATCATATTACATTTGACGCGCACAAAACATTTGATATTACTTACTTACTTTGCTGAGGGATTCCACGAATCACCTCAAATTTTCCACTGCCTCGTCTCTACTTTAAATTGAGTTTAGTTAAATTTTCCTATCATCCTGGTCTAAATATGACTAACCTTCTAAAGAAGGTTATCATAGATAGTATATATAAGTATAAAGTCAGTTCTTTTTTCTCACTGTACTCGGCGTTGTTCATCATCAAAATTACATAGTTTTAATCAATGAATTTACGTAAGGAAAGTTCACCTTACTAATGATTATCTCTTCTTTTTAACTGTTTCAATTCTTACACAATAAATATACAAAGGCAAGAAAGCTAAAGGTGGTCCACATACAAGTTTAACTGTTGCTTGCATTAAACGTCTTTTACCAGTTGGTAAGTAAAGATTTATATATTATTTCTTCAGTACAGTGTTTTTTACTAACTGGTAACGTAAACGTTACTTTTTTCAAAGCACGCTTTCCTATCTAATCAGTAAGCCAATGGTCCAACGGTTGTCTTTCAGTGTTGTAGAACCTTTAGATTCTGTTTTCGATTTCACTGACAGCATGAAACGTATTTTTGAAATTTCTGGAACGCGAATGAACTAGTATTCCAGTGCTCTACTGTATTCTGTATTTCTCCAAATGACTTCTGTTTTAAGTGAAAATTGTGAAAAAATTTCTAACTAAGCTTGCTGACCATCTATTTGATTTACAAATTTTATTTCATTCCTAACTAACGCACTTGTACAGTTATGCAAATAATCTATTAATGGTTTGTATTTCACCTATAAAATACCTAAAAAGGCTCAAGTTTTATATTGTTTCCAGATGCTTATTAGACCAGATCATTTCTATGAAAAAAATAGCTGATTGTGCTACTACATAGATAATTTACACACGAATAACTGTTTAAGTGGTCGGAGCAATTCAGAGACTATGACAACAATGCATTGATCCAACCCGATGAGCACCCTTATATGCTCAGAAAAATAAGTTCTTTATCAGTGAAGAAATTTTGCTTTTCAATGATAATGTTATCAAGCTGCAAAGTCGTATATATAGTTGATAAAATGATGGTCCTCTTGAAATCAATTTTCTTTATCCTTCACTTGAAACAATCCCCTCATCATGTTTATATCGACTGAGTAACTTTTGGGGCATCTATGTGACATTTCACCATTTTTGAATGCAACTGTACATGTTGCTGACCAAGTCATTGAGGAAAACTATGTCTTCGGTGATAAAAATCTTATTCTTCTTATTCACAAAAACTTCTTCAAAAGGTATGGCAGTAAAAATAATAGTGATTGGAGAACCTTCAATATTAAGATGAGGATAGAAAATACAGTTAGACGTGTATCAACTTTTCAAGCTAATTTCACAAGGTTTTTTTTCATTCTTGGGACTCAGCAAAAATATACATTCTGGCAAAAGATACCAATTGGTATGACTAATAGGAATCCAATGCATCACAAGAAACTTTCTAAAAATTCTTACATGCAAGCCTTTTATATAAGCTGTCGGTTAGTGTGAAACTGCTATGGTTAGTTTCAAAGCGACTGCTAAAACTGCTAATTGATCACAGTGCGACTGACACAGGTTGACTTACTTATGTTTACAATTTCACTGAGTGGAAAAAGAATAACATGAGTAATGTTATCTCTATTGTAAAATGTAATCATTTATCTAGGTTTAGTTAAATGTTCATCTTTTAGAGCATAACGGTTACTATATGGATACTTTTTTAACAGTTAGAGTCAAAAGAATGACAACTATTTTCATAGTTGACTTGGACAAACAATGTATGCATAAGTAAACTTATTCACTTCTGTATCGGCTAATATTTTATGAGTTTAAACAAGCGTTCATTTATTTTATTATTTGTCCCTTGGGTTCCTAGTGGAACATAGGGCTTCAGTAGTACCTCTTTTTCAATCTGGGCAGCCTTGCTAGGTTCAAACATAGTGCGGACATTCCATATCTCCATGTTTACTTTCGCTTTCATCGAGAGAAGACACATCAGCCAACTGGCTTCCCAAAGGCTTTCATCAACCGGTGTCATTTCGTCCCCCTGATTCCAGCGAAGAATAAGTTTCTTTTTATGTTTTATTTTGTCTGTGCTTTGAAGTTTCTGTAGCGATTGGATTGGTTTTTCGGGGTAGGGTTGCTAGCCCCTACGCCCAACGTTCCCTCTTTATCCTGGCTTAGGACTGGGCTAGTAACTAGTGAACTAGTTTTCCAAGCGAGGTCCAAGCGTTTATTATTATTGTATAATAATTGCATTGAAGTATTCATTCCGAAGGTATTATTTGGATACCAAAATATATTGATTGACTATTTAAAACAGATTCTAAACTCCGTATACTTTGTTGAAACAAAAATTTCACATGTGGTTTACATTAATGAACTTTATATATCATGATCACGAAATAGGCTTAAGTCAACTGGGCGGACGTGAACAAGAACTTGTTTTGTGCGCGAAAAGGAAATTGATCAGAGTAAGTTTATACTTTTATCAAAATTTACTCTGTAATCTACTTTGTTTCCTTCCAAATTGTGCTAACTTACTGTTCGATGACTATTCAGTGATACAGATGGAGAAGAAATTTGAAATAATTTTTTAGGAATCATAATGAAACGACAGTGATATTTTGTTAAGTGAATACTACTTTTCATTAGTGTGTCGTAACAAGAATAACTTCAAAATTTGGTTTCCAAAGTTCAGCGACATCTAAATGTCATATACACGAAAAAACGCTCTTCGTTATGAATGGTTTCAAGAAATAATAATTCACGATGCTCGATATTTTTCTCGATTGCTTATAACCTGTACTGCAAAATAGCAGTCCGGTAATCAGAATTCCATGGTAAATTGTATTGAAATTACTTCATTAGGTAATAATACTTATGATATTTTGTACAAAACAACCAACCCCGCTAATTGTAATCTGAAAATAAAAGTGCGTGGATAGACCTTGGCAAGATATTTTTCTGTACAATGTTCAATATTCCCATTTCATATGAAGATATGTTTGTGTAAAATGAATCTGAGTCTATTCATATAATCACTTACATTCATTCACTAGGAATACAGGGTAAACAAAAGTCGGGACATTTGAATTTAAAGCATGAAGATAAGACTTTATTCACCTATGAATGGTACTCCAGTTGTAAGCCTGTTTTCACCATTTGCATAAATGATAAACCTTCACAGAACTGTGAAATAAAGAAGCCTTTTTTAGCACCTAGTTTTTAATTATGATACTTAACTGATAAGTTTACATTTGTTTCAAATCATAATTAGTGATTATTGACGATTATTAACCAGTCGTTGAACACACTTTTGAAATATCACAATCATGATAGTTTTCATCTTTTCGTACTTAGTGTAAAAAATATTCAGCGAAGATTGAATAAAGTATTGCTTTTATTTTACAATGATATTCTCTTTTTGTTTATATGTTCGCGTGTATAGCTTTCTCCAGTAGTGCTTCAAAGTGTCATACACAGAATTCAACAGGTTGTATAGTTGATAATTAGTTTGTATTAATTATTTTCAGTTCGCATAAATATATCAGTCTTATCCTACAGTGTAGTCAAGAACTTAATTTTGCTTGTTTTACCTTACATGTTTCGATAGTTGATTAATCCTCGTAGCCCCTTCTTTGATATTCAAAAAATATATATCGAACCTACCTGTCGAGATTATTCTGTTCACTTTTTCATTAATAATAACGATGCTTATTATTATTGTTACTATTAAAAGGAAACACTTAGCTTGACAAGTGAAAGAGGTTTGGAACATTTAATGCAGGTATTTGTGTTTTAAATGTATAAGTGTGTACCCATTGTATGTTTTGTTGTCTGCATTCCCTATAACTGTTGAATGCTCCTATGCTATCTGTCCCTTTTGCATTAACAACTAATATGTAAATACAAGAAATTGTAAAACACGCATATATAAGTACAAAATGAAGGTTGAAACTGCTTCATTATGGTGACTAAGTTGATGCTTAGGGGTAACACGCACTCACTGGTACTTGAAGTATTTAAACCTCCTTTCTCAACAAAGATTTTTCGTGTGAACGTGTATGCTAGGATAAATTTTTTGATGCATAATACCTGTGATCCCTTTAGACTGCAATCATTGACTCTTCATTATATGTTGGTTTTAAAATCAATTCCATTGTTGTTATTTCAGTGTTTTTACCTATTAGCTTACCTTTCATTGTTAAATTACCACTAATAAGTCTGAAAACATCCAGTATGTTTTGTTTTGAAAAAAAATCATGGAGAGACGTTTTACACTATACTTTCACTCTTTTGGATGAGTTATAAACCACCAAACTACTTGACATCCTATTTTAGTAGCATAAGATCAGAAGGTATATATTTTAAACGCTATTCTGAAGCCCTCATTGCTATCCCAGTGTCATTTATCGTTTCGATACCGTCTAGTAGCAGCACATAGTTTGAAGTGAAACATGAAGGAACTCCCTTCTAAATCATTCAGCTTATTTTGAAAATAAACTGAAAAAAACGTTTCTGTGTGTATTTGAGCAATGATCATTTCAGTACATATTTACTTATTGAAGTAAGATTACCTATTACATTTATTTCTTATTCATTTGTACACCGAGTTATGAGTTGGACAAGCTCTTCGCACCCTCGTTTTTACACTGAAGATTTATTTATCTAATGCCAGAAGTCTGAATTGTGAAGAAAAATCACATCATGGCTTACCACTCTTATTAATGTCAGACGTTTGAGAAAATCATTTTATCATAGTCTCATTTATATTCAGAGTAATACTCATTAACACCATCATGAATAACATGCCTATTAATAAGCTCTAACGATGATTTGCTGAGATGCACAAAGTGGCTGGAGGTATTTCACTGGTTTCCTTTTTACTTTTTGTTTTCCTGGAGAGTCATGATTCATTTCTCAGGATAGATAGACATAGTAAACTAAAAGGATGCTGTTACTGTTTATGAATTGTAAAACAAACATAGTGATGACTTCTTCCTAGTATGGAAACTCTCATCATCTCCAGCTGATATTAGTTGCAAAACTGCAGGGAGATGTAGTTGGCTTGATGGCTAATTAACCTCTCTCTGAGACAACTAAGCAACTTATAGCATCATCTCCTTTCATGAATTATATCATAGTCGTAAATTATTTTGACTACCTCTTACTTAGCTGGTTCTAGATTTTATGACTAGTAGCTAGTAAATTTGCCACTCATTATGCTCCGAACATTCTACTTAGGTTTTTCATACACCTTAAAACAGCCTGTGACTAGCAGTGATAAATTTATGGAAGCTCGATCATCCTACAATCTGTACACATTTGCAATTATACATATATGTTGCATAATCAGATTCAGTCAGTAGATAGCTGAAAATTTGTTTCGTTAATGTTAACAGCAAAGAATATTATCAATTTGAAGTAACCGTTTCTCCGTCAGATATCCATATTCAATTAATTTAGAACTGCGACGACAGACTATATCGCTAGCTTTTTGGAGGCGACTTTGAAAATGCCCTAGCAACAACTGGAATGACCAATCAAGCTTTGGTATTTATCCCGGAAAATTGTTTTTCCGACTGACTTTAAAGGCCACCTTAACAATAACTGAAACAACCAATTAGACTTCTTTATTTCATGAAAATTTCCCTTCCCAACCGAAATGAAGAAACTTAATTGGTTGTTTCGATCGTTGTTAGGGTAATCTTTAATAAAGCCGTCGAATTTTTCATGTAATAAAGGAATGCAATTAAGAGTGACTTTAAAGACCATCTTAGCAACTGTCGACATGGCCAATCAGGCTTCTGCATTTTTGATAGAAAGGGAGATTTTCACAAAATACAGAAGTCCAATTGGTTGTTTTAGCTGTTGCTAGGGTTGCCTTTAAAGTCACCCCCCAATCAGCTTGGGAATAAGCTTTCATTGACTTCCGAACTTTGTACATAAGCCGAAAAAGCTATTCTGTACTCTGGTGACTTAAAATCCACCCTAACAACAGATAAAACAACCAATTAGACTTTTCTATTGCATGAAAATCTGCTTTTCTAGCCTGAATGAAGAAACCTAATTGGTTATTTCGATTGTTGCTAGGGTGGCCTTCAAAGTTTCCCCCCTTTCCAGATAAACCTAACTGATTCTTTTGATCGTCGTTAGAATGGCCATTAAAGTCGTCCCGTTTCGGTCGAGAAGTGATTCACTGTGCTACTGAATTAAGAATATTAATCAATGTGTATACTACTGTGTACATGAATGCAACTTTATATGCGTGTATTCTAGTAGACAATTAATGTGAATAATTCACGGAAAAAATACACCCCACTCAAGACATAGAGTACCTTTTGAAAGATAGTAAGTGTAAATATGTGTATACTAATTATCCATATCATACTTTCACTTATATATATGTTTGTGTGTAACTCTGAAAAGCATGCAAATGATATTGTTTGTATCCCTGTTTCCCTGATTTCAAGAGTGAAATAATGATAATACCGACTTTTGACCCTCTGTCTTTCTCCCCAACCTATTAAATATATTTTCCCAGTTAGTTTGTGCGTATTTTGCTCTGTTTTTGTGAGTAATATAAGTTCCGAAATGCATTGTTGTGCTTTCCACTAGTTTAAGAAATACCTACAAACTAATGTTCCTGTTGTTGGTGATGCTAGTGTTTTTTGTAGACCTTCAGCTACTTGCTTATTTCAAAGTAATGCTACTTGTTTGTTGATGTTCCTGTTATTTTGATGTTTTATTATCACTATTGCTTTTCTTCTCTAATCTGCTTGACATATCCATGGTATTAAATGACACATTTGTAAATATGCACATTGTCAGCGGGAAAGTGATGCTATCATTGAAGCCTATTTAAATGATGCTTTGGATCAAGGAGGTGAAGTAAGTTCACATATATAACATAATAAATCCTTTTTATTTTTTATTCTTAATACACATAATGTACTATCATGCTAATTTCATTCTTAAATAACCTAAAAACAATGTGGAATTATTCAGATTTCAAGCATTTGCCACATGCCTGTTATGCATTATGATACTATGGCTTGAAAATTGATAGCACCAAGTGCTTTCATATCTCATAAATTACATCTGATAGGTATGACGGGAGATTGCAAGAGTTGACAAGGTTGTTAGCCGTTCGGGTGATCAATAATGCAAAAAATTACATGTTCAAAGCAGTCTCCATGGTACTGGTTAAAGTAGTCATTTATTATTATTATTATTATTATTATTATTATTATTATTATGACCATAGAACACAAATATGGTACAACAAGGGCAACAAGAAATGCGCCACGCAAAATAATAGAACAACAACAAGGGAAGTAGATTAAGAATGATTAAAAAGGCGGTCCAATAAGAAATATTCAAAACAAAGCATTCATTACTTTTCCAGCAACAGAAGATAGAAGGAAGCTAAAGAACGACCGCCACTGGTTTCGATTTCGAGGCATATCTGATAACGTCTCAAGCCACTGAGTTGCGTGACCCCACCCGGGGAGTCAGGATGCACTAACAGATGCTAATCTGATACAACTATCCTTCATCCCACGGCGCCACATCTTACACTGACCACCCCTTCGCTTCTTCCATCCAGTCCCAGGGCTAGCAAACGATGGACGATATGGAAGCCGTTGGGACGACAAATGTAATATATTTCCAGGCTACCGAAGCCAGTGTTCCTAGATGACTTCACTTATTGAATGACAGTCTCCAACATGGGCAAACACGATGTCGTACTTCAGAATTACTTACATGGTGTTGCCACTGGATACGAGCAGTCCTACGAAGACAACGTTGGTTGAACACACAGCGTCATCGAACAACCTCAGCTCGCAGAAGTCAGGTTTCATAGGGGTATGGCAGAACTGCTCACAATGAAACCTTGTAAACTCAACAATTTACGGTCAGACTAAGGTCGCAACGGTACCAAAAGTGGGCCAGACTGGTGTACACCACTCTGGTTTTTGATTCGCGATTAGAAATTTCATCATCCACACTTCCACTATTACTAGCGAAACTAATGAGATAAAGAAACTTTCCGAAAACTTCCAACAACTCACCACCGAGGGTGAGCGCATTCACAAGCTCTTACCAATCTTGCAAGAGTAGTTAGCATTTCGATGGTGCAAAGCACACACAATCATCAAATGATTAAGTGCTATTTGAGTGACCTGAATGTTATCGCACAGTAAGATGATATCGTTTGCATATTCAAAGTTGAGTAGCCGTTCTCCGGGTAGTAGATCCACACCATCATCACGTACCTCCTCCAGAGCTTTCGCAAGAATGTTGCCGATAGCAAAGTTAAGGAGGAATGGAGAAATCGGGCGATTCTGCCTAACCCTTACTGCTGGTTAGAAACAAAAGAGACAGATGGTTGTATACCCTCACTCTACCTGAGGTGTTATTAAATACGACTTTCAAGATGCTAATAACTTTCGCAGGTAGGCCCCTCTCTAACAGACAATTTTAGAGTTCAGCTCTGTCCAACGAATCGAAAGGAACTCTGATGTCAAGAAACACAATGATTGTTGGCCTGCAACATATCTGGTGAGGTTCAAGCATCTGGGGGAGGATAAAAACATGATAAATGCATCTGCGACCTGAGAAGACTTTTGCATGATCTTTGCGAATCATTTTCTCACGGATTTTGCAAAGTCTACAAAGTATGTTAGCAGTCAATATTTTCGATGCGACTGATAACAGACTAATACCTATATGATTGTCACACATCTTACGAAGACCCCTTATAAGGATGCTTGCAATGATGGCCTCGTTCCAGAGGGGTGGAACACTCTCGGTCTGCTATGTATTCTCAAACAATCTAGTCAGTTCCCTGACTACAGTCGTTCCTCAATCCTTAAAAGGAATCGGGAGAAGTTGTCTAGACTGAGTGCATTGTAGCGTTTCAGAACTTGGAGTTCCTTATGGGCCTCCACTTTGTTGCGTGGGTCAGTGTTGACTTACCATGGAGCACGATGCACGAAAACTGAAAATGCTAAAGCCGTGGACCAGCTGAACTGCTTTTCAAAATGCTCGGCTCAGCGTTCTAGACGTCTATAAGGATTGTTAGTCGGTGTATTATCCACCTCACTAACCGTTTTATTGGCACTAGCCTTCGTGTTTCCAGTGGCTCAGATGAGCTGGAATGCCTCCCTTCCATAGCTGAATGCAGCTGATACTTCAATCTCACTCGCGCGTCCTGACCACCAATTCTCATGGTCCTTGAGTAATCATCGTGTATTTTTTCGCGCAAGAGTCTTACGCAAACTATTGTACACGCTCTCTGTTGGAATGGTCGGATGGGCGTCAAGAAATTGCAGGGAGCTTGCAGAAACCCATTGGTTACTAGCGGAACGTTCTTCCAAGCCGCAAGCGGCTTTATTCGCCATTTTCATGATGTCTTGTAAGTGCAGCCAATGCTCGTCGACACTTTCTGGAGGACCGGTAGCCAGCCTTAAATCTAGCTCCTACTGGTTTTCAGCTGCATTGCTAGGTGCAGCTAATTTGCTTGCATAGACCTGTTTAGGACGACTCTTTTGATGACCAACAAAATGCAAGACCAGCGTAGCATACACTAAAGTATGGTCAGAGTTCAGACACGTACTTCACATGGAGTGGCAGTCCTGTGTGCACCCACGCTATTGCTTTCTGATTGCAATATGATCTGTATGAGTCCAGGCTTGAGTAGTAGAGGGAGGACACCAATAGCACAACGGCAATAGCTGTACCGGAAGTTGGTGCTGACTAGGAAAGGTTGTGATCCACACAAAGTTGCAGAATACGGTCCCCATTATCCGGCTTGAGGCCAACTAGTCCCCATTGGCTACCTAAACGACTCTCCTTTGAGCCCAGACGCTTGACCTAAGCATTTAAGTTCTCATGGTGCACTAAGATGTCTGTCGAGTGCACTTGGGTGAAGTCACTCAGTTGATGACAGAATTTATCCTTGGTTGCATCCACGCTGCAATCTGTCGGAGCATAGTAAGAGATGACAGAAAGAAATTGTTACTCTTACCGATTACTTCCTACTCGAGTTTAACCTTCTAGCCAAACAGCACACAGACGACTGTTGATGAAGATCCAGTCGAGTAGCGCAGCTTTGGCTCGAGCGCTTAGTGTGACATTGACACCAGCGAGGCAGGTTGCCGACGCAACAGGACGCATGGATAGGAACACATGAAACATACTTTTCGAGCTGACAGGTGGGGAGCTGATTCGAAACACTTCACTGACATGTTGCATGCAGGTCTCTGAGATGCAGAAAACATCAGTAGCAACCCTTTCCAGAGTCCTAACCAAACCTGTCTGTTTTCCGATCTGCATCAAGGTGCAAACGTTGTAGGTGGCTAGCCTAAAAGGTAAGCGTGGTTTCAGAATAGCAGTGTCAGATATCGCACTGGAGGATAGATATATATGGGCAACTGTTCAGTGAATGAAAACAATACGGTGAGACGTGAGTCTAAGCAGTGGAGAGTAGTTGAGTGAAGTTAATATAAAAGCAGAAGCAAAAATGGTGATAGTAAAAAAAATACAGTTCACATGTAAAAACAAAAAAAAAAAAGCAATAAGCTGAATAATCTGTTATAGAGTTCGTAGTTCAAAGGGCTCGAGTATTCCCAGGAAAGTTGCTTAACAGCGTCGAAAGCTTCATTTTACACTGCAACTTCATATTTTATTTGAGAGATGGGATACTGCCTGAGCGCCTAGACCAAAGCAAGTGGTTGTCTTTGGGGACCACTCTCCGAGCCTTTGACACTAAGTCTAGTTCAAAAGACAGTGTAGTAACATCAGGATCTGCATTCACATGGCTGCCAGTAAACAAAATAGGTTCACACGCCATTCATTTCACCCGGAACCTGGAGCTCATTGGTTTGGAACCAGGGTTTTCTAATGCCCCCTAGGTGGACTTTCCGTATCTACCAATCCGGTGATAGACGTTGGGCATTAACTTTCGCCCTTTCAAATTTAAGAAAACACCCCCATCAGGTGAAGGCAGGGAATATGACTTCTCTGGTAGATGCTATGAACACATACCAGGGCATTTGGAAACATTAATCATTAAAGTGATTTAAAATAATCGGATTATAAGTTGATGGATTTTTCGTACTAAAGATGCATTTTAAACGAACCTAAACCAATGTGAAATTTATTTCTGACCTTCAAAACACTAATAGCAGCGAATGTTGAGTAGGATTAAGGGGAAATAATCAAATTTTTAGGGATTTCAAAGACTAAAGCTCATTTGAATGAATTAAATGGTTCTTCACCAGTAGCGTAGATGTAGTATTTTACTAGCCGACAGTGGATTCGCATAGAACGAAATAGTAGTATGTTGTTAATATTTCTTGTTTGAAATACAATCTACATGGGTTATGAAAATTCATTTTAGAATTACAGCAGTAACATATTTGTGTACAATGTGTTTTGTCTTCATGACAAACAACGGATAGTTTTTCAGCATTTAGAAAAATAGTTTATTGAATTTGTCAGATATTTTACACTACTGAGCTATAATGTGAATTTTCTAAAGAGACTGAAATATATGGTGTACAAATTTTCTAAAATAAAAAGGAGATTTTAAAATCAATATTCATGCACCTCCTTATCTGTCGAACACAACCGTTTATCTTATCAGGCGAAAAAGCAGAAAATTTCCTTACGGTTTTTTACTTTCCTCGCGGCTGCACTGATAATAAAAATTTTCGATAAGTCTTTTTACATTAATACTTGGTTATACTTCTAAATCAATGACAATACATAAGGAAGCGAAAGGTTATGATCGCTATACCATAAGAAATTGTTACGTAAAACTGTACAGTTAAACTGGATTATTCTGACCCTTCTAAATACTTCTCACTGCAAATGTTATACAGAATAAGAAAGGAAGTGACTTAAGCAATTCTTAAGAGGGAAATCATTGGAAAAATGCTATTTTTGAATAGTTTTTCGACAAAGAAATTTTATAATTTTCGAAGTGTTAATATGACAATTTATGAAGAGAACATTAATAACGAGGAATTTTTAGTGTTCGTTAAACTATTGGTCATAGATTACTTATTCTTGCAAAGTTGATAAGTGGGTTCTGTAATTTTCGAAATAGTAATACATTTGAGGACCCGTTGCTATCCACCATAGTGCTTTTCCTTAATTTTGCAATCAATTTGTACAGCCACAGGTAGTAACGACTTTAGAAATGTGCGACAGTATATCCTACGATTAGATAACATAACTGAATGGTTAAAACACTGCAGAAAATAGAAATTTGATGCAGTTATATTCTGTGGTAAAATGAGGTAGCTACAAGATCAAGCAGGTCGCCAATGATGTGTTCATAGCAGAAAACAGCTAGTTACATACTCCTGTACTAGTGATGAATAACCAAAACTACTTTTAAATTACTTCTTGATTTCTCGCAGCTTTCTACGAATATCGACAAAATTTATTTAAGATTATCATGAAGTAAGCGTGTATTACAGAAGGTATGTTTGATTTTGAAATAAGGAAGTACCTAAACGTCACAAAAATAATAATTACTCATAAAATGTCATTGTTATTATTGTAGGTTGATCATCGAACTCAAAAATGGCAGAAATTGTTATATAAAAAAATTGATCAAACAATTGCTATGACGGGTCGACATGCTGAGCTTGCTGCATCAACTCGATCAGAAACGGTTGATAGAATTTTAATTCTGTCTAAAGTAATGCATGGTCTTTATTTGGTAAGTAACACTGACAAATTGTTTCACGCCAACAATATATATATATATATATATATATATATATATATCCACTAAGATGTCTTTGCTGCTAAGTTTACGAGTTGGCAGATAAGACTATAAAACCTAATGTTATTTGATGTACCAGTATCTCAATTACGATAACTGGTTCGACTTTTAGTGAAAACGCTATTTCCTGGGAGTAGAAACTATCATAATATGGTAAATAGTAATATTGAAATATCCGATCAAGCAGCATCTGTTTCAATCGGAACCTTTTGTTTCTTACCAGTTAGTTTACTAAACTATTGTCTCGTTAAATATTTATAGTGATTCGATTTTTGAGTACCAGGGGTAACAATTAAAACTACATAAAAATGCATCGGTCTCTTCGATAACAGAATTTGTTGCTATTGTATTTTAAAAGAGTTCACTTAATTTTCATCTTAGCAATTTTCTTTTAATTTATAAATTGAAATTCCTATGAGTTATCTGGTTGTTTATCGTTCGTTTTAATAGTTGAAGTAATAGTAAGTACCAAGTCAACACTCTGATACCATATTGTATCGATCTAGTTACGCAAAAAATATGCTATCAGAGCTCTGTATCAGTGCTATTTAATATCTGAATTTCCTAAAATATTGATGCTAATTTCATACAAACAAAACATTAGTACAGTTTTACAATGTTCAGTGTGCCTAACTGGTTAAAATACTATAGTACCTTGTGCAATCTCAGGTCATTTCCTAATGATGTACTTCACGATAACACTAATTGAAGATAGATGAAAGACGATGAGTATATCTGAAATATATTAATATTGGAAACGTAAATGAAGGCGATATTTTGAATTGCCTGCACCACCATCAATAGTCATTTTCATTACACTTCATGTATTATCCTCTTCTGATAAATTTAAACAATGCAATTCAAAGGCCACTTGGAATAAAATGATGTTGTTTCATTGTATGGGTTCTCTTAAGCTATTCATCACCTTACAAAATGTTGTAATACGCAAATATAAAATAAACATTCTGCATAAAAAGTTTAAACGTGTTCAACAAAACCTTTAGTTATCCATGAATAAACATACAGAATAATGAGAACAATAAACAGTATATGACAGCAAAATTAAGATTGAAGACGTTCTCATTTCATAGCCAACAGTGCAAATGCTTTGTAATAGGTAAGGCCACGTAATGTTATAAAACTTCTCTGCGTCTGCATGATAAGTTAGTGAAAGAGAGGGGCCTGACCAACAGGCAACCAATTTAGTTCCATGGCTTCTTGTCGACTGTCTCCCACTACTTAACGCCAAAATACAGTGTACTGAAGTGTCATTTCATTTAGATGAGTGGCCGAATCGCAAAAATTATCGATCCACTTCGATCACTTTTAAGGACTAAGGTCTAGATGACTGTATCGGTTGTCCTCCGGTGACTTATTAGTGCTGTTTTGAACTAGTTATGATTAAATCAATAATAATAATATTTCAATCAGCTTTTTGAAAAAGCCGATAGAGGGTGGTAGTACAGTGACACAAAAATAAATGGCCAGATTTTCAAATATTACCAAGTAAATAGAAATTTATTGAGATATTTCGGTGACATGTAGTGAAGTTTTTCAGTGTCACATTACGAAGATAACTTCTGTAATCCGTACGAAAGTAATTCATACAAATTAAAGACGGAATCTTCATCTGCGTGCTTTATCCATATAGGGGGATATTTTTTCTGAGAAATAAATTTTTTTAATTTTCATTTAGTTTTCTATTTTTTAAAAACATGATATTTAAATGCGTGTATTCCTTTTATCCGATAAATATAGGTGGATCACCCCCCATCAATAAGTAAAGGTGCATGGAAAAAGTTAGTTTCATCTCAACGTAAACGTGCAGTTATGGCATGCTTCCGTATGGTTCCGTTATATGCTATGCCAACACATCGTGTAATGAATTTATTCTTAAAAGGCTATATCACTGAATGGCTAAATTATGAAGAATCATTAGGCGTAAAATTAATTGAAGATGTAACAAGTGGTGCTTTATTGAAAGATCTGTCGAAATCAAGTGACTTAACATCAGCAAGTGCAGCCAATGAAGGCTCATCTAGTACTACGCATGCAAATGAAGCTGGTCAAAAAAGTTCAGAAGGTAAAAGCTGTATATATGTGTATTAAGTTCTTCACCTAGTCTTATTATTTCACCACTCGATGGACGTACCGTAACTCTTTTATGCCTATTCTTGACTTGATAGAATTGACAATATTTAAATTTTTATATGATGTAGTTAAAGTAACACAACAAACGATTGGAAAAGTGGTATTCATACCTACCTGCAAAGTAACACTGCAAACAGAATTATCGGATTTTAGGTATTATATCGTTTAGAAGTATCACTTGATTTAGAACGAAAATATTGTGTTGACATTAACTGGCTAACTGTGTATTTAACTTAGCGTTGGAGAAGGGGTTAGAATGGAAAACCGCATACTTAAGCTACAAATCCTATTATATTGACTTTTAATGATCGAATGATGAATTCCTCCAACCCAAAGTATACGACTATCAAAAAACAGAACTACTTGTCAACTGACTGCATATATTTGTTATTCTACAATATCCAGATTCAAAAGCATTACTGAAATAAATCAGTCACTTTTGTACAAAATATGTGACTTAGGTGAATAATTATGATCTGACCTTCAAGTAGTAATTGTCTACCAAGAATAACGTAAAATCAGTAGGTATCTATAATCTTTTCCGCTGATTTGACAAGAAACCTTTTGTTGTTTTGCCTCTTTTTCCATCTTCGAGAAAAAAAATACGATCAGCAAAGATAAGGCTTTTTGTCAAAGGTTTCATACATATCAGTCCATGGATGAGAAGTCAAACTTTGATTAGATTGATGATGGAAATGGCAAGCTTTCTGTGAGATAACTATGTGATGGGGAAACTAAATAAGTACCTTTCTAATTGCTAACAAATTAACTGGGCTATAAAGACGTATCGGTCTTCAGTGCAGTTTTGCGCTACCAGCAAAAATTCCTCTGGAAAAAAACTTATTAAAGACTGGTGCTAGTAAATAATATTACAAAAAACTATGAGAGAAAGTTCACATTCATATTAATACTTGTAGTTATGATAAGAAAGCATAATTGAAATCAGAACTAAACTGAAAAGCGAATATGCAACGAAGTTATAGGAATGCTTTTGTGTGTTCGGATATTTTAGTATATTTAGTGAATTGCTACTTCATCTCTCATATACTTAAAAATTGAAAAAAAGTGCGAAGAAAATTTTATAGACATACCAAAAGGTTTTGTACTTCGATAAAAAAGGATTGGTAGTAAATTTCATTACATTATACGGTCACATTTGAAGAAAATATTGACGGAATAGAATCCACTGTCATGTCAAAAATGTTAACTATAAAATATGGTTAATCAGCAGAAAACACCAGTGTATGTTCAACAAGTATATAGCGTTGAATATTTAACGTTATGTGGTAAGATATCCTGTGTCTAATTTTCGTACTGAAAAAAATATACAAGGCGTAATTTAAGTTCTAGGAAAGACTACACTTACTCTTGGAGTCAAATCACTAAGAAATGATTGTCTCATTATTGATGTTATCACTGAGCTACATGAGCCATGAGTGACTTTTTCTGTATTTAGTTTGTGCAAAAGAATCAGCAATGAAATGTTAAACAAAGTTATAGAGGGTTCCAGGCTGCCTAAGCCACATAGAGTAATCTTGATATTCATTGGACATTCGTCTGCTTCAATTTATTGTTTACTTAGAATGCCTGAGTATTGATTGATAAGTGATAACTTATTCAAAAATAAAAACTCTATATTACCAGATAAAGTTATGATTAAATTACTTTCAAATCATTTCATTGAAGCTAATATCTCAGTAATTCAAATCTTTAATTTTGAACATATTGATAACTGAAAAGACTTATCGTCATCCGGAAGTTCTCTGGTAACAGTAGTTTGTGCTGTAAAAAAAAAACAACCTACATTCTAGCAATTGTTGGGATTCGTATACGTTTGGTGAATTTTGTTATGCACATGTAGTAAGTATCGTTTACAAACACTATCGATTGACTTTTATTACTTTTTATAACATTTTAATTTATATCAAATTAGGATCAAATTTTAGCATTGGTGTAAATCTAAATGGTTTAACGGTTTTTATTTTCATTATAAAGCTGAATCTGGTGGAACACATGAAATGGATATGCTGGATTCAACTTTAGAACTTCATGTATCTACTGACTCTAATGATCTTAAGCTGTCTATGAATTCAGAGACAACCAAATCAGCTAGTTTACCAACAGGTTCATTGCAAACAACAAGTCATCCCGTACATCACTACACATATGGACAAGACTCAGCATCATCTCAACCTGATCCATTAACACAACTCCTAACAGCGTTATGCCGTTCAGCTTCTGATCAGGCCCCAGATGATCCACTTTATTTGGCGTATGCTAAAATTATGGGGAAAGTGAGTGAAACAGAAATCGTTTACTTTTATTGTTAAAAGTGTATTAACTGACTTCTTAAGCTTTTCACTAATCTATCAATAAAGAACTGTTCATCAATGACTTAGTTTTGAATTAGACGTCTTAAGGCAAATGTCATTAACTTTAATTTATTCAGTTACGTAAATCAGAAGCAGAGATGGATACTTGAATCAATTTGGAGGCTATCAAGATATTGACCTATCAGTTATATGATATCTTTGATAATTAATGCTTCTCAGTTTATTCACATAGATAACTGAGGTATCAATAGCAAATGAGTCTCAAATAAGGAGTAAACAAATATTCAGTACTCCCTGGTCTCTAGTAGTTTTACAGTTAATACCAACCCACAGCAATAATTTCCTCCAAGCAGCATTCATATCATTACACTGAAAATTATAAATGGTCATGCCTACACCAAGAAAACAATTCTCGTTGACACTTGCACAAAAGTTGAGTTATATCCTATGAGTACATTATCTTGACTATGTAGATTGACTTTCATTATGAGTATTACCAGGTTGATTCGTAGACTATACATAATCTATGATGTATATTACAGCTGTTATTTGCTTGCTCAAATACTTTCGACCCTCATCACAGATAGGTCTGACTAGCAGTATAGCAAATGGAAGTTAACTTTCACTTTCCAAAGCTTTTTCATTCTAAATCGAACAACTGAATGTGTTTGTCAGAAGATTCGAAGGTGTTACAATTGTGAGTTAATTTATTATGGATTTTATTGTGAACTTCAAGGGAACACCCCTTTCTCATGCACATGTAGTAAATATATCCTTCTGATATTTTCCGTCACATTCAGAGTTGTAGTGGGGAAGACGAAGAAGAGGAAGAAGAGAATACCAATGAAGAAGGCCCTAGTTTTCAAGTATGTTTTGCATGATACAGTGTTCTTTTTAATAATAATTTCCGTCTTTTTGTAGAGTAGAATTAACAAATAGATCCTTTTTAATTTATGTTGTTCAACGTAATCAAGCTGCATCGTTCCATGTAGAAGGCGAGTATTGTCAATGCAGAAGTAATATAACACTGTTGCTTTAGAAAAATAATTACACAAGCTGAAGACAGTTTTTCTTTTGCTTGTCACATCTTATAGGCTGCAAGCAGAAATCAACAATCGTAAATATTTGCTTTATGGAACAACTTTTTCTGTGAAGATTAAGTTCTATAATACTTCAGTGCATAAGTTATTTTTAGGTTGATTAGCGTGCGAATGTCAAATGATAACCAGGTTAGAACTGGTCCAATCAGCAGAATTAGAAAAATTGTTTCAACTTGAAGATGAGTGTTAACATTCTATTCAGAAACAGTACAGTTGGATGAAACAACAGAAATTCATTCGGTCTAATGATAAAGGTTAAAGAAATATTTTTTCATCACCAAATACTTCCGAAAGAAAAGAGCGAGTGAATCGTTACACTGAGTAGTTAATTAATTTGCTTTTCGTTTACAGATAGGTTGTAGCATAAAAGCTTGGGCAACAGTGTATGCAAGTTAGCAGTAATTGTCTTCTCAACCAGCAAAACAACATGGAAGCAATGATAAAAGATGAGAAGTTTTCACTGGTCACTCAGCGCGGAAAGAGAATGTATCCAGGTCAAATATCAAAGGCAATATCAATGCACAACGAAGGAGAAGATAAATGTATAACCTGGAACTTAAAACATTGAGAGTGCAGTTTCAGTTGCACTGTGGACCCACCTCATCCATGTCTTAAACTTGTGCATACCTGAAAAATGCGGTTTTGATATATTTCAACCTCAGTAACCAATAAAAAATGAAATAAGCATGCCTATGAAATCTTATTTCAGAAACAAGAGTGATACCAGTGCGTAGTGTAACTAAGGAGTAGTATTCCTTAACAGCATGATTTATCTTACCAGCAAAACATTCTAGGCTGAATTACTCATGGATAACGTACCCAAGTGCTTTACTGCATGATGCAAGTTCAAGTTTTCAGGGGAGCAGTGTTTACTAGAAACTCTTCGAAAATTACTGAGAAAGTGGCTTGATATTCATTTACTTTAGATTTACTTTTCATGTAACTAAACCTAGCTTCCTTTCTCTAAATGTAAGTTTCTTAATTCTGTTCTCAGAACGATGATGAGGTTATTGGAGGAGTCTTTAAACACTGAGCACATAGTTTCACTTGAATAGTTACAAACATTCTACTACTTTGGACAACGTAAAGTACTTATTTATAATACTATGTTTTTTGCCAAAAGTTTTAAAATATAACAATCTTGATAAGTTGCTATTTATGATGAGACGTGTTAAAAGTTTGACGGGTTTACAAAACTTTTTATAATAGGAGTTATTATCTTTTATATTGTGTCATACAATTCTTTGTGATTATTTCACAGGAACAAGAAGAACAGAAACAACAATTGTTAGGTGAACAGAATCGTCTTGCTGAAAGGGGTGCAGCTGAAATGGTTTTACTCCAGTTAGCTGCATCAAAAGGTAGGTGAATTAAAACCAATTTAACTACATCTGACTAACTGCCATCTGCACAATCTTTTGCGGTATAGATTATTGATGTCATATAGTATGGGAATAACTTTACTTGAAACAAAGACTGTGTAAAAACAGTTGGTGGTCATTTAAGTTGCTAAAGTTTAGAAAAGGACCTCTACACTTCCTCAAATGATTTACAATACTAGTTAGCTTCATACAGTAGTAACCTGACTTAATCTCATCGGTTAAATTTAGTTCCTGCCTTTTTCTGTTGCAGTCATAGCTGCACATCTAGTTAAAGGCAAAAGTATGTTATTTATTATACTGTTAACTCATTTAATGTGCATTTATAACTTGGTTAACTAAATTTATCCCCTTACTTTGTTCTAAAAGTAGGCGTACGGATCTTTGAAGTCACAATAACGTTTTGGAAGATAAACATATTTTTACCTTGTTATAAATGGTAACATTGATCAAAAACAATTTATTGATGAATATTTAACATTTCAACCCACTGGTGTCTTAATTGCAGGAATGAACACTTTATGATGACTCAGTAACTCCAAATATCTAAATCATCATACTTCCAATCAGATATATTTTTTCTGTTATCGTTGCTTTCATCCATTCTTTGCTGATTTTCATCAGTGTAATAGGTTATACTGACCGGATATTTACGAAATTCATATCAAAAGATGTATTCTATTACTATTCCTTTCGAACATTACACATTATAACCTGCTTAAAAGTGATAACACCCTAACAAATTCATATTCAGATTGGTGGTGTGAAGATCGAAGGCATGAACCTACATTATTCCTTTCTCATTAGGTCCGTGTGCTGACCCAGTTCTCTCTTGAATGAGTCCATTGATCATTCAGACACCACTTCTTCTGGGAGATGGCTCTGAGGACTGATTACTCGGTACAAAAACCAGTATTTTATGGAGATGACGTTTGTCCTTTTCTTTGTACTCTTCAACCATTTCATCTGAGATGTTCTGACCTGTAGGGAAAGAAAAGAGAAGATAGATCAGGTTTAGATTCATCCCTTATAATTCCATATTGCACGATTAAATTTTCCTGTTTGTGATATGATAAACAGAAAAGGTTTAACTTCCCAAGTTCTTCTTTGTAAGACAAGGTGACCATAGCAGGAATTATACGACTGACCGCACTCTGAACTTCGTCGAGAGCCTTTGAGTCAAATTCCAAACTAAGACTTACCACTTGTGTATAGTTTTCTAGTTTAGATATAACTCAGGATGTACATAAGGTGGTAGACATATCGCAACTTATCCTGGTAAAAGTTCTGCTTAATACCCAGAGTGTCCTCAGACTCCATGCTGAGATTACTCGACGGTATGTTCTGGTTATCAAACTATAATTTATCTCGCCTAGGTAACTAGTTCACTAAGCCAGGATAAAGAGGGAAGGTTGGGCATAGGGCTAGCAACCCTACCCCGGAAAACCAATCCAACCACTAAAGAAAATTCAAAGCACAAAGAAAGTATAAAATATAAGAGTAAACTTATCATTCGCTGTAATCGAAGAGTCGAAATGACGCCGGCTGGTGAAAGCCTTCGGGAAGCCAGTCGTCCAATGTGTCTTCTCTCCCTCGATAAAAGCGAAAGTAAACATGGGGACATTGAATCTCCGAACAATGTCTGAACCTAGCAAGGCTGCTCAGATTGCCAAAGAGATGAGAAGGAATAGCATGGAAGTGCTTGGCTTGGAATCTGCGAAAGCAGGTGGAATGGAAGTGGACTCTCTCAACTGTCAACTGGAGAGTTAATAATCTACTCCGATATTGTCACCTAGACGACGACCACAAGCATACTGAGTTTTAGGTGGCTATCATGATGCCTCCAAGAGCATCGAAAGCTCTCATGCAGTGAGAACCAAGTTCCTCCACGATCAGGATCATGACAACAAGATTCAAATCAAAAGGAAGGAAATTCACAATCATACAATGCTATGCTACGCACCTACAAATAATGCGGATCAAGAGAAGGAGGAATTCTACAAACGATCGCAATCAGTACTGGACAAGACTCCGCCCGATTGGTAACATCAGAATTCATTCTAATGGGTGACATAAATGCCAAACTGGGAGCAGACAACACAGGAACAGAACTCATCATAGGTCGAGAGACACTTGGTGAAATGAATGCGAATGGAGAACTGTTGGCAGACTTCTGCGCATTTAATGATTTGGTGATTGGAGGAAGTGTGTACAAACACAAGAATATTCACAAAGCGATATAGATTTGATTTAACCAGATGGATGTACTACACTAAAAATCAGATCAACTTCATCTCAACGTGAAGAAAGTGGAGACGCATCCTACTGGACACAAGATCAGATCAGGAAGAGGAGCAGATATAGGTTCACATCACTCACTGTCTAGTGCAGGGAACCTAACCTCAAAATCAAGTTGGAAGCCTTCACAGAAGTTGGTGATAGACAGCAGTTCAGGTTCAACAGCCAGAAACTGAACTGAAGGACGAAACTACAAATGACATCTTCACGTCAGTCATCAGGACAAAATGGGGGACATTAGGCAATATCTCAGAGGAAGCCTGCGTGTATGAACACTGGAACTCTGTGAAAGTGACGTGGAAGGAAAACTGCATAACCATATTAAGAAGGAAGAAGAAACAAGAAGAGGCAAGGAATGGATCTCGAAGGACACATGGAAACTGATGAAGATACCCAACCAACATCAACAACAAGCACCAATCACCATGAACGGGAGAAATCTTAACGAAGTTGTCTCTTTCACCTACTTAGGCAGCATTGTTTCAACTACAGGTGGCACAGGCACAGATGAGGACGTCAAGGCCAGGATCGGAAAGGCAAGACAGGTCTTCATTAATCTTAAATCAGTGTGGAGACCTACTGCACTACAATCAGTATAAAGCGTGAACAAGATCCGAATTCTCAGCATTAATGCCAAGACAGTGCTTCTATGTGATGTTTGAGAGACTTCGGGGGTTACGCAAAGCATTTCCAACAAACTATAGACATTCATCAACAGCTGCCGCCTACGCTCACTCATTACTGAAGATCAGGTGGCCAGAAAGAATAAGCAACAAAGATCTCTGGCCTGATAACGAACCAACCGAGAACTCATGACTCAATAAATACGTGGAATAAAGTGGAGATGGATTGGACATACGCTGAGGAGAGCGTTCGGGGACATCAGGCTCCAGGGTCTCGGGTGGAATCCAAAGGGGAAACGACGAGTTGGGCATCCGATGTGAGGGTAACATGGAGGAGATGGTGTGAGGAGGAAATGAAAGCTTGTGAGCAGTTGTGGAGCCAGGTCAAAAAGACTGTATAGAACAAAGTGAAATGGAGGTGTGCTACTGGAGCCCTATGCTCCACTAGGAACCCAAAGGACAAATAATGAAAAATAATAATAGGTCATTTTTTATCGATACTGAAAGAAGAGGAGTTCAACCAATATCGCGGGTGCTACTCTGTGCATGCCCCATGTGCCTACTTACACACTTATCTGCCTTGATAGGTTTCAACCGTTTCTCTGATCAGATTAGCAGACTGTTTAAGTCTGTGAGAAGTGTGCATACATCGTATTCATCCCTTATTTTTCATCAGGTTTTTACATTGTCAGCGTAGCAAATCATGATCTTCGGCAGTTCAGTTGTGTATAGGAGAAATAGCAGATAACTCAGGACTGTACCTAGTGGCACTCAACTCTGTACTGAGTTCTAAGAGGAGAGTTGAGAATCGATCCTTATTCTCTGGGCTTTGTAAGTATATTGCCAGTGATTCTTAAACTTTCTAGTTACATGAGCAACTTGGAATGAGATATTTTGTCCGACACCTTATTCAGATCTAAGAAGATGACATCTACAGGTATCTTATCATCCTCACACATCATAATTTCCTCTGACAGTGACAAGGTTTGTCATTTGTGAGAAACATGTGCGGATGAACTTCTTGATTACTCTATCTAGGAGTGTAATCACCGTACAAGTCTAGCTTAGCGATCTGCCTTGGGGATAATTATTACCATACTGTCCTTCTAGCCATATAGTAGTATGCCTTGGCTAGGGGGCAGTTTAAATACAATAGCCTATGGGCTAGCTATATAAGGTGCAACCCTTCCGACAGCTTTGGGTACAGCTCATCCATTCTCTTTGATTTGCTATGTACATAGCACTTAATATCCTAAATATGTGGTTGCAATCGATGTTCACAGAGTTTACACTTGAATATCAATGTTTCTACTGTTGAAGAAGTGTTCAATGGAGTTTCTTGGGTAAAATATTTAACCATAATCTCTGCTTTCTCCCTATCATCTTTAATTCCCTGGTTGGTTTCCATTCCTTCAACCAATATGGAGGATCCCAAAGCACCTGTAATGTTGAATATAATATACAATGTAATTCAACCTGGTACATGTTTATGTAATAAGCTATGTGAACGTGCGATACCGTCCTAGGGATGTACACATTAATTAAATACTGAGCATCTTGGTACTTTGTACTTATTATCCTCCGTAACTGACGTCTTTTCTGTCCTTGTTTTCTGTAGATCTTCTCTCTTAAAATACATTTTTTATGTAATCCGGTTTAGGGAATGAGTAGTATTGAGATGCATAAAACTTGTACAAACAGAATTTCCTCTGTTTTCTACCTTTTTCACCATTTCGCATTCATAACTGGTATTACCTTTATACTATTTTAAAGGTGAATCTACACCTGTTGCTCAGGCTAGCATTGAACTAGGCATAGCTTTACTACTTGGTGGTAATGTTGATGTTCAAGGACGTATGCTAGACTATTTGATGAGAAAGAAACTATCTGGCTTCTTTACCAGTTTAGCTGGTCTTACACAGAAATGTTCAGTACTGGATTTGGATACATTTGAAAGGTGAGATAGATGTATCAATATAATTATTTTATCCTGTTGCACTGATTAAGTAGAAAGTATAAATATTGTTAACACACTGAAAACTGTTACTTTTGATTGATGCATTTGTCTAAATTCGTTTCTTTTAACACTGCTAATATTCATCAACAGCTCATTACAGGTAAGTAAGCCGCTGTAAAAGAAAATATTCAAAATGATACCTCATTTTTTGATCTTTAGCTTGACTATAATAGGTAGAAAAGTTACTGTTTTACGGAATAAAAGATTCATTGTTTCATCATGAATCCGTTTTTTAAGGTTGATTTAAGTGAGTTATTCAACATGTCATACATGATAGCTTTTACTTAGCATTAATGTAATAACCTCAACGAGAACGTGGAAGATTAACGATAAAAGTCTTTCAATTTTCATTCTTTTGTCACCACTTTCTTCAAGGATTTTCGCCTTATTTTACACATATTATATATGTTTACTGGGGCATTCAGAAAACGTCTGTAAACAGGAATCTCTATCATATATTCTAAAATTTTAAAAGTGGAGTTAAACATAGATTGACAGTGCAACTTGCTTTGCATAAAAAAACAGTCTTAAACCTAATATACAGATTATTTTTAACCACGGAAGAGTAAAACTTAGACATTGTGGTGGAGTACAGTTCCATATTATATTTGCTTATCTGATGTAGCACACAGTGATACAGTATTATTTACTGAATAAGAATTTCCAATTAGTAGTATTGTTTTCCATAGAATACACGATGAAGCGAACGAGTGCGAATTAGCAGTCACACATAGGTTAGCTTAGTAGGCCATATGCTAAGGATATTGCATGAAGTCCACTGACACCATTTCTTACTGACTCAAATGTTGACATGTGATGGGAGATTCAAGACTTTGACCCATCAGTTGAACCTTGAGTAACTTAACTAGTCAGTCACAGCACTATATGCCTTAAGCCTAGGGTGCTACAACTTGTCTTCTCTTAGTTTGAAGTATAATTTAATCATACAATAATTTAATTCCTTTTATAACAATATTTTATCTAGATGTAACAAAGCTGAAGGATTAGCTGTTGGTTTATCTGATATGGAAGGCATAACCAACTTGTATGATGCTGATTTTACGTGTAAAATCTTCCGATTTTTACAATTATTATGTGAAGGACACAATCTAGGTGAGGATTAGTTATCTAATCATTTAGTTGTTGCATTCCACACTTGATCATTTTCTAGTTTTGTTTTTCGTCAAGATTATTTATTGTTTCCAGTATCATTTGCTAATTATTCTGATATAACAAATAAGTAGCCGAAAAACTTTGTTAGAGGTTTTTTTCAATCAAGATCGATGAATTCAATTGAACAACCACTTAAACTTGAGGAGTTATGAGGGGATTTACAATTCCTAACTGGTTAGCGATGCGCATCATCAACATATTTCATTATTGAACACAACATCACAATTGAATAACTAAGTCAGAACTAAACAATTAAAGTTTTTCAACACTATTCAGGTCATGATACAACTCAAGCATGCATTGATATCATCTATGAATATGATATGTTGTTGTAGTTCAGTTTTACTTAACTATTATCATAAAAGCAGTTCAATAAGTAAGATACTACAATGTATAATATGCTGTCTTATTTTTCACTCGATACATACTCTATATCATACTGCATAGACAATCTGTTCATCTAAAAAATACATCTTAAAAACATACATTTGATACTCAGCTTGGATATTTTATCGATCATCTTCATTTCAATACATTGTCAATAACGAGCAAATAGTAAAAGCTTTGTTTTCATCTCTCATCCTCCAGTATCAAAGCCAATATGCAGTATGTACAGTAAGATGATTAGTATGTGTGTGAAAATTTATTCTAAGTTTATTTAGTTCGGGAATTGATCGTGTATATCTTCAGGTTGCTTGTAACCGAGAGCCAACATCAGATACTACGTGCTATTCATTACAGCTGACTCATATAACATAAAAACCCAGGTTATCCTATTGTAAACTAAGAAGGCTTTATTCATGAAAACATAATGAGTGTGAAAAAGTGTTATTCAAAACACCATGAATATAACGAAAACACTTACTGAAATTGTGAAGTAAACATAAAGTCCAAGTTGTTAACGACGGTAAATGAACAACAAAATACTTTGAAGTGAAAACCTTGTCTACACTCACAACTTTCTTAATTTACTAACATCATGGTATGATTAGATTACAATCACGAAGTTCAGATACTGTTACTTTCACGAAATCTCAGTCTAAAACATTTCAGGTATGTTGCACATATGTGTCACTTTCAACCAACGATATATAATATCTCGCATAATATCCGGAACCTTTGGAATGATAAGTACTGAGTTATTAGCTTGAACTGTAAAACCAACCATATAGTAAGTTCAAAATTATTCTTCTCGACAATCAACATATCTTTTTTTGGGTGAGAGGTTAAATGCTTGTATGGTAAATCAATGTACAATAATTAGTATATTTTTCAGTAGGGGTTTCATCATTCTCTCCCGTAAATCCTGTCATTACTAAAATGATAAAATACAAGCGTTTAATCATTTTAAGAATGCTGATTATTTTTTATAGCATTATCGAACAAAAGAAGATAACTTGATTGTTTTACCACAGCCTATCATACAGGATTCTATGCAGAACCAGTAGATCTATGCCTCATTGGTTTAAGCAGTTGACTTTCAATCAATGGATCACAAGTTCAAACACCAATCCACCTACCTAGGTTTGAGTAACTAGGTAGTATCATTAACCCTCCCACAATATGTGTGGCTTATCGCCTACTGCACGAATATGCATAAGGTTGCTGAAAGTATTTCTGTTTGCAGTATACATTTTCCTAATCCATATAATTAACTTGCTGTTTTTTAATATATGTTCTAGCGTTTCAGGATTATTTACGTACACAAGCTGGCAATACAGTATCAGTCAACTTGATTATATCAACAGTTGATTACTTGCTACGTTTACAAGAATCTATTATGGACTTCTATTGGCATTATTCAAATAAAGATACGATAGATGAAGCAGGCAAAAGTAGTTTTGTCCGTGCCATCAAGATTGGCAAACAAGTATTCCGTAGTTTAACTGAATATATTCAAGTAAGTTTTGATTGGTTATGTTCATTATACTCATAGATAATAAAGTAAAATTCAATGACCTTAAATTCCTCCTCGAGACATAGCAATATGAAATCTTAATTTGGAAAGTCTTAACTTACTTTCAGTATACTTAAAGGGGATGAATACTATTTTGGTGGCTACCTAGTTGTTTACAAAGTGAACATTGTTGCCTGGATTCGTTTTGTTGAACCTTAATAGTTAGTAACGCATTCCCTAATAGTAGAGGAACTTTGTTACTGGAGTGAACGCATTTTGATTTCGTATTCTTTGAGCTAAATGATCTAATTCTAAACCTTTACTATCTTGCTAGACAACACCCCCAATACAAACTTCAAAACTTTCAACATAACGACAACAAAGATATTGGATGATGTTTGTAATCTGTTCCTATTTTTATGAATGTACTTTAGTATCCTAAGAACATTCATCGCATTCACTGAAATGTAATACGAAAGCTGGTATTAAAAGAATTAAGGGAATCCTAATAACTTTCGACTCAAGACAATAAAATTAGTTCAGAACTTGTTACGTGAAGGCAAACTGTTACTTTTATTCATTTGTGCATAACTTTATTAGAAGGCTAGTGAAGTTCCATTTTAATTGATTTATTAGATTAATCACAGTGTAACAGTATTGTTTACTGGATTATGTTTCGGACATAATTTATTGTCCATAGTCATATCATCTTGTTACTGTTACATTGTGTGATAAATCTAATAAACCAATTAAAATGGAATTACATTCTACCACGGTGCACAAGTTTTACTCTGATATTAAGGCTAGTGAAGAACATTTCATCTTGGTGTTTTAAAGCTTCTTATGTTAAATAAATCATTGTTTGAAAATGACTTAGTATTAATAGTCTGGAAGTTTGATATTTATGGCAATCGCATTGCCCACTTTTGATTCAGTAGTTCGGATATACGTTGGTACACCTATTGAATGCTTATTAGTTGTAGTGATATGTTTTTCAAAATTGGTTACCAGAATGTAGTGATGTCGTTATTAAATCTTTAGTGCTCAACACTGATCAATTTTTATAATGTGGTCACCAGGATAAGCAGTGTGAAACTAAGATGAACGGTATTTCGGTTTAAGGTGTTGGGAGTCAATCGACTGGAAGCCCTGATCTAGGCTTATCTTGATTACCAGCATTTATGGACAAGCAGTGCTTGTAGATCTGAGAATAATACTGTTGCCTCTTTGACTTGTATCACTCAACCAAAAGCCTTATCACCAAGCTATTTAAGTTTGAATAGCCAATGGTTGCAGATACTCCTTGGTGATGGGTGTTAAAAAGTATGAAACCTAAATCATGACTGATTAAGTTTTAGCATCCAACTTTCCAAAATTCCTAAAACGTTTTTTCAGACTAAATCATGAACGTCTGTATTTCCCTGAAGAAGTTAAAGTCACATACTGCTCAAATAAATATACGTCAGGGTATGTTTTATTAATTAACCGCCAATTTTGGTTCTGATTTAAGAATCCAAAATAGGTCCGTGTTACAGCAACAAATAAAAATTATTTGGCTTGTTTAATACATTAGATGATGATAATCCGAAATATAACTTTACACTGTTACATCATTATGACTTTGTAAACGTCTCACTGTCAGAATACGGTTGCTGTTGCCCATTCTTTTCTTCACTTATAGACCACCGTCTAAATGTAATACAAGACGAGAAATTCTCACCCTTTTTAATAGTGTCGATTTTTAGGCTTAGATCAAATGCGTTTATCCAGTTGAGCAATGTGTCTACAATACAATAAATTACAAATCTGCAACACTGACCACTAGCACACGAAAATAAAAAACATAGTTTGCGGTTAATTAACCATAGCTTTTTAAAGATAAGCAATGAAACAGTAATAACCTTGTCGGAAGGATTGTGAAACTAGTCACAAAATAATACTGTAAAGTTACTTCTGATTAAACTGCCTTTCGGAAAAAATACACTAAGTAGCTAATCTTTACATTTTCCTTTATCTGGTCCACTACAGCCGTTCGCACATTATCTAGCGTAATAATAGTTACAGGTAACTTGGTTTATTTTGGAGATTATAATGAACTTGCTTGCTATTAATACTTTTGGCTTTTGAAGGACTTCAAATGAGGAAGGTTCCAAGAACTCCATTATGAATGCTTAGATGTTCTAAAAGTGCTATGGGATATTTTTCTTAAGTTTCCAAGATATTTCGGCCAGCCATGAATCAGTGAACCCCTTTTTTGCCAATGGTACAAGTTTATCCAACCATCTATTGGAGAATATCTTATTCTCAAGAAGAAAACTTGTTAGCCTAGTCACAAGGAAGTGGTTTACTGGTTTCTGAAAGTAAATAACTGCAGCCGTTGATAATTTTAATCTAAGTATCGAAAATTCACATTTCTTCCCATCAACATCTTCCTATACTTTTTTTTCTAGGGTCCATGTATTGGAAATCAGTTGGCATTGGCACATAGTCGTCTATGGGATGCAGTGGCTGGTTTTATTTATGTTTCAGCTCAAATGCAAGATAAATTAAGTCGCGATCCAGACCAATTAGATTTATTGAGAGAATTTTTGAATTTACAAAAGGAACTAATGATTATGCTCTTATCTATGCTAGAAGGGAATGTTGTGAATGGACCAATCGCAAAACAAATGGTTGACACTTTAACTGAGTCTTCAGCTAATGTTGAGGTAATTAATGCACCAGTTTGTATTTTATCAAGTATTATTTATTTTTATTTTTATGTTTATCTTCAATCTGTATAAATCTAAGTAGAAAGTACTGAATTGACGTTTTCATAAGTGTTTGTCATTGTGATGATGACAAGGTTTAAGACAATCAAATGGAGGTTTTGCAGTTTCGTTTAGATCCAGCTGATACTCACTAGTAAGGTTTTCCTATAATCTAAGAGAACTTATCTCGTCAACTGCAATATAAACTGGCCCTGTTTAACACCTTATTGTTGTTTCATTGTCAATCTTAACAGTGTAATTTATGAAATATTGATTATGTCATAACTTTTAGTGAACTTGTACCATTCCTAGATTTTTACATAGGATAACAAATTATCCAAATTTCCTAGTTTTGACTACATTTCTTCCATCACTATAACATCCACAAAGTTAACTGTAGCTAGGTCTGAGGATAGTAGTTTGTCAGGATAAAGTATTTTTATAAAACTCTGTCTTAGAAGCTCAGGGGAACGTTAAAATGAATTACTCAATCTTTAGTCTTTAACCTAGTTTCTTAAAGCATATTCCGTTGAGTGGCTTACAGAAATAAGAAAACCAATAAAGGTCTTTCCATTCTCTGTTATCTTGTACATATTTATCGAATACAGTTAACTCGTGAGATTAGTGTTGATAACTGTATACAATATTTTGAATTTCTGTCTAAGGAGTTAAACAAGATAGATTAAAAATGACGAATAAAGTTTTTCAGTATTTTGATACTTGTCAGTGGGAAGTTTCGTTCAGTTCAATAAAATTTATTTCCTTTAGCAATATAGTTGAACAAGTCCAGTTTGTATAAGGGTGATTCAACAGTTGATCTTCTGAAGAGAAGGATATCGAACTGTCTGAGAAGAACATTCTTTGTGGTAGCTTTCGGAATAATTTTCACTTGTTACCTACTCTTTTGTGACATTCTGAAGGATTAGGTCTGACGTCTGACCACCTCCATGTATGCACACCAGTTCACTTGTTTCTATGGAGCTAGTTATATCGGTCATTTAAAACGAGTCTTGTCCAAAAGTATTAAAAAGCACCATCTTGGATGATGGGGCAAACTTTGTAGTGGCTTCATAAGGACTGTAATAACTGAACACATTTTTGGCTGACTACAAAATCTCAACAAGTTTCCGTTCCAAAATTCTTTACAGTATGAACAAGACCCTGCCAAATTCTGTATCCGAATCCTTTAACTTCTAAGCTATAAGTATTCGCATAGAAGATCACGAGCTTTCGATACAAAAAAGATTTGTTCAACCTCTTCTCCTTTCATGATTTTAATCTACAATGTCTCAAACCACGCATTCTTTCCTAGTGTTCCGCTCTGCTTACGCCTTAAGTAGTATCAACTCTTAGTCTTTTCAATGCTTTCTAATACCCAATCAATCCTCAAATATTTTACCATGTTGAGCATCTCATTTTCAAAAATTGGTTACTTTTTTCCAACTTCTATTAAACTGTAACAAATCATCGTTTTTGTCGCAACATCCGCTAAGGAGAATAAAACAATTTTGAACTCCTGAATATTTATACTCAAGAAAATTGTTTGTAGTTGTGATTGTAAAGCTTTGGAGATGAAATCGCCACGAAGAGCCCCTTTACTCAACTGGTCTTCACTTTCTTAAATGAGGATACGTTTCTTGTCTGGTATGCTTTGTTGGCTTTCTATGGCATGAAAGACATATCTAATTTTTAATGTAGCTCTAGGATATCGTTTAATATTCGAATCAATCCTGGTTGAATGGCAGTTAAGATATATGAAGAAAAAATTGGCGCAAAATGTATCTTAATAACAAAATTCATCAAAGTTTCCAAGTGGTACATTTGAGAATAGTTCTTTAAAACGTGCATAGAGCTTTACTAGGCATATTTACTGTGAAAGAAGAGTTTCGTAAGTGATTTACATGCGTTTTCTATTGTGCAGAGAGAAATGAACTTTGAAAACGCTCAATATAGTTACTCTGTTGATTAGTTTCATCTTCATTTCTTAAATTTACCTCAATTATAGCTTCAAATCTACAATTTTTTAAATCACCCCCCACCATTTAATTGGTATTTTGATATTAGTTGTAAACCTATGTGTTAGTATGGAGTCAAAGATGAAGACCGAATTGAAAAGGAATATATTTTTTCGCTCGAGCAACCTTTTTCTATATGTCTACGTGAGAATTTTCAACGTACATGAATTGCTGTCTAGAAGGATCGGGATATCTCACTTTCCTAGTAATGTGTTCACTAAATAAAATTAGTTGGTCTCGTAGCCGTAATACATTCCATCGAAAATGTACTTGTTATCACTCAGTAATTCGTTTCATGAAAATAATTAGGTCTCAAAGCAGGTTACTCTCATGGATATGTCAATGAAGTGTCAAACATTAGCTTTCGAAGGCCCTTGTAGCTCACAAAGATGTTCAGAAAACCAGTTAAATGTTGATTCAGATGGTGATTTGACAAATATATGTTGAGTGAACTTAGTTAAAAAGCATATTTTTTAGACTAAGCTTTAATCCATAGCTATTACTTGGTAGTTACTTTTTGAGTGATGTTGAACAGAATGTCAACGGATAGGAACTTAAACTAATGGAAAAAGAAATGGAATCAGTATATCAATCCCAATAGTGAGATACGGAGTCACTGTTCAGTGGAAAGTTGACACCATCATAGATTGACATTTGTTGTCTTGGAGTATGTTTTCTACTGTTCAAGCATTTTGACAGTGATTCAACTTATCATGTCTGTCTTACCATTTTGTTTTAGATGATTCTCAGATTTTTCGATATTTTCCTTCGAATGAAGGTGATTACTACTTCAGAGGCATTTCTGGTAAGTTCTTCTCCTTCTTAGGGAAAGGAATTTGTGTCAATGATATTCTTCTTTGGTGAATTGAAAACTATATAAAACATTTCATGCTTACTTTTTCGGTGTTACACAATTACTTCACCTGTATTTATCAAACTTTTGAAAGCATATCATAAAATATTTAGATTAAAAATTTAATTAATTACAGCATTAGAAGATAACCGTTTATTGGCAAAAGAACAGTATGCAAGATTCTATGCAGTATCAGAAGTACTACTGTTGAAAAACTGAAGTGGAGTGAATACTTGTTCTAAACTAGTTTGTAATTTTTAGTAGAGAGACCACCTTTAACCCTTTCTAATTTCCTTAAAACTGAGGTAATGACTAAATTGAGAAGCTAAATATTTTATTGTAGCTCTCAACTTCATTTTCTTAACATAATTTAAGTAATTATCAACCACTTCAAACTAAAATATACGCGTTACTTAAATTCAGATAACACTAGCGTTGATATTCACATCTATCCTAATAAAGTGTTGAAATAAGCGCAGAGTTTAAACATGATATATATATATATATATATATATATATATATATATATATATATATATATATAAATCACGTATAAGACAACAACTCAGTATGATTGTCATGATACCTGCATTAAACGATACTGATTATAGACAGTAAATATCAACTTGAGTACAACCACTGTGTATTAAAAGCACAATTATTTTATGATATGCAAAACAAGATTTTCTGAAACTTGTTGGAAATGGAACTGAAACTAGGCCAAATAATCTGCACACTTTTTGTCAGGTATATGTAACCGGCTGAAAGAAACGAGATGTAACTTGAAAATTATGTTCAGCTACTTTTCAATATACCTAATCATAAAAATCTCATTCTTACGTATTATAGGCTTTCGATGTAAATGGTGATGGTTGGATTTCACACAGAGAATTTCGATTAGCTCTAGAACAACAGAAAACCTATACACCGTAAGTGCTTTATTTTCAAGGCATACAATGAATTAATAATGATGGATAGTGGATAGCAGTGGAATCCAAGACGCACATTTCGTCCTATTTGTGACTCATCAGCTGAGTGCATCGTTTCCCAGCTAGCGCTGTCTCCACTAGGACGCTAATCTGGGGTCGACAGCTCCAAACGCTGGACCGTTTTCCGTTACGCCATGGAGTCTCGATAGTCACTCCTTGTGCGAAGTACAAAGAATTATTTTGTTGTTTTTTCTGAATGTACACGCTAATATTACATTTAAGATTATAAGTGCTTTTATCGAAGTTAAAAGGGATGACAAAATAAATTGGAAATTAAGCCGGTCAAAGTAAACCTAAATCCCTCCTAAAAACCCTCTTTCTTGAGGTTTTAAATCGGAGCAGCTCTCGATCTGTTTATGAGTTAGTTTTAGTCAATGAGCTTGCAGGAGTTTCACGTGCTGTTTTTTGGAAAAAAAAGGACCTAGAAAAAAAATAGAGGCTGTACAACCGTTTTTAGTTAGTTACTTTTTCCATATCGAAGACACCATTCTAAAGCGGTAATTCCTCTACTATATTTTGTAGTCAAATAACATATGAGTTCTCTTTTGACTCCTCAATTTCTTTCGCATATTTTATCATTCAGTAGTAAGTATCTGTTGACTGTGTATGTTCTTCAATATTTGATTCTGAGTGAATTTTTGAGTACTTGTGATTTACTGTGACCCATAAACATGCGTGTATAAGTGCATGCTGTGAGCTGTCGATGACAATCTTACACTAGTCATTTAGTCACATGAACGGTGAGTGACTGTAAAGGCCAGTCCTAGCTATTACTGAAGTAACTAATCGAGTTTCAGTGTTTCGGCTAGGAGAGCATTTTTTTTATCATATGATAAACAAAATTTACCATTTCAGTAGCTGTCAGCGTCACCTTTAGAGTCACACGTTCAAACAGGTATTTATTATACTTGTACTAAGAAATGAAATTAGACAGCGTGACAAACCTATAACATCTTTGGAGTCGTAGCAGTAAGGATGTGTGGAGCCTTTCGCTAGGGTTCCAAATACATTGTGGTTACGAAATATTTTTGCATCTCAAATATAAACTATATTATGTTATATAGAGGATCGCATACCCGCATACAATACAGATGGTTAGAACTAAATTTCATCCATATGACCATAGGCTTAATCACACGTCAGTTCATTTGAGAATAGTTTTATAGTTGTTCGAGAGCTTACTACACTGTCACTATTCCAAGGTTTTACTGTTCCAGGTTTGACGTTACATAGCACAGTTAAGTAAAGATTTGATGACGATTGAATCGGATCATAAAGTCACCTTTAGTCAGACACTTTTTACAACCAATTGTGTTTAAAGAGAATAGAAAAAGAGTGCGTACCAAACCAACTGCAGAGAGACGAGAAATTTGGACCAAGTAATTAGTATTGTGCTTTAAATAGACGTATGTGCGAATGTTAGCACTAACAAATTACCCAGTGTGCCTTCTGTAGACAGTTCTTAACTTAACCCTTCATTCATTCATAAAAATCCGGTTTTACTACTTAACAGATTCAATCATATCACACAACTTTCTAATTCTAATCATCGATTATTCTATAACTTTTCTGCAGCCAACTTATTCTAACTACACACTTCGTAACCGTATTACCTATCCATTTTTATAAGATATTACTTATTCATTCTTGAAGTTCATATTTGAAATAAATATTTAACAGAACTCGGTGACTTTGTCGTTTACATGTATACGTATGCCTCACTTTCGCGTAAGTGCAATGTGCCAACTAAGGCTACCTTTCTGTGGTATATTAACTAATGACAAAATAATTTCTTCCTCTAAGTACTTCCAGACACATTTATTTTCTCTCACTAATGTGCATGACACCAAAGAACATGCAAAAAAGCAAAACTAATTGGTAGTTGGGTTCTGTAGTGCAGCTGGTAAATAGCTTGACCAAATACACTTTAGACTCACATTTCACCTTGAATTTGAACAGAAATATCAACAAACTTCTCTTGTTCCAAAGTGTTTGAATATTTTAATTTGCTTTTTCAAATTTTAGTGAAGAAATTAGTTATATCATCGCTTGTGTTGATGATAATGCAGATGGGAAAGTTGATTTCAAAGAATTTACTGAACGATTCTACAATCCAGCTGAAGATATTGGTTTTAATTTAGCCTTGTTACTAACTAATTTATCAGAACATGTACCATTCGATCCAAGGTAATTTTTAAAAGTCACTTCTTTCAATTATTATAGGTATGTATATTATATTACTTGTCTGGAATTTTCTTCGTTGTGGATATTCTACATATATCGCTGAGATGTTCCATAATTTATTGAGAAAATCCTAACCTTTTAACGGTTTTTCGAATAAATTTATCCATTTCAGATAAGGGACTCATAAATCTCTTAAAAAAGAAATAATTTGATGAGCAATTTTAGTTATTTCTGTGAAGCAGTGGATTTTCATTCAACTGACTTTTCATCTTAGCTATAACTAGATGTCAATCGAATGCAAATACTTTTCCCAGTGTTCGGTCTCACTAAATCATCTACAACAAAAATCACCTAAATCTTTGAATATAAGAACGTTATTTAATAAACCACTTCTACTTTAAAATGATCATATTTTGCACAAAAGTTTTTCTCAATTAATGAGATATCTTACATTTTGTGCACCAATCGGATGACACCTTTGTGGGTTACATTTCTGACACTGTTTTGTTGTAGAGAGCAATGAAGTAAGACATAAGCCTTTTACGTTTTATCTACTCTTAAGATTTTTTCAACTTTAACCATTATTGTGCTTCACTTGAAATTCACTTATGGCGTATTCAATTTGATATACTAATCCTAGATCAATGTTTTACTTTTTATCGATTTAACCATTCTGCTTGAATTCAGGCTGAACAAAGTACGAAAAACAAGTTTATCAGGTTATTACGAGGTCATCTGGTTTTCTCGAGGATTCTCCTCAACAGCTTACTACCCAAATAATATTAAAATGTATACATAGTAATAACTGAACTTAATTTTATCAAGTTCACAAGAACTCATGGTCAGGATCAACCGATTACATAGATGATGAGTGAGATAATAGTTGAAGTAAAGGAGATCGTTAGGAATGTAAGATGAAGGCTGACCATTGTTAAGATTATCCGGTGAATGCTGTTGAAAGAAAAGATTCAGAGGTGGACGTAAACAACAATTAGCTAAAAGTAGAAAATATTTATTACGGGTTATATAACAGCATATCTGTTTTCATTTGACAAAAACTTGATGAGCAGGCTTGGCACCGTTCACATGAAAATTAAGGTTTGAGAATGAAAAATATATGAAGAGTTCTTGCTTGTTGTAGATGATGATGGCCCTACCGATAGCTGCTACCTTGGTTGGTGGTCAGGTTTGCAAATCAGGAATACCCAACAAGCTACACTAAATAGAACAGTTGTTTCTTGAGGTTCACCTGTACCAGAAAGGTCTGGTTGATAGTGTTAAACCAAAAAGCAGTTACCATTACAGTGTAAATCACTACATTATGACGAAGGTCCGCTGGCGAAGTTACACTGATGACTGGATGGGAATGTAACAGCAGTGAGGTGTTCCCCATAGATGACCGGGAGTACCATACTGATTCTGTCTCCCCCGTGAGAAGCTCTATTGAGGGGCAAGAAAAGATAGGCCGCATAAGTTGCTCTCTACTCCCAATCTCCCAGTGGTGTGGGTCTTACCTACCAAGCATTTGAACAACCAAATCTGCAAATGGTTATCCTGCAAAGGTCAAATGGACAGGCCCTAGGTAGATACCCTATGGGCTCTGTGGTCACCCAAATCTTTCCCTTTGTATCTTTAAGGCACCCTGCAGAAACAAATTCTATGTTGTGAGCAGTTTAGAAGTGTCAACAACCTGCACACCCCCAGTCGTATTCAAAGCCCTAGTAAACACAACCTGTCTTGCTCAAGTGTCTATCCTTTTTGACCTTTACCTCCCTATAGCATCATTAGGCCTCTTACAACTTCCTCAACCTCTCACACTGTGACCATTGGCAATAGTCAAAGCCATTGCAGCTTCATTCTCAGTTTCCTAAGGCCCCACTATCAGTTTCATATTGGTGCTCTCAACGTCCGAATCCTATGCCAAATTGGATAGCAGAAATCGCTCTTCAGAACTCTGGAATCTCTAACCATGGATGTATGCTGTGTCTCTGAGAAATGTTTATATGACCTGAGTGTGGTCGTTGACTTTACGTCAACTGGCCAATGTGATGAATCTTCAAAATTCACCTTACGAGTTTCCGGAGATTCAGTGTCTAGCTATCATGAACTCGTTAGTCTAGGTATAACATTAAGTTGTAGATTAGAAAGTATACTTCTCGACTGGATCTCAGTTAACAGCCATCTATGTTCTGTTCAACTGAATGAATCCCTAAGAACCATGAAGGATTGTGAAACTATCTGTTACCTATCCGTAACCCTTGCCCACACCCCCACTGACTGCAGTCCAAGTGGCGCAAAGAATAAGTTCTATCGAAAACTGTCAGTTTCGCTGCAGAAGGTGAAATATTCACCATAGTCATAAAACTAAGTAACTTCTTCACTCAAGGGAATCTGAGCCAATCGGCAAGGGATTTTGGAGATAAACCTACGGTATTTCATGCCAACGAACTGACGGTTGTGATCGTTTGTTGCGATTTTGTTCTTACCATCACTTGTTTTTAACCAGCACTAACTTGAAGCCTAGGTGGGGACTCCACCTCCCATGGAATCTACCAAAATCAAACCAACGATGGGTAGAGACACAGCGTATTGCGACAAGGCATTGAAGAGGATTGTTGGAGGATTGCTGCTGTTTATAGAGTACCTGTTTAGACTTCAATCATGCGTTGTTACGAACTCGTGTATGTCTGCACCTTAATGGTCACACGAAACAGAGGGTAACCAAGCCTGTGTTTGCTCGATTGGTAGGTAAGAAAGTGAAGTACGTATCTAGGGAGGAGATAGGCAAGCATTTATCTGAACGTGACAGTAATGCTTATCCCGGGGGAACGTGGTATAATATCTAGTTTGCTATAAAAACAGTGGCAAAGACAGTCGATAGTCTACACCCAAAGGTTACAAAGCGTCAGTTAATTTCCGCAACGTCACCTGAACTGATTGGTGCTTGGAAACTCATTCCACCTGACTCCGACCACAGTGAAAAGTGAAAGGAGCTGAAACGTAAGTAAATTAAGAGTCTTTGCAATGATTACGAGGAGTAGTGGGCTGTGAAAGCAAGAGGCTGGTTAAGCATCAAGATTAGTTGTTACTCGGTTATTATTTGGGCTTATTAAGGGTACTGGGAAGAAGAAGATGATGGTTAATGAAACCATCACCGAAAAAGATTGAACTCTGTCAGCCTCTCAGTACATGTGAATAAAACTTTTGGTGGGACACTTTGAAACAGTTCACCTGGCCCATAGCAACGCTTCAGTTGCTCAGCACCCAGTCCGAATCTGAATGGGCCGAAGATGTCGATCCTCCAACTCTCCTTGAAGTTGAGAAACCTATATCGGACCTGAAACGACGGAACGCACCAGGACCAAAACGTTTTCATGGATGGAGGTAGTAAGCTGCTAATTAAAGTGACAGAGGCACTGTGTAGTGTATAGAAATCAGAAATAGTACCGTCAGACTGGTCTGCTTGACTGATCATTCCAGTTTATAAGAAGGGACAGAAATCTTCCCGTGACATCAGTAGGGAAATCATCTTTTGGGTTCATAGTTATCTGACGCCTAGCTGGAGCTCGAGAACAACAATCACTAGAAAACTGGGTAGGTTTCAGACCTGAATGAAAGTATGTTGATTATATTTTTGCTCTTCAACAGCTTCTGGAACACAGGCATACCTACTGGTCAGTGGCTGACACTTATCATATTTTGACTTTATCGACTGTGAAGTGTTGTTGCAGCATCTGACTTGGAAGATGCCGCTGAGCAAGTATATGGTGCTAATCAAAGCTCTCTACTCTAACTCACGCAGACATGTAAGGGCCAAATGAAAGTTGTCATCAGAATTGATGATAACTAGGTGTCTACCAAGGGTGCCTACTGTCGCCGTTCATGTTCAGCTCCGTTATAGATGTACTAGTGGACATAAATCTCATTACCTCTAACTTTACAGGAGTGGATGTACACCTTAGAAGGCATTTGACTGACTTGGGGTTCACGTATGACATTGTTCTGTTCATTCAGTGAAAAGGCTGACAAATCCGTGGTCATCTTAAAGCGTCAAGCAGATATCTGAGTGTGTTTGGCATGTATTTTGCACCAATGAAATTAAGGATAGGGCTACAAGACTAGTCTGGTGAAACGTATCGACTAATTCACTTACTTAGTGAGCTGTATCAGTCCAAAAGGTATGTTTGCTGACGAAATCTCAGCTAAGACAGCGAAAACTCGTGTGGCACTTACTAACTTGCGTCATCTGTAGCGCCAGAGATATATCCGACTATGTAGTATAGGACAAGTATAACGCTCTGCAGTCCATTCTGTCTCGTTATACGTCTGTGACATCTGGCCGTTAAAAGTAGAAGGTGTAAATCGGTTTCAAGTTTTGATCACAGGTATCCTCGTAGCATTGTTTGTGTGTGGTGGAATCATCATGTGAGCAGTGCATAAGTCAAATGAATGGTACTAGGCAAGGGAGGGAAGTCATTCAATAAGGTTGTGAACCTTCGTCAACTGAGGTAGCTTGGATATGTGTCGAGCATGCCAAGCCACCACCTACGTCAGCGTGGAATGTTGGATGAAGGTTAGGAGTTGATGAAACCAAGATGTGGTGCCAGTCAGTGAGATCAGTCATGCTTTTTCTCAGCCATGTGAGAAGCTTCAGACTGTCTAGTCTGGGTCCTTTAGGTAAATGGAATCATTGGTTGGAGACTGTTGGCGACGTGAATGAAAATCGGTCAGATATATTCATTCTTTGACGTCTTCAAAAGTTTGAACATTTTCACCTACCTTGGTTTTTACATTCTTTCTTCTTCTCATACACCTTCGTCTACTTTGATGTAAGTCCTTTTCTGTCAACATGTTCTTTTCATGCTGCTTTGAAGTGTGGTAAACTGGAGCGAATAACTTTTGTTGGAGGTTCTACATTGATTTTATCTATCTATCTGTCATATGTAGATGATGGAAGTAGCGCATTTAGAGGTTGGAAATATATATAACATCACTGCTAATGTTTTTGTTTTTCTTTGCGTTTATCGTTCATCAGATTTGTCAGGGTGTAGCGAACTGCACTGTTTCGTCTATTCAAGCTGTTGGAATACACATATATTTAGGGCCTTGTCGGTAGTGTTTCTTTATATCAAATAAAACCTTATGTTAAACTTTGGTTCCATCTAAATCAACCTTGCATCCCTTTTCTATCAAATAAAGTGCAATCGTTGATCTGTTTTTTGCGATCTCTAAATATCTCCGGAGTTTTCTGAATTTGCTGTAGATATTGTCTATGCTGTTTAGCCTTAAAATCCACCTGCATGGATGTTTTCCCTACATGTACTGCTTCACAATCCGAGGACTTTATTTTGAGAGAGTTCTGTTTATTTTTAGTCAGTACTGCGTCGTTGACCTTAATCGAATTGCTGAAAAATAATGCAAAATACTTATTTTGTTTGTCCCAATATGCTGTGCCAGGATTACGAAAATAAAATATACTTGATACAGCTCAAAAGAATTCTAGGTTTCATTTCTTATGACTGACACTAATCACTATGCCGTATTTTCAACAATAAGGATAGCGTTTATTTCATACATATTATATTACTTGAAAATGTTTAACCTTATATCTAATAGTTACAATCTATTGACTTCCTGATAGCTTTTCTGTCATCCTTAGTTAACTACTAGTTATCTAATATATGGTTTAGGTAAGTTATTTCAGAGGCATCCGTTGCATATAATTAACTACCTTATTTCATTTTTATTCTGTAGTAATTCGGTCAACTGATATTCACTCTGTTAGGCCTTGTTTAGTTACCTTCCGATAATACTGAGTTAAAGTATCGATTCCAGTCATCTAACGTCGTGTGCAGTTAATCAGGAATCGATACGGTGATTTTTGCTCGCATACAATTCCCAGTTACAGAACTACAGCTGAACTATTTGCCCTTCTTCGAGTAACCCTTAATTGTATTGAGTTTATTTACAGCGATACTACTTGAAATGACAAAATAGTAAGCTGTTGTTTTTTTTTCACTGCCTTACTGAGCATCTTTTTGGCAGTGTAGATAGTGGGAATCTAGATGCTACGAGAAGAAATTTCTGTTCACTCAGTGTGCTATGATATACACAAGTGCTTTTTGAACTAAAACACCTTTTCAAAGTGGATAATAAGAATCCCAAGAGCTGCCTTCTAAAGAAGAGCTAAACGTATACATGCCGCTGAGTTACAGATTCAGAGTGATTTCTCCTCAATTATTATTATTATTATCTCATGCTTAACCTAACCACTTTTGCCACTTTGATCTGTCTACTTACCTTTAGATTGGAAAGAATGATTGAAAAAGCTCGTGGTGTACTTGATGTATTCGAACCACATCTAGGTAGAATAGAAATAACTGGTTCAAATGGTCGGATTGAACGTGTCTATTTTGAGATACGTCAACAGCATATTGATCAATGGGAAGCACCACAGATTAAAGAATCAAAAAGATCATTTTTACACTCTGTTGTTGGTGAAAGTGGGGATAAGGAAAAGTTGGAATGTTTTGTGAATTTCTGTGAAGATACAATTTTTGAAATGCAACATGCACAGTCAATTAGTGGAGATGAAGCTGATATGGCTTTGAATAGGGTAGGTTATAGAATGCTTAGATTAACAAGTTTTTTAACATCTATCCACCAATGGTTACATCATTAACATGTTCCCTAGTTTGTGTAACAAGTTGTACAATATACAGTTTATTCTCTTATAGATTATTATAATCTGTATTGTTTGAACTAGAAATAGTATTTACATCTAACACAAACTCTGTAGTGAATTTCAATATTAAATCCCGATTGGTTATACGTCAATTTTCCTAGCAATATTATGCAATCGTCTCCTCCAAATCAACATGAAATCTACACAAAGATACAATTTTGCATTCGCCAACATCTTTTATCTCTGCTTCTGGGATTCGGGATGCAATATTCATAAAGTTGTTTTCCGATGCTTTATTTCCATCATTCCTTAAATGCAGCCATGTGTCTGATTTCAAAGAACTATATTGTTCTTGTTATTTCAGTCAGTTGGATTCTTTGCAAACGGTTCAAAACTCCTCTAAGCTAATACAAATTCAAACAGTTCATACAGATATCTCACTATACATTTAACTAGATGTCCTATGCCGTATTAACATTTGAAAAACAGTCGATTTTACTCAAATATTTTTCGAATCTTGATATTTCGATACAATATCATTGACTACTATAACCACAGAATGTTTATTTCCCGTCAACAGTCTTAGTAAGAAAAAACTTGGGATAGTATGAATTAAGGATTCAGCACCTTTTACTTATGATTATTATAGAATTTGCTGTTAGAAGTTACATTTGGCTAAAACGGTTAAGATAATTCAATTCTTATTGTGGATTTTCGATTTATTTTAAGGTTGCTGCATTTAATCGCTTCTTGGAGATCACTCATTTAGCATTTGTTGGACATATACTTGGGGCTATCTTCCACTGTATACGACCATCTCAAATATCTGCAACTTGGACTGCATTTCGTCGAATGAGTATGCCAGATATTCTGTTGACTATACTCGGTGTAATTGTTGGCTTGTTAATTTGTGCAGGCCGGTTTATATCACGCATAATTTATTTATTTTGGGACATCATAGTTGCGTTTGCTTCTGATATAAGTCAAAAGAAGTCACCAACACAGCGTGGTTCATCTGTACGCGCAATGATTCCATGGTCAGTTGATCGAGGTACATATTTACAGATACCAACAGTGAGAAGTATACAACACTTAAGTGAAATAGATAAAGTAAGAATGCTTTTAAAACTTTTTATCTTACTTTGATTCAGTTGTATTTTTAAAATGGCTGAAAACAGTCAACGTAGCTTCACATTCTTAGGTTTCTTACTTGTTGCTGTTTGTACATAAGGATGTTCCAAGTCCCAATAAAATAACAGGCTTGTGAGATTTTTTAGATGAAACTGAATATTTTACTGCTAAATAACTAATTTTTTTGAGTATTTGATTTGTTTGATATTATTTATATTAGCTTTGAGGTGAGTAGATTCAATGGAGTAGCCTAGTCAAAGAACGGATGATTAGTGAGAACTGTGAAAATCATCTCTGAGCATAGTGAATAACATATCTGACAGGCAGAATATGACTGTAGCCTTAAAGCTATTTGCAGTGATTTCTTGACTGCCTACTAATCTTCATAATGACCCTGGTCATATTGTTGTACACAAGTGAATGTTTTTTATTCTGTATTCGCTGGTTCTTGTGTCTATACATTGTTGGAAATATATAGAATCAATGGGACAACAGCTGAGTTTTCTCATTCCATTCACTTGATTCATCATATGAAGCATCAACCGATCATAGTAGTTTAGACGTTCTCAACTAAGTATCCATTTCCACCAAGTAGTCTAGTGTGCTACTGGCATACACATTACGGTTCCATCGATAACCATGAGAACCGAAAACCAGGTAGAAGAAAATAATTGAGAACAAAGTTTTATTTCTAACGAAATAGTATATTAAAGTCAAAACCCAATTTCTTGATTTCAAAAACTAGTCATAGTGAAATAAAGCCCAAAACTTATTTTTGTTCTCAATAAAACGTGGAATTATGGATAAAGATACAGTGCTGACTTATATCCGATGGAGGGCAGTTGACTAACGGGATATTCCTGTCTGTCTTGAATGTAGTGCGTTATAGATATTAACTAAAAACATATCCACCAAGTGAAATATATTATCTATCTGCTTCCATTCCGATCTTAACTTTGAACCTTCAACTTCATTTAATTATTTTGATCGTTTGATGATGAACACACAAAAAATGATTGTGATTCGAAAGAATAAAAAGGATATTACACTATGAAGAACAATGATTTTCATTTATAAAGTAAGCTCACCGTAAAGAAATAATGTGAACAACCTACTGATCCGATAATCTTTAGGGGACTTTTGTGATGACTTTACCACCTCAAAAGTATTAGAAAAAGTTGCTTCGCCAACGATGACTTGTTTCTGATGTCACATAAACTTGAAGATCTATAGGCGAAAACTAACAAGTTGACAGAAGAGGCAGCGAAGACGGGACTTCAGGTGAATATAGAGAAGACAGAAGTGATGAAGATACCGCACCAACAACTCCAACAACAACAACAACAAACTCCAATCGCCATCAACGGGATAAACTTAAAGGAAGTAACCTCCTCCACCTATCTAGGCAGCACTGTTTCAACTACAGGTGGCGACACAGACGAGGATGTCAAAGTCAGAATCAGAAAGGCAAGAGAGGCGTTCATTAACCTGAAACCAGTGTGGAGATCTACTCCACTACACTCAGAATAAAGCGTGAACAAGATCCGGATTTTCAACACCAACGTCAAGTCAGTGCTTCTGTATGGTTCAGAGACTTGGCGCGTTACGAAAGGGGATTTCCAATAAACTACACACATTCATCAACAACTGCTTACGCTCGCTACTGAAGATCAGATGGCCAGAATAGTTAGAATAAGCAACAAGGAGTTCTGGGAACGAACCAACCAAGAACCTATCACCCAACAAATATGCAGGAGGAAGTGGAGATGGATTGGGCATGCACTGAGAAGGCTGACTGAGGACATCACGCGTCAGGCCCTGGAGTGGAATCCCCATGGGAAGCGACGAGTTGGACGTCCGAGGTGAGGGTGACATGGAGGAGATGGTGCGAGGAGGAAATGAGAGCTTTTGGGCTGTCGTGGAACCAGGTTCAAAAGATCTCAGAGAACAGATTTCACTGGAGATGTGCTACTGAAGCCCTATGCTCCATTAGGAACCCAAGGGACTAATAATAATAATCATTACTGCTATTTAATATTTACATATCTATGGCTTTTGTTTGTGTATTAGATGTTACTCATTGATGATTATTTTCTATTAACTGAACGCAAAGAAGTTATGTTTTTAATCTGTTATATGTTCATGGAAGTTCGCTGCTAGAAAGCACAACTTATAACGAAACAGTCATTTAGTTCCCTCAATTTTCAGTGGTTCTCTAACTAATGTCACTCTGTGGTCGAAACTACTCTGAAATCAACTGCTCCGCCAAAAGTTCCAATCATTGCACGTTAAGCCACATAAGAATACAGTGTAAAGATATCTAACTGATCTACTAAAATCTTGGAAGGTCTTAAACTATAATCATACATTAGCATAAATCAAGATGTAAACCATAAAAGCTATTAAGTCAGTAACCAATAGTCTAAAATGTTGATTTCTTTGGTAGTGACTTTCTTTTCTTGACGAAATTAGTAGGAATAGGCTGATCGTTATTTAAAATGTACAAGTGTACTCAATCGTGGAACTGCAACTCATCTGGAGTGGGCAGGACAAATTAGTCAACAGAAATCAAGTTACCATGTAGCATTCTTTATTATTTCAGATGAAACAACAATTATCTACCTGGTTTTATTTCATATAAATATTCTGTATTTTAAGGAACAACAATGGTGGTTATTATCAGAAGATCAACAGTTAATCATTGAACGTGCAGATCCAGTACATTTGGCTACTATAGAAGAGGAATATGCAACTATGAAGTCTGCAGCAGCTACACTATATGCCAATAATACGTCTGGAGCTGATTCTTCTCGTAAGTTCAAAAGTTATCGGGTGTCGAAATATCACGCATTATTATTATTAGCTCTGTATCAGATGTTTGTTGTTTTACTTACATACTTTTGGTGTGATATAACAGTGTAAATAAACAAACGAGTAACTAAGGAGTCTCTTAATTATTCTTTAACGGTATATTGTACTAGAAACATTCTTCTCAGAAGTGTGGATTTGATATTAAGCTTTCAGACTAATATTTTCAACTAATTACAAACTACAAATATTCATAATCATTCCGTTAAAGTGCCTTTATATGTATGTTATAAAGAAGGAACAAAAACATTACTTTAGTAAGCCTTTTGGTACATAGGTCAGAATGATGCTAGTCAAGTACCTGGTTTGCTTTACGAAATTAAAAAGTAATAGAAATAAGTTTTTCAGCCCGCTCTCTCTTTTGTTGTATTTTAGTCAACTGCTAACAGATTACTAAGGATAAAGTTAAGCGTCGAATAAAGATCAACATACTTCAGAGTTTCAAATCAATAATTCATTGAATGACATAAAGGATGTCTGAAGTGTAAATTTAGAATAAAATACTTATGTGTTGAGAAATTTCTTGTCTAATTAAGGTGAGGAGACAAGTGACTACTTTTTAAAGGATAGAAGGTCACTAACTTTTCAGTCATTTGTTATTTTCTTTAGACACGAAATGGCGTTGACTTCAAATACCTTCAAAAATAATCACTAAATGGTAGAATTCAGATTCAATCCTGCTACTTGTGGAACTGTGGAATACTGGTCTGTAAAGTTAGCTTCCCTGCAAAGGGTTGTAGACGAATTCTAACTACACTTCCCAAGCTTCAGACAACTACATAATAGGTGTGACTCGTTACGTAGTGCATCAGTCGTCCCATGAATGATGAAACAAATACACACTTAACTCCTTTTTGCAAACGTTAGGATCATATCTTTGGATCGAAAATGCTTCATAGTTAATCTTGGTCTACCTTGCCTTTCTTTTCCTAGTTGAATTTCACCCACTTAAATCCTCATCACATTGGTATTTCTACATATATCATTACCTGCTCGCTAACTTGTGAGAATATTTATTACTCTGGTTCCAAAATTACCATTCTAATTTCATACATAGCCTTCCAACATTAAAAATTTCTATTCCACCCTCACACTAAACTTTCTAGCTGTCGTCTAGTGGGTTAAAGATTATAAATCCTAAAGCATGTGAACCTTTATTCTGTTCATTAATTTACTACAAGCAATCCATAAACAGATGACGATCAAGTAACGGACTAGAATGAATTCTGCGCAAATTGTGTTATGATGCTCAATAAACTGTAATAATTTGGATCACATCTTTAAACTGATAACTGTAAAATAAATAAATCTTTTAAGTGGCTTTAAAAATCGCCTTAGCAACTGCTAAAATAATCAGTTAGGTCTTTGAAAAACTACCTCTGCAGCCGAAATATAAAACATTGGTTATTTAAGCAGTTGATAGGGTGAATTTTGAAGTCACCCACCTCTGATACTGTCAAATAATTTCGAATTTATACATCTTTACTATCTGAATACCGCTGACTTGTTATGCTTTATCTACACCTATGAGTTATCCACCGAACTGAATACAAGGTGATGTATTTGCAATCCTTAAACTTTCAGTTTTTCTTCCTCATCTACTGTACAACAGAAGATCAAGATTAATTGCTTGTTGCTTGTATGTGACTGCAATATGAGTGACACATATTGTGTAACCGAATTACTTGACCACATCACATCCTAATTCAATGAGGTGATATTACTAATCTCATGCATAAGAAATGGAATAATGCATAAAAAATTAACTTCACTTAACATACAATTATTTTGTCATCATGGATCGCAAAGGAGATGAATGATTCTTCACTAAAAAATTCATGAGATGAACTACACAATACTACCATTAAATAAGTTCTCAGCAAATTCTTTTATAAAGTCAGTAAAATATTGCAGCTATGATTCCTATTTTATTTTCTTGAGTCAGTTATATTACATCGTTAATATCACTTTCTTCAATGTTATACTCAATTTCGAATAAATAAGGTTGGAAAAAAGCAGATTTATTTTGCTTAATCACTAAGTAAACATTGAAATGATATATTATTAGAAATAAAGATGAAATAAGCAGTAAGATACAGTAATAGTCAAAAGATTATGCCGAATACTATGAATCAGAAGCTTTGGATAAAGTAAAGTTCACAATCAGTAATTTTTTCAGTGGAGACTATTTTATGTATGACCTTTTGTATATTGTTTGGATTTTTCAGTGTCAGTCACCAATGTTTATCATATTCAAGGGATATTTAATTCATCTTTCTTGTTGTACAGTTTTGTAGCAATGAAAGCTATTTAGTAGTAATTTTGCTTTTCAGTCTGATATTAGTCTAGATGAACTCAAATTTATTAACATACATTTTGCGAGACGTTTTAAAGCAGTTATAATGTATGTAACAGGGCATGGAAAAGACTATTAAGTTTTTAGTTGATAATTATCGTAGTGGATAGTTAACAACAACTTACAGCAGCCTGTAGATTTAAGCTTTTTATATGTCTGCTTTTTATTAAGATGGATAACAAAACTTAAAGTTCACCGTATCCTTTCTTTCCTAAACACCATTTAGTAATTCGGCGAGTTATGTAACTAGTGAGTGACTACTCACAAGACTTGTTAGTATACACTACATTCAGAATAAAATAGATGATATTAATTAGGATAAGTGATTTTCTTTCTCTCCTGTCTATAGTCTGGATGAAAGGCTCCAGTTTAACCAAAGCATTTTTTTAATAATCATCCAATTTAGCTAAAATGTCAACTGCTTTAAAGAATAACAGTATATCAAATGATCCAAGCAGTTCAAATGTGAAAGTATCATCTACTGCTGCAAATAATAACAATTCTACGAGTGGAGGCAATACTGCTACATCAACAAAGGAAGAAGAAGAAGGAAAACCGAAATTCAATACCAAAAATTATGTCATTTCAATGTTTGCTAGTAATTTTTATCGGTTCAAAATCAGTGCACTTATCCTGGCATTTGTTATCAACTTCCTTCTGTTATTTTTCAAGGTACTGTATGTTCATATGATTAATATTGGTAGCGTAGAAGTTGTAATTTTGCAAAACACGAGGACTATAAAGATACCTTATATATATATATATATATATATATATATATATATATATATATATATATATATATATATATAATCGTTAATTGACTGAAGAGTCTTCAAGGTACCTTTGATTGACACAATTTTTGACTGAGATAGAGGAAAGCTATGACTCGCACTCTAGTTAAACTGGGGGTTGAACCACTGAACTCAACTTTAGTCTACATACACTAAAGTTCAGAGGGAAAGCGTTTATTCTATCTGTTTCCCTGTATCCATATAAATCATTTATTCTATAAGCCATGCAAACAGAAGTGAAGAGGATGCATTGTCTAAGAAAAATAATTATTCTGAAGTGTTTATTATTATAAATCACAATATGAGATAAATTGATGTACGTCGAGATTTTCAACCATTTATTTCATTTTCAGTCAAACATTGGTTATTCTCTATCTATTTCTGTTATATTTAATCAGTCATACATTTTACTGTTGCTTTTTAGGTGCATCAAGCCACTATACATGGTTTAGGTGAGGATGATAACGGTGAAGGACTGGCTAGTAGCGCTGGAGGTGGTGAGGACGATGATGAAGAGATAGTGGAATGGATTACATCTGGTGATACAAATTCATATGTCGGTCCACTTATTGCTACACTTGCTGCTGTTCATTCTGTACTATCATTTAGTACACTTGTGGCTTATTATTACTTGAAGGTAATGCAATATATATTCAAAGTGTGATTGGTGGCATCAGTTTATATATATATATATATATATATATATATATATATATATATGGGCTAATGAACTCTTTTCCTTAGACTTATTGAAATAATAGAGAGTTTAGGCACAAAGTAAATTGGCTACTTTTCCTTTGTGGTTTGGTATGCACTGACTACAAAATTACTTTGAATACAAGTAAATGTTTTGACGTTTTTATGCTACTTAATTTTAGATAGTAAGATGTTGTTACTTCTATCATCCTGTCGTTGATTGGACCAAATTGATCGAATTGGTATATGGCCTTCTGCATGGATGCCTCGATATTGCCTGTGTTTCAGTTATAGATTATTGTTGTATGGTGGCTAGCAGGCGAATCCGGGACGCGCGTTTCATCCTACTTGGAACTTGTCATCTCGATATACCTGCCTCCTAGTGAGCAGTGTTGGCCCCACAAAGACTCTAGCCGGAGACCAATCACTTCAAACACCGGGGTGTTATCATCTAGATCACCAACAACGGGATAAAACAAGCAATAACATACAAAGTATGCCTTTCGCACGAAAAGTTAGGACCATGACTTAGTGGCCTAGTGGATAACCTTCCGACGTTTAAAGCGGTCGGTCCCAGGTCCGAGTTGACGAGTCCCAAGTTGGACGAGACTGGGGTCCTGGATTCCACTTCTAGCCACTACCCATTACTAATAACAGATAAATTAATCAAAATACTGTAATACCTTGAACTGAAGAACGTTTAGGTTATCTCAGTTATACTATGGTGATTTGACTTCTTTAAAATTCCTAATTAGAAGACAAACTGTTTTCGAAAGTGCTATCAAGGTAAGTAAAAGTGCTGTAATTAAAGATGTTTCCCAATATATACAGTAAAATCCAATTTGGAGATTTGCGGGGAGTTGTTCGTTTCAAGTTGGTATTCACTATGAACTGACATCGGTCAGAGAACCTTGAAAAACTTCGGAGCACTGGGTAACTGTTTCGTCCTAGTATGAGACCCAGTAATAAGCATCCATGATCCCGCCTGGGGACGGAACCCAGGACTTTCGGGCTCTACGATAAGCACAGTGGAATTATCTTAGAAAACATAAGCCACTTTGCATACATTTTGACGGAACATTCACGCAGTAACAAATCCACTGTGCTCACCAAACCTTACAGATACTTAGGTACTTCCTCCAACTGAGAAGACAAGTTTGATTTTAATCGTAATCTACTTACTGGAAATTTTTGTGTCCTCTATTTCAGTACCTACGGTGGACGCTAGACGCTGTTACTGCGAATTTCTTTCAGTGAGAGAATACTCACACATGCGTATCTGCAAGAGAGACACTACTGAACCAGAAATGATGGTTACTGTGAATAACCTGCATGTAAAGAACAGTAAATGGACTGAATTTGCATAGTAAACATTGTATATATATTACTATGGTGAGAATTGGCACTTCTATATCTCAGATAAGTGTCCTCCTAGAAAATCTTTTTGTCTTTCCCTTTCTCTCAGGTTCCATTAGTTATCTTTAAAAGAGAGAAAGAAATATCTCGGATGCTTGAATTTGAAGGGATGTGGATATCAACACAACCAGCTGAGGATAACTTACGTGCTCACTGGGATAAATTAGTGCTATCAACACCATCATTTCCACAAATGTACTGGGATAAATTTGTTAAAAAGAAAGTTCGTAACAAATATTCAATTCAGTATGACTACGATGAAATTACAACACTATTAGGCATGGATAAGACAAACTTAGATACAGAAAACAAAGGTGCTGGTCTGTCTAAATTGTAAGTGTGTTATTTCTAAACCGTTTAAATATTATATCAATGTTAGTATAGTTAGAGATTATATTTTTCTGATACAAAATATCATGTAATTACAACCAGGTTTTATAGACATAATTTGTTTAGAAATCCAAAAAGTAGTTTAGGCATGGTTGATTTGTCAGGGAGAAATAATCAGTGTCATGATAGTTATTAGTCACTAAACACCTATTGGTTTCTTCTTCATGATACTTTTGTGAAATGTTTAGATATAATTATGAATGTTTTCTGGTGGTTAACACGAGGCACTTGTCCATGAAAGTATCTAACATAAACCCATACTTCCTGGTCATGAACGTTTTGATGTTTAAATTAATTTTGTTTACAGTTTTTAATTTTCATAGCCCACCTAATCGGAACAAAATGAATAAATTTTGAGGGAACTGTGGGAACTTGGAAATATTTCAAGTTGTTATTGATCGTAGACTGACATTAGTTAGAGGAACAAAGGAAACCTGGGAGAACTGGACGACTGTTTCGTTCTAGTATACAAGTAGCCACCATTGCACACCCACTACCTTGCCAGGGATGGAACCCGCGACCTTCAGGCTGCGTGGCCAGCACGCTACCATCGAGCCACTGGGTCAGAATCCAGTGGTCCATATTTTCGACTTCTGTTAGCTCACGATATAGCGCAACCGCCATCCATTGTCATCGTTTAGTAACTGTCCTCATGACCATCAGGCTTTGCCCCCACCGGTCACGACTTCTTATTGGAACTTCGGGAATACCTCACGAAGCTAGTCACAAATGAGCACCAGTTCAGTTGAATTTTGAGGGAGTTGTAGGGATTCGGAAATATTTTAAGTTGTTATTTATCGTAGACTGACAAAACAATTAGCCTCTGTTGAAAAACGGATGTCTTTGTGCAGTCTCCTCTATACTGTGGAGCATTCTGTCTGCTTTGTCTTATTTTCTTACGGGGGAATTTAGAAGTTTACTTCATAAAAATCACTACCTACTAATATAAGTAATAAGAGAAAACTTATTTCAAGTGAAAAATTTGTTTATTTTTTATTTTAGTTTCTGGTTTATAATTTCATTGGAGTATATCGACGTTAATCTATCATTTTTAAGCAGTTCATTTTTGTAAATGTGTTAACTATACAGTTTCTGCTCAACCAAGTACATCAGTTCCGTAATAGCTAATCACAGGTTAACTTTGATATTTTCATCATCATTACTGTAACAAATGTTGGTAAATGCCTAATTGATTAAACTTATTTATTCCTTTATTTTTCACTTTCTTTTGCTTTATTTTAGCTTCAGTGGAATCGATATACAATATTTAGTCTGGAAATGGGGTGTCGTCTTCACAGATATCGTAAGTCGCACATCCACATACACTTTCAGGTTATTTGTTACTTTTATTTGCCGACAGACATTAGTGTGTACATCTTGAAGTGAAGTAAATTTTTATTTAATGATCTTATAATAATATGCTACGTGATAACCTGGAGTATTTATTACGCAGTAAAATAAGATCCCACACTAATACTGACTGTGAATGATTTGCATCAGTGTTGTTCAGCCTGAACACTTATATGCTTAATTTAACTGAGAATCTGAGCCTAAAACCGTAGAATAATAGTCTACCAAAATATCTATTTGTTTCTTCGATATTCGCTTAAACGTACACTCTGTCATCTAAACAACTTAAGTAACCCAATAATACCGAATCATTTTGGAAACGAAAAATCATAAAAATCTCTTATTTAGGTATGTATGTTTATGATAAAATTAAGGTAAGAAATAGAATCGTGGGTTCGCATATCTCAACTTGTTATGACTCATCAATTTTATTCAAATGCGTATCTTCGAATGTCATAATTATTTATCTTAATATTTTTTATGCATTATAAATATGCCTTTGAAAAACCAAAGCATTATCCACTAAGCGATTTAGTTGTAGGGGTAATTATTTCATTCTGATAACTAATAGCTGGTAAACACAACAGTGATGAAGTTCTAGTTTATTCGATAAGAACATTGTTGTGTAGACGTATCCAACTTAAAGGTCCTAAATGAGATAAGATACATCTCATCAATTCCACCTTTAAGAATTTTGAACTTTTAATTTACCACAGTGATTATAGATATGGAGGCATTGTCAAAAAACCGTAATTTGTCAGAAACCTATCAGTTTGATGGTAAGAATTCATTACTTTCTTTCACTACTTTTCAGTCACTAAATACAACAGAGACCAGTATGATGAAATTACTGACCTCTATGCACTTAAACAGTTAAGATACCTGTAGTGCATTGCTGTTACCTAATTCAAAATTGCGTTATTGACAGAAATACAAGTATGCAGAAGAATCCGCAGGGTGATCAGACTGAACTACACCGTGTAAACATGAACTCATTTAATGTCCATTAGATCTTTCTTTTTGTATATTTGTATGTTTTTAAATCAAGTCCATGGACGAGTTAAAGTTAGTGGACTTTTACTTAATACGTTTTAAACTACTACCAGTGCCAGTTGCGTAAGTTTGTCTACAAAGTGTTTTATGTTAAGTACTGAATGCATTGTTCTCCAAAACCCGTTCTTTGCATTTAATCTAATGTCATACCTTGTTTCCCTTTTGTCATTTTCAAAAATTCCGTTGGTAGTTTCTTTTTGTACTAGTGTTTACCAACTTGAATTGAACTATTTTTCTATGTTTTATATCATTAATGCCATAAAAGTATGCATTTTCAAGCTTACATCATCTCATGAGCAGTAATTTACAAGAAACACTTCCCTTTTTCTTTAACTTGAGGCGGATGTTCCTTAAGATGCTACCGAACTGTTCAACAATAATTTGATATGTCATACATTTAGTTTCCTTGGCAAGTTTGAGCGATGGAAGAAGAAAGACATTTGCAGAGTAAAATAGGCTCATTTCATTCCATGGCGTTTCATCAGCTGCAAACAGTCTACAACTAAAATGAAATATTAGTGTCAGTTGTGATAAGATATACTTTAAGTATGTAGAAATAAATGAAGATTGGATTCTAGGATTAACAATAAGGTAGTGAGTCAGTAAGTAGTCATTCCTAGTCTCACGTTATTCTAGTTTTTCACATACCTGCATAACCCAGTAGCTCTTTAACAACCCCTCCTTTTACATTCCTCTGTTTTTTGCCCCCACTCCGATTTTCCATAGCTCCAGAACTTTCTGTTTCATTCAGCATAAATTGCTATTGATTCTCACTAAGATTTATGATTATTAATTCTGTGTTTCCTTGACTTATTACCTTATTGTTAGTCCTGCATTTCGAATCTTCATTTATTTCTGCCTATTCAAAGTATGTGAAATCACTGTTGATAATATTTCGTCTCAATTGTAGGCTGTTTGCAGTCGGCGGAAGGCTGTGAAATAAAACGACTCCACTTTATTCTATAAATGGTGTTTTTTCTGACTTTATTCAAATGTCTTATAATTTGATTAATGAACTTCACAGATAAATCAGTTTTATTTCTTCTTTCGAGCACAATATTTTTTATGATGAACTTTTTTTTAATTTTCGTTGAAAATGTCTTGGAAAAATTCGCAATAACTGCATTGTATTCAACTGGATATACCCATACAGTCGTTCCTTTATTTGGCAGTTTATTTTGCTGCATCAGCATTTGGGAATTTAAATTATTTCTTATACGCCTGTCATCTACTTGATGTAGCTGTCTCATTTAAAACTCTGAGAACAATTATCCAGTCTGTTACACATAATGGAAAGCAGGTAAGTATATAGATAAAAGTATACTGTTTCATTTCTTTCCTATGGTAGACTATTTCGATTTTTCATAGTCATCTTATACATATTGGTTATATTTATACGTCAACCATATTGTACTTTATATAAAGCAGATAATCTTGTCAGCCATTAGTAGAAGTATTCATCTCCAACTATATCTTAAAGATTTAGCTAGTTAGTTGCCTAGATGAAATTTTTATAGGCCAATTTATTTATGAGAAATATTTATGACAGAGAAATCAAGTGAATACTAACAGTTTTCCCATAAATCCACAGTGAATGTTTTGGCAAGTAGGTGAATTGATAGTTTAATTTACCGGTAACTGATTTTGTCTGTCTGTAGTGTGAGGCGAACATAGAATCGATTATCCAATTATTCTACGTTTATAAATTAAGGATTAGATCCTTTTAATATTTCCATCATGATTATGATGATTTTTTTTTTTAATGTGTATGGAATCATTCTGTTAATGTTTAATGATAGTGTAGGTGGTTTACAAATGAACCAGAAAGTCATTCATTAGAATGAGACCAATATTTTAGTCCTACACAGTTTTCAGTTATTATTCAGTTGGTTACTCTACTAGTCATTAAAAAACTCATCTAACTTCCTTTCTCATTTTCTTGATGTCATTAATATTGTCAACAGGATTACTCTGTGTAGTTTGCACATTTTGTTTTTCATAGAAGACTAACGATCGAATTTTTTTCATTTCGTCGCATCCAGAACTTGCAGGAACTTGTTTTGTATTCACTATTTAGACAGTAATTTTCTTTTTTACTGTTTATTAAGATATAACTTGTTTATCCGATGATTTTATTTATTTTCTAGCTTGTGTTGACTGTCATGTTGACATCGATTGTAATCTATTTATACACAGTGATTGCATTTAATTTCTTCCGTAAGTTCTATGTAAGAGATAATGATGGTGTACCAGATCCAAAGTGTAATGATATGAAAACTGTAAGTTAATAAGTTTTTATGTTTCTTTTGGAAATTAACTTTACGCTCTTTGTTCTTGGTTCTGTTTAATACTCTGGCTATTTCACATTAATTTTTTTTACTGTATTTCACTCTGATTAAAACCATTCAGTCTTGTTAATAGCAATTTGAAGATAGAATCAACGAAATGTACAAACGACTGACTTTAAAGACCATCCTAGCAACAACTGAAATAGCCAATTATATTTCTATGTTTCAGTTAGAAAAACTGACTTTTGCAAAATCAAGAAGTATAGTTGGTTAAATGGAGTGAACAGTTTGCATATGATTTATAAATACTACAGATCAGCCTGAGTGGTTTCTAACTACTCAAGTTGTTGAGCAGTGTAGTTCAGTTGTTGCTAGGTTCACTCGTAGAAACCTCGAATCACTAGCAGTTTAGTTGTTTGACAGTCCACAAAAAAGCCGTGAAATAAACTGATATCTATTACAGATATAAAATACGAAAGAAAAACCTCAACACATAAGGTATAGATAAACAAAAAATTCATGTGTTAAACAGTTAACCATAGGTAATTTGAAAAATGAAATACCCTTAGTCATATGAAATGAGGTAAATAGCAGAAGAGGAGCCAAATTTCTTGGAGTAGCGTATAAGAAGCATAAAGTAACTAAGAAAGTGAAGGACATAGTTAAAGGTAGAAGAGGAGGAAGAAATGTCATGAGCTGGCAATGAAAAAGGGCTTACAGCAGCTTTCCACCATATTATATCACAATGTAAAAATGTTGAAGTGTAACGGTGCTACTTAAAAATTGTAAGTAGTATCGATGAAAAACAACAATAACAGCACGTGGAGCACAGTTGCACATACATAAAACCTTTGCAGAAATGGAGGATTTGGATATTGCAATGGAATCTTCTAACCAAATAGCCTTTTCACAATACTGAGCCAATTTTATGCCGATTTGTATTGTATATCTCTGACTGTAAGCATAGAACTCAGGCTCATTTTCTTTTTTTCAATCATTTTAGTGTTTCATATTTCATTTGCATACGGGATTAAGAGCTGGTGGTGGGATTGGTGATGAAATTGAAGCACCTGATGGTGATGAATCTGAAAGTTATCGAATATTATTCGATCTAACATTCTTCTTCTTTGTCATTATTATCCTATTGGCTATTATTCAAGGTAATTATTATTAAAGTGATTCGGTTATGACTAAAATGGTATTATTTTTCATGTGTATAGTTCATACAAAGACAAAACGTTTTGTATAGTTAATAATTCTTTTATGGTTACGTGGCTACAGTTAAGGTGTAAAACATATTAGGAGATTATAACAGAAGGAACTTGTAATCAACTATTCATAATAAGTGAGACTTGTCCATCTAGTCAGTCAGTGAACATGTACACTTGTGATGTTGGATAATATTTGCCAATTTTGTCATTGTGCTTAGTTACTGATGAACTGGTTAAAGGATATCTTAAATGTACAAATTAAGTTCTCAAAGTATTATAACTATCATTAAAGTTTTTGGTTGTATACCCTTATTTAAGGCCACTGTGTTTCAAGACGTTATTCAAATTGATAACAGCTTGAAGTGTAGTTTATGGTTTTTTTCATTAAATATTTCGTCCTTATGAACTTTTTCAGACAGTGACGTGACCAATGGCTTTCTTATGTAACGATATCATATTGTGGTTAAAGGAAGAATTTGGCAAAATATAAACTTCGGTCAATATTTAGAACGACTTATCATCATTTTAGTATCATGTTCGTGTAGGCGTTTTGTAGAAATTTGTATTATTTCTCCAGAGTTCTTAAAAATGACAGTGTATCAGATTGGTCGAAATTTGTTTTATTTTTACCCTTAACAGAAGCTTTTATACCTTAAATGAATATATTATTACATTTTTCAAAGGGAAAAGATAATTCAGTCATAATAAAAGTGATTTAGTTGTGTACTGCAATCAAAATGCATGCAGGGATATTTTCTACCAATACTTATTCAGTTAATTTATTTACAACTTCTTTCTCACCTTTCTAATTCTAATCTAATATTGAATAGAATTTATATGTTTTAATTCTTTACCAATGTTGGAAATGAGGTTCTTAGATGTTTCTATGCATGAGAATTCAAGGGAAAGGCAGGAAAATTGGTCGATTTAAAGTTAAATGTTGAGTTGCTTTACTTATCAGTGTGATTATTCTTAAACTTATTCATTGAAAGAAGCAGAGAATATGCAGGAATAATCACTAGGCAAGTAACATATGCTTGACCTCTATAAAGATAACAAAACTTCGCAATCGGGACTGCTCTAGTTACTCTAACAACTACTTTACGTCAATTTGATTAAAACAGATGTGAAGTGTTATGAAAAATTCTATCTGAATTAGTGTCATAATAAAAAAAAGAATAGAAATGCACCTTTGGGGTTGAAGGAACGGTTTACAGTTCAAATATAAGATCAGCATCTGTTATGCCGATAGCATAAAGTACTTGAATTTTCGACGCCACCTTTTTATGCGTATGTTGTTTTCGTAATGCTTTGAAAACGTTGATGCTAGAAATCGTCAGGAAGTCGTTTCAATTTCGACTTTGAAAACTAACTGCTTGTACATATGTATAGAGTATATTTTCCTCCAATGATATAAACAGATTGTTATTTGAGGACTAATCAATACAATTTCATTTGTCCTGGTAATTATCGAGTTTTATTGTATTAAAAAAAGGATATTAGTTGTGTGAATATGGGATGAGATATTTTAACCCCTAATCATTGCTAGGTGAATTTAGTTTCGTCTATCTGTCTGTGTGACTAGATGAATAAGTTTTAATGAATTAATAGCCAAGCTGCTCATCACTTAGCGATTAGTTTGTATAGAGATTTATTCATTATTTATCCCTAAACTGTTTTTACTTCTTGATATATATAGCAGCGAAAGCTGAATGTGAATATCTAACATATGAACGATAATGAATAATGAAGAAAACTCATCGGCTGTTGACATTTACAGAAATTTCTAAAAACTAAATATATTCACCTTGTCATAGAGTTGGGTATAAATGTGAAATAGTTGTAGTTAACTCGATCAGAACAATCCAGACAAAATCACTAATTTCGGTTTAATAATGTTAACTCATCAACGAAGGGAACTCATACTGACTAAGAGGTTGAGACCTGCACTATCAAATACTGACAAAAACAGATGTCCTGTTAAACAATTTAATGAATAGATTAAATTAATTAGTCTGTAAAATTTGATGAAAGATGAAAACAAAACAACAGTTACATTGATGTTCGAAACAAAGACTTAGGTTGTCACAAAGTAACTGTCAGCAGTATTCCATTACCAAAGGTACCGAATAGTATAAAAAAGCAAAAGTTCCCTCCCAGGTTGGTCATAAGAGTAAACTACTTAGCGGTCGTGTGAGTACAGAACATATAATAGCTCACATTTTTCCTATACTAAATAAATGACTGAATCAAGCCAATAAACCATTCAGACATTCAACTGTATAGTCTGTAAGACAGTGAGCAGAGGGGTCGAACTAAAGACTTTCAGAGTTTGTGGTTCTGGTGTAACGATTTGATTGTTTATATGACAGTAATTAGGAAAATCTATACAAAGAAGTCTGCATTTCCTTAAAAACCAATAATTACTCACACTTTTTTGTCTCATCCATTTAGGTCTTATTATTGATGCATTCGGTGATCTAAGAGATCAGTTGGAACAAGTGAAAGAAGACTTGGAATCGAAGTGTTTCATATGTGGTATTGGCAAAGAATACTTTGATAAAATGCCGCATGGTTTTGAACAACATGTAGAAAAAGAACACAACTTTGCAAATTATATGTAAGTTGAATACAAAATGTTGGCTGGGAATCGGAGAAAATAATTCTTTTTTATTCTATACTATCTCTAGCAATAGTATATGTACTTTTTTAAATGAAATTCTTAGCTATATTCCACACTAAGAAAACAGAACTCAGTCACTTTTGCAAAGAGTTAATAGCCTAACATTAGTTCCCCTTCATTGTCTAGTTACTACACAATTATTTAAGTTTGGAACAGCAAATGCTGATTACTTGATTTTTGTGAGCACGCTACCGTACAATATACAGAATACACTGGCATAAAACCAGTATGCATACCTCTAATAATGCTCAAAATACTTTTTATGTTCTTCAGACTTTCTGGTTTAGTAGTCAGGCTGTTCCGTCTTGGCGGTTGCCAGAGAACACAATTAAACATTCAGCATAAATATCCCCTATCCTCATCTATTAATTAATTGTTTCTGGAAGATTTTAGTTCATGTATTTGCTTTACTGAAGCAGTTGTATATAAGCCTTTTATAAATATAGGTTTTATAGGTGTTTTCAAAGTATGTCTGGCTAAAAATGCCATTAGAAGCATTAATTTATGTGAGATTTTACGAAATTAACAGCTATGAAGGCAGTTCAATATTCGTTTGCTTACTTACTTAGAAGACAATGTTTTCTTATTACATATCCATTGGATATGAATAATATACATTACAGATACTCATTACATTCTTCTACATAAAATGAGATAGTTATAAGTCAACAGTAAAAAGAATGAAGAAAAAAGATAACTAAGCGACTGGTTACATTACAATTTTAAAGTATTTACAAACTTGCCTTTTAGAATTTCATCAGAAAATATGTTCTTCAATTCAGTTTTTCGCTAAGTTCAAGATGTTCAGTTTAGTCAGTAGATATATTCAACATTGATGTGCTTTTTTCGTTTGGTGAAAAAACCTATCAAGTGATTATTGATAAGCAGATATATCAATAACTATTATCTTGTTTTCTGAATTTTTTAACATTGATATAGTTAATTCTTTTCAACTGATAATAATTAAGATAAATAATTTTTATTTTACTTCACAGGTACTTTTTAATGCACATAATTAATAAACCGGATACTGAGTACACTGGTCAGGTTAGTAAATTTTATTCATAGTATTTAGATTTCATTATAAGTTTACAGGTAAAATATAAACAGAACACTGTTCAAATCATCAAAGTATTTTTGTCATTGTCACATTTGTGTTCTCAGAGAACACAATACAACCAAGACCATCCACCTGAGCTACAAATATTCTCCATTATTTAGATATGATATTTCCTTTCATGGAATCCACAAAGCGGAATTATAAGAAATAAGTCCACCTTGTTTACGTGTTGTTATTGCCAATTTCCCGATTGTGGAATTTTGCCGTTTTGTTGACTCAATACATTTTGTGCGTTAAGTATCATTAATTTGAATTGTAAAATGAGCCGGTGAAACAAAATTTTCTTTGTATCTATATGAAATGCCTATTTATTTCATTTGACCAATTAAGTCAAAAAGTAGTAAAAATATTTCCAATTGTTTAGTTTGCTGTTATGGTAAGGTTCTTCGGCACTCTATCCTTAATATACGTGTTCATTTCTTTATTGAATCTATCAAAGAAATTATTCTTTTCCCACTCATATTCAAATAGTTTTGTAAAGTGAAAGTGTATCATTTAAAATGTATTTCAGAGTAGATTCTAGAGTATTTTTTTTTGCTGTTGTATTAATGGTTGAAAAGTTATTTCTGAAAACGGTTTACCTGAATAATTCGTCAGTATCATTCAGCGATTAATGACATGATAAAAATGTACTAACTGTTCATGTAAGACAAGTTGAAACATGCATACACCTCTATTAGATGTATTTTTACACTCGTCTCAAATATCCATTTTTACCGGAAGGTTTAGAAAAATGTCAATATCATCCTTTTCTAAAAGTTTCATTACAAAAATTTACCTCTTTACCTACCTATTTTTTGATTATTTTAATAGGAAACTTATGTTTGGGAATTATATCAACAAAGATGTTGGGATTTCTTTCCAATTGGTGATTGTTTCAGGAAACAATATGAAGAAGAGCTACAACCGAAATAAGTGTCATATGACTAGCTTTCATCGCCTGATATGTATGAGTGTTGACAGATATTATGCCTTGCTAATGAAAGCAGATAACATCACCCTTTAATTCCCTTTCTGTTTTCAATACTTAGTAATAAATATGCAAGTACTTGTTTCTCAACAATTCATTGCTCACTATTAATAAATACAAAGATAAATGAAGTTAGGTACAAATATAAATGATTTTTGAAGTTAATGTTGTACCAAAAAGAAAATTGCTCCACTACTGAACAAATAAATAGGATATGAATTTTTTCTTCCCCTCCTTTTTACTACTTTCTACAAATATTTATAATTAAAAAAGGATACTTTTATACCTTCCATTATGCATTACTGCATATATAAATAGGCATAAATGTACTCAAATGCATGTGTACCTACATGCATTCCTTTTTTTCCTTTTTCTTTTCCTCCCCCCCCCGGCTTTCTGTCTCCAATGTTTTTTTCGGCTTCCTAATTCGTTAATCGACAAGTAAAGTTGTAGTGTTAGTAATCAAAAAAATTGATTGTGAGATGTTTTGAGCAACATTATATTTGACCAACTATAGAATATAAATCCAGTCCCTCAGAAATCAATTACCTATTAGTTTTCACCTCCATGCATGCAGTCATTTTAAATGTTAAACAATCAGGCAAATTCTGTTAAATTTGTTTATTATTTACTAGAATAAACACGTGAATAGCTATATACACATGATACAATAGCAGTAAAAAAACTAGTTTTCTTTTACTTTTACCATTATCATAAATAGATTCTTCGTAGAAGTGAATCTTTTAGAAAACGTATAAATCATGATGTTCTGACACAGAAAAACAGAAAGGATTTAGTATAGTTGCATAACTGTTTATTGGCTCAATTTACTACACTTAACATCAGCAGACTAAGGAGAAGCTGCCAATAGTTGTTACAAAAATTGGCTATGATGAATTGGAAAACAATTAGAGAGGATAAGATAAAATAGTAGATGTGAGTTACAGAACAAAGGTGTCTAACATGTAAAGCAAGCTGAGCTGTGCATTTATCTTCACCGTTCTTGATAATTTTGAATCACTGCGTTTAAAGTCTCTGATCATCAATTACGGTTTTCTTGTGGATGTTAACTGAAAAGTCTACAAGACCGATCCCATAAATAGATTCATGTGAATTCTAAAGATGACTTAAGGATGGGTATGAAATTGGCACCACTATCAGGGTGATCGGATACTGAGTGTACTGTTGCATCTCGACCAATCTAGACCACCTCTTGATCAATTCTCGAGTCTATACCTGAGATGTGCTATAAACAATATCTATATGCTCGAGGTTTTGAGCTCCCAACGTTTTTAAGTAGATCGATAATGTTCAACCATGGGTCAAAAGACACACTGTCATTCTAGTATACCAGCTGAACTAGCTCCGGTATTTGTTGTTACTTTAATTTCTGTCAGGAATCGCTATCACCACTCCTCAAGTAAGTAGAAAGGAAATTTTTTTCGGAAATTAATGTACTGTTCATCCATCGAAGCGAATCAAGCGACATCACGAAGTTGTACTGTCGCCGAGAGAAAAAATCTCCCAAACCATAAGTGGCATACTTTCCATTTGAATGGAATCTTGCGCTTGTAAATAATACTTCAGTACATTTTGTAAAGGGTCGACAGCTTTCTTTAGGTCCTGTTTTATCACAACTACTGGTACAACTAAATTACTTGCAAGATATAAGCTAGGCTTTACATACGATGCCCAGGGAAAAACGATAGTTGCCAACACGTCTTCAGCATCCTAACTCACTGCAATTTTATCTGTTTTAGTTCAGATTTAATTCACACGTTAAGAATGTCTTGTAGAACTACCTTTTTGGATGTATCGCAATCTAATGCGAGTAAAAAAGTTAGGTTGCCATCTACTTACCAACATAACGCATTGTTTTTACTATCCAATATATGAGTTTCAAGTTTATACTAATCACCTTAAAGACCCTTTCCTGAGTTCAGACCTCCGATATCTGTGTTCAAGTTTCCAGCAGGTGCTGTGATAATCGTCGACTGTTATTGGTTGCGATAGTCATTTTTTGATGACGTAATTCATTCCGCATTGCATGCAAGCTGCAATCTGAAAGAGTAAAGAAACATTTTGACTAGAAAATATCATTTATTTTTTCAGTTACTGAACATTTCACTGAAGCCAAAAGTCTAATATTATACAGATTAGTTCATCGGGATCCACTTAGGTAGTGTAACTTCACTTTCCGTGCTAAGTACAAACTTTGCATCACTTAGGTAGGGTGGCAACACAATGGGGTACCGAATAAACTCATACGAAACATAGTTCTACAGTGTGCAGACGAAGAACATATTCGGAATGCCTTACTAGTACCTTTTGTTGAGACCTCTGAGATATATAGTACAACAGTAACAAGGCTTTTAGAGTCCCAGCCAAACCTGCCACTCGTTGACCGTTCACTAAGATGTAAATGTTGGTATAAAAAGCGAAAAACGTTCGCACAAGATCAGAAATGCCTGTCACATATGACACAAGGGTAGCTTTGTCGGAGCAACTGTTTACTGACTAAAAAGGATGTTAACAGGAATCTGTAACAGAGGTGAGTAGTCTAGTAAAACACCGATGAAGATAACAGCAAAAATGAAACAACATTGTCTATTTATCAGTATCCTGATAACGACAGAAATATAGTGAATGGCTGACTAGGTTAGTTGATATTTTGTATTCTTGTTCAGTAACAAGACAATCGGATATGCGCTTTAAGCTCTTTATTACAATGTTATGATTTCTGTGCAGGCTGACACACTATTTAGGCACATACTGATGAAAAAGGTTATCTGAATAAGCTACTGTTATAGCTTCACCATAAGTTCTAACCTACAAAGCATTGCAGCAATAGTTACGTCTTCATGATTGTCCATGATGAGAGTAGATTTACATGTCAATCATTTCTTTTGGATTCCGAAGCTCATATTTGCCAGCTTTTTTCCGATTATTATTTTCCTACTCCTGTAGAAGTGAGTGTCTTCTATATCTTCTAACCTTAAGATAAACATCAGATACTTGGTTTCATAATTTCCCATATTTAAAAATATCATCAGTATGGAGAAAGGATGAACTAAAATCCAATGGTAAAAAATACAAATGCATTGCTATATTGGGGTTTTGTGAAAAAATCTTGAACAGAAGTTACAACATTTTAAGAGATTTAAGAAGTAGCTTCTTCCATCCTTACACAACTTCAACCAAAATAGAGCTTTTGAGTAGACTCTACAGAAACATTCAGGAAGCACGTTCCAACCATCTCACTGATGTATATGGTATGTCATTAGTCATATCCTAATCGTTCTTCCACACCTTAATGTCTTATTATAAGAATATGTGTTAATATAATCCCAGAGCTCATCTTCTTCCAGGACATTTGTAATAACTAGGGTTTGGATGTTTTTAACATCTAATATCGGTTGTAAATTCAATAGTAATTAAATATTTTAATCCCTCGTATACAATAAACCTACTGTTTCAGTATGAAGGAGCTGCTCAGTGCGTATATTTAACTCAGCCTTTTAACAGCGCTGAGATCATCATGGATGGTGTAGGTTAATAAAAGACTGACAGGTATTCTGTTTGTACCCTACGATTTTATTAAGTATTAACCTACTCAAACTGATAAGATTTATGATGTGAGCAGAATAATTAACATGCCGTATACACTTAATATCGCTAAACGAAACCATCGGACCAGAGCAACCCGGCATTAGAGTTTGAAAACTAAGATGCATCAAGTGCATTCTAAGCATTATCACATTACCTGACATGTTATTAAGAAAGCTGCATTTTGTTAGTAGATACAAAAGAGCAAAATTTGGTCTCCTAGTGGGTGAGGTAAGTTGAATTTAAGTTGCATATTTATGGTAAATTAAATGCGGATTGTTGATCTGCGTGTCCTGATCAAAGTTTTGCTTACTTAACAGTTTAAAACCGATGACTTGCGATGTTCGCTTCCGGTGACACACTTTGCAACTGAAGCATATACTAATTGTTTAAGAGTAGACAAATGCAAGTGGTCTTGTTAAATAAATAAAAACATAATACACATTTATTACATCCAAAAGTAAGTAGATTTGATTTCAAGCAAAGTTTCAAAGATTTAAAGATTAAAATGAAAGTCAGCGGAGATTTTTTTAACAAAATGTGATCAGTCTTTGAGAAGCAGTTTGCGGAATCTAAATGAAAAACAATAACAACAATGTAACATCCTACATTACCGCTGTTTTTTCTGAAATAGTTGATCCCGATGTTTTTGGATTGATTATCATGTGTGTAGTTTGAATATCGACTTCACATCTCTGAATGTACATTTTCTAGACAAAGATACTTTCTACGAGTTTCAGGATAACTGCAGGATTTAGCATCAGTAATTGAATACATCATTTTCATCATGAAGACATATCAGTGACATATCCATTTTAGTCCTGTTATCCCTCCAAATCAATGTATAGGATCAGAGATACAGTAAATGAAATCTTCAGTAACCATTCTGTTACCTTAGGTAATTGTAGAGTCATCACTAAGAAAAATTATTTAGTAAGATTCATTATTCAGAGATGATAACAAATATCTGACATACTCCTACACAACTTTAAAATTAGTGGGTGATCGTTTCATCACTTTACATCGGATATGTTTATAAATTTGCGGTGCATATCAACCTCAATTATATTTCTACTGCAATTAGGTGAACAAAACGAATTAATTATTCACTCCATAGATCTCGTATTCGTTTACTTTTGCTGAACTTTCAAAATACACGTGTAAAAATGAATCATCAATCTTGATTTGATTGTCCAATGATAACGGCATATTTGTTGTTTAGGTATATGTACTGGCAGGAGATATGATTTTTCTGCTTTACTATTTAAACAACTTATGAAACATATGGGTTTTATCCTCCAAAGAACAAATTGGTTAGCTGAATGTCAAACGTTTTAGT